ACCATGCATTTCACAGTGGCAGTTCAGCAGGGGTTTCTGGTAAGCAGCAGTACGTGGCTGGATGACTCCAGCCACAACTTTCATATGTGGCGGTGCACTCTTCAGTCGCATCGTCCACGCATCATCACGTCACAGGTTCGGATGAAAGTGGAGACCAGCCTCGTGCATGAAGTGTACCTAGAGCTCAACTCCCCTTCAAGTCTTGTCGCGTCGCATCTTCAGATCGAAACCGACGGCTCGCGACCCAACAGAAGTCGCTTCACACACGCCGGACCGCAGCTCAAGGACATGCTGCACTCGAAATGGACGCACTACTCTTCGAACACGACCCTGAATTCTGCAAAGGCGAAAACGCCATCAAACCTACTACCAACCGTGATGTCTATGTCCAGCTCGGCCTATCCCTGATCCTTGGCATCTCGGCCTTTGTCACCTTCTGCATATTGCGTCCGCGATGGCCGACCTTGTACGCCGCGCGCAAGCGCCGAATTGATCCTAGTATCGGCTTGCCTGCCCTGCCGAATACCTTCTTCGGATGGATTCCCGCTCTGTATCGCGTGACGGAGGAACAGGTCCTCGCCTCTGCTGGTCTCGACGCCTTTGTCGTAAGTTGCAAGCTTCCCTGCTGATTGAGTGGGCTTCACTAACCGGAATAGTTCCTTTCTTTCTTCAAGATGGCAATCCGGACCCTCGCCATCTTGGCTTTTTTTGCCTACGTTGTTCTGCTACCCGTCAACCTCAAGTTCCCAGTTAAGAAGCGCAAAGATAAACCCGACGATGGCGACAAGAGCTTCGACAGCGAAAACGACGGTCTCTGGGCATACCTGGTGTTTGTCTACTTCTTCACGGGTCTTGTTCTCTACATCTTAAACAAGGCCACGTTCAGAGTGATACATATCCGTCAAGAGTACCTAGGAACCCAGTCTACCATCACGGACCGAACATTCCGTTTAACGGGTATTCCGCGGAGCCTGCGCTGCGAAGACAAGCTTAAGAAGCTCATCGAAAAGCTTGAGATTGGGCAGGTGGAAAACGTTAGCTTGTGCCGAGACTGGAGAGAACTCGATTCCTTGGTCGAGCAACGGGCGCGGGTGCTGGCTCAGTTGGAGGAAACTTGGAGCGTCTACCTTGGAAAACAGGCTGCTCTTCCCAAGTCTGTGCAGCGCTTACGCGACCCGCAGGCTGAACCGTCCGTCCTGGAGCCTAGGGAGGATGAAGTTGACGAGGAGGCTGGGGAGAACGGCAGCCTGCTGGGCCACAACCGTATCAACCCTGAGTTAGTCGAGAGACCTCGTCCCAAGGTAAGGATCTGGTACGGCTTCCTGAAACTCCAGAACCGCAAGGTAGATGCCATCGACTACTATGAGGAGAAGCTACGCCGGCTCGATGAAAAGATTCGCGACGCCAGAAAGAAGGACTACGCAGCGACCGATCTAGCTTTTGTCACCATGGACTCGATTGCCGCGTGTCAAATGGCGATCCAGGCTCGCATCGACCCACGACCGGGACAGCTTCTGACCAAGCCCGCGCCGTCGCCATCGGATGTGATGTGGGCCAACACATACACGCCCCGCGGAGTACGGCGCCTTCGGTCTTGGACCATCACTATTTTCGTTGCCTTCCTCTCAGTTGTATGGTTGGCAATCGTTGCCTCCATCGCCAGTCTACTGAGCATTTGCAACTTCAGAACGTGGTTCCCGTCACTGGTTGCGTTCTTGGACGAATGGCCGACGTTGCGTGCCTTGATCGAGACAGGCTTGCCAACGCTCCTCGTCTCGCTGCTCAACGTCGCTGTGCCGTACCTCTACGAGTACCTCTCGTACGAGCAAGGCATGATCTCCAAGGGCGACGTGGAGCTCTCGATAGTGTCCAAAAACTTCTTCTTCACGTTCTTCAACATTTTTGTTGTCTTTGCTACTTCGAATGCGGCATTCACCGTCACCAGTCTGTTCAAGCAGATCAAAGACGTATGGAGTAGCCCGGCGACGTTGACGAACACGATTGCAGAGCAGATCCGGGAGTTGGCCGTTTTCTACACCAATTTCATCTTGCTCCAAGGTGTTGGCCTGTTTCCCTTCAGGCTTCTGCAAGTCGGCAGCGTCGTGCTCTATCCGATCTATCGCATGGGGGCCAAGACGCCTAGGGACTTCGCCGAGATCATGCGGCCGACGGTTTTCAGCTACGGCTTCTATCTCCCCACGGCGCTGCTCGTCTTCATGCTATGTCTCGTGTATAGCACTCTTGAATACGGGTATCGGATCCTGACGGTGGGCATCGTATACTTCATCCTCGGCTACTTCACGTACAAGTACCAGCTCTTGTACGCCATGGACCAGCCACAACACGCGACGGGTGGTGCATGGCGGATCATCAGCTACCGAATTGTACTCGGTCTTTTCATTACGCAGGTTGTACTGTCCAGCATCATGGCCTTGCAGCTGGCTTTCGTGCAGGCTGTGGCTGTCCTGCCGCTTGTCGCCTTCACAATCTGGTATAGCGTCTACTTCCAGCGGCGCTTCGATCCCCTGACGCGATACATATCGCTGCGGAGTATACGAGCTGAGATATATGTGGAGGACGACGAGGCCGTGGCGGATGAGGATTTCGAGGGGCCCAGGCCGGCACAGGGTCTGTTGAGACGGGGCAGTACGGTCGACGAGGACAAGGAGAAGGGCATGACTTTTGTGAATCCCAGCCTGACTTCACGGTATGCTTGGCCGCCATTCACGAACTGAAAAGTTTTGTTGCTAACGGATTTACAGTCTCGAAGGGCCCTGGATCTATCAGGATCCTCCTTCATTCCATGAGGACGAGGAAGACGACGAGGAAAGTGGGCCCGATACGGAAAGGCCCAACCGGCCCGCAAACACGACGCCGGCAGCATCCGACAGCTCGATGAGCCTCGGTGATACACATATCTGGCGGCAACAGGCGGAAAGCAACAACCGGTAGAACGGGAGAATGGCCAAGACGATTGGGCATGGTACCGTTTGTAGATATCGATCACCCTTACTTTACGTGCATATGGGAACAGGACGTGTTTGTCGGGCCCGTAGGATGGGTAGCGGGAACAATAGCGAGCACTTTGCCATTTGAGCACCATCGATTATCCTTCCCAGGGTCTTGGGTACCTTGTTTCCGGCACCAGCACCTGCGGGGCACTTTCCCCTCCTGACAGCTCGTCCTTGGGGGGTTTGGTGGAGCTCCAGAGGGAAGCAGATGGCGGGGTAGCTCTTGGACTAGGTAGGTAGGTAGGTCATCCTGCACGTACCACATAGGTACCGGTACCCAAGCACCCCCACTACTAGGTAGGCACTAATACTACGGATACATACCTGGACCTACCATATATCAGGTACCCCGGCTGAGTCAGTCTACGTCATTTCGATTGCTTGCGAACCAGGATGCCAGATCTGGCACCTGCCAGTTGCTGACGCGCGCATAAAATTGGCATCAGCATCCGAATTGCAGAGGGAAAGAACCAACTGCGCCACATCAGGAGAAGAGGGGAGTCGAGCCTTGGCTTGGCTTCTCGAGGCGTCTTCTTCTCCTGAATCCTCCAGGTCCCTCCCCTTCCCGTCATAACCCCCCCACCTAGCTCAACATATGAATACTTGACCACCCGGCACGACCATCACGGCCCTTCGTTCCATCTCTGCATCAATTGCTTCATTGCTTCGATATCACATTCAAGAGCCTACCTACCATGAAGCTCGCCGTCTTCAGCGCCAAGCCCTACGACAAGAAGTACATCTCTGCCGCACACGAGGCCAGGAAGGACGAGTTCAAGAAGCACAACGCAAAGCTCGCCGACGACAACACTGACTTTGGCATACTCTACCACGACTTCTCCCTATGCTCCGAGACCGTCTCCCTCGTCAAGGATGTAGACGCCGTCTGCGTCTTCGTCAACGACTCCCTCACTGCCGACGTCGTCGAGGCACTGCACAAGGCTGGCTGCAGGGCCATTTTGCTGCGCTGCGCCGGTTTCAACAACGTCGACCTTAAGACTGCTGAGAAACTGGGACTCTTTGTCGCCAACGTCCCCTCGTACTCCCCCGAAGCTGTCGCAGAGTTCGCCGCCGCCCTGCTGCAATCCCTTAACCGACGCACTCACAGAGCCTACAACCGCACCCGCGAAGGCAACTTTAACCTTGATGGTCTCCTCGGGAAAACGGTGCATGGCAAGACAGTGGGCATCATCGGCACCGGAAGAATTGGTGTGTCCATGGCCCGCATCATGAAGGGCTTCGGCTGCACCCTCTACGCCTTTGACCCGTTCGAGTCGGACGACTTCAAGAAGCTCGGTGAATACCTCCCCTTGGAAGAGCTTCTTCCCAAGTGCGACTTCATCAGTTTGCACTGCCCATTGATGGAGAAGACGAAGCACATCATCAACGAAAGGACGCTCAAGCAGATGAAGCCCGGCTCTATATTGGTCAACACCTCCCGAGGCGGTCTCATTGACACAAAGGCCGTCATCCACGCCCTCAAGACTAAGCATCTCGGCGGCCTGGCCCTTGATGTGTACGAGGGCGAGGGTGATCTCTTCTACAACGATCATTCGGGTCACATCATCGACGATGACCTGCTTACCCGCCTCATGACCTTCCCCAACGTTCTGATATGCGGCCACCAGGGCTTCTTCACCGAGGAAGCCCTGCAGGAGATCTCCGAATGCACATTCCGCAACCTCAAGGACTTCATGCTCGGACGCAAGTGCCCCAACTCTTTGGTCAAAGACGAAATCACCCTCTCGCGCAGAGATTCGCTCCCAGTGCGTATTGTCTAAGAACCCCAGGCCCGGCTCACGGCAAACGGCGCAAACGGAAGACTCACTTACAGGTTGATGAATACCCACCCTACTGCTCCCTGGAACGACGAGATAGATAGTTACACGTTACGACTCACGAAGAATAGACGATTTACCACATTCCTGCGAGCTCACAATCATCAAGGTGTGTATCATTAAGCACACAATGTGCCAGTAGAGGTTGAATGATGTTTTGAACATGGTGTAGAATTAATTACGGCACCGGCCGTTCTCTGTCTCTATGCATCTATGTCGTAGTACGTCCAGCCCGTACATCCACCGTCCAACACCAACCTGTTACGCCAAATGAACCAAACGTAACCGAAAATCCAGACCTAACTAAACGCATAGACGCGATATCCAACTGTTCATAGCAAAAGCCTTGTGAAGGGCTTTTATATTGTTCAATGCTCACCACGAGTCGCTTACGCGGGCTCAAAGGTACGAGTGGGCGACAGAACGTTCTGCGGCTTGGCCTTCTCGACATCCGAACCGGAAGTCTCCTCGTCGTCGGAGGAGTAGGCGTACTTGCTTCTAGCACGGATCCGGGCTCCGTAGACCCAGAAGAGGAAGGGGATAGCGCAACACGCAAGGCCGATGAAGGCAAGGAGGGTTGATGCCCACTGATCGCCAAGGCGGTCGTACATCTGCTCGGTGAAGAGGACGACGGCGGCACCCCAGAACGAACGGATACAAGTCTTGGCCGCGAGTGCGGATGCGGCCTGGTGCTGGTAGGAGTCGACGAGGTAGTTGTTGGCCGAGTTGTAAAGGAAGATGAAGCCGAAGCCTACAGGGAAACCGCCGAAGGCAGGACCTGCCCAGTGCAGGTGCGGAAAGGAGGTCCAGGCGAAGATGAACAGGCCGATGGGGATGCACCAGCAGCTCACCATCATCGGGATAAGTCGGGTCTCAGCGGGCGGGTTGCCGTTGTGCTTTGCGACCATCTTAAGGTAGTGCTTGTTAACCCAGGGAGAGCAGGCGGCCGAGCAGAGGACGCCGACGGCGAGGGGAATGAACATGAGACCGGTCGTGGAGGCCGAGTAGCCCTTGCGCTTCTGGTAGATGATGGGGAAGGCGACGAAGAACATGTATAGCAAGCCGTACAGGACGGACATGTAGATGGAGATGAGGAAGACGATGAGCTCGCGGAAGAGGAGCTGGAAGGGGCGGATGAGGAAGATTCCGAGGCGCTCGCTGAGCGGCCGCATGTCGATGTCCTGCTCGGTGACGTGGGACTGATCGCCGGTCTCCTTGCGCATCTTCTTGGCTCGGCGGGCGAGGATGGTGGGCGCGTAAGTCTCGCGGACGGTGAAGGAGATGAGGACCCAGACGACGAAGGAGAGGATCAACTGAATCCAATAAAGCCATCGCCAACTTGTGGCGTCGGAGAGGAAGCCGCCGACAAGAGGGCCGATGGCGGGACCGATGAAGGGAGCGGCGGAGAAGGCGGCCATGGGGACACCGCGCTCCTCGTTGCGCCAGAGGTCAGCGAGGGTACCGCCGACGAGAGTCATGGGGGCGGAGAAGGCGATGCCATCGATGGCGCGGCAGACGAGAAGGGTGGCAAGGGTCTTGGCGACGGCGCAGGGGATGATGAAGACGACGGCGACCAGCAGGGTGGATGCGTAGATGATCTGGCGACCGTAGATCTCGGAGAGGGGCGCGAAGGCCATGGGCCCGACGCCGAAGCCGATGACGAAGACGGTGATGGAGAGAAGGGCGACCTCCTCGGAGATGTGAAACTCTTCAGCGACGCCAGCGATGTCGGCGGTGATGACGGAGGAGCAGAAGGCGACGACGAAGCAGGTCATGGCGACGACCATGGTGCAGTACCACTTGTAGGCCTTGGACCAGTTCTTGGGGTTATCGGGGTCATTGGGAACGAAGGTGACGAGCTTGTAGTTGCCGCCGGCAGCGGCCGAGGGGGCCGTCACGGGGATCTCGCCGGCGCTGGTCTCGACGCGGTATTCGTCGAGGTTGGCATTGGCCGAGAGGGTGCGGTAGGGGAGGTTCACGTCGAGCTCCGGGTCCATCTGCTCCTTGGTCGCGACGGCGTGTGTGACGGTTGTTGTGATGGGAACATTATGTCGTCCTGCCGGCGCGTCGTCCGGGTGGGAGGAGGAGCCTGGTGGGAGTGTGTGGGAGGATTTTGATGATAGCTTGTCCATCTTGGGTGGTGTGTATGTGTTTTGCTGGGCAGTGAATGCCGGGCTTTGGTCTAGTAGGAACGCAGTTCCCCCCTGAACAGGTGAAGTATCACAAAAAAGTAGACTATAGAATGAGTGAAAGGAGTTAGGGGGTCGAGCCCGGGGGTGGTGATAGGCATGAAGTCAAGGAACAGGAACAGGATCTTATCTCAGTTCCTCATTCTGGAGGAGGGGAGGGCGCCACCCTGCCTTTATACTCGTCCCCATCAGTGGGCGAAAAGGAAACCGAGTCAACTCGCAGGGCCTATCTTTATTTTAATCTTCTATTCTTTGGTCAAATAGCAAGGTACTACACAAGCAGGACCCCCTGGGACCCGGTCGCAACTCGGTCTATGGGTGAGAAAATCGGCGCGGCATTCGGGGTACCCACCATCTCGCGGGCGGATCCGCCTTTCCCGTCCGCTTTTTTTTTTTTGGACCAGTGTACCATGTTCTCTCGAGATATACGTAGATGATATGCCATTCCGTGCTACACAGGGCCAGGGGTTTCTAGTGGAATCTCTAAGCCTTGGTGTTTTTTTTTTCTTTTTTTCTTTTTTTTTTTTTTCACATTCGCCACGATGCGGACCAGTGGATTGGAGTGTTAGGTTGGCAGGGGTTTTCATTCTTCGTGAACCGCGAACGTCCCAGCAGCGACACTGACTAATGGGCCGAAAGCAAACGAAAACGATTTAATGTGGGAGGAGCGGGCAATGCGGGGTTTTTTTTTTCTTCGTCCCTTTTTTCGCCTTCTTCTCTTGGTCATTTGGAGTATTACAGAAGCTTGAAGCGGCACGTGGAACGTTGGGGGTATTCCAGAGCCACGAGGCCGGGACGCGTGGGGAGGGGAGGGTCGGAGGCGCGTTTACGACGAACGCCGACTTTGACCTAGTCCTTGTTGCCTGCCGAGTCTTGAGGCTCTGCCCGGGTTTGCCATTGGGTTGCCGGGGAGAGAAGAGAGGAGCGGTTATGCGGTTATGAGGGCGCACAGGTCCGACGGGCGGGTCTGGGAATAAGAGGAAATGAATTTACATCGTAGGTACGGAGTAGAACTAGTCTATTGGAATTCCTGTTCGGCCAGGGGTGAGGGGTGGCCCTGTGTGCGTTCTCGCCAGGCCCTCAGGGCTGAAAGTGAAAGGTATGGGGGAGAAATCTCGGCATGAGTTCGGGCAGTCGTAATGTTTTTTATTTTATTTTTTCCCGCTCTTTTCTCAGCCCACAAGTTTTCCACGATTTCTCCGCTGGGCAGGCAACAAATCCAACTACATCTTTCATCGGTCCCCGAATTCCTCTCTCTCTCTCTTCACACGAGTACGGCGATAGGTCGTGGTGGCAGTGATTTCTGCCCCTTTTCGTTTTATTCAACAAACAACGCTGCGGCACTTATCTCTTCTTCTTCGTTATCGAAACAACCCTGCGCCTCTGCTTGCACCCCCCCGTCGGGGCCGAATGGGGGAGGGATGCCGCTGCCTGCGCCGGCTGCCTGTCTGGCGAACCGAGCTCCCCTTTCGTCCGGAAACCAAGTAGCCAGAAAGAACCTGGGCCGAGCTAGCTCCCTTTTCGTCCGGAACGCACAGACCCGCAGAAGCCGGCGGACCTGGTGGGCCCATTGCGGGCCTTCCGGCCGGGAGGGGCCCCACACGCGCCGGTCGAAGAAATTGCGTTTAGCTCATGGAACCTGTCGTCGCACGCATGTGCCCACACGTTCGTTCCTCGGCTATCCCCCTCTTTCGTTGGAAATGTACCTTCCTTTCTCTTCCGCTACGATTGTACCTCGAGGCCGCGCAAGAACACTCGATTTCGACCGCCGCCAGACGTTGACGTAGCCACCGTCCGAGGCATTCCTGCCGCGGAAAGATTCAGCAAGTTGAAACGCTACTTGGGCGGGGCAAGGAAGAAAGAATGGGTTTCGGGGACGGGCGGAGCATTCCTTGTTTTTCTTGTTTTCTCGCTTGCATAATATATCTTATTCCCGGTGGTCCAAGTGGGGGTGGCCATCCAGCGCCGTCTTATCAGTGAGCGAGCTCTCGGTGTCTAGGCGTACCATTCGGCTATCCGAATCTCGCGCGCGTATGTGCTCGGTAATCCACTTCAAATCACGCCCGCAAACCTAGCAGAGGTTAATAAGAGGGGTTTTCGAGACCAAGGTGGCCTGAGATCCACACGCCGCTCTAGTAGCGTAGCTGACGGAATGCAGGTGCAGGTGATAAGGGGGGAGGATATTGCATCAGTCAAAGGGCTAGATGGCAGACTGCGAGATAAGCCGAGACGGTGCGAGTGAAAGCTCGACGACGGCGGGTGCGTGAGAAATCAGAGGTCAAGCGTCGATGCAAATGGGTGGAGCGGGACGCTTCTCGTCCTTTGGGCAAGCAGTAACCTGCGCTTTCTCACGTCTCCACTGGTGCCCAAACGGGGGACTGAACACACACTGGGCATCGCGGGTGAAGATGATGTTCCCGCCGGAGAGCGGTGACCACGGATCTGGACATGCGTGGCTGCCTATCGCTGCAGGCAGGCAGGCTGAGGCGGAGCCGGGGTTGGACTGGGGAATGGTCAAAAGTCGGAGCTCGCGACTTGGGTCCCCCGCCGCTCGCACTGCTGATTATCTATCTGGTCGGCGTTTCCAGCCCCGCTTCAAGGCCGTTCAACGGGCTGGTGTCCAACAGGGGTCTAAAACGCTTACACGTCCCCTCTCTCCACGTCACATCTAGCTCCTTGTAAGCCGCGTGCGATCTCGGACTCCCAGCCGAACCAGGCGGAAGAACGTTTGAGGCCCGGCCGAAAAGCGACTCGGAGGAAAAATACAGGGGTTCGGGAAATTCCCAACGGGGCCGGCTTACGCAGGCACAGGCAATAAACAATGGCATATATATCACACGGCAATCCCATCACAGCCAATGTGAGAGGCATCAGACAGCAATCAGTTATATATCTGAGTTGATTGACCCATTCGATATAGTGCACGATGCATACTTACTACTTTTAAGGATTGACTCTAATCCACAAAAATGTGATCAGTGGGAGGCTTGAACTCCCGGCCTTGGCATTACACAACATTTCAGATGAAATATTAGTACCACGCTCTAACCAACTGAGCTAACCGACCATGTTGGATGATATTGCATCTTCAGTTTTCAGCTTATAATACAAAAACTCTTGACCGCTCCTCGTCGCAATTAATCTTGGATGCCTCCCATCGACTTCACCCATCCATCCATTTTTTCAGTCGTTTAAACAACCGCTCAATCCTTCGAGAAGGCCCGCCTCTCTCAAGCCCGAAGTAGGCACTTGCTACTTCGTTTTTACTCTTTCCAGAATATGGCACTACAGTGCTTGATATTCCAGTCGACGTACCTACCTGCCTAGGTAGGTAGGGACTTAATAAATAGTACATAATAAGCAGCAAGTCCTTTCGGGGAAAGAAGTTGATAGGATACGTGACCTCCCGCGCAATTCCTCTCCCTCCCCCTTCAACACTGACTCCGGCATCTTCTCCCCGCCATCCCATCCATCTGCCACCTCCATTCGATATTGACGTTGGCATTTGCATTGGCGCCATCACCAGCATCGTCATAATCAGTGCTGGAGAACATTTTCCGGGGCACTCTCTTTGCAATTCAGCCATTGGATACATCATTCTCTTCATCATTTTCCCATGTTATCTCACGTCCTTCGGTCCGTTGTCGCCATGAAAGCTCACCCCGACGATGTCGTGCATTTCGGTCATGACAATCATGCATCACAGCTGGTTCCGACAGCAATGCGACTCCCAGTCGAGATCCTACACCACATCTACGATCTGCTCGACCCATATGATTTCAATGTTGCACGACACACCTGCCGACCCTGGTTCTGTGCAGGCTTGAACCGCACTGTTCTCGTCACCATGCTCAAGCGAGGAGGGTGGTGGTCCAGCATCAACACTATCATCGACGTGGAGCACAACAAGCCTATGCTTGAGACCCACGATCAGTATCCGAACCAAGAGTGGATTATGTCCAAGTGGTTCGCTAGAGAGTGTGCGTTGGGCCCCAGTCATCGCGGGCCCGAACCTGCCTTTGTCGAAGTCAGTCAGACGCAATTCATCGACCTCAGATCTGATGCCTCGACGTCCGGGATTGGTGACGGTGCCAAATACACCGCGAGTATGTGCGGCCGCTTCCTAATGGCTAGCTACGATTGCACCATCTATGTCTACGAGCTGAACCATCGATGCAAAAACATCAAGTCTCCCAGGTGGCCAATGTCTTCATAGGAAGAGACCTCACGACGCCACAAGGGCCTTCTGCGCCCCGTTTCAACCATACTGTGTCCGTATAGAGTTCTCTCCTGTGCCATGGACACATCTTGGGGACGCTACTCTGTCGCCGCCGTTCTCGACGGCCGAAACGGCATCGTCTGTGACATCACAGCTCTGATGCCAGGAAAAGAGGTAACTACGACATCATCCAACCACGTCAGTCCATGGGCTAACGCTGGCTTGAAGGCAAGCTCTCAATCGTGCATATGTTGCGTGCGGTCACCTTCACTGCCGCCTCCTATTGAGACAGGACCCAGATCCATCTATCGAAACATATGCACGGCCGACAACCCGCCACGCTCGGTTGCCATTTGCCCCCAACGTGTTTGTGTCGCTTTTGGCTCCTCGTCTGCTGTCGAACTGCACTGGGTTGACAGCCAAACCAACCGAGACCTGGTCCGCCGCTTCCCGCTGTCCACCCGTAGCGACTTTGTCTACTTTCTCCCGCCCCGGCCGGCAGTTGACTCAACCAAGAAGCTCCGACTCATTAGCTCAGCAGCGGCAGTGGACTGCTGCTCGAGCTCGATGCATTTGATCCTGGGGGCGCTGGGCGGAAGTTTTGGCGGATATCCTCCAGAAATCCCGGCTGTCATCTCGCGTCTTGAGACATCCGCTGCTGCCTCCGAAGCAGACACTTCTAGTGTCTACACAATCACAGAGCAGCAACTCAGTGCCTCAATCAGCCCTCCGCCATTCCGCAAGACAACCTGGAGGGGGTGGGAGCGAAGGTTTCCCAGACACAGGTCCACTGCTGTCGACAACTACAGGGCCGTGCCCCTGAGCGACGGCTCTCATATCCTCTTCACGGACCCGAGAACCGGATACCTGTGCCTGGGTGCTGATTCGCCAATCGGGTCGATGACTCGTCTCCAGAGAAAGGTCCAGTTTTGCCCACCTCCCACGGCTTGCTCGAATGCTCCAACCCTGTGCGCTGTGGGAGCCAACCTGGCCAACGGAGTCAGAATCGCCGCCGTGTTCCCCATAGCACGATGGGTGGACCAGCTTGGTTTCCAGTCAGAAAAACAGCTCCTTGTCTTTTACACTTTACCCCCGGATATGTTCAAGGATATCTCCCGCCTCGCCAACCTGGCTGATATGCTTGATCGCCCAATGGCAGACTGGATTGCGTGGTGGCCAATACCTGGGCTTCGAGATGCTGCCGTGACCCATGATAGTGGATCCGAGACGCCATGCCTCCAACGCAACAGGCCATCATATCCCATTGACGTTCACGGACAGCCTGTTGCCGTTTGCTCCGGCCTCGTCGATCTCGCATTAGACACAGGTCCTGATATGCTGGTCTGGACATTTAGTGGAGATGGTTCGGCTCGTTGCTGGGCACTCAACACCGGGAATACGAAAGGAGTGCGACGAAGTACAGTTTTAAGAGATGGAAGCATGCGAGCGATGGATGGTGACGGAGATGTTTTCATGGACGATGCGGGGTTGAATCTTCAGTCGGAAGGCATTTCGCCGACTGCAACAAGGCCGCTGACATTAGATTGTGAGGCCGCGACTGGGATTGCCTGTCCGTCTCCAGACCTTCCTCTTTCGTACAGGTATTGTCGCTTGACGACACGTGGAACTGAGGACGATGTTGTGAGGGCGGGGTTCCTCGAGAACATCCAGGGTGTGGCGAGATTAGACGTTGACCTTCGCTGAAGAAGAAGAAGAGCCCACGGAAAGGGGAATGGATGGGAGAAAAGTATGCATAACCTACAAGAATGATTACACGTACCAATAGTCCAGAACACCCTATAAACTAACCTGACCCCCGTACCTTTTATCAACTTCTTCTGTCTTGACACAAAAACGGGCTCCATAAAGCGTGGACGTCTCGCTTGTTCAATAACTCTGTAATCTCTGACTGAATTTTTAACGTCTATATGTGCCATGTATCGTGTAATCCTTCTTGGGCCCGTTCACCGTGTACTGGATGTCCCACTCTTTGAGATTGACAGCCTTGAAAGCGAACTCGTATTTGACGTCATAGAAATCGTCGATGCAGAGATGGCCCGCCTTGGCCTGCCATGGATTCTGGTCTCCGTCTGGAGGCGGGAGGAACTCGATCTCATGGAAGAGGTAGTCCGCCCGCTTGGGGTCGTCCGTCTTGGCGAACCAGACGCTCACGACATCCTTCCTTTCATCGTACCGCCAGACATAGCGACGCGTGGCTCTGAACACGAGCCCGTTGTCGGCACGGAACTCGCCGTCCTCTACGTAAAGGTACTCCGCGGCCAGACCATCGTCGTCGTCGTCGTCGTCGTCGGCGGTCGATGTCTTGTCCGCGGGGACAGAGCCCGAGACGCACTTGAGCCCGTCGGCGGTCCTGTCGCGGAGGAGGAACTGGGCCGTTCCGCTGAAGTGGCCGCTCGGGTGGCTGGGGAGCCTGCTGGTCAGGTCACGTTCGAGCTTCCATGTGCCCAGGAGGCTGCGGAAAACGGCCTTGGGAACGAAGCGGCTCGTAGTCAGGCCCGCGACGGCGGTGGAGTGGGTTTGTTGGAGCGACTTTGCGGCTTCGGCTTTGGCGGCTTCGTCGGCGAGGGGCGAGACGTAGCGCGCCGGCGTGAGGATGTCCATGGGCTTGTCATTGTGCGGGAGGACGGGGGTGGGAGGTTCGAGGGGCGGGGTGATGGGGATTCCGAGGGCGGAGGAGAACTCCTGCATCAGGTAGGCGTAGTCGCCCATCGGGAACTGGGAGAGCCGCGGGTCGTCGCGGAGGGACGCGGTGCTCCCGTCCGACTCGCCGGAGAGGAGCGCGTCGGAGAGCTTCGGAGGTTGCGGGGCGAGGGAAGGGGGCGTCCAGAGGGCGGCAAAGAAGCGGGCCTGCATCTCCATAACGCCCCAGTAGGGCGAGCGGTAGAAGCCGACGAAACCGAGAGAGGGGAAGTCCTTGACGTGGGTGCCGTGAAAGGCGAGGGCGAGGGGCAGACTTGGGTGCTGCGGGGAGTAGTCTAAAGTTTCGAGGACCCGGGGCGGGAGGAAAGAGAGGCAGGGGGAAGGGTCGAAGCCGGTGGCCAGGATGACGGCGGCGACGTTTTCGATCTTGGGCGACGAGGGGTCCGCGAGCGTCGCCGTGGTGCCGGCGACGGAGGCGAGCTTGCCCTTGGAGACAGAGATGAGGCCGGCGCGGACGAATTCCATGTAGTTCTCGCTCATGGCGAGGTACGCTGGCTCGGAGTGGTGGTCCGGGGTGACGGCGACGGCGGGGGAGAACTCGGACTGGTCCTGGCCGAGGGAAGCCGCGAACAAGCTGTGGCTCACCTTCGCGGCGTCGGGGGTGATGTGGCCTTGTTTGTTGGTGAAGGGTTGGGGGCGGTTATTGAGGTTGTAGGACGGGAAGTCCACGGGGAGGAAAGGGGCCGCGGTTGAGCCGGGCTTTTTGTTTCGGTTGGACTGGGTCAGTGATTTGCGCACGAGGTTATGGTCAAGTGGCGAGGGTTACCTTGGGTGTGGTGTGGAGGGGGAACACCCACGTAGGGCGCTGTGCGAGGTGCTCGACGGTGAGCTTGTCCGCGCCCGGGACGGGGCTCGGGCCCGGCGCGTTGACGGCGGCGGAGATGTGCGTCGCGACGGTGCCCGCAATCTCCACGCCCGACATCTGTCCTCCGACGACCAGGATCTTGCCGCCGCCGTCCCGCACGCCGTCGGGAAACAGCCCCTTCAGGTCGCGGTACTTGCTGCTGTGGACCACAGGGACCGCTGCATCCCCGGTCCCGATGTCCGGGACGAGAGGCTTCCCAAAGAACCCGGACGAGACGAGCAGATAGTCGAACGCGCGCGTCTCCTCCTCGCCGCCGGCATCCTCGGACGGCTCGACGGTGACACGCCACGTCGCGTCGTCCTGCAGGTCGGCCTTGACCACGCGGCGGCCCAGCTTCACCTCGGCGCCACGGCCGTAGCGGTCGAGGTACCGCTCGAGGTACCGGCCAACCATCCAGGCGCGCGGGAACTCGGGGTCCTCGGGCGCCCAGGCGAGGTCGCTGAACTGCACCGTGTGGCGGCTCTGGTTGGCGACCATGAGCGGGTGGACGAGGCCGTCGGCGTCGCTGGCGCGTGTGGGCCACAGGCCGCCGATGCGGCGCTGGGCGTCGTAGACAGTCACGGTGAAGGCGCCAGCGGGGGCGTTGTGGAGGAGGGTCTTGGCGGCGACGAGGCCGGACGGGCCGGCGCCTGCACGGAGAGAGAAAGGGGGTAAGCTCAGATTGGGCCAGAAGCCGGATACCGGGGATTTCAGGGGTCCATACCGACGATGCAGACGCGTTTGGCCATGACGAGGTTCTGACAGGGGTGGTGGGGGACGAAGGTGGGATGTGTGTGTGTGTGCGTGTGTGTGTGTGTGGATGTTTGTATGAGATGCCCCTCACTACCTATGAGATTATCCCTGTCGGATGAGAGCTGCTTGAGGGTGGGGAAAGGGTTGAATGTTATATGAGTGTGCTGAGAATTGAGTCAGCGTCTCATCCAACTAAGCCCAAAATGTTAGGTGAGAAACGGCAGACCGCACTGCAGAACGTCGTCAATCCACACGACTGAGGTAGGTGGGAAGTTCTCACGTCAGAAACGCTGCCGCCGAAAGCGCCATGTCGTGCGGTCGGGGATTGGCGGGGACTGTGGGGCTTGTCGCCGACCGAGACCGGCGCTATCCGTCATTAGTCAGCAGGTCTGGGTGAGCCGGGAAGGCCGTCAGACAGCGCCGACGGACAGGCGCCAGCTGGTGCTCTTTTTCCTCTCTCTCTGCCTGTCGTCAGTTCGCTAATATATTGTAACAGCAGAATGCATCCCATTACCGGCATCCCAGTGTCAAGGGGCCGCCGGGTCGCTACAGAAGTATTGGTGCTGTCTGCCATCTCCCGAGAGAGAGTTCCCACCGCCAGTCTGGCTAGCATTCCCGCGGGTCGCCAAGCCAGGGCTTCGGGTCCCGTTACGGCCGGTACGGGCCCAGATGCCTCAGCCAAATCTCGGGGTCCCTGTCGGCTTCTTGCAGCGACTATGTAGGCGTTTGGACGAGTCCTTGACACTAGGCACCAGCTGCGCTCTGGAGATGACCTTTCACCCCGGTCTCCCGGCCAAGCTGGCTGCGGCATCTGGCGCAGGCTTGCTGTGCTGGGAGACGTGAGGATAAAGTCATCACTTTTCTAGTTTGCTAACCAGGATCAACCCCAGCTCATGCAGATGCACAATCCGTTTTGCAACTCCCGACCTGCCACACCGCCCATTGTGTCTTGGCTGCGAGCTTTCAATGTGAATTTCAATGAGAACGGGGACTTGGTTTGATCTCATCCATGTTCAGGCTGATTGCCCTCCTACCAAACCGCCCGGCAGGATGCATTCGTTTGGGTGACCAGTACTCATTCGCGAGACGGACAGCTGCATAGTATCGCGATCGCACACGGTAGTATGGTCTCAACCGAACGATCTGTACCATTGGCTACGTGGCCTCGCTGGGTGCTGCTCTTCCTCGCCTTCCTCCCCGTACCACTGCAACACAGATCTCGAACAACGGCGTCACCACCCCTTGTCCTCACGTGGGCACCACCCGTGTTGGAACTCCGCTAGCCTGTTCTGCATTCAGACCAGCCCTTCTGGTGAATCGCTCCATGGCGGCGGCGGCGGCGGCGACGCATCACCTGGACACTTATGGCCTTGATACTTGTTGGGGTTACTGTTAGTCTGGCAGCAAGCTCTGCCGCCCAAGAGGCGGCTGTCCTGCCCGGCTTAGCCTGCGTTCAACCAAGCGCATATTAAGATGCCTGGCTTGCGGAGCAGTTCTGCTTGTAACTGACAGGCCTAACTTGCACCCGCGGGGCGTTATCGGGGAATAAGGCTCGCAGCGGTATTCCCCAGCCTCCGGCGGCCTTTGGATTTCCCCAGCAATCTTGCCTCAATTACCCACCCCCAGAAAGCCTTCCCGTTGAAAAATAAGATCTGCTAGGCGTCTGTTCTCTTGAGATACCGGACAGGCCAGTATGTTTCCGTCACCCACGCAAAACGCCATTTTGAGTCAAAAGTCCGATCTAACACAGGATTTCAACGTGGATTTCCGCTTAACTACAGTGTGTTCAGCGAGCAATTGGTGTAACCTGGATGTCCCGGGCGTCAGCTACAGAGCTCAAGGTACTCTTGGTGTCCTATCGATTCTCGAACCATGGAAGCCATGCATTGACGGCGCAGTTGTTCAGAGAAAATAATATGATGCAAGAAATTTGCACGCTCATTGGTCTTGAATACTTGTGATGTCATCATCCGGACAAGGTAGACTGCGCAGGCTCCTATTTATTTTGGGCCTTTCGACACCGATACTCTCCTAAGCCCTGCCTGGGACTACAAAGGAACGCAAAGTTGGTTTTCCAAATGCCTGGTTAAGCACAATGACTCCGCAGGATAATGGTTCCTATTGTTTCCAACCCGAACGAATGTCTGTTGATGGCGAGTCCTCAGTTGTTTCGCGCCGATGTGTCCGGTTTGATGAGGCGGCACGTTCCATTGCAGGGTTTCATTGCCGAGTGTATCCCGAAGTCTTATACCGTAGAGGAAGGTTGCTCCCCCGCGCACATGCCACCGTTGCGGGCATGTTCGGTGTTCCTTATATTGACCAATCTCCCGCCGACTTGATCTGGCCTTCGTCATGACCGCGCCATCTTACCTCCGAAACCACGGGTAGATCAAACTCTGGATCACGTCTGGTTCATCCAACAACTGCACCAGCCCTATCCACCCCATTTGTATTTTATTTCATCACTCCTACTATCACTTCTCAAGGAGATCAATAGCAAATTTGTCCAGCAAATCGATAGAGCCTCATAATGATGGACGCCGAAAAGACAAGCGCCTCCCACACGCTAGACCACGGCAGGCAGATTGATGTACCTGACCCGGATAGCCACCTCAGTGAGGAGGAGAGACTAGATGTGGCAAGTACACCATCTATTGCGCTGAGAAGTGTTCACGTTCCTGACATGTCACATATAGGACCGGAAGTTGGTTAGACGGCTTGACTGGATGCTCATTCCATGGGTAAATTACGCCTGTATGCCTTCAGGCAAGTCTCGCTGACGAGTCTGCAGCTTTGCATACTTTACCTATTGGCGTTCCTTGACAGAACAAACATCGGAAATGCAAAAATCGCCGGCCTGAATCACGATCTGGGATTAACTAGCTCCCAGTACAACTCGTCGCTCACCATATTCTTCGTCTCGTACGCCGTGTTCGAGCCGTTGACAAACATTCTCCTCAAGAGGCTTCGCCCATCAATATTCATCCCCATCATCATGTAAGTCCGAGCCGATTCATCAGTCATCCGAAATTGGAGTACTTTGTTTCTAATCCTGTAGGGTTCTCTGGGGCGCATCCATGACCGGCATGGGTTTCGTACATAACTGGAGCGGCCTGATGGCCGCTCGATGGTTCCTCGGTCTCACGGAAGCAGGACTATTCCCAGGCGTCAACTACTACTTGTCATGTTGGTACAAGCGATCCGAGTTTGGTATTCGTGCTGTAAGTCCTAGCAGTTTCGGTCTTCCAAGTCTCCTTCTTACACATGCAGGCGATCTTCTTCTCAGCGGCCGCCATTTCGGGTTCTTTTGGTGGTGCCCTAGCTGCAGCAATAGAACAGATGGCCGGTGTCGGCGGGCGACCCGGTTGGGCTTGGATATTCATACTTGAGGGACTTCTAACAGTGTTGTTCGGGGTTGCATCCTTCTGGATGGTGCACGATTTCCCCGATGAGGCCAAATTCCTCTCCGAAAACGACCGCGCCCGCGTCATTCGCCGGCTCAAGATGGACCAGCAGGCCTCGGCCGACCATGAGGAGTTCAATATGTCCTTCTTCTGGCAAGCTGTGCAAGACTGGAAGATGTGGCTGGGCATGGTCATCTATATGGGCTGTGATATGCCACTATACGCCTTCAGCCTGTTTCTGCCCACCATCGTCAACGAGCTCGGATGGAATACCAGTACTGTACGATCGCAGCTGATGACCGTGCCACCCTACGCTGTGGCAGCCGCTTTCACAGTCCTTGTTGGCTGGGTAGCAGACAGGACCCAACAACGCGGACTGTGCAACATCTTCGTCAGTTTGATTGGTATTGTGGGCTTTGGCATGCTCATAGGCACCGAGAACCCTCAGGTCAAGTACGCTGGTACCTTCCTGGGAGCCCTTGGCATCTACCCCTGCATCAGCAATACAATCACCTGGGTCGCGAATAACGTTGAAGGGGTTTACAAACGAGGCGTGGTCTTGGGTTTCGTCATCGGGTGGGGCAATCTCAACGGTATCGTCAGCTCCAATATCTACTTTCGCGAGCCTCGCTTCTTCGAAGGTCACGGCGTTGTGCTGGCTTACATGTCCATCTTTTTGTGCCTCGGCAGCGTGCTCATGACAACGCTGCTGAGGATAGAGAACGACAAGAGGAGACAGGGAAAGAGAGACCACTGGGCAGATAACAAATCTGAGAAAGAGATTGAGGCACTGGGAGACAAGAGACCTGATTTCTTGTACACCCTGTAGCATCGGTCCGTGGGCGGCCTGGCAACGATTAGGAGGATACGCATGATGCACCCCGCACACGGGGGATGTTAAAGTTCAATCAGAAAATAAACTAATGCGAGTGAATAAGATGTGATGGCTTCTTTGCACGACAAACTAATAAGTGCTGAAGGGTAAGCCTGTATGATCATGATGATTCTACACAACTCGTGAATCGGTCTGGCAAATCAACGAACAGCAATTAGTTGTCTTCAGCCCTGATGGTCTAGCGGTATGATTCTCCCTTAGGGTTGTGAACCCACATCTGGGAGAGGTCCCAGGTTCGATCCCTGGTTAGGGCCCTTCCTTTTGCAATTTCTTGATAGTCTTCTTCCGGCCCACTTGAGGCTGTAATTTTTCCACCTTTGCTTTGCGCCCTTTTTGTCGGCCAATAATCGCGCGTATAAAGAAGAGCCTCTGAGTGGCCATGCCGACCGACTCTCTGTAGAAAACGGCTGCCATTGCAGAATCGTAGGTAGGACATTGTCATCCGGTCGCAAGAGCGCCTTACTATGTAAGCCTCGACGGTTGGGGCACCCTGTTTGAAATCGCCCGTCGGTCACTAACGGATATAACGGCTCTTGAGTCAGTTGAACTGACTCGTGAAACCTTTCCCGAGAACCATTTGTGTGGCCAACATCGCAGTGTGGCCAATTCCGGCTGGACCACAATATTCTGTTGTCACACGACGGATCTTGTTCCCCTCTACGGTACCCGTTGGGGGCGGAGTTGGAGGGAAGTTTGCTGTGATTTGACGAGCGGCGGGGGATGCCAAGGATACTGTGAACCTGACCTAGCTAATTTCCCTGGATAGCGATCCGAGAAGTCTTATGCGAGGGCCACGGTCGGGTTCGAGCGTGCCGTTCGTCCCACCCCTAGATACACAATATGTGTTTTAACCGCCTACGTGCGTATGCGAGCTAGGATGCTGATTTCCCGCCGACTTCTATCCAAACGATGATAAGGATGTTGATCGTGTCACTGCCGAGCAGTGGGCGTAAATATATTATGCTCTAATTAGAGTTGGCATGATCTCTCAAAGTTCCTTTCATCTCAAGAAAGGTCGCGAGCTTTAGACAAGGTACCCATGGTGTTGTATGTTGGGGGCATAAACTAAGGGAAATTGGGGGCATTTTAGTTTCAGTCCATAGTCGCTCACTTTGCGCACAATGACCATTTTATAGACGAATGCTAACCGTCCAAGAGTCTTCAGATCATTTCGAAGCAGTCAGTCTGAGTTTCGAGAGACGGGCGAAAGAATCATGATTCTGTTTAAGCCTAAATCGATGGCGGAAACACAGGAGTACCTGAGGTCTTATGCGACTATATTTCCGGAGTACAAAGCGGACGAGCTTGATATTTTGTGCTGTTATATGGCTGTAGAAGTGTAGCTACAGAGTGATGAATCTGTATGGCATATCATTCCACGGCAAAGTTGAAATGTCTCAAAATACTCGGCCCTAGTTATGTCGCTAACATCTGTAATAGAATTGAAGCGTTTGAGCTAAGGACCAGATTGCATATCCAATGCAACAGACCACGACTCACAGTCTCCATGAAGCTGTAGCTTTCTGTGGGTGACTTACAAGAGGTTTGAATGAAAGTCGGACTTTTGAGATGCATAGATCCGAAGGTGGAGAGTAGTACCGACACATGTGAAATATCAAGCCCTATAAAGCCGCTACCCTGAGAGCTGTCATATAGGAATGTATATTCTTCATACAACATTCGAGCATCAAACAGATATGTATGGGAATGAGTGGACTCAATCTCAGAAGATGCTGCATGATCTGAAATATCAACGAAAACCCAGAACCGAACATCGCTTCTTACAGCACCATATCGATGTTTTGCTTACTCATTGTCATGAACTCGGTGACACAATACCTTAAAAGAGGTGCACGATATTCTCTACGCATTCGCCATAGATAGGAAATAACTGATTAGGTTTCTCTGATTCATTGTCATTGCACAGCACCTCTTTATTGGTTGGTGGTAATTTTCCTGCAGTGGATGTTCAAGTCCACCAGAGACTTGTTTGAACTATGCGATTAGACCAGTATAATGTGTGCATGCCTTGATGTCGACTCGCGCTACCTCGATGTACCTACATGAATCGTGTCACTGTCTCAACTCTCCCTTCCCCCACATGCTCGAGACAGGAGGAATTATGCCCAGCACGCCAAGCCATTCGATTTTATGAATCATTCTCAAGCATTGATTGGTCTCTGATTGCATATCCAGGACACTGAGGTCTCAGTGAAGATTGGCGGCTATTTTGGACGCAGCGCCAACCTGAGCAGGCAGAAAAGAGGTTCATTGTTTTGACAAGAACTATGGATGTCATGAGCCTAGTACATATATACCTGTCATTTTTCTATGATAGAGATACAGTTGATGTAACATTGAGCATTATAGATCCTGTGTAAACATAATTTTAACGAAGGCCACTTGATGGCTCCCAAATTACTGCTGCTGGGTATGCCAGAGCATGATTACCTAGGCTTTATCGAGAGGTATCTAATGAGAAGGTTAATTATAGTTATATTGAATCTAGGCTGTTCTTGGTGTAAATCTTGGGAATGTGTCACGAGATGATCTTATCTGATATAATACACTATTAAATTCTGCACATGATGAACAGGATCGTGTTGGCGACAGTAGTCATTGCTTTTCCTGCCGTCTTGGAAATATATAGACTCTTTGTGGTTGATTAGCTCACACATACGATATGATTGATTCTTTTAAGGCCTTGGCTAGCTTGGGGTCTTGGCTAATTTGAGGCTTAGACTGGTTTGAGGCATTTTGGCTCAAGGTTCAATCTATCGTCATCTACAAAAGCCTTACTGTTGGGCACGTGTTTTCTGCAATATGAAACCCAAAAACCCCTGCAACTGACCTGCCCCCCCTTGATTCACCCATTAGATACGCAGCCCCCTGTTATAGTCACTATTTCTGTAACGGCTAGGAGACTGTAGGTTTCAAAATACCGGCCTCGATAGTGAGTGTTATCTCTAGAGGTGTCTGGCTCAAATACCCAGGTTGACGTTCTGAAAAACGAGAGGGCATGATTATACCACAATATTAATAAATTAACGGCTTGATTAATAGTGGCTCACGTGGTTCTTGCAACATCTGTCTACCTTGTGCCACGGCTGGCGCACAAGGCCAGGGAGAATGACCCTTGCACCGACATCAATCGCGCTAACCTGCGACCCGGCCTGGTTCATCTATCAATCAAAAGATATTAGTAGTGATACTTGTTCCCAAGTTCTGATTATCGAAACTCGGGAAGTTCATGTTTCTCAGACTTTCGTTCATTACAGTCATTCGTTTCCATCATTCGTTTCCATCATTCGTTTCGATCATTCGTTTTTTTTTTTTCCCTTCATAATGCAGTCTAAAGCTTTGTCTGCCGTAGCTCTTAGTCTTGCACTTATCCCCTTTGTCGCAGCCGACGCAACAATCATCATCAACGCCAATTCTAACAACGGTGTATGGGAAGGCTGGGGGACCTCTCTTGCGTGGTGGGCACAAGCTTTTGGAGACCGCGATGACCTCGCCGACATCTTCTTTACCACCAATACCGTCAACTTCAACAGCGTGGATCTCCCAGGTCTCGGCTTCAACATTGTCCGCTACAACGCTGGTGGTTGTAGCACAACGCAGGTGGGCAGTGAAGGCATGGTACCTTCCTGGAGAATAAAGCCCTCGAGGCAAGTCACTGGTTATTGGGTCGATTGGTTCAGCAGCGACCCGGCTTCAAGCAGCTGGAACTGGAATAACGACTTAAAACAACGTACCATGATGCAGAAGGCCCATGACCGCGGCGCTAATAAATTCGAGCTCTTCTCTAACTCACCCATGTGGTGGATGCTCTACAACCACAACCCGTCCGGATCCGACGAAAGCGACGAAAATATCCAATCATGGAACGTTGCAACGCACGCTGTGTACTTGGCAACTATTGCTCGATATGCAAAAGATAACTGGAACATTACTTTTGAGTCAGTTGAGCCGTTTAATGAGCCTTCGGCAGACTGGTGGAAGGCAGATGGCACGCAGGAGGGTTGCCATATCAGCTGGGAGACGCAAAACAGTATGATTGGCTCCCTACGATCACAGCTTAACGACCGTGGACTGCAAGCCACTTTTATCTCTACATCAGACGAGAACACCTACGATCAGGCTGTCAAGACCCTTGAGGGGCTGAGTGGTGATGCACTTGCGCAGACTGGGGGGATTAACGTTCATGGATACCAGTATGGCGATGGCGATCGGAGCGGGGTCCTCAAGATCGCCGTAGATCGCGCTTTACGGTTATGGAACAGCGAGTACGCCGAGAGCGACAGCACAGGCGAGGCCCTCGCTAGCAACCTCATCCTCGACTTCCGGTGGCTGAGGCCAACAGGCTGGGTGTACTGGCAGGTCCTTGATGGTGGAGGCTGGGGTGTTATCGAGGCTGACAATGATGAGGGCACGATGGGAGGCGCAAATCAGAAATACTTTGTGCTGGCGCAGTTTGCGCGCCATATTCGCCAAGGCATGCTGATTCTGGATGGTGGCGCTGATAACGTTGTTGCAGCATACGACAGTGCTAATTCGAAGCTGGTGATTGTTGCAGTCAACTGGGGCGGTTCGCAGAACCTTGAGTTTGACTTAAGCCAATTCACTCAGGCCTCAACAGATGGTGCTGTAGTCACGCGTTGGAGAACAATGATTGGGTCGGGAGACCGGTATATACAGTCTTCTGAGGTGAAGATGGTTGGAACCAAGTTTTCAGCGCCCTTTGAACAGAACATGGTACAGACTTTTGAAGTCGGCAATGTTAAGATATAGTGTATACGGGATCACCCCCCGCTTGGCAGCTAGATATTCGTCAAGTACTTGGTAATTAGATTTGATTCTCGCCAAGCATTTGGGCTGATTTGACTTTGGACTTATCGAAACCCATCAAAGTTGGCAGGGCGCTGTGCCGGTCGTTCTGTTTCTAGAGCAAGCCCAAATGATGGACACGCATGCAGAAAGTATAACTTACGGGGTCTTCTCAGGCCGGAAACGTAAAACATAACGTTATGAACACGGAATCGGACCTGTGGCATTAGCGATGGGAGGGTACGTGCTCGAGCTGTTCAACCCGGGTGATATAGGACGCCTCGGTGTTGGTGTTACAACGAGTCACAAGAAATCACTGAGTGTTGTAAGAATATGGTAGCCCAGTGTTTAAGCCGACCCTTGCTTTTTGGCGAACACATAATCCAACCACTGTATCGAGTTGAGCAAGACAGAGGAGCTCTCCATTGACTTTTCCCATTAGTCACTTCGGCTTTGGTAATAAAGCGTCCGCTAATCACACGTTGACCTGGTAAGAAAATCCGGGATGAAAAGATATTAGCCAGCTTCAAGCCCAGCAACAGCCACAAGCATTGCAGCAGCCAACTGCATAATTTTGGGTACTTCTGGATGAGCAAAGATCTAACTGATGTACGATGACCAGAAAAGGCGCTAATTTTTGTGGTTATACCCACCCTGATTGGTGGGCTGATTCTTAAGCCTGCACACCGACCATGCCACATGAGACAGCGTAGGTTTCTGACAAACACGAATATGTATGACTACAAATTGTCTCCAGGTTCCATGGCTAAAAGGTCCAGCGCAACCCATGACCATCGCAACTCATAATGGGTAAAGATATAGGCTGAGGGACAAGGTGATAGCTTCGCCGTTGTGTGGATTTAGAACTGTACTTGCGACTTCGCAGCCGAGGCTACAGAGTGGAACCACACCAATAATCGACGGACGTCAGAGGTTGAATGGAGAGATGGCAATATTATCTTCCTTGTCTTGTTCAGATTGTAGCATTGAGAAAGTTTCATTCGACCTGAGCCTAGCTTTAACTTCAAGTTTACAGGAGTAATACGAGGTGAGAAACGAGAAATTGAAGACTCCTTAAGCCCTCTGTCATGAGTTGTGAGAGCTGACTTGCACAAGTGATTCACCAAGCCAATCGGTTAAAGTCGTATACCCGCAACTCTCAACGTCTCAGGCGGCAGGCTTCGGCACTGGCGGGTTTTGTCCGCGGCCATAATAATTGGTGGTCTAAGCTTCAAACAGATGCAGTCTCCCATGGAAATATTCGGAGAAATCGGGGCTGTGCTGGAAAACTCGGCATAGAGCTGCCTTCCGGCGGCAAGGGCAGACAATCCAGTGTTTAGACTACTGGTCACGGACCTAAGATGATGTTTACAGTACTGAAATCAAATAAAATATCTGGGATGTTGCTTTCATGTCCAGGCAGGCTCATTACTCATCCGATTTCTTGCAACGCGGGTCTCTCGGGAGCGATTCCGTCCCCGAGCTAACGTGCGTGCATACTCTATGAGAGAAGGGATGGCAGTCTAACATGGGACCAGATGAACACCGCTGTTCTTCTGACTTGAACCAAGCTCCTACTTTTGTGGAATTCCGCACATTGTCTCTATTTTCCCACGGAGGTTAGGAACGCCATTTTGCCCATCCTTGCGGCTATCGGTATCGCCGCCTGGCAGCTTGAGTACTCAGAGGAGTAAGGACTCAGAAACCATTACCCCCTTTTCCTAATACACTTGGGTCAAGTAATTTGAGTAGTACCCTCATCAAGGGGATTGCCTTTTTATAAATAAAATGAAATCCCATCAGACATTCGGCCTCAGAGCCAGAAGCCACACAAATGAGAACCAAACTTCTTGATTGAATTAGGCACGTTGTTTTCATTCACCTTCACGGAAAGTCCTTGCTTGAATCAAAATAAATCGTCTCATTTTCATTTTCTTTTGTTGACCCTTCATCCTGCCACCGAGAACCATATTTACAACCTCCAGCCTGACTATATTTACTCCGGCATTATGAAGGCAGTCTCAGTTTTTCTCTTTGCCAGCCTTGCTGCTGCAGCTGTCATTGAATCTGGCCTGCTTGCTTCCAGGGACAATTTTGCACGACATCTTGGGTCTATTACAGACAGCTCTATGATTGTTGAAAGAGATAACGATGATTCTGCTTTTGAAGACTTTTCCCTCAGTGAGAGAGACGAGATAGACGACCTTGTCGCAAGGAACGCTGGGGCTATAAGATCACTTAGGGAATCCGTGCTGCTTCAAGCTAGAGATGAGACAGTTGGTATGGACTCTAAGATGTTTAGAGTACACTGGATTTTGACCTGCTAACCCAGCCGCAGGAGGAGGAGAAAACGACGACAGTGGAAAGGCTTCTGATGGCAAGAAGAACAACGGCGGCAAAGCGGATGGAAAGGCCACCGATGGGAAGAAGAATAACGGCAAAGCGGATGGAAAAGCCACTGATGGAAAGAAGAACAACGGCAAAGCAGATGGAAAGGCCACCGATGGGAAGAAGAACAACGGCAAAGCGGATGGAAAGGCCACCGATGGAAAGAAGAACAACGGTAAAGCAGATGGAAAAGCCACTGATGGAAAGAAGAACAACGGCGGCAAAGCGGATGGAAAGGCCACCGATGGTAAGAAGAAGAACAACGGAGCTGCAGCCGACGATGGGAAATCAAAGAAAAACGACGGCAAGAAGGGGAAGAAGGATGGCGAGAGTGGCAAGAAGGACAATTCGTCTTCTGGCGCTGGTGCCGCAGCTGCTGGGGCGGCTTGAACAACGATTTTCCTACGCCCCTGAGGATAAGGGAGCTGAAGTGTGTACACACCAAAGTGCGTAGCCAAGGTTCCCTGTTTGAGAGACTTGATATAGATTGAATGAATTTACCGGCACATTGCGACCCAGTTATGAGATTGGAATATCAAAACTCAGACCGTGATTGGCTATGAATACGAATGGCATGGCTTGCTCTAATGGTCGGACGGGTGGCCGCAGAAGAAGATGCGAGGGATGCATGGTAAGTATGAGATATCTTCGTGATAATTGCCTCTGTAATAAGCCAAGCATTTCACTGAAAAGCCGCTAGCAATCATTGATAGGAAAAGAAAAAAGAAAACCGCTACACCTAATCGCAGTTGTGGGACCTCGCGGCTCGCGACCCGCAGCTTCGAATCCGAGAGCCCCCGTATAGCTAGGCTGGCAGGGCCCGTCGTTCGTTTTCCCAAGTTCCTGCAGATGCCAAGCAATATAATGAGGCGGCCTTCACACTAAAATGGTCTCTATATCCTAGAAAACCTTTAGCGGCCTGGCTACTTTCTTATCTTACACCAGTTACACATACCTGCAGTGAGGCCAGAAGCTGCCATCCCAACCCCTCAGCCTTGGTTGGTTCCTCAACATACTTACCAAACTCTTAATAGACTAGTTGACTGTGACAGTACAGTAAGACAGGTGTTAACTTGGTATTCTAAATTGACGCTGGGTTATAGGCGGGTGAAGCGGGATATGCCCTGCCATGGGATGATAAATGCCTAGGACCCTGACATAAGCTGGACGAATAGTGTTTGGAGAACTTTACTCAATGCCATCAACTTACTCTCTTGAGATCATAATACACACAAGAAAAAGATGCGGTACTTTTCTCGTAATCTTTCCTGTAGCCTCTTCTACCAGGAAGAGGGGGATTCGGGGACCCCAAATCTACGCACACCGTCCTACTGATCACAAGACTGTCTTGTGAAACAAACGCCTGGATCTTGCAGATCCTGTTTATCTTCGAAGATTAGTCTACTTCAGCTAACAGATTTGCGACCAGTTCAGGGAGGCGTTTTCCAACGGGACCGCGTGACACTACTCTGGCTAGCTCTGGAAATAGTGAATACCCCGCGGAGCAAGGGTACAATCCTTGGACCCCTTGTCCGCAAGGTTGTCAATTTAAGGAAAGCATTCGACCTCTTAGTTCGTTACGAGTGAGAGAAACCAACGTTGACTAAGACCCCATTAGAAGAGGTTATGGAACTGCTGCGAGTCGGCGCCAAGCTAGGCAAAAATCTCGGTGCAACGGTCAACTTCCTTTGTTTCCCCAGTGTTTCCACCGGTAATCGACAAGAGCGAGCGGTATTCAATGGGCTTTTCATTCTATCCGTCAAGGCATCAGTAAGTATTGCCAGGATCTACTACCGTGCTCTCAGAACCTACCTTATCGAGCGAATCATAGAACTTCTCAGCTGGACCAGAGAGGCTGATACGAAGGTCGACGGAGTGATCGAGCAGCTATCATCCAGGTCTAATGGCATCACAGTCATTGGAAACATTATTGAAGACATCATTGATAACATACAAATTGTTCTCGATTGGAGTGTAGAAAACAGACTATGGCGGACGGCACGGCTTCACGCACCATGATGGTGTTTTGGCCAATGGCAATGACTCGGTCGTCCATCTTCACAGGTCCTCAAAATGGAAGGCCACTTGCAGAGACGATGATCGAGCCGAGTTACAACGATGGTTTCGGGCTCGGGTTGCAGGTAAGGCAAAGCACCCACTTTTCGACCACCCCTGCATTTCGACTACCTAAAAATGCCGCCTAGCCACTCTATTAACTACTATACCTAATTTTCTAACTATTACAATAATTTCTATTCTTTATTAATCTATATTATTTTTTTAGGATCCCTTTTTTATTATATAATAAAGTAGTATACTAAAAATAAGGTTATTCTAGCACTTAAGGATATTAAAAATAGCCTATCTACTTAGGCTACTGCTAGCTAATAGGGTATACTATAATTAACACTTCTAAGCTATAGAAAAGGCCACTAACGACAGCAAGATATATTTAAAGACCTTTAGAGGCTCTCTATAAGCTAGGAGGCTAGCCTAGCTACTTAGGTAACTGCCTAGGTAGACCTTAGGCTACTACTAACCTATTAATAACTAAAGGACTTTACCTATTATATCCTCTAAGCTATAGGGAATACTTAGCCTCTAGGTAAAAGGTAAGTAAATAGCTTTATTTAAAAGAACCTATCTATTAAGGTCTAAAGAAGTTAATTTATTAATTTAAAGTGTATTAATAAAGTATTTACTAAGGTTATTAAGGACTAGTTTAAATATTTTATTATACCTTATATTATTATTATTAAACTAGCTAATAAATATAATATAGATAAGACTAGTATCCTTAAAGGTAAAGAAGATAATAGGCTAATATTAAGTAAAGCTATAATAAAGGTAGTAAGGAAAAAGTAGCCTAGATTATAAGCCTAGGTATTTATTATTAAGTATATATTTACTAAAGGTATTCTTATTTATCCCTTAGTTATATATAAAGGTAAAAGTATTTAATAATAGTAATTCCCTTTAGATCTAGGCCTATATAATAGGTAGTAATTTATAGTAATAAATAATAAATAAACTACTAATACTACTACTATTAAATAGCTAAAAAAAGTCTTTTTACTATAGACTAAGCCTTTTTAACCTAATTAGGCTAGACTACTTATTCTAGATAAATATAAAAGCTATATAATAATAGACTTTATATAGTTATACTATATAAATAATATTTATTTTTTATTTTTATTACTATATACTTCTTATATCTTTTAGCCTTTTAACTAAGTAGTCTTTAGTCTTATTAAGGTAGCTTATTAAAAAAAGCTTAAATACCTTATATAGTAAAATAATTTAACTATTATTAGTAAAAAAAACTTTATATTATATTATTAGAAGGCTTACTAGGCTAAATTAACTACTAGTAATATTAAAAGTAGCTAAAAATACACTAGGTTATAGCTTATTACCTTTATAAAGCCTCTAATAAGCTTTTATTTATTACTAGATAAGCTAGCCTTATTAATACTACTTAATAAGGGCATAGATAGTGCTTATAATAGTAAAAGTACCTAGGATATAGAGGATTAGCTATCTACTTTATTAGTAGTTAGGTAGTTAACGCCTAGAAAGAGGAGAAAGCTAGATGCCTAGCTATAACTGTTTAGCTAGCTAGATTAAACTATTACTATATAACGCTAGCTCTTTAGAAAGGTAAAAAAAGGCTTCTAAGAGTAGGCCTTAAAGTTAGCTACTGCTAAGCACTAGATATAGCTCCTCTAAGCCTAAGTTACTAATAGTAACCTAAAGAAGAGGAAGGCTATTGCCCTAGATCTAAACATAAAGTTTATAATAATTAAAGAGGTACAGTAAGCCTAGATTAAGGCTAGCAATATTAAAAGTACGCTAGATAAATCTGGCGCATTAGATATACCTAGTGAGGCCAAAAGCTGTATTATTGTGGCATTAAGAGGTCATAGATAGTTAATTGAATAAAGTGGTGGTGGTTGTGATGGCTTCATTTTTGGGTGGTCGAAATGCAGGGGTGGTCGAAAAGTGGGTGCTTTGCCTTAGCGATTATGTGGGCTTGAATGCATGCAGCGGCACTCGAAATCGATGCTTTATTTTAGTTATTAATTTGCGAATAAGAGATGGGTGGATGTATGCGAGTTACGCCGCACATCCGGATAATATACAACCTCCAAGATTCCCCATCAAAACATATGAACATGGCAGTTTTCCTTGCCAAAGATCTTTGTACTTAGCTTTTGCCGACTCCAGCTAGTAGTCGATCAAATACCCTGGACCATTCTGGCACAAGCAGAACACGCCTCTTACAAAACGTCGTTCCCCGAAATCGCAGCCTTGCGAAGTATAGACAAGCAGCTGGACGATCATATGCTAAACGATCCTCGCATCGCTCGTACATTGCCACCGCCTGAGTGGGATGTCAGCTCAAGATCACTCTGGTCGCTGCCGAGTGCCTTTGTGTGCCCGTAACGGCCATACCTGAAGCGGTCTTGTTGATCGCCTCGGGACACATCGGTTCTGACGGCGCCATGCAAGCCTTCTTCACCGTAGCTGCCAAGCCGGACCCGGGAGCGGCCGCGCATGTCCTTCCACTCTTGTTTGAAAACCGTCCAACTGGTCATGAAAAAGATAACGGCGTTCCAGACTCCTTGTAACGGCAAGACCGTGGCGCTGGCGACGTTCATACCAAAGTTGGACTCGTCGCGGTTGACCATGTTATATATTCGATTGATGGAGCTTGGCGTCCAAGTCACTAGTACGGAAATGGTGAAGATGAAGCTGGTTCGAAGATATGCAAGCTTCACCGGATCCAGGCGCTCCAGCCTACTGGAGAACTTCGCTGAAACGGCCCCGATCTTTTGGAAGATGGAACGTTGTGCCTTTGGCGGAGGAGGGTTGGATGTACAAGTGGTTTCGAAGCGTGGACTCGGTGGGCCATCATCTTCGCTCGTTCGCCATGATTGCTGGTGTCGGGGCTGCTCGTCTGCTGCTCCTTTCACGATGGCCGTGGGGGGCAAGTAGGCAGTCCACGGTCTTGGGGTCATTGTGGTTATCTCCACCTCCGTTACGGCGGTACCATAAAACTCGGTGCGGCTTGCGAGGTTCTGATGGGTGTCAACGAGGGGACAGTCATCACGGGTGCCTTGGCGCGATAGGTCGGATACCTTTTCAGCAGAATCGCGCTCGCCCGAGCGATTCGTACCTCTGGTACCACGCTCGGCGTTGCTGAATGTGAGATTGTGAAGTTGATTGCGATGATGAAAAACGTGGTAGCCGACGGCGAAGTAAATGACACAGGAGCCGATAGAGCAAAACCAAATGGGTATATAGTATGTGAATATACGGAGATCTGCCCATCTCCTGTTTATCCAGCACCACAACTAGACCAAGTTAGTACTTGTCCCCAAAGCGACTTGTCGGTATCAAGCTGAAGTTTACGTACTGTCGCGTCGCCATAGATATAGTCAGTCGGGGAGTTGGGGCGGAGGAAGAGACAAATCAGAGCGGGAATCAGTGGGAAGCCAAAGCAGACAACACAGTAGACCCAGAGATAACGACGAAAGGAGGAGGGGCTAGCGCCGGCGAAGAAGACGAGGTAGACGTTAACGGCCATGGCGAAAGACCACCATGGATCGGACTGCATGAACCTGTCGAGAATAGTCGTCAGCGGGGGTATAGAAGGATACAGAAACGGGGAAAAGCACATTTCAAGCAAGAATGCTTGGGTCTGGCACAAAGCAGACTGGGGCCCTAGGTCAAGTCCATCATAACCGATGGCGCAGGCCACGCTCGCGCCGACGTTGGCGATAGAGGCGAAGACAATAAACAGGTTCGGTACGCTTCGAATGCGCTTGAACTTCCAGTAGGTCAAGAAGATCAAGGTCACGCCAATCAGTGACAACGTAGCCCCGACTCGTTCAAGACCGGACACAACTTTGATCTCGTACTGGCTAAGAACCGTGGCATTAACCGTGGCCATGGCTTGGAATCAGACCTGTCGAGCCAAGGTGATTTAGAAAATATAGTGATGAGCAGAATATGGGTATAAAAACTCGACAAAAGTGCGCTGTAAAAGAAGGTCAGGGCTATTCATTCTGGCGTGTTGTGCAATGAAGGGCAGGATGTGTGGGAAGAAGTAATAACAATCACCCACCTCGGTATCCCGGAATCTGGAATACAGGCCGGAAAGCACCAAGACTCGACCAAGCCAGTGTATATCAAGTAGGCCCGAAAGGAGAGTCGTAGAGGCCCGTTGGGTCTGGCGGTGGTCGTGACACAAACAGCCAATGTGGTACAAACGAGGTCTAGATACTTTTTCGAGCTGGAGTGACGAAAAAAGAAGCAAAGCCTCAAAAGATAGCTGCTGGGAGGCTCGGGGCAGGCTTCTAAGGCTCAAAGCCCAGATCAGAATGGCATGTGGCTAAGCGGCAAGTTTGTACGACAAGCCGCTGGCCTCTGTAATGTGGGAGAGACCGGGTGTTGGAGGACGTGTCGATGATGGAGGCGTATGCGAGAGAAGGTGAAGAAAGGGAGGCAGGAACAAATGGCAGATAAGGCCGTGTATTAATCGCAGGTAGCCCAAGCTGATAGCCATAGAATGCCGAGAAGCTGCATGACAGAGAAGGCTGTCGTCGGGACGAGGGAGGAGACACTGCGAAGCATGGAGGAGGTTACACGGACGAGAACGGTCGAAGTGGAGGCTGCATGGACAAAAAGCGCGAGCTGTCGATGGCGACTGGGGTCCGGATGGAGGCGATGTTCCTGCGAGGCGCCACGGGATTTCGACCAGGGGGTAGAGGAGGTGTATAGTCGACAAAGGTGTACACTGGACGGAAAAGAGGCGTTGCAGATTGAAAAGAGGCAGGAAGTCGGAAGTTGGCAGGGCTCTCCGGCTCGAGCCAGGCAGCGGAAGGCGCCAACTCAACAACGCCCTTTTCTTGATTAGTACCAGCAGCAATACAGAGAGAGTGTGGCTTACTGGGCGATACCGATACTGAAGGAAGACTCGACGATCTGTTGGGTGCGTCGAGGTCCCAGGACAAGAAGTTTGTCCAGAAGGGGGGGCGGAGAATGGACCCAGACGATCGAGAAAAGATTGATGAAGGCAGGGACAAGTTCCAGAGGTAAATTTCTATGAGATGAAGTCAAAACAGAGCACTGTGGAGAAGATGGCTCGGAGGAGAAGGCACGGTAGAGAGAGAGGTGGAATGGGGGGAGGAAGCGGAAGTGGAGAAGCAGGAGGGAAGGAGGAAACTGACCCAATCCACCCAGATATGCTTGGCAAGTACGGCAACGGTCTATGTGATTTTTTTTTCCCTCGTGAGAGAACCCAAATAAGGCATGGCAAGCCAGATCACAGCTTGGCAAGACAGGGCAAGTGACCGGGTCCCAAGTCAAACCGATGGGCAAGGCGTTGGTTGTCAGACGTCTCCATTGAGGGGAGGAGTACGTGGGATATGGGAAAATGCAGGGTGCCTACCTATGTACCTAGAAGTGCGAGAATAGCATACCTATATGGTACCTGGGTAGGTACGAAGCTTATGGGAATGACGAGTCGGCATGGGGACGTACGTGGCGGGCACACAAGATGTATTGTAGGTAGGTTGGCAATACCTCGAGCACAGTGAGGCAATCAAAGGCCAAGCCATGTATGGCCTCCACCCTCCCCGCGATCATGACTGCCAAACCGTACCGGGAAACGAGCAGATGGAGAGGGCACAGTCACCAATCAGGCCTGACGGTTGGGCAGTCGTGAATTTGCGCCACACACCTCGATGCAGATCGATGCGATTCTCTTCTCTGCAGGGCAGGGCTGGGCGTTGTGGTATCCGGCTAGACATGATCAGCCCAAACAAAGGAACCCTGGTCGAGGGAGGCGGGCGGATATTGCTTTCACGGGATGTCGGCTGAGATGCAACGAGGATGAAGAGGATGAACGTTACCGGGCGAGAAGATGGTAAGGAGTTACAGTTAGAGGGAGTTCCGACTTCTCGGTAACGTAACTACCTACCTAGGTAGTTAGATCAACAAAGGAGACAGAAACTGATCTCATGGACAAGCGGCTTGGCTTGAAGAGGACAAGTAGATGGATGCCTCTCCTGCGTGCAGGAGATGGCGTGTCTTACTCATCCGACCCAACGTCGTGCCGGATGTCAAGCCTACTTCCAGGCAACAATCTGATTCTACGTTGGATATGGTTTTCCGAAAACATTGGCTGCAATTGCCCACCTGGACCTCGACCCAACTGATCCTCGCTCGGTCTATCGAGTAGACAGACGCAGTCTGGAGCAGACCGACCGACCAACTCTGTCCCCTACCCAGTGTAAGTATATACTTCTGCATACAGACAGATACCTAGGCAGGTAGGTGATAGTCAGCAACCAAGTGTTGGGGAGGGAACGAAAAGCTGGTGATTAGGTAGGCAGGTAGGTAGGTAGGTAGGGAGCCAAACAGGGAGGGATGCAAAGGAAATGAGGGGGGGAAGGAACGTCGTACAGATGTAATATTCTCGGAAGGCGTGTTTGCCTGCCCGTACCTTCTGCTTCGCAAGTTCCCTCTGTACCCCACGCGCCGCCTTCCCCATCGGATACCAGACGTGCAGGAAATATGTAATAACCTATGTAGGTGGGCAGGTACTTACCTAACCTTAGGTACCTAGGTACCTACCTCGCATGCCTCATGCTTCGACCGATCTGCCTTGCTGCCGTTGCTTCTCCACATCTCTTCTCCCTCGGAACATCAACCGTCAAAAACTCCTCAGTCCAATGTCGAGGCAAAGTCGGACACGAACGACAGGAAGTCGATTGCCCTGCCCTGTGAGGTGGCGGTGGTGATGTGATAGGCCCCCTGCAGATGGCTGCCTCTGACCGCCAATCCTTAAGGCCGATACATCGAAGCCGCCTGCATTCACTTGCCAATCTGACTGGCTGCCACATCATCAACTCGTCGTCCGTCATTCGCAGTGCTCACTTCCCATAGGCATCCGCCCAAGCAGTCCGCCGTCTTTTCGGTCGAATCATGGACGTGCTCCAATGCAGCCCGGAGGCGTCGACGAACACGGTACTTTTTTGTGACGTAGTTTGCTGGTTTCCCTATCCCCAAGGCACTACCGGTTTGCCGGGAGCCTTGCGAGCGTCTTCGGTCGGCGGTTTGTCTCTGACATGGATGTAGAGATTTTTGTCGACGAGCTGCAGAGGATGGCCCCCTTCCCCCCGACAGGAGCTGTTTTGTGCCCTATTTGATTCGCGGATAAAAGGGTGACTGAGCTGACGGCAGCAAACGACAGCGCCATGCATCTCGCACTCTAGTTGGACGCGAAGGTGTGAGACGCGCTGTTTGCTCCCGTCGCTGCGCCGTTGGCACTAACCCTCCTCTCCATCTCATCTGCAGTCCAATGGCTGCCGGCGTCGATAGAAATCAGCATGTTTGTGACCCGACTTTCGCATGTCGCATCGCCGTAGTCCATGCTGCCAGTCTCTGATGGGCATTCGAGTGCCTGTTGTCCAACATACCTAGTTCATCTCAATTACTGCATGCAGGCTCTCCTGATTATCCTGGCCCCAGCTGCGGCACAGACAAACAGACAATGCAGATACGCTGTAAGCCAGGCAAAACAGTCGATGCAGCACTGAGGGGGCCGCCATGGAAAACGGTTCCAGCTTCCGACTCGAGTGTCTTGGCTAATTGATTTGATCGATTTTTTTTATTTCAGGCCAGCATGTCAAGTCAGGCCAGGACGATGAAACGGCTCGTGTTCTTGACGGTTGGCGATGGAGAAGATCATCGCTTGGATTGGAGTCTCCCAAGCCCCTGTTCAATGGCCTATCGATCCGGTTCATGCGTGCGTTTGTCTCGATTGAAATTAAACAATATTGGATAGTCTCATCTAATTCCACTCAGAACTTGCCCCATATACGCCATCCTTGTAGGTGTACCCCGATCTCTCCCGCTTCGCGATCGAGTGGACCTGAACCCCACGGGGCATGCCTCGCAAGGGCAATATTTCTGCTGCCCCCAGGTCTTGACCGATAATACCCTGGCACATTCTCCGCTAACAGACTTACAAATCTGGAGAAATATGCTTGGCTTAGTCTCTTGGGCTCGCCTCGTTTCGAAGACGTTAGAACTCTCTGCCGCCGCTGGATAGCTGTCATTTGACGCAAAGTCTGTCACGAGAACCTCGCACGATTCTCTGGGATCAAGTATCTATTCCCATAATTACACTGCTGTGAGCTCTAGCCTGTGACAGATATGTAGCCAGAAGTGATGTGTCCCTCACATATCGAGACCTGCTTTCAGCACTCGGAGGCGCCGAAATTGATGTGCCGATGCATTTCCCGTCATCTTGTTCGATCCAGGGTTGGCCATATGATCGTTGCCAAATGCTGGCCTCCTATATCGAGTCATCAACCTCCGTGACATGGCTGCAGCTGTGCACTTGCCGCGTCCTTCGTCAAGCTGGCCACGCAATGGCGCAATCCCTCGCTTTACCGGCTTCGTTCCCCGCTTGCCGCGCGGTCCCAGAGAGGCGACGCCACGCTGGAATGAGATGATCTAATACTTTGCAAGCTTGAGGGGCGTCTGGATGGTAGTCTCGTCCCTGCCACTGATGCCGGGTCTCTTCCCCCTGAGGCGGATATCGTCATATTCCGCTTAACTGCCGCTTTATACTGCCAATCCCATCAAGCATGATATGAGCTACATTGATAAATTTCAACTATTGGTAGCTTTTGCTAATCTTTGACTTCGTTCAGGAGGAAGCAGTGAGCTTGTATGTAGTCTGTGTCGATCTATAAATCATGCCCTGGCTTGTCGCTAATGGAAAGGTTTCGGGATTCGTCGTATTGGCCTGCGCCCCCAACTCTCGCGTCGAATGTCATACAAGAGAAGAATTTGCACACATGGCACTGCGCCCCTGTCAAATTAGCAATCTCCTCAGGTGTCTTGCATCACTGTGCGTGGGAAGCTGAGACGACAGGAAGAGATAACCGAGAGAGTGTGAACGGGCAATTCTAAGAAGAAATAACGAAAATGATAATGGAAGGATATTTTTATTGAAAGAAGAATATATACCTCATCAGAATACCAAAGATGAATAGTACACACAAGAAAAAGCGAGAGTGCGTGCTATATATAGCCAAGTGGCTCGCCTTCATATTGCGCCTTCCTTAATCCCTTGCTATCCGTGTAAGCCGCGAATCCATCCATCGATTCACAACCAGTTCAAGACTCCGCCGGACATGTCTAGTAGACAGCCGGGGCGAGCGAGTTGACGTAGATCTCAAGGTTGGCATACCCACCGGCGCCAATCTTCATACCGTCCGACGCATCGTTGGGGTTCAGACCGTTGGCCATCTCCCACTCGTCGGGGATGCCATCACCGTCAGTGTCCCTCTTGGCCGTGCCGGGCGCGACGGTGCCGACGCCGCCCGCGGAGGCCTCGTCCGAGATGAGCTTGCCGGACTTCCCGTAGGACCGGAGCTCCTTCAGTAGGGCGGCGTCGACGGCATCGCGGGCGATGGAGGCGCCGGCCCTAGCGGAAACGTGAGCCACGGCGTCGGCGGGGGCGAGAAGCCTCGCGGGCGGCGGATAGGCGAAGGGGGCGGTCTGGATGGCGAGGTCGGAGTAGCAGGTAGCGGAGGCGCAGAGGGCGGCGCCGTTGAGCGCCCCGTCGCGGTTCGAGTCGTAGAAGTTGTCCCTGACGTAGCCGCGGAAGTTTGCGTTGCCGCGCGTGAAGGCAGCGACGGAGGTGGAGGGCCCGGATATGAAGTAGTTGTTGATGATGTTGGCGTAGCTCGCGCCGGCCGAGTCCCCCGCGATGTAGCCCCCGCCCGAGCCCCAGTTGTAGACGACGTTGTTCTGGAAGTCGTTCACGCCCTTGACCTTGGGGTTCCGCGTCTTGTTGTCGATGTAGAGGTTGCGGAAGAGGGAGACGCCGCCGTCGGTCTGCATGAGGCCGCCGCAGGAGTGGGTCTCGAGGCCCTGGGCGATGATGGAGTCGGAGACGGTAACGTTCGTGACGTCGCCCGAGATGGAAAAGGTCTCGTCGCGACCCCAGGAGACGGAGACGTGGTCGAAGATGAGGTTCTTGCCGTCGGCGATGGTGATGGCGTCCTTGCCGCTGTCGCCGCCCTTGCCCATGCGGATACGGATGTGGCGGACGATGGCGTTGTTAGCATTGGACCAGGAGAAGCCGTTGCCATAGACGGTAATGCCCTGGGGTAATTTTTTAGTGTTTTAGTTGTGAACTGACGACGTTGGTAGTGGTGGTGTTTCAAGAAGACGGGACTGAGAAAGTGATATAGGCCAGCTTACACCTCCGGGCGCAGTCTGGCCGGCTATGTAGATGTTCTTGGACACTACGATGCGGGAGCTGATTTTGATGACGCCGCCAACGTCGAAGACGACGATGCGGTTCGGCTGGGATACGGCGTCACGAAGTGAGCCCGCACCGGAGTCACTGGGATCCAATGTGTGAGTACGGCTCCTGACACGATCAGGACAGGGGAGAACTTGTGGTACTGACCTAAGGTTGGTGACCTTGTAGACCTTGCCAGTGCGACCGCCGACGGCGTTGCGGCCGAAGCCCTCAGCGCCGGGGAAGGCCAAGGGGACGGCATCGGCGCGGGCGGCGACCTTAGCCGGGGTGGCGTCACCCCAGCCAACGGCCCCGCAGGCCGCCCTGTTTGTTGCTTCTCAGCACAACAACCGAAACCCGTTTCAAACCAGATGATCGTCCAAGCCGCTGAGTGTTCTAGGATGATCGAATGGGGAATACTTACGAAGCATCCTTGCATGGCTGAGCTGCGGCACCCTGGTTGAAGAGGGCGGCTGCGGCCAGGAGAGCTGCTGAAGCCTTCATGATGAGAAACGATACGGAATGTAGAGATATCAACCAGTTTGAAGCCAGCGGGGTGGGTGGTAAGCTAATGGGAAAAGAAACTGATAGTTCGAGACACCCAAGGTGGCCCCGAAAGGCAACGGGACGGAAGGGCACGTGTAACAGTAAGAAGAGATCTCAGAGCCGCGGGAAAGGGAGGAAGCGCATCCAGAACGGACGGGGGTCGTGAATTTGATTTTATAGGCATCGCTTTCATCATGCTGAACATGTCGTCTTCTCGCGATGATGATCCACCGGGACGGGTGGTGTGATTTGGTTCGGGGGGTCGCAATCCCTTCCCTTTCGGCCACGACATAACAAGGATTCAGTTGGTGTCAGCATGTTGCAGTACATTACATGGAAAGGAGTCCAGTGTCGCTGATGCAATGGGGGACTTGCTTGTACGAGGATACTTGATAGGGCATTAGTGAGTGATATTCCACTGTTTCCTCTCCTTTCATTCCCCTAGATGGGATCGACTACATCATCCCGAATTCGTGTAACATTTGTACAACGGAGAACTCCCCCATTTTGGGTGACAAACCCATCTCGGCCAGAGAAGACCAGGGCGATTGGTGGGAATGGCAAGAAATGCGTCCAGCGCGCCGGGAGGAGATGGTGCTCAGATGCTATCCAAAAGGGGCATTACGTGTGGGGAATCCCTGGCGGTTCGTCGTGCTCGCTTGGAGGATGGATATCGAAGGAGGTGGCGACAGGGGCCGGAGGACCGGCGGCCGAGGGTTTTCGAGTTTTTTCAAGTAGATGGTGGCAGTCGGAGAGATGCTTTGGAGGTACCGCCATAGACAGGTGGTGTCTACATGATGCAAATACGAACAAATGGCAGTAAGCAGGGAAAGGAATGAGTATACCTAACTGTATGTGGTATGTGGTTCACTCTGCGTTTCTCAGTCGACTACTCTCCCACTTGCCAGAGGTCATTGTCGAGACTCAGTGCCATGATTCACACGTACTACTACATACGTAAAGGTTTTGCTCCCGTGACTGCAGCATGAAATCATGTGCAAACTCTGTATTTGCATGAGCAACTGGAAATGGCATCGCGCAAAGCAACCGGTTCACAGAGCGATTGGTACGAACCGCTTGCTTCACTTGTGCCCCTATGAAAGCAACATACTTTCAATTAATATTCATCATGTCCTTACTTACCCTGAGTACGATAGAGTAGGCTCATGCTGAGGTGTGTATCAACATCCTGCCCACCCTTTTTGTGTGAATCGAGATGAAGTCGACCTGCCATCCGATCTCACTTAAGATGCTATGGCCAGTCACAGGTGAAGTGGTTGGTACAGTCGTTCCATGTGACTAAGCTTCTCGCTACTAAAGTCTCAGCCGGCAAATGGTCTTTTCGCCGAGATCATGGTCAAATAAGTCGGACCATTCATGCCGGAGGGAAATTTTGGGGACCCGTCTGGCCCAGGCAAGAGTGCAGCGGGCAATTGACCACGAGGTAGGGTATTGGGGCGCCAATGATGAACTACTCCCTGGAGGAGCGCTGAGGGGGCAGTGGCGATGTCGGAGCCCGGGGGCGCACGTTTCGGCAGGTTTGCAGGATGGCGGGCCGTTGAGTGAGTCACGTGGATGATGCTTGAGGCCCTTATTGGTACTCAACGAAGTGGTGTTAAGAGTGAGACAGACAGGTCTTGGAAGCCAACGGCGCGCCGCGGCGAATTGTCGTAGCCGAAGATCTCGGCAAGTCAAATATTCCAGGGTCCCGTGAGGGGCGAGGAGGCCATTGCGCCGCGCCCTGTCCAGGAACGGAACCGAGGGCGCGCCCGTTGAGTGTTTCAGCAGATCTTGGGAGGGGTTGGAACGCAATAACACATAGAAGAGGCCGCGGCACACAAGATTGACTGCTGGAGATTTTGCGGCTGATGGACGCCAACCGTGCCTTGCTGAAGAACCGGTGGGTGTGTTGTAACTCATCACTTGAGATTGCTTGGGTGTTTGTGGTTGGTGAAGATAATTCAACATTGGCGCAGCTCATCAACGATGGATTTCACCCAATCCCACGCTGTATAGTAAGGGGCGATGCATCGGCGCAACATGCAGCGCGCGTCATCCGGCGATTGCCGGTCACAACAAAGGTACCCAAGTACCTAACCCAGACATACCCCTCATCCTCGGCACTCGCCCAGCGGCCAAGTCTCTCTTGACAACCGAACGGTACGTACTGAGAGGCATTGAATACTCGACGAGCAGAACAAATGTCAACAGACTCTCAAGCGAGCACCTGCCTAGGTATCGAGTTTACTATGCAAGTGCCTAGGTATTCAATGGATGCAGACCTTTACATGCCCCCCCCCCTCCCCTACTCCCCGAAGACGGAGATCCGAGATGCTACCGGGGCCTGGAACTGAAGTTCCGCCACTATTGACCCGGTTTTTCTCCGATGCCCCGCTCCTGATCTTTTTCTCCAATCACATCCTGCACTTGGAGTGGATTCCTGCTGACTAACCTCCCCCTCCCACGACCCCAAGCGACCCCTCCCCTCGATGTGCCCAGACGATGTGCGGCACAGAGCGCCGCACCGCACCGCACCGCACTGCACAGCAACACAACACAACGCGACGCCGCTCCGCTCCCCCTCCCCTCTCTTTTTGCTCTCGACTCAACCATTCACTGGCCAGTCGTCTGCCGCCAGCGACAAGGTAGATTGGACTTAAACGAGAGATAATTTACCCTTCCCCCAAAGTCTCGGTCTCATCCGTAACGTTAGTCACGCAACCCGCCAAACTGAAATCCAGACCCTTCCCACTAGCCACACCCTTCTTCCTTCGGCAAACGACCAGAAACTCTTCTTTTTTCGTCGTGTCGTCCCAAACAGAAACAACCCCAACCCAACCCAACCACCACAACCCACCCCGTGCAGTTCCAAAAGCTAAGGAGGAAAGAATCGGAGGAGAGAAAAACAAACAAACAAAGGTACATGCTGTTAGGCACGGCTGCTGTCTCTTTTCCCGCTGCATGACGTATATGGCGCAAGGCTGACACATCTTTTGCCTGGTAGAGCACGACAAGACGGCGTTAACTAGTCCCCGTCTTTCCCCGTCCTCGTCCCCGTCCGTCCCTGTGCTAGGCACCGACCGACCGACCGACCGACCGAACTATAGCCAGCTGCATCTCGGGAAAGATACCATCCTGCCTGCCTATCCTCGCTCAAAACACCATACCACAACTCTTCCCCTCCGCAGGAACCCTCTCGGAGCATCCTCCACCGTCTCCCCCGCCCGCCCGACTCATACACATTGGCTCCCTCAAATCGATCCAATACGCTCCCTACCCGCCGGTACTCTGTCTAAAGATACCTCGCTGAACTCTTGATTCGAGCTGGTTCGCTCCGGCTTCTGTACTCGCAAGCGTCCCGCCCTCCCGATCCCCCCCCCTCCGTCGTCTCGGCACGCCGCGCAACCTCCCCCGCCCCCGCCCCCCGAAACAGCATCACCATGGTCGCCTCCCCCGAGACCATCGAGGCCATGACGCCTCCCGGCTACACTTTCCCCGACCACCGCCTCCGCCTGCAGCAGTCCGAACCCGACCGAGAGCCCCTCGTCCTCGTCGCTCCGGGTTCCTACAGCCCCATCACCTTCCTCCACCTTCGCATGGCCGTCATGGCCGCCGACTACGTCCGCTACAACACAAACTTTGAGCTTATCGGCTCCTACATGTCCCCCGTCTCCGACGCCTACAAGAAGCGCGGCCTGGCCCCCGCCTGCCACCGCCGCCGCATGTGCGAGATCGCCGCCGAGCAGACCTCGCGCTTCCTCATGGTCGACCCCTGGGAGGCCGAGCAGACGGCCTACGTGCCCACCGCCGTCGTCCTCGACCACTTCGAGTACGAGATCAACGTCAAGCGCGGCGGCTGCAACGGCAAACGCGTCAAGATCGCCGTGCTCGCCGGTGCCGATCTGATCAACACCATGAGCCAGCCCGGCGTCTGGTCGCCCTCTGATCTGCGCCACATCCTTGGCGATTTTGGCGCCTTCGTGCTCGAGAGGGCCGGCGTTAACATCGACGAGGCCCTCGGCAACCTGAAGGAGTATGAGGACCAGATCTACTACATCCCGCAAGTCGTCCCCAACGACGTGTCAAGCACTAAGATTCGCTTGCTGTTGAGGAGAAATATGAGCATTGACTACGTGAGTTTCTTCTCCCTTCCATTATCCATCCGTACACACCCTTATTCCTGGCATTCCCCGTTTGCCCATCGGGTATGCCGTTTTGAGCCGGTCCAGTCCAATATGCATTTTCTCTTTTACATACCGGCGAGCCAGTTGCTAACAAGACACAGCTCATCCCTGCCGAAGTCATCAAGTACATTGACGAGCACGGTCTTTATCACGAAGACGACGCCGCAACAAATGAGAAGGGAAAAGAGAAGGAGGTGCAATAAGCGTCACATGCACAGATCCCACACTCCAAACGGCTTATAGAAGAGAAAACAAAAAAGAGGAGAGACGGCCAGACCAAGACGAGAGACAGAACGACAGAGAGGCATCTCAAGAGAAGAGATTAGGGGATCAACTGGCGTGGGTATTAGCGTTTGGGTTTTACGAGACGACACGGCACACATTGCCTTTTTGTTTATTACTTTTTTCCATTGTTTCTTTTGTTTTCTTAGGGATCCACTAGGTGCATTGGGGCGGGCAATTTCCCCATAAGACATATATACTTCCACTTCCGGGGGTACTTCTCCCAAGTTACAAACAGGATTCCTCTCGAGACTGGCTATCGTCTTTGGTAGCTAGAGGTGCCTTTATGCGGCGCATTTGGCATGCAAGCACGCAATGGGAGCATGGCCGTGCGTAGCTTGTTGTTCGGCGGCAAGCGTCCTTCAACTTCGGGGTTACTGCATGGTCCTGATCAGTTCCGCCGCTGTTACGGTCGTACTGTGAGAAGTCGTAGATGCACTGGCAAAAGCATAGTGGCAAGCCACACACGCTGTGGGTGCTAGCAGTCCAAAGACCGTCATCTAGATATGGCTCCTCACCTCTATGCCTATATGCACGAACACCCTTCCGCCCAATTGCTTAACACGCGGCTCGGCCTTACAACAACCCGTTCTTCGGTTCAGATGTAGCAGGTGGTAAGCGTTGCTCTGCAGTATCTTAGCGTGCTGATGATTGGCGTCATTGTACTACCCCGTATGGCCCGGCCTCTAGGAAGCAAATTCCCGGGTCATGCTATACATCGCAGAGTCAGATTCAGACCAGACGGCTAGGACGGCTGTCCACAATATAGGGTTGGGCTCGAATATCAAAACAAACCTTCGTAAGCTGTCTCGGAGACTCCTTGAGGGGGGTTCGGAGACAGACTGTTCCATGGAGTGGAGCTAGAATGAACAAAACCAATAAATTTGCATGCTGATGCGAGTAGTGTGATATCTGAGTGGCGGTGGCAGCTTACATGTCGTCGTTCTTCAGTTACCAGACCACGAGCGGCTATATTGTTTTCTTAGCGTGTTCTGTCCATTCAATATCACGGCCCATCTATTCGCCCTCGTGGCAGTCTGAGCTTTTGTTCCGTCCTTGTGGTTGTGTCTATATCGTCAGATGACAAAACTCTTATGAACTCTACCGAGCCATCCATCATGGACTTGTTGCTTGACGAAGGTGCCGTACTTGGTAACACTGCGCTCAACCAGAAGGTCTGCCAAGTTGTTTGAGAAGGAACTTGACCAGGACATATCGTCGCTTGATCAAATGGGAACGTCAAGATTCTGAACGTCACTGGTCCACCGGGACTATCACCGTTGGACAATACAAGCGGCGCTGCCTTCAGTGGCCATTACCAAGATTGACGGTAAAGGATATTGCTGAAGTACAAAACAACCCACTAATTCGCCCAAATAGAGTCTTCTCCAGTTAGCCTCGGCTATCACTCACAGGATAGGGGCTGAACATACCCGCGTTGGTCCGAAAAATGAGACAGACGCGATGCTAGTTTTAGGGCACGCTCAACCTCCAGATGTTCTAGCTCTTGTCAATGGATGCTGAGAAAACCTAACAGGGCACGAGTCTTCTTTACTTTCCTACTTGGCCATGGCTTGCCTTGTCTTAAAACTGAAGGTTTTCCAGAGTGGCTAAGATAAAATGACCGGATGAGTACCAGAGCCAGAAGCAAGGAAAATGCCAAATGATGAAATGGTTTTTCATTGAAGTGGCGGCTTAATGAAAAGAGAAGTTTGCAATATTTGCTTGTTTCTTCCGAGGGCATTATAGGCAAAAGTTCCGGGGAAGCGTCCTATGGCAAGAGATAAAACTGGCCATGGTCCTTCGAAGAATCAGGTTAACACGTTTTCAAGGAGTGGTGTTATACATGGGGTTGACATAGACACCAGGATTGTGCAACACGTTGATGCCTCTGTGACGGCCCTAAGCTAATATATGTTGTCGTCTTTTGACCAAAAAACACGCTTTCCCATGTAACAAAGCTATGAGTGATAATATTGGAATAACCAAGGCACGAAAGATGGGAAATCATTGGGTGCTTGTCATGTGTATACCAAGCAAAAGCAGAGTACATTAACTTGGTATCTGTTTTTGAATTTACGTCCTGGAGCAGTTACCGAGTAGTAGGCGAATGGACAGCGATACGGTTATAATCCCAAATCGTTTAACTCGAGTAAATGTGTGTTCTACAGCCACTCTTTGCGCTTAGAAGTGGAATTCTTTTGATGCTTATGGTTTATTTGAGCCTCGTTCCATTCGCCGCCTCAGTCATATGCACAAAACAAAGTCACGGGACAGGTTGAAAATGACAGATGCCTGTGTTTTGTTAAGTGTGGGAAAACTGGCCTAGCCGAGCTTCATAGCGAAGAGATCAACACGGTGTCAACAGACAACACAAGTCTGTCTCCATGCCAATAGGTTCCCAAGCCTCAAGATAATGGCTTCCATAAATTGCTAGAGTGAGAAAAAGCAGCGGCTTGTCCACTAACTACAACATGAACGCTATCAACTTCCCTTTCATATTGTATACCGTGTTGCCTTGGCTGCAACTAAAACTATTGAAGCTAAGAAGTGTGTAGGCCCATGTACTCATCCGGCTGCAATCTCGTAAAAGTCGCTTGGAACTAAGTATAACCTTACTTCAATGAGGATATACGTACTGCCTGGAGTTATGATAATATATATCAAACTCCCAAGGTTTCCTATTCATCACCATGCTCAATTCAAAGTTGGCCAGCACTAAGCCAGACTCATGATTGTAATGACACGAGTTCAGCTTCATAACCCGGAATGACTCATGAAGTAAATAGAAGACATCATTGACTACGGGAGCTTCTCTACGTATTCATCAGATTTTGAGGGATTAAACCACACGATGCAGAGTCTGACAGATGCAAGCATCATGAGCATTTGAATCCAAGTGCGACTCAGGGGGGGCTCAGAACCATGAGTGCCGACCAAGGGAATCCATCATACGAGACATCTGACTTTCTCCTACTGCAGCACCACTAATCGTAATCCCATGGAACGCAATCCGCCTGGCAAGCAAGTCAGCCAGCGCCAGTGTCAGCGCCGACGTATGCCACCAGCACGGGTACGACGATTCGGAGGTGTCGAAATAATCATCCTTCCATCACCCCCCCGTCGTCTCAAAGTCAGTTCGGGCAAGACTCACCTATCCGAACGGATTGCGAGTTTCGATCGTCCCGCAATTTGCCGTCACCAAGCATCGTTCCCCTATATGAATCGGGCTCAACATCGCGTTTCCGTCCCGTTCGCATTCTAGCATTCTATAATCCTTACATCCTCTAGGCACTCATATGTCAGTACCCAACCCCCTGTGGAACTCAGGAGTTTACTCCGGCGCGAGGGAAGGGGGAAGAGGTTTGAGCTTCACGGGATATCGGGTTTCTCGCCGTTGGAGCTCAAGATGCAGCTCGAAAGTCTAACGGCCTGCTGGAACATTGCCCTCACCTCTTATCTGAGCCAATCTCGATGTATGGTCGTCATGGATTTAGTGATGCTATCATGTTTCCTGCTTGCATACCCCCCCCCCTCCGATCTCTCTGACTGAGCATCGCACACCTTACACACCGTCCGATCCCACCCTTGCCTCAGACATAATGCCTCAGCTTCGAAAAAGATCGTCATCATCCACCATACGGAGTGACTCAACACCTTTCCCCTCGTCTCAACTTATCGCCAACACCCCAATTCGTCAGTGAACTCAAAAATCCAAACCCTACGGGGTCATTCATGCCCTTGTACCTGTACACAAACTTGCTCAGCTGCGGTAACTTTTTCTGCCAGAGGGATAGCCGGAATATGCGCCGATAAAGCAACCCCCTTGGCCGGGCTAAGATGGCATGGGGTGTCCAGTGCTGGCTCAACACAGCCAATGGTGTCGACCACTGCCGCAGCAGAACCACGGAAGCTTCCCCCCTGCATCACTACTCTCAACCAGAACGAATACTGGGTTATTCGCTTGACGAGCGGAAACACCAAGCCATGACTTCGGTTGGTTCCACCATTTTGTTGGTGGGAAAAGATTAACCTCCGATGCCCCCCCCCCCCCCCCCCCCCCCTCGGCTCACCAATACTTAGCCTACAACTGGGACGATAGGAAAGATTGGGCGAGCGCCAAGCTTTTCCATGTGTGCGAGCGTTGTCGTGGCCACCGTCCAAGGTTTCCCCTTTGCGAACCGGGTATCCCACAACTCTGGGTTCTGGGATGGCATACCAATATTTCCGGTTCCCAGCGCCTCGGCTAGCACTAGGATTTCATCCCCTCCAGCAGGAATGGGGGCCTTTGTTACGTTATTAACTTGTGCTTGTGTTGGGAATGGGCACATTTACCAAGGAAGTACGGACATGAATACCCCATTAAGGCGCCAGGTTCCCTATAATCCCACGTGGGCCATTGTAGGTCCAGTTGACTTTTCCCTCTCTTTCCCTACCCCACAAATTCACAAAGCCAAGGCCGGTTTCCGTGAATGAACACACCAAATCCCAAGGCGCTACCGAGATTCGGGATGTCCTCCCTATCAATGCAAACCTTTCTTGCCCACACGCTCTGGGGGAGAGCTCGGACGACTGCCGAGGGTGAAACGGACTGGGGGGGGGTTGACGGGTGGTGGGTTAACGTGGCCACGAACCGAACCGCAACCCCGGAAAGCCGAGAGTTGGTCCGACGATGACGACCACAGCATGCCAGAGAAATCGGCGATGAGCGGGGCCATGCGGCAGCCGTTTGTACCGCATCACTCGGAAGGTGGCAGGGACGTCCCCTTGGCAGGGAAAATGGCCAAGCCGCCGCGAGGTCAAAATCCATCACATTGTGGCCTATGGAACGGCCGGGGAAGGGCAGAGCAAGACGCACACGGCGCCGGATGGCGAACAGTCCGTTGATGCAGAGACGAGACGCAAAAAAGCAGCCGTGCAAGGAGCCTCCCCCGCCGCGGCGTTTCCGCATCGCGCGCGCGCGCGCGCTCGCTGGACAAGCAGGCCGCGACGTGTTTCTTGGAAGAGCAAGAAACAGCAAAGTGATTGCGCGTCAAAGGTCGTAGGAAGTGAACGTCCGGTCTCATCTGACTTTATCCTGTGGCCCGGGCGTTCATGCCGTCCAGGAAAGGGCGTTTGCCATGCGCACGCGCGCTCTGCGTGGCCCTTGAGCGTATCCAGGGACGGGTATCCCACGGACACACAGACGGAAGGGTGCTAGGGATGAACGGGGAGACATTATGAGCGTATGATAAGGGGACCTTCGTTGCACAGGTGGGGAAAGGGGAGGGAGGGGAGCGAGTAATGACATTACTCATTGGAACGAGGCTTAGCACATACGGACGGCACAATGCAGGGAAGAAGCCCGGCACGGAGCGGCCACGGTCACGGCCATGATCCCACCGCCAGACTGACGTTGCCCGCAGGACATCCCGAGCCTCTCCCCGGCTTGGGGAGCGGGGCAGGAGGTCACGATGCTACGGGGCACCAAGGTTACAAAGGGGCACTGAGCAATAAGATGTTCCTATCTCGGGGCTCCGTACAAGTTCCTACTGGCGATAGGTGAGGATGGGGTGTGTGGCCGGCAGGTGGCGGGCGTGCCAGACCAAGTTGCTGCGACAAGTGCTATCCCCAACGGCCCCCCCAGCCGTCTGCCCGTCCAACTGACGCAGGAAATAGCACTGATAATCTTTGGTTTTATGACGATCCCTCATGCTGGAAATATCCATTGGTCGTGGGGGATGCACTGGTTTTGAGTCGGGTCGGTTTTTTTTGTATGTGTGTGTGTGTGTGTGTGTGTGTAGGATCGTCGCCCTGCTGCTCGCGAGTGCTGGGCACCGCCGATCGCTTGTTGTCATTGCCCCGGTTGAGAATTCCGAGGGGGAAGAAAAGACCCGTGTGGCTAAGGGGTATTCTTGGGCCATCGGGACAAGGAACGCAGAAGCACTGTACCCAAGCGTACTATGTAGCACAAACCCGCAGGCGGATTTTGCGAGAGGTGCCAAGAATCAAAGTTTTGGAGGCTGTTGGGCATTTGCAGAATGCCATTCTCACATTCCTGGTTTGCCCATGTCGAAGGTCGCACGGGGTGGCTTGCAGGACATTGCGGGTGGATGCATCCTTTCTCCCAAGCTGAGCATATGGGAAGGAGGAGAGTGTGGAATGCTGCATGACAGGAAATGCTAGACGAGGGTTACAGCAGGGGCAGACTTGACGGTCAGACAACCTGAAAACAACAACAAAAAACACAGGATGCTCGGTCGTTGTTAGAATAGTCAAGAAGGGAAGGGGATGGAACCGGCCGGAGGTAGTGTGATGGAGAAGTGGGTTGGACTCTTGAAGTGGAGGTGGTCGTTCATCCAAGCATTTACGGCGACCCATGGCCAGGGCATGAGAACGCCCATATTTCATGGGACTTATTGTTAATGATGGTCAGCTGCCCGCTCACCCCGTCTCCGGCACACACCTTGGATGTTCCGGATGCGACTAACGGAGAGATCGGAAAACGGCGATCTGCCTCTTACAGTCCGCGCCGCCTGAGCGAACGGACAGAACGGATAAGATCTGCTTCTGACCTGAAGGGCCGAGGGGATAGCGGCAGACTAGACGGTCAAGCAAATCTTATGTGAACCAATTTGCTTTCAGTCGGCCTGAAGCAACAGGGCGAGGGAGGCATGGCGGACGGGTCAAGATGTCTAAGGTCAGACAGGCTGTGGACGGAGTAGTGTGCAGAGATCGCCCGTTGTCATGGATGTGCAGAGGCGGTGATGCGTGATGCCTCCCTGTTGGCTCCCACAATGCGCGTCCGTACGAATAATGTCTCTCCTCCGGGCACGTTGACCTCTAGTAGTAAAAAAGAGATGAAACGGCGCTGGTGGCAGAACCACAGACAAAGTCGGTAATATGCACGGGCTGACGGTAGCGCGAGCGATAGAAAGTCCGTGGTCAGCTCGGCCGGGGGGGGGGGGGGTGGAGGGACGCAGGGCGGAGTGAGCTCACGACTCACTTCACACCTTTCGACAGAACTGACGGTGATCTCATTTCCGTTGACGGACGGTTTATCCCTGGGGCGGGAGGCAAAATGGAGGTAAGGATCCAAAGATCTGAGAGGCTGCTGCTAAACGGAGAGACAGGTTTCGGCCGTCGATCCGATGACATCACTCGGCCGATGTCAGGGGCTCCGGGGTACCTTGCCCGAGCGCCCGCCCCTCTCGGTGTGTGTGTGTGTGTGTGTCTGTGTTGGGTTTCTGTTGCACAGAAAGAGGATTTGCAGCGTGTGAGGTGCGACGGCTGTGGCGCTGGGATCAATCTGGAGGCACCGGCAGAAATGATGGGTAGACGACCGGCGGATGGTACCGCCAACCAACCGTCATTAATCCGGCTTACTGTAGGTCCAAGAGGCTTGGCTCATACCTCCATCGCGGGTAGCAGTTTAGAAGTAGTCTCGAAACAAAAGGCAAAAGCCCATCGTCGTCTATTGACGGAATCCACGAAAGGGCGGCTTTGGAAAGTTGAGGCCCGCGAGACGAACAAGGGAGGGTGGGCTTGCGCGAAGTAAAACGAGTAATGCCCCCCCAAGATCGCGATGTTGTGATCCAGGGTCCTTGTATCGGAGACGCAACAGCAGACGCCTCTCCCAAGTAAACTATTTTTTGTGCTTGCGGGGGTTTCCGTTGCATCGAGGGCAAGGCCTGAGTAAGAGTTGGCGCTGCTTTCGGCTTTGCTGTTGGGTGAGCCCGGCTGCGCTGCGCTGCCTGTCCCTGTCCCGTTCCCAGACGGACCCGTGGTGCCGGCCAAGCTAATGTACAGTAGAGACGCACCGAGTGCATTTGCACGACTACGGCAATTGGAGGGTTACAACTTACAAGTGAACTGACAAAGGTCGGGCGGCTGCTTCTCTAATGTAGGAACGGGGCCCAAGGGGGGGGTAAACCAGGCGAGTGGGGAGCCAAGTGGTGGTGGCGGTTGGAGTTTGGGGGTCCAGGATACTGCGTGAGGTATGAGGAAGGGGAGGGAATCCTGTCGTTTTACCAAGCAGCGGTATCCTAGATTATGACGAGATCTTGGCGGCTGCTGCTGAAGGGAGGGATGTTGGTGGCACACAACCATGGTACACGAACAGGTACGTATGTCTGTACGGCGCATGCTGTGAGTATACGGTACCATCGCTGCATCGCAACACTGGTGGCTGCGCAGCAGTATCCTGTACTGTAGCCGCACCTCTCAGCCCCTCGCCAGATGAAGTAATGTTGATGCTGAGTGTCGCAAAAGCATGTTCGGGGCGGGCAAAGCAGCAACTCATGTCATGCTCAAAATATGTTGGTGGCTGGGCAGAAAGACCCTCCACTTAGGGTCAGCAGATGCTGCACTCGGTACCCAACGCACACAACAGAAGAAAAAGGACCGAGAGAAAGAAACGGTTGAGCGGGACGGTTGTCTGATGCCTGCTTTACCAGCCCACCTCGGCCAGCGTGTCGCGTGCCGCTGCCCCTCCCATCCGTCCGGTCTGGTATATCAAACGGATTCTTCCATTAGCGTCAGGTATTAGCGTGGTGATGTCCTTGTGATGCCCAACGGATGAGTAGAGAGAGGGTCGACACGTCGACGAACCAACTGGCGGAGACGAAGAGAGGAACCGACTGGTACGATGGGGGAATCAGAATCCGCTGTGAGGTGGACACAATGTCATGGCCAAGAAGGGGAGGGGGCGCCGAAGCCGCCAAACCGGCTGCTGTCTGCCGGGAGTGAACGGGGGGAGCTTCACGCACCAGTTAGAAGCCGAGCGCTGTGCTCGGCGGTCCGGGACGTTTCTCTGAGGTGAGGTCAAGGGCTCAGGTGGGGTTCGCGGTCATTTCGACGTGAATGGCAAGGGACCGGGAATCCCAGTCTTGCCCTTGGGGGGTATGGCGTCACAGGCGTTGATCAGCAACAGGCTGTCTGTCCCAGCAGGGGTGTAAGCTTCTGCAACTTGCAGGAGGGCGGCCAGGTACACAGGTAAGCACTGTACTGTACTGTACTGTACTGTACTGTACTGTACTGTACTGTACGTACGACAATGGAGCTTCTGTACCGCCTGTGCGACCTTGGGAGGGACCGACCACCTTGGATACGTATCCTGCCACTGCATGGTATGGCATGGCATGGCATGTACAGACAGGTATGAATGCATCCTGCGGTTGGTGGGCTGCAGCATCCGCACATAGACGCGGAAGCAGGCAGACGCAGGCGCGGAGGGCTTGCTGGGTGCAGGTTTCTGCGGGCGTTCCTGTGTTGTGTTGTATTGTGCCCATGCTCGGTTCTGAAGCCAGCAAGCTGCGGATCAGTCCAGGGGCCCGTCTCTCAAGGGAAGCCAGGAGAAACCTCCGATATGTGTAAGGCAGTAAGTACCTAGGTACTGTGCTATGTTAGGCAGTGTACGTACGGAGTACTGCGTAGCAGTTTATACAACACAACTCATGGCGTAGAGTAGGTAGAGGTGAGAGATGATGAATGCTTACTTACTTGTAAGGCCGGCGCTGGACCGACTGGTTGCTTCGGTGCGGCGGTGGGGCATTCCATCTTTTGCGCTCGTCCTGGCAGAAGTCGTTCCCAATTTGCCATGCATGGGCAATGCCGTTTGTTGCATCCTTATTGAAACATGAACAGGGGATGGGCGGAAGAGGAGTCGGAAGAGATCGGCAGCATCAACGGTCGTACACCAATGCCTACCTAGCAGCGAGAACAATCGAGATGAGAGGGGAATTTGCTAATAAACCGCCATGGCATGTACTGTATGTAGTTTAAGCCGACGATGGGAAATGGGAAACCGAGCGAAGAAAAGAAGCTGCCGAGATTGAATTTCTTTTCCTTCTTGCTTTAGCGAAGCCGATGCTACATGGGGAGACTCGTCAGCCACATTTCATGTGGACCCCACTCTCACGTTTCCACCTTTTTGTCTGTGTGTGTGTGTGTGTGTGTGTGTGCGTGTGTGCTACTCTTCTGCCACCTTCCAAGAATGAGCCAGAGTGGTGAGAGACATGCTTGATATGTATTATAGGTACTTGCTTAGGTCATCGTGGGATGCTGCTCGAGGGTGGAGGACAAAAGACCCCGAGGAGGATGACGGGCGGACGGGTTGCACAACAGGAAGGAAGCATGAGAGAAGAAAAGAAGGAGGGAAAGAGCAAAACCAAACCCTGGAGTACGTATCGTACATGTGGGGAAGGAGACATAGGTGTGTACCCACATAAGTAGATACTCAGTAGATCTACCCAAGTATCGAGATATGGAGGTAGCCAAGTATATATACGGAGGCAGGCACATACCTAAGAAGAAGAGTACATATGTAGCTGTACCTTCTTCCCGGGCTACCATCTGTGGGGAAAGGAGGAGCGACATGTGGGCAGGAAGAGCATGCCTCAGGTCCCGAACTAAATTGCCTCTTGGGTATCGGATTTAGAAAACTTGCCAGGTCGCTCGCTACGTACCAGGGCTTCCAATCATCTGTTCGCGGGGCGGATAGACCTCGGCCAAAACGGAAACAGAAACGCTCCCTGTACGTACGCGTGTCTGTACTGTACGCCCCAATCTCTGGCGGGTCCGTGTCTGTCCTCGGTTTTCTCCCCTCAGCGTGCCTCATCCTTCCACTTTAGCCTCCTCCCGGCACCGGGCACCTTCTATTCTGACCTGGCACTTGGACGCTTTTAGCAACAGCAGCAGGCAGGACACGTTCCGGCGGGATTTCCCAGCAAGGAACTGCATACATACGATAGCATACCTACCGTCCCGAAGCATACTGGCCGCCACCGCCATCTGGCATCCGTCCGTCTCAGTCTCGGGCGCGAACATTCGCACGCACACGCACGCACGTACCCACGCACGCACACGGCGTTGCGTTGCCTTTCCGCGCGCTCGGCGTGAGATGAGGCTGTCGTCAACTTCAATTCCAGCCGAGGCCGTGCTGATGCTCTGTGTTTCTACCCAGCGCGTACACGAGTATTGTCTCCTCTGTCGGCGTGTCTCGGTCCTGACTGCGCACAGCTGGGACGGATTTCTCTCCGCCGAGAACGACGGCTCATTGGAAAACCCAACTGCTGGGATTACATTCCTGTACCTCTTAGCTTGTCCTCGACCAAGTATCTTCTGTTCGACACCGACAACAACTTCTCCCATCTCCTGACTGCATAGGGGTGTGGGTGGTGTGGGTGTGCGACCTTTTCCCAAGCCACCAATCTTGTTCGTTCACGACTTGACGATCTGCTTCTTTTTTTTTCTTTTTTTTTTTCTTGCATCCCATCGCACCTTTTGTGCCGCCTGGGAAGATGTCCGCTTATCCAATCCCACCCCTCCGACTCATCAACCGATACAATCCCACCCGGTCAATCAATCACCACGCGCGCGCGGTGCTTTTCCCATGTCGTCCGCGCCGCGCTACGTACGTACATAGTAGATAGCGCGCCCTCCTCTCTGCCGATTCCATTCCCACATGGCTGTCACCATGCATACGGTGCTTTGTTCCACGCCGGAGAACACACCGCACACCACGCCATGCTAGGTGCGGCCCATCTTCAGCTCAGGCCTTTCTCCAACATCCATCCGTCTTTCTTTGCTCGAACCCGTCCTGCTCAGACAAGTAGCAAAACAAGACCCAAGTCGAGTTCTTCAGAAGGCACAGACCAACCCAGTACCACAGGAGGCACAGTTGCAACGACACAGGCCGACAGAAACGGTCGTGATAACATCATTCTGCTCCACACCGCCTCATCTTCGCTATCTTGTCAGCAACCCGTTGCGAGCCTGTCCCTCTCTCCCGTATCCCTGTTGTGTACTGCATCATCCTTGGATTTTTGCTCCGCCCCTCAGACCCCTGGTCGCTGGCCCTTTACAACGGACGAGAGAAGAAGAAGAAGGAGAAGGAGAAGAAGAGACCGGGAGTCCGATCGACACCAAAGAGCCAATAGCGAACAGTTCCTACGTAGCAGAGAGCGCAACCCACCCATTGAGGGTTACAGTACGACGGATACATACCAACTGTTCCCAAGTACCGCAGATCGCAGCCGGGTTGGCCGCTTGGAAACGTCAACGTAGACTCGAACCCACACAGCCAAGCCAGCCGTCAGCCCGTCCAGGTGTAGTTACCACCTGTATGTACCTCCCTACAGTACATACTACCTACCTAGGTAGTAGGCAGCACAGTTGCCAATTACGACAACGATGACCGTCGGCGCAACCCGCTCGCACGGTTTCCTTGCCGTATCATTGCAATCCCGTATTACGGATACTGCCACAGCATTCCCACACTTCGCCGTCACCTAATCTAATCTCCCGGTCTGTTCTCTTTTCTCTCTCCCTCGTCAAATTCCGATTGCCATACGACCCCCACCTCCAAGGAGCAGCACAGAGCAGTAATCGGCGCGAGACGACACTACCTAACTAACTCGCGTCCAAGTGACAAGGAACGTAGTTTTAGCTAGGAAAAGGAGAAGAAGAAAAAAAAAAAAAGCAGAAGGGAAGGGGGAAACAGTGTAGGCCAAGAGGCTGCCCCAAAACCCACCCACACCTCACGAGATCCTGCAAAATAGTTGTGCTTTGTTTGATACATTACCCTTTGCGGCCCACCGCACCTTTTTTCCCTCTGTTTCCCTCTTTCTCTCTCTTCTTGCTGTTTTGCTCGACTCGCCCTGTCCCTTTCCATCTCTTTCGTTCAGCCCCTCCTCCCTCCCTCCTCTTCCCGCTTCGCCGGCTCTGTCCCTGTCTTTGAGAAGACCGGTAGGACCCTACTTGCTTTCGGAATACAACCACCCAACACCCACCCCCCCCTCCCCACATTCCACAATAGTCTACGCCCCCTCCCCCCCCCCCCCCCCAATATACTACGTACACCACCACCACCACCCAGCACCGCATTTGCAACCACCTGACTCTTTCCTCCCGCCATCCTCGACTCCTCTCCGCCACTGCTTGCCAGTTCCCAAGAGAGCCTTGACCCTGTTTACACTACATGGTGGCAAGACCCCGTTTCTCAGCCTGCAGCCCGGTGACGAAGTCTCGTTCAATTCAACACCTTAATTGCCCTTTGAGCCGCCCTTTCGCCCTCCTGCGGGCAGTTTTCTACCACGTACCTTGGCACCACAAGCCGATTCACATTCGAACAAACCCAACCTACACCCGCTCACACGCACACCGCCCCTCGCCGACATTCGTGCTCTCGACACATTCGGCATTCCGCATCGCTCTCATAGCAGCCCAATTTCACCACCACCGTAACGATGGATAACGAACATCAGGAGCAGCACAGCGAACAGTCGCGCCTCCCTCCTCACATCGAACGCTCCCACTCGAGTTCATCCTCCTCTTCCGTCGACCACGAGCACGACGAGCATCAGATCCACCAGCCGACGCCCATTCGACCTCGTTTGCCCAGCCGGAAGAGCAGTGGACCGCTGGTCGTTCCCCGGGATAGCTCGGCCGTCGGCCCCATCGACGCCGAGTTCGGGCCTGACGACGTGAGGGCCATGAGCCCGCGGCGAACTAGCGAGGATATAGAAGCACTTGGCAGAGAAGCCCGGGAAGAATTGAAGAGGTGAGCACGTCGCCATCGCCGCAACACGACCCAAGACTAACGAAGCCCCTGTCCCAGACACGCAAAGGCTCTCCAGGACTCCCTTCTGACCATTTTCAACCGCATCGAGGCTGTCAGAGAAGAACACGATAAGCTTGATAACAACAATAAGTTCCTCCAGAAATACATCGGCGACCTTATGACGACGAGTAAAATCACCGCCGCCCCAAGCAAGGGCAAGAAATGAGCAGCCTCTGGAGCTTGGTGGAAAGAGGAGGACCTAACTAAAATTGCATTCACCACACACGCGTGGCCAAAACGACATACATTTGGCATCGGGCTTGCGACGGCGTGACCGCGGCACCATGATTATAATTGAACACCGACGGGCGCGCCCTGACGATCATCAGGGCCCCAACCCCTTCCTGGGATATATATCATCCCTAGGACATTCTCTACACAGCAATGCATTCTCTACACAGCAATAATCGGACACCGCCCGCGCAGGGCATGATACCCCCTTGTGGCCGAGCTGGCCTACAGCGTTATACTTGGCTCGTTTATGGCTTACGGCACGGACACGGTATTTGGAGTGGGGAAAAAAAACAAACTTGCATCGGATCGCGACTTGTATACTAAGGATCATCATCGTCATCGTCATCATTCGGGGGTTTTGACATACAGTCAGATGGCATCGGGCATTGGATAGCATTGGGCGTTCCGGGTGTCGGTAAGGGCTTTTTCGGCCTTTGGTTTTACGTTCGCATTTTGTGTATATACCTCGGTTTTTGGCCGGGGACAACTGTTGGTCTTGAATTGAACCACGAATATTCTTGCAGTCACCTTGGCTGGAAGTTGTCGCCGCGCAACTACAGCAAGGGACCCTTTTGTGACCAGGTGAAGCTATCAGTTACTCTTACGCGGTTAGATTTATACAAGGGACGATTACCCAATAATATCCTTGCGAGCGAAATACGATTGGCAGTATACGTACACCTTCGCGCGCCACGCTCGACGATCCACAGCTTACGATGTACACCATGTACGCCGACGTCATTCGCGAACGGTATCCCGATTCCGCCGATTTCATTTGGAAAACCAACCACCGGATGGAACTCGGCCAGAGGCGCAAGGAAGAAGGGTACACGGAGTTTGTCTGCACGAGCAGAGCACCTGTTGTCTTGGACGGGAAAGTGAATGAGCAAAGGGTCTATCGAACATCAATTGTGTTACACAGATCCGAGGACTGTGGGCAACGACGGCCATGGCCACAAATATTTTCTCCCCCACAGCCAACCAATCGATGCGTACCGGCAAAAGTGATTGGGCGAATCTTGAAGGCGGGCAAATCGAGTCGATCACAGGAACCGACGAGGGTGGTGTTGGATTTTTCCATTGCGCCGTCACAAGTTGCAAGATGCTCAGCGCGCGTCAAGATGCTGAACCCTCCATCAGTTTGAAGATCCTCTTGCACCTGAAAGAAATAGGAGGGGTGTTGCTACCTGGTGTGAGGGAGATGTGACGACATGCCGAGCATGGTTGGTCTGACGCGAGCGGCGATGGGTACCTGGGGGTCGCGCCGAGTACGCTGACGGGTGCGAGGTGGTCCCCGAATACCAGAGCCAGCGCGAAGGGCTCCGACAAGGAGGGGAGATCAATTATGTGGCGGGCGAGCTGGGGGGGTTTGATGATGGTTGAGTGGTGTAGGTCTGGCTGCGATACGTCGGTGAACGCCGTCGTAACCCACATGTGTCTGAAGCGTAGTCTTCGACTGCATGCGCCGGCACGGCTTCCAGGTTTGTCTGAACCAATCGGCTCGCCTGCAGATGCCTTGTGTTACCGCGATGCCGCGCCTGTGACGAGGTGCTACATGCGCGGCTGCTCTGATGAGCATACACATGACGGGCCCCGTTGCGCAACCTAGGCCGTGTGTCGGAGACTCGGAGTTGGTTACGCTCTTTCGAGTCTGACCATGCTGGTGCCTTTTTCTGCTACCTTCGGTGGTTGATCACCGCCCCTAGTGTACTTTGCGCATGCCGGTGTTGGGCAGTGCCGACTGCGACAGCCAGCACGACAAGGCCGGCAGGTTAAGTGACGAATCGTGATGTAGCTCAGAATCCGTTCGAATCTGCTGCCTGTCGTTAATCCTCCCCAAGAAAAGCCGGTTTAATCCATCAAAACCTAGAATCATCATGAAGCAGTCCAGAGATGAGTCTGATGGAGTCCGTTGCTAGACAACGCATAAGACTGGTGTTTTGTCAAATCAACGGGCTTTTAGTAAGGCTTGGCTGCTTGGCGAAATGCTACGCCTTTCCCTACTTGCTCGGATAGGTAAATTCGACTACTTGAATAGCTTGAAACCGAACAACTCTCGCCGATTGTCTGAAACTCCAGGACGTTCCGCAACATGTGTTCTCTAGGTGGCGTGACTGAAGTTCGATGGGTCCGTGAATGAATTGCATGCTTAGTCATGGTCTGCTTCCGGTTGCCGCTTAGTCGGCACCTTAGATGGACGACAAGGCGCATGGAACTCTGTGACGTCCCAGACCCATAGTCGATGGCCATTTGCAACTTACGAAGAAAACATGAACCGCCCGTCCAGAACAGACGAGCCCTACGAGGGAGAAGGCTACAACCAGAGCCCAAACCCCCTCTCCAACGACTTAACTACCAACCAGGACCTAAACGGAACCGTCAATGCGAGAGTGCTAGAGCCGGGAGAAGACGGGAAACCCCAGCCAGGGGCCGCAGACAATGCCATATTGCGCTCCCACGATGATTGGGGGGAGGACACAGTTACCCCCGGGGCGGGCGACGCCTCGCCGGCCAAGTCAGTTGGACTTGGCCATCCTGGGGGGGAGGAGGTCATGACGGCCCTTCTTCTCCCTCCCCTTCACTCACGCCGCTCTGCTCATGGCGACAAAGACGAGCCCCAGGTGCAACTGGGCATCTTTGGCCGGATCAAGAGCGTTGTCATCAAGTTCGGTTCCTTCATCGGGCCTGGGTTCATGATCTCCGTCGCGTACAGTATGGCCGCATGAACCGTCCAGTGGGGGAGACGAGGTTGACTGACATGCCCGCCCGTGTGAATAGTTGATCCTGGAAACTACTCGACCGGAGTCGCTGCGGGAGCGACCTACCGCTTCAGGCTGCTATTTGTTGTCCTGCTGTCCAACCTGTTCGCCATCTTTCTCCAGAGCCTCTGCACCAAGCTCGGCACCGTCACCGGGCTCAACCTGGCCGAGGCTTGTCGGGCTTTCCTGCCGCGGTGGATGAACTATGTTCTATATGCCTTTGCAGAGATTGCCATAATCGCCACCGACATTGCAGAGGTGCGTTTCCCCCAAAGGCTTGTTGCCGTGTGGCCGTACGTTAAGCACAACAGGTTTTCTAGGTGATCGGATTTGCCATCGGCTTGAACCTCCTGGTTCCCGCGATCCCACTGGTAGCGGGGTGTGCCATCTCAATACTCGACGTCATGATCATCCTCATCTTCTACAGGCCTCACGGATCCATGAAGGGCCTGAGAACGTTCGAGTTCTTTGTCATTGGCCTGGTGCTGGCTGTGGTTGTCTGCTTCTGTATCCAGCTCTCCTTGATCAAAGAGACGTCGGTGAGAGAGGTATTCCAAGGCTACTTGCCTTCGCATGCTGTCGTTGAGTCGCAAGGGTATTTGCTCTTATGCCCCCCCCTCTCTCCCCCCTGCTCCCTGAAACTCTTCTGATGGCGTGCAGTTTATATCAGGCCTGTGGCATCCTTGGCGCAACTGTGATGCCGCATAGCTTGTACCTCGGCTCGGGCATTGTCCAGGCCCGCCTAAGGGAATACGACACGAAACACCATCTCCTCCCCCCTGAAGCGGAGGAAGTCGGTTTCAGCAGCGACAGCATCGACAAAGGCTACTATGTTCCGTCGGCAAAAGCCATCAAACACTGCCTCGCGACTTCGATAGCCGAGCTCGGGTTCTCCCTCTTCACGTTCGCCCTGTTCGTCAACTCCGCCATCGTGATCGTGGCAGGCGCTTCGATATACGGGAACAAGGACGCCGCGGATGCGGACATCTTCAGCATCCACCAGCTTCTCACAGACTCCATCTCCAAGGGTGCCGGAACAGTCTTCGCCCTGGCCCTGCTCCTCTCCGGCGTCTCCGCCGGCATAGTTTGCACGATTGCCGGGCAGATGGTCAGCGAGGGGGCCCTGAGGTGGAAGATGCGTCCCTGGCTGCGGCGCCTCGTGACTCGCAGCATCAGCGTCACGCCAAGCATAGTGATCGCCGGAGCCATTGGTCGGGAAGGCGTGAGCGACGCGCTGAACGCCTCGCAGGTCGTGCTGAGTGTCGTCTTGCCGTTCATCACTGCGCCGTTGATCTACTTCACATGCCGGAACAAGTACATGACAGTTCGCGATGGCGCGGCGCGGTTCCGCAACCAGTCGGATGAAGAGACGACGGGAAACACGGACGGCCTGGTTAAGATGGCCAATTCGTGGTACACTGCCATTTTCGCCGTGCTGGTCTGGGTCATTATAGCCGCGATGAACGTTGCCAACTTGGTGCTGCTCTGAAAGAGCGAGCCGTGAGCGATGGGGAGAAAGCAGCAGAGTGCTCGGTGAGGAGCATTCCTGCTGAAGAGACGGAAAGGAATGAACGGGGTGGTTGCACGTCTGTTTCTCGTGTTTTGAGACTGGTCATTTCTAACTCGGTGTGTCTTTTTTTTTTTCTTCTTCTTTTCTTTTTCTTTCTTCCTGCTTTTTTGATCCGTCGTCTGTTTTGTTGATTGTGCTGTTCAACCAGTCCTGTTCTCACATAAGGCTCAACCCTTGTGTCACTGAAAAATTCGCATTAGAAATGTCGCAAGAACTATTGTATTGCTTCCCAGGCTTGCCGCTTCTGCTCTGTGCAACAATCTGTCGACCATTGAACTTATTACGTTTACATTTCCCTTGACTCCGGCCGGCAAGAAATGCGCAAGATGCATGGAAGATTTAAGTCGAGTTTCAAACCTCCTGCTCTTAGGAGTATTAAACCCCAAACTAGATGATATCCGGAGTTGTTCTCTGTGAGTCTCCAAGTTCTCGGAACTGGCTTGGGCACGACATACACTCGAGATGCTCTCACGTAAGAAAATAGTTTCCGTAATATGACGTGAGCATGCCAAGAGCAATGAAGCTCGCCAGCGCCTATAAAGAGCAGAACAGTCCTTCGTACCAGACCAGAATTGCTGCTTTTTTTTTCCCCAGATGAAATCAGTGACTTGTCAAGCGCATACTCTCTTCTACGTGTTTCACTTCTTGAATACACCTGGCGTACACAGTAAAATCTCGAGAGTCAAGCCAATCGCTCAACAATATGTCACATCTCCGTTACTACGCCTATGAAGGGTTTGGTCAACGGAACTTGGAGAGGTTTAGTTACAATCAAGCCGTGCGTGTCGGCGACAAGATTGAGTGTTCTGGCCAAGGTATGATGTTCCGTTCGCACGTCCAACGACGGATATTGAAACGGAGCAAGGCGGATGCGACCCCAAGACGGGTGAGTTCTACAAAGAGATCAACGCGCAGATCGACCAAGCGTTTGCCAACGTCGATCTGAACTTGAAAGACGCCGGCGGCAAGGGTTGGGAGCAGGTTTACAGGGTCAACTCATACCATGTGCCGATCAACAATGAAGCTCTAGGCGCCATGGTTAGGAACTTCAACAAGTGGATGCCTAACCACAAGCCTATCTGGACATGTGTGGGGGTCACTAGACTAGCCGAAGACGACATGCGCGTGGAAATCGAGGTTGTTGCTCATGACCCAGAGGGTGCTGCCAAAGCTTGAATACGGAGCTGAAACATACTATCGAAGTAGTGTAGTACTTGGTGTGATGGGAAGGGTTCACGAGAGGGTGCGCGCCATCATGTCTGTGATTTCTAGAATTGTCAAATCTCAATTATTGTATATATCTTTATCTGAAGATCCAATGTCCGATGAACGCCGGTCACACCGCTCGCTTTCTAGAGGTGAAAGACTCATCCGGTGGGGTATAGAAATCGACATGATTTATGCCTTGCTGGCCTCGGCAAGGAGAGCAGCGTGCTGCTCAGGGTGGGTCTTCTCGACGTTACCCTTGGCCATCTTCTTCATGATCATGTTGGCGTCGATGTCGACCTCCTCGCGGAGGACGAGGCCGGCGCTCTCCTGGACAAGGCGCCACTTTCCGGTGATGATGAGGGTGCCGACGGGGGGCTTGGCGTTGACGAGAGTGTCGACACCGTCCTCGAGGTTGGTGATGGTGAGCTGGTAGGTGGTCTGGCCGATGGGCTTCTTATCGGTGACGGAGTAGGTGGCGGACTGGCCAATGCCGGCGGAGCCGGACTCGAGGTTGTAGGAGATGAGAGCCGGGCAGAGGGTCTTGACCATGAGGTCGTGGTTGTGGATGGTGGCGAGGACGGCGGTCTTGTCGACGCCGGCGGGGACGGGGGTGGAAACGACGGTGGCCATTTTGGTAGTTGTAGGGGAACGGGAAGTCTTGTGTTGGTGGGTTTTGGTGTAGAGAATGAGTATTGACTTCTTGTGGTGTGTAATGGGAGAACCAAGCTGGCGATGCAACATGAGCAAAGACCGGTTGGGACTACTTATAGATGTCGCGTCTTCCCCCCTGCGCTTGAACCGACAAGCCTGTTGGATTTGGACGATTCGAGACTTTCCCTCCTTCACAGCTACCTTGCCCCTATCAAACCAGTATAGAAACCTTTGAGACTCTCGAGTGGGTGGCTGGCCGTTACGCCACTTGGGGTTCAGGACGGTCTGGTTCGCGGGAACAGGTTGCATGCAGGAGACGCAGGCTGGGAGGCCAAGTCGCACCGGGCCGGCCGTGCCCCGACCGTGCTCCCGACGAGCCGGATGCCGGAGCATTGAGCTAAGAGACCTGGGCCTGCGTTCTAACAGGCTCGGCTTTGTTTTGTCACTCCAGGTAAAAGGGGCGGGCGTCCGTGGAGAAGTCCGCCAAAGGAATACGTCGGCGCCAGCGAGATTTGGCGGTGGCAGGCAAGACAGACTTGCGGCGGCTTACGGCGCTTGTCTAAAATAGCAAAACCCGGCATTTCTTTTTCAGGGTAGACATGTTTGTTTGGAAATGTTTCAACCAAGCCGTCGAGCTTGGGCTGTGATCTGGTATCTCAAAGTTTGCTGCTTGCGTCCCCAAGTTTTGCATATGGGCCCGCCTGCACCTTGGTCCGTCCGAGACATGCATCTTCGCCGCAGGATCGCCGTAGGAAACCTGCACCGTGAAGCGGGCGGCTGCTTGGCACCTACACAAGCTCGGCGGCACCTGTTCACGTCTCTGCAGGCCCATGAACCCCTAAATTTCGTCCCAACCACACAGCACGGGTAGACGTGCAAGACTAAGGCCCGACATGGCGCCTTACTTTGGTCGCCGGGCGAGGCTAATCAATCGCTAACAAGGTAACTAAAAGGGCTTCCCAATGTGGTGCTAGCTCATTTCCCGCTCTTCCTGCCATTGTCCCGCAACCCCTGAAGGGATTGAAGGGCGGTGAAATGTGATCCTCGGGGCCGAGCATCACCGGCTTCGCCCCACGTAAGCTTGTGATAACCCCCCGAGGAAGTCAGATATACCTGGTTGACAGGGCTTTCCAGCCATAGATCTCTCGGATCATCAGCCTCAGTATCTGCCTACTACCGAGCGAGGTCACATCGCCGTGCTGGTCTACACCTGGCTTTCTGACTGTACCGGAGCAGCATTTGGTGTCGCCGGAGAGCGTCGTCCCCCCACCTTAGAACGCGGGTCCACTGTCCGTCCGTGTCTTGAGGCCATGGCGCTGCGTGATGCTATTGTTTTGATTGCAGACGTCAATTTTCGGGGATTCGACATCACACCCGCATACCCGCAGCTGAGCCGCGTGTGCGTCTCCCCCGAATTAAGGGTCCAGGTGCCAGGTGCCAGGATATTAGTGACCGAGTCACGCATCGGCACAGGACGCCGAGATTGTAGGGACCTTCTGCGCGCTCGCTGCCGTGTATATCAGTCAATACGATTTGCGCGATAGCTTGGTTGGATGTGTTGAGTCGACGACGCGGCATGGGACGAACCATAATACAGGAGTGAATCCGCACGGACATCCCATTTCGGTTACTATTTCGAGCTGTTTACCATCTGATCTCCGGGCCAAGACTTGAGGCAGTCTCACTCTGCTCTCAGGTCCGGAGTGTGCACGTATCCGCATTATTTCCCATGCTCAACCTGCCGCAAAGCTCACCACCTACCACGGTAAGTTCCATCATAGCACAACTTTCTTACTCTGCGTACAGCAAGAGAGAATCTACTTCCGAGGGCGCAGGCTTTTCGATTCGCTAGGCTCCCTTACTTCCATTCTTTCTTCTAACGGAATGCACTGCCGCTTGTTTGCTTCGTATATTGAAAAAAACGACGCCTGATTGGTGTCGCAAGACTTCTGTTCATTGTCCTGGGCATTCTTTGTGCCAATGCCGTCGAGGGCGGAATATGAATTCCTTCCCCGCGCGTTAGTCAGCAACTGTAATTCCATGTGATTGGCTCCACGGCACGTATGCCATCCATCTCAGTCTGGCTTGTCAGACGAGACGACAATCTGCTGGCGAGTCCAGTCTGCGTGCCTCGGTCTTCGTTGTCGAACCCAACCAATATCCTGCACACTGAGGATTTCTAGAAGTGACACATCAGCCCTGTGGATAAACCCTTGCGCTCTATCTTCCGCCGCCATGCCACAACCGGAACGCGCTGTAGGCCATCCAAAGCGCAGGTATACGTCCAAAGCATGCGAGGAGTGCCGGCGCCGAAGAGCCAAGGTAGGTGGAGTATATTTTAATTTCCCGTATTCTACCAACCTGTAATAGGTGAAGCGTTCGTTTAATATTTACTTACATAAACTAGTGTGACGGCGAGCGACCTGTTTGCGCCCGGTGCTCCGAGCGCTCCCTCAATTGCCTCTACAGAAGTGAGGAGGATGGCCGCAAACCTGCCTCGAAGTCATATGTCCAGCTTCTGAGGAACAGAATAAACTTGTTAGAAGCGGTACTGCAATCCCGCTCTATCGATATTGAGGCTTCTGTTGCTCAACTCTCAACCACAGGGGCAGCACCTCAGCTGCCCTCGGTCATCAATCTTTCGGCAAGCAGCAGTGATGCTGGCCTGAGCCCTTCGGCTTTCGATGATCTCTGTGCGACGTTTGAAGGGGCTCTTTCCCTTGATGTGGCCGTAAACTACGACCAGGATGGCGAAATGCGGTACTTCGGGCCTTCAAGTGGTCGGCTGGAGTTCCAAAGCGGTAGGGTTCATCTTCCGTCTCCCTCCCCCCTCAACGGGTTATGGCGAGAGCCTGCTGTTGACTTTTGATTTCATGGAGAATCCACGCCCGAAAACGAGGAGCATGGGAACAGCCCCACAACCACAAAAGCTGTCGAGAAAAATCGCTTCATCCTACCGTTAGAAGTCGAAGTCTATCCGGAAGATCTCCAAACAGAGTTGATCGACCTCTTCTTCGAGTATCAGAGCCCCTGGTGTCAGGTTGTTGATGAGAAGCTGTTCAGAGAAAGCATGAGGACACAAGGTCGCTACTATAGCCCATTGCTGCTCAACTGCATTCTTGCTTTAGGGTCTCGCTACTCCGACAGGGTTGATATCCGCTCCGATCCCGCTGACCAGAATACGGCTGGGAAGCCGTTCGTGCAGAAAGCCGAAGTACTGTTGCACTACGACATAAAACGACCGACCATTACAACTCTTCAGTCAATGTCAATTCTGGTAGGAGTCTATGTGGTACGTAGTTGTGTCCGGAATGCAGATGAGATTACATATTGCGAAATGCTGATGATTGCCAGGCCTACGGCTGTGATGCAGCAGGGTGGCTTCACCAGGGGATGGCAAATCGACTCGCCCTCGACATGGGGCTCAATCTTGATGCTGCATCTTTGAGTGGCACGTTTCACATGTCAAGCGAAGAGATAGAGTTGAGACGGCAGGTATACTGGTCGCTGTACTGTGACGACAAGCTTACCGCGATCTACACTGGACGGGTCTGTAGCTTGCTGGTAAGCTCTAACCCTGCAGCTGTCAAGGCGAGAGAGTCAGTGATACTAATCAAGATTCAACTACACAGGATGTCCAGGGTGCCGTGAATCTTCCATCGCCATTCACACCAGAACAAATAAGTACCGCGGGCAGCGACACGAGCAAAATGATACGATGTAATAAGAAGATCCACGTACACCGTGGGCTGATTGGACTTTGTCGCATCTTGGAAAACATTCTGCTCGCTCTGTTAGTATCTAACTGTTGCTCATGCTGTTGACAGCTCTTTGCAATCAACGAAGCTAACGACCAACTGCAGATACGCCCCAAAACCTCTGTACAAAGGGCCACAGAGGATGTCGTTCCTCCAGTCGTGTACCCTTGAGCTCAAGACATGGTTCTATGAGCTTCCAGCCGATCTGAGGATTGACCGATCCAACGATTTGCCACAGGTCTACACTCTACACATGGTCTATCACACCTGTTGTATTCTTCTCTTCAAACCCTTCCTCATCAGACCGAAAGAGGCGCCCGTACTACCAAAGACAGAGACCGTCAAGCGACTGGAGGAGCTATGCGTCGAATCGGCCAAACGTATATGCCACGCCGGCAAGAAGTACAGGCAAGTCTTTGGAAGCTTCCGCAAGAGCCCAATCTCGGCCACGCACTGCATACTTACCGCCACGCTGGTTCTCATCCAGTATGCGAGACCCGAACCAGAATTTGCAAATACTGGTAGACCGTGTTGCACCTTATACATTGAAGCGTGCTTGGATATCCTACGAGAGCTGTCAACATCATGGAAGCCGGCTTGTAGGATGAGGGTCGATCTCATCAAGTACCTCTACCAAAAGTATCCGGAGAGGATCCCGAATTCACTGCTCCAGAGTGACCGGAAGAACTTGGCAACGCTTGCTGGAAGGGACACGGAAAATGTATCGGTGCATCCGCAGCAGACTCTTGAGCAGAACCTCTGTCCACTTATGAACGTCATTGCTCAAGACTTCATGTGGGATGGTGCGGTCCAAAGGGGATTCAACGGCGGCTCAGAGGCTGCCTACAATACGCAGTTCGCTCTAGCAGATGCCATTGTTGACATCAGCGGACAGGACGGAGAAGCTTTCATGGATGATGCTTTCTGGGAAGGAATGAGCTTTGAGTTCAGCCACGAGGCTCAGATATAGGGATCGAGATACGTCTGAGCTTAAGTGCCCGGTACTGACTCACGACATATTTCCAATGTTGCAGATTTGGTCTTGATCATTCCCCGTAGCCAGCGGCTTTGGCTATAGCAGGGTGTCGTACCATCCTTCTTCTCGACGATTATTGATACGAATAGAGGGGGGGAGAAAGCAAATAAATAAATGGGATAAAAGTCGATCACTGACGATTTTGTCCGACTTTCAACATGAACACAAGGCCAGGACGCAAATAACAATCTCATGTGACAAGACCTGACACATCGATAAACCTTAGAGGCTAGCACGCGGATCCTAGAGTCCCTATCAGAGTCACCAGCTTGAGGCTGGTTGACTTGGAGTCCGCCGATGCCTACTCGGATAGAACATATTTTGAAGCAAGAAACAACACAGGTACATGAGCTTACACAATTCTCTTTGACGTTCAAATAAAACCCGCCAAAATTCCAAGACCGCAAAAAACGATGAATCCAACCACCATTCCTAGTAGAGCCACTTGCAACACAGCTCATCGAGTAGTTGCACGTGTCGGACGTCGAGACCATGCGCATATAGAAAATCGGGAAGCCTGTATTGCCCCAAAACGAGACATCTGAACATCGAACAGCCCCACCACTCTGGATCCTGTGTCGCAGCGAGCTACCGCAGGTTATACTTGAGTGTAAGATGCACTAGTGCCCATCTGTGAAATGGAGGCTTGGTCTCGTCCGCGCGGCATGCATGACCCAAAAGCTTGACTTCTGACGGGAGAGGCTCCCAGACCCTCGACCCGGTGCAATAGGAATATTCTTTGAAACCTGGGTTTCCCTCAGGCGCCGCGACAAAAAAATAGGTTCGTTTATATCCACGCATTTGCAGAGGTTGAGGGGGGGCGCACTCTTTGGTCGATGCAGAGAATAGATAAGCTGTTCCTCACCCCCACGGATCTAGATGAGGGCTTGTTGCCAGAGCTCCGGTGGAACAAATGAGAGCCCAATATCAAGAGTGAATTCAGTATATAAACGCATACATACCAAGGGAAAGTCTGCGTATGTCAATCTCCTTTGGGGCTGGCCTCAAGGCAGCTGCCTAATACAGCAGGTCCCGTGACTGACGCCCAGGTGCGGAACAAGTCGGACGGTCGAGACCGGAGTCGTGCTTACTGCGAAACTTATCACGTAGGCCCTGCCTGCATCTTGTTGCAAACCCGGTCCGTTCAATGTGTTTATATTCGAATCCAGAAACCCCCACCACCACCACATTCACATTGACGCGCCAGGCTCATCCGCAAGCCAGCACCTGCTCGCAGTGCTCGCAGGCCATCGAATATCGCCTGCCATGCCCGAAATGAAAATACTCGTTCTCGGGCTTCCCCGAACGGGAACCCAGTGTACGCATGCCACACAATGGAATGATAGATTTCTCCTTTCCAAGATGCAATGCTCACCCCCCCCCCCCCCAGCCCTCGCCGACGCCCTGGCCCACCTCTCCATCTCACCAGTCTACCACATGCGGGAGGTCTCCAAGAACGCCCACCAGGACCTCTGGATCTCCGCCATCGCCGACAACCTCCCTCGAGCCTCTCCCCCACGCCCCTGGTCCCGCCCCCAGTGGGACGCCCTCTTGTCCGGCTTCGCCGCCGTCTCCGACTTCCCCCCTGCTCTCTTCCCCACCGCCCTCGCCGAGGCCTACCCCGATAGCCTCATCGTCCATACGACCCGCCCCTTCGAGGCTTGGGAGGCCTCGATGAGAGACACCCTTATCCACGCGCACCGCCACCGCGACGCGGAGAGGAGATCGCCGATGGAGGCGCTGGCCAACACCTACCACGCCGCGTGCTGGGATGACGACTTTGAAAAGAATGGGAGGGCGTATTTCGAGAGGCACCATGACGAGGTGCGCGCTCTCAAGGCGGGCGGGAGGAGGTTCCTGGAGTATCGTCCCGGCGACGGGTGGGGGCCTCTGTGTGAGATGCTGGGCGTTGCGGTGCCCGAGTTTCCCTTTCCACGGAGTGATGATTGGGTCGAGTACAAGAAACAGGTTGAGCGGGAAAGGAACGAGAGGAAGACGCAAGAGGTTGTACATGGCAGCTAGAACACAACCGAGGAGCGTCACGAAGGAGAAAGGAGCATCAAGAGTGTGTATCGAACTCGGCGAGAGGAACTCGATTAATTGCTACCGGGGCTGGAGCAGATACTCAACAGCCTAAGCCTGATGGATATGAAAAAGGGTTCTAAACGAGTGTAGTGAACGTAAATACCACCATAAGCCCGAGAGCCTGCCAGGCTGATGTTGAATAGCCCCAATCTATCTGATTTCCATGTTGGATCCGGACATGATTCCCAAGTGATTGGCACCGGAGCGCCATCGAGAAGACTCCCTGTACCCTCCTTCTTCCCTCCCCCCAGCCCGCACAGGAGCGTATGCATTGCAGCAAAAAAAAAACTTTTGTCTCATACTGATGCGCAGGATTAGACCTGTTCGTTGGGAGTGCGTGCAATGAGGCCAAGGCCCAAGTGGCGCTTCACGGCCTTCCAAGACTCGATGAGAGCAATATAGACAACCACGCAGGCGACGACGATACCCCACTCCCAAGAAATCATGTCGTGTTTGAAGACGATGCGGTTGACCACGGGAAGGTAGATGACGGGAAAGGTCATGACGAAGCCACCGGTGACAGCCCAAAAGAGGAAGCGGTTCTTGAAGATGGTCTTGAAGACAGCGGTGGGGCCGGTCCACAACTCGGGGTTCATGTTGAACAAACTGCGCTGGAAGTGCTTGACCTCCCAGGCGGTGACCAAGAGCAAGAAGCTCAGGGTGGCGTAGACGGTGGAGCGAGCCCTGAAGACGACGTCACAAGATTGGTTCCATCCGTCATTGCAATGGCTGCCAAGGTCGCCAGCGCCAGGACCGTACGCGACGGACGTGAACGCAGCCAAACATAGCGAGCCCATGAAGAAGCCGTAAATCATCTTGTCCCGGATCAGGTCGAAGGTGAAGACACCAATTCGAAGGCTATGGGGTGGACGGAGGAGGATGTCAGGTTGCGCCTCCTCGAGTCCCAGACCGATAGCGAGGAACGATGAGGTGATGAGGTTGACCCAGAGGATCTCCAATGGAGACAAAGGGAAGACGGAGGTACCACTTCTATCCTTGAAGGAAAGGCCGATAAGGAGAAGGATGACCTGGGAGATGTTGGAAATGAGGAGATGGAGCAAAAACTAGACGTTGGTTAGCATGGTCCGTCAAAGCAAAGAGGCGGATACATGACATGCCTTCTGAATGTTATCAAACAAACGACGGCCCTCCCTAATGGCAGTGACGATGGACGAGAAGTTGTCATCGGTGAGAACCATGTCCGCTGCCTCCTTGGAAACGTCACTGCCTCTCTTGCCCATGGCAATACCGACGTGGGCTTTCTTGAGGGCAGGCGAGTCGTTGACACCGTCACCAGTCATAATGCAGTAAGCGTTGCGGCGATACATGGCCTCCAGCATTCTGACCTTGGTCATAGGGCTGCATCGAGCAATGACCAGAGGAAGGGCCTCAAGCGCATCGACTTCCTCGTCCGACATGGCGTCGAAGACGCCGGCAGCCATCACAGCCGTGGGCTGCTCGCCGCCACGGAGGATACCAACTTCGTGGGCGATGGCAGTTGCAGTCTTGATATGATCACCGGTAACCATGTGGACGGAAATGCCAGCAGTGTTGCACTGCTTGACGGCGCCAATAGTCTCGACGCGGGGAGGATCATATAAGCCTGCAAGACCCAAGAAGCGAAGCTTGCACTCAGCCTCGTCTCTCTCGCTCGCATTGTCGGTGTCTTCGAGGAATCTGTGTGCAACACAAAGGACTCTCAGGCCCTCGGAGGCGAGCTCGTCAGCCTTGGCGACGATCCTTGCCTTGGTAGCTTCGGACTCAGCCAAGCGCTGGACCATAACCTCGACAGCGCCCTTGGTAAAAACCTGACGGGGCGCTCCAGGGAGTTCATATACGACACTCATGAGCTTGCAAGACGAATCAAAAGGGAACTCGTACAACATCTTGGTCTTTTCAGACGAGACGAGGTCGTTCTTCCCCTTTCCATAACGCATGGCGAAGACCTGGAGAGCGATCTCAGTGGGCTCGCCAATGGCAGACCACGCAACCGGCACTTCAGTAGCGGTAGTCATGGACTCGGCGTCGGTAGAGGCGGACGTCTTGCCGTCGGTAACAGCAGCGTTGTTGCAAAGGGCAATGGCCTTGAGGAAGGCGACAAATGCCGACGATTGGATAGTGTCGTCAGCCTTCTCGGCTGTCGGAGTCGACGTTCCGCTAGAGGCCGAGCTCGACGCGGCCGAACCGGGCCAACGCACTTTGCCGCTGGTAGGGTCATAAGGGTCGGTGGTACCCTCGACGATGGCGGTCGTATCATCGGCCAGCCAAATCTTTCGGGTGATCATTCGACCCTGGGTAAGGGTGCCGGTCTTGTCGGAGCAGATGTTGGTGACGCCACCGACGGCCTCCAGGGAGGACAGCTTTCGAACAATGACATTACCGGAGGCCATGGCCTTGGTGCCCACAGCCATGGTAATGGTCAGGACGGCAATGAGGGACTCGGGAATGACGGCGACCCCGACGCAGATACCGTAAATAAGAACCTGGTCGTCAATGTTGAACCTGCTGACGGAGAAGACGATGATGGCAAGGAGGATAGCAAGGCCGAAAAGCAGAAGGGCGAACTTGCTAAGCTTGACCTGCAAGGGGGTGCCCTCGAGACCCAGGATGCTCTTCCCAGCAGCCTTGACGCGCATGAGGGCGCGGGAGGTCAGGGAAGCGTTCTCATCCCGCTTGCGGGTGGTGCGGAGCATCATTGCGATCTTGCCCACCTCGGTCTCCATGCCGGTAGTGGTGACAATGCCGCGAGCGCGTCCTCGAGTAACGGTAGTAGCGGAATAAACCATGTTGAGGCGGTCGCCGAGGGGGATGTCGGCGTCCTCGAGTACGGCCTCGGGGTTCTTGCTGATGGGCAACGACTCGCCGGTAAGGAGAGCTTCGTCGATGGATAGGTTAATTCCGTCGACAAGTCGGAGGTCGGCCGGAACGACGTCGCCAACAGCGATCATGACTAGATCGCCCTTGACGAGGCTCTGGGCTTCGATGGTCTCTGCGACACCGTCGCGGATGACTTTGCATGTCGGGGCGGACAGCGCGTACAGAGACTGAATGGTCTGTTCGGCATTGTAGTCCTGGATAAAGCTGTGATGATGATGTCAGTCATGGTGCTTGATCGCTGTTGTTTGTGGCGTTGTTGAACGACAAAGTGTGTGGAACGTCGTGGGTGGGCGAGTTGAGATGGGTACAATGGCAGGGGTCTGGGATTTTGATGGCGCGCCACGTCCGGCCAAGATCCTTGCAGAAGAGAGCTTGGTGCGGGATGGTGCGGTGCCACCAGGGCGGTCAGTAGTCACCCAACCCAGTGGCAGACGGCGGCGTATTGTGCCAGCACGCGAACTGACCGACCAACCACACAGCGTAGCGGCTTAACAAAACAGGCGGACCGACGTGGCTTGGACAGGGAGGGAGGGCAAGTTGGAGGCCGAGAAGTGAAGTAGCAGAGGAGACGGAGGTCGAAGCAAGATGCCATGGGTGGGTCGCAAGGCGCCAGGCAGGGCACAAGGGTTCGGAAAAGGGACAGAACAGAAGAACTCACCCCACGACAATGTTGAGAACGATGACGGCGGTGACGACGCCTCCCTCAATGTAATCTTGTATGGCAAAGGATAGAATGCTGACGATCACGAGGACAAGCGTCAGACTGTTGGAGATTTGCCTCATGACAATCTCCCAAACGGATAGGCCCTTTGCGCCATCGATACGATTAGGCCCGTCCCGTTGGAGACGGGCAGAAGCATCGGCCTTTGAGAGGCCATTTTCAATATTGGTCTGCCAAAGGAGACCTAGTTCTTCGACGGGAAGACTATGGGCAGGGCGGTGAGGGAGGACGGGGTTAGGAATGGGCGGGGGCCGCGGTATAGACGGCGGCTCGTCCTGCTCGGGGTTGGCTTCCGCGGCAGTTGTGCTGTGTTCACCACGCCTGACGGCTTCGGGTTCTCCCATCGGATATCGGTAGGGTACTGCTAGATTGCGCTCTAGTGAGGTCGGGAGAGTGGCGTCGGTACCTGTGACGAAGCCCAACACTGGTTTGTTCTGCTGTGGGTTAAAAGGGCGAGTTGGGGGAGAGAGAGAACGTGCAAGCTAAGAGCTTGGGGTGGTGATAAAGAAGAAGAAGAAGAAGAAGAAGAAGAAAAAGGGAGAGGGAAGGTAGGTGTGGCAGGAGGAAGGCGTTAAGTTATAGTTTTGGTGGATGGTATGGATGCCAAGGGAGGGGGCGGGGAGGGAGGGAGTGTGTCCCGGGCAGACGAACGAACAGAGAGAAAGAGAGAGAGACGGAGAGGATGGAGACATGCGTATCGGTCGACGGCCTGGGGGATGCGAGGATACAGGGACGCGGGTGCGGGTGCGGTGGTGGGAAAATAGCTCCGACCGAACGGGATTTGGAGTGGATGGACCGAAGAAGTGAAGGCCGAAGTGGCATCCGCTGGGCGACTGTATGTCTTGGCTCGTCGTTGTCCGTACCGTACCGGGCTGGGGCCGTACCTGTTAGTGAGGGGAACGATGGATGAATGGAGAATGAGTGGAGGCACTTTGCATGGTGATTCGGATGCAGTGATTTGATATACATTACACATACAGTAGTGTAGATGCCTGAGATACCTGTAGGTAAGATGGAGTGGGAGGAGGAGGGACGCTGAGAGGCACCCTAGCAGACGGGCGGGTGAGTGACATGAAGACAGACAGGGTTGGTTGGTTGACTTTCGGTAGGAACTCTGAAGCATGCAAGTCCCCCCCCCCCCCAAAGGTACCCAACTACTTGCATACCTACCCTACCCGGGCAGGTAGACGGTTGGCTGTACTCTATGAGTGAGGTACATGTACGTATCCAAGGCGGTCCTAGAATGCAAAGACAAAGTACCCACCAGGTACCTACCTAGATAGGTAGATGATCAATTCATCAGCCTTTTAGGTGCCACCGTCTCTCAGTCTTCTGTTCGCCCTACCGGGCTTGTCCTTGTCAGCGTGACCGTATCTCTCCTGCCACCCGCCGCCTAGATACCGGTCATGTTTTCTGCCAGAGCCGCACAGTGATTGGGTGTAAGAGCGATGTGGAAGTTGGGTTGTTTAGGCAGGAGCAGGCTTGGCAGTCAAGCGACACTACAGACAGGGATGGGCTCGATTGCCTCAGAGTTTTGGTCTATTTCAAGGCGTGTCTTGAGTTGCTTGCTGATGGCTTTGACAGGAGCAAAAGCAAACCGAAACAGGGGTGACTGTTGCCGAGGGGAGGGAAGAAGGCGGCAAACCATGTTTGTGACCATCAGATGATAGGTATGTTGATACAGGCCGATAGTTAGAAAGAAGCAACAGAAACGGAAGGGAAGGAAGGTATAGGTGATGTCTGTTTTGCTTCCTGCCTGTCTTAGCACTGCGTACCTACCTACCCACCTTGGGTATTTTATAATGCAATGCGCACCTTCCCTTCTTCGCGATGCAGGCAGGTACAGATTGGCAAACCCAACGAGGCAAGATGTCGTCGTCGCCCGCTACTGCCTGTATAGGTATGTTTGTTTGTACGTACCTAGGTAGTCGACCCTTGTGGATGTGGGAGAACCGCTCCGCCGGTGCGCAGTGCAGCCGGTGGAAACCGCCGATAACGTATGACTGTCTGCCTACGCCAGGTACCCAGGTCAGGTACCGAGGTAGGTAGACAGGTAGGTAGCGTATTGCAAAGCTGCCGAATGCGTTCGCAACCAGTGCAAACGCATACAATACCGGTAGCGCATCACACTAACAGCGCTGTAGCATCCGCTACACCTGGCAAAGCAAGCGCTCCCGCTGGAAGAGGACACGACACGGAGACGCAGGCCAGCGGCGCCGCCAAGAAGCACCGGTGCCCGCCGAGAGTGGGCTGGTCGTCACAATCAGGGAAGGAGAGAACCTGTCGTCCAATCATGGCGCTCCGAAGCGGCCGGGGCTGGGACGCTTCTAGCCACCTGATAGGAGGGAGCGGCCACAGTGGCAGTGCAAACCACTCGTCTAAACCATCCCGCCCAGCCGCCAAACCGTCCAAACCGGGCACTTTGGCTTTGGCATGTATCTGCATAGGTATACCTCGCTGTCTGATGAGGTCAATCCCAGGCTCGGCACCACCTACCAGCGCCTCCCTTCCCCTTCGACATTCAACAACCAACGCGAGGTAGAGATGCTTTCCGTTGCCTTCCCGCGATAGGTATTAGCGTTGCATGTGCACAACTACTACGTCAGGTATCTAGGTAGGTAGTTAGGCAGATATCTCTCCATCTACCCATCATTTTTCAGCGCTGCTCACAACTACTGCCGCTCGGTCATTCGCCAGATCAGTCATCAAACACTGGCTTATCTGATTGGTCGTGCTGACACGCGGCTCTTGGCGAATTGCGCCCAGGCCCTCTCCTGCCCCCCCCCCACCACCACCACCACCACCACCATTAGACTCCGTTCCAGAACAGAGAAGGAAGCAAGCACCGATGGGAAGAAACGTTGTTGCTGCTGCAGCTGCTGCTTCCAACAAAATGCTTTCCGCATCAGTCATCCACGTTTGGCAGGTCCAGACAGCTGGGAAAAAAAGCTCGCGGACATGTTATAATTAACACCAAGTAAGATAAGTCCCTAACCAGGTAGTATTCTAGGTCAGGTATCCGTACATAGGTAGGTGCCTACCCTGCCTGTGACCGTTTCCTATATGGCAGGTACCTACGTATATGTTGAGTACTTCGCTTCGTCGTGTAAACACTCCCGTTCTTAAGTGCCCACCTACCTAACCCACCCAGGTACGGATACTCTGAGCACATCAGATGACACTCCTTCCCTCACAGTCCGTCCATATACTTGTCAATGGACGGGGGAGAAAGACCTTTGCGCCTTTCCGGGCCAGCTCGTCGGCCCCCGCCAAGCTTACCCACTCTACTTTGTACGCCTCCCCTTCGTGACGATCGACATCATACCGACAACATCTGCCTCGTGCCCTGGTTTCCGTCCTCCATCATCGAAGGAAACCCCTCCCCTCGCCTCACCTTGCTCCCGTCCATCCGGCTTGCCCCATGCGCTGCTGCCACTCATCGTCAAACAGTCGTCAAGCGTCTAATCGCCGCCGTCGTCATCAGCAGCACCACTTGCACCGACTGCCCAAACCGTACCTGTTTCGATGCGCAAACATATCGGGCAAATCCAATTCATGGTTTCTTGAAGAAACCATATACCTAGTCTGATCATGATCATGCCTTCTTCTTCTTTTTTTCTTTTTCAAGGAATCAGTTCCACTCCATCGCTGCCAATAATAGCCTGCTAATGACTGACTGCTGCCGCCGCCCTCCTGAAATGGTAGGTGAGCACACGGCACATCCCCCCAAAGCGTGGCTGATTCATTGCATTGCTGACTGACTGACTAGGTAGCTGGCTTTGTCTGCTCTGTCTGCCCTCCTTTCCTCCTCACTCTTCGATGCGCTTTTCCGAAACCAAGTGAGTGCCTGCGTCGCATTGTTGTTCTGGAGCATATCTGGTGCTGCCATGGTCCATCGCCGTGCGGAATCATTGTTTCCACTCCTCCACCCGGCCCCATACCTGCAGTCTTGGCCCTGGGTCGGCATGGTCGAGACGTCGAACGGGAAAAGCCACGCGAACACGGTCCTGGAGATGCATCATGGCACATGACCCCCTTTTGGGTGATATTGAAACTCCTCATCGAATCGCGTTACGCAACCCGGCCAAGACCACTAACAGCACTAACAGTGGGTTCCCACAGGCATCATCGACGCTGCTTTCTTGTTTGGCACCTCTGCTTGGTAAGTTCAAAAATGTCCCGAAACTGACTGACTGACATGGGCGGCAAGCATGAGTGAGTGACTTGCCTGAGGAGTCGAGCTTGGCCGTCTCTTCAATTCGTCGACACTGTGGCTGCCCAAGCCAAGACACTGCAACTATATTGGCCAGAAAGAAATGTACGAACACACTACGTAGGAGGTGACTAAAGTCGGCAACTTTCAATAGCGCTCCCCAGTGATACGCCGCTCCTGGCTTCACCCTTGAATCGCTCTCCGTTGCCTTGCCCTGCGGGAAGCCTCCTGAGAAACCAAGCGGACTTACTCCGGCACTGCACCTTGCTGCACAGACAGGCCGAGCATGCCCAAACAACAAGAAGAAAACGTCCAGGCTGAATGACGGTTCATCTTGACGACATGACCCATCAGCATGTATGCACCCACAACGACGTACAAATCTGGTCACAGGACCTTGCGCCAAACACGGCCACGTCGCGACAAACCGTTGCCGTCGCTTGCCTCATGTTGCTCTCACAGAACCAGCTTCGTGGCCAAGGAGGAAATCGCATGCGACGAAGCATGCACAATGCTCCGTACTTCTTGACAGAGGCTTGAGTCGTTGCCCAGTCATGTCATTCCTGTTCCCGTCTGCCACGTATCGGCGATCCGCATGTGCAGCAGCCCCGTTTTGCAACTGCTAAGCTTATTTGCCCACAAGTTTTGCGCCAATCTGACGGCTCCATCTACGGAGCTTAGATCTGTCCGCCGCACGATGACAAGTGTGGGGGGTTCCCCCCCAAAGGGCTCGGATGGCCGGAAATAGAGCCAGGACGAGAGGCCAGAAGGGACAACGGGCACTTCGCGCCGCGCTCACACGAACGATGGGCCCCGTGCAATGCTGGGGAACCTTGGGGAAGAAGAGGGGAAATGCGTCTCGCTCGGCAAGACGCGGGGAAGCGTCTTACTAACTGCGATCCACCGCAAGCTTTCTCATTATCCGTACACGCGATGGCCTGAGAAGGGTCCGAGCACACCTTCGCGGTCTCGGAAGCCAGAAGATGACATCTGGACGCCGAAATGTCGCCACGCCTCTCACTGATACCTCGCTGCCGTCCAGCACTGCCCTGTGGGGTCAGTTCTCGGCGGTCACGAAATGTCTGGGCATCAACACATTTGCAACCACTCGTCGGAAGAAGTCGTAGCGAAGAATGTCTGGCGGCTGCGGCAAGGGACGTCGTTGAGATTGACGATTTTCCGCTCGTGAGCCTCAACGCCTGGGAGGGGAGGGGCGCTTCCCAGGGCGTTGGGCAACTAGACATGCCCCGTCGCGGGCAAGCAGAAGCGGTGAGGGGCATGGCGCCAGCCTCTGCCCCCCTCTCCCTCTCTTGAAGCCAATCCAGGGCACTCGAGCCGACAATGTCACTCAACCGAAGAACCCACGTACCTAGCGAAAGCGGGACGGGTGGGCGGTCAATGTTCACAGCAGTCGTCGGGTTTTGCCGTTGGCGTTGACTGAAGCAGGCAGAAACAACACAAACCACATTCACTGTGCTTCTTTCATTGCATAGCCAAGCCACCAACCGCCTCGAGGACCGATGCACCGGCCGCACACTAGGCACGGTCTACTCCGTGCTGATGTCGGCGGCTTGTTAAGAGCAGACAGCATGTCATCCGAACGTCTCAAGCCGACATAGCCACGATATGTCGCGAGCCAAGCCCAATGTTCTCACATCACTGCCGGGACGGTCCTGATACTTCCTTGGGTATTTCAGCACCACCAGGTCTGTCTCCGCGAAACAAAAAAGTCCTACATCTAGGGGTTTGACCCCACGTCCCTATGACAGTTGGCATGTTAGCGCGGCTAGCTGTTGCACCGATTGCATTGGCTTGCTAAACATCGGAGCGGATTTAGATCACAGGTCGGAGGACCGAGCTCCTCGGCCTTCGTTCCAGCGCTATCTCGCGTGACTGGCCTAGCGATGGAGTGCTTCCAGCTTCAGAGAATACTCTCCCATGGTGCTTGTCAGCCACGATTTGTCCAGGCTCTTCTACCTCCGTCGGACAGCAAAAGCAACCGACTTGATCAGCCTCGGTGATCGCTCACGCATCCTCCGTGCCTGGCTCACACGGCTCCATACTGGGATCCGGACAACGGAGTCGGGCCAGTTATCATACAACTTTTCCCGGTCCAGGTTGACATCGAAAATTCTACAGGTGAGATCGATACAGCTAACCGTATTGAATGATACCTCACTTTTACTCAACTAATTAATTACTGGAAAGACTATGGTATCATACGCAAACATTCAAGTAGCCCACTCCATACCCGAGTATTGCCTGGTCGAGTGCTAGAACGCACCATGGCTATTGCTGCGCCATCCTCCTTGTCTGAATGAATGGCCTTTGTTCATTAATCTCATCCTCACTGAACCAGGTGCCGTGCAAGCCGTATGGCACCCGCTGTGGCAGCTTGACCCGCGCGACCACTTCTTTCATACCCTTCGCATCAATGATCCACAGCTCACTCACAGCATCTGGAAGGCATTCTCCTGTCCTATCGAGCTGGGCTTCATTGAACGCATATACCAACAACCATCCGTCGTCTTCGGACCGAGGCTGTTTTCGAGGAACGAAGCGCGGCTCTTGAGCGTACCATCCATCGGGCATTCGGAAGAGTTTGATGGGGTCTTTCGGGTCCTTGCTGGTCAGAATTTGATGAACATTCCGCATGTCTACACACCCCTTAACAGGCTGGGGTGGCTTTGCTAGACCTCTTGCAATGAGCGTTCGGACATCCAACTTAGCCAAGTGGTCAATCTTTGCTGCCTTGCCAAGGGCCACGGAATAAGATGCCTCGCCCGTCGAGCACCCATAGACATACCGAGCTTCCTGCATTGAGTATGCCGGAGCGACGGACGGGAACTCAAGGGAAATGGCGGACAGAGCCCACTGGTGCTTGATGTTGTATTGGACGCCAGGCTTGTTCGAAAGTGGAAAGTTATAATAATATAGCCGACACTGCTCCTCTTCCGCATACTCTGGAGGCACAGGTTTCACTTCGGGCGTTGGTAGGTTGCCAGCGCTGAAGACCATGGCCGCCGATGTTAGGCGGCACGCAACCAGATTCACTGACACCCCAGGGCTGTTGCTATCAATGTCTGGCAGTATCGTATCCCAGCAGTTGGCGGTGTGAAAAATTGTGCAAGGGTTTGTCTCGAACCACTCAACGGCATCTGGTCGGTGTCGCGGGAACACTCCAAAGCGCGACTTGCCAGCGGAATCATACGACAAACTAGGAATCCCCCGTAGTAGGTTCATCGCATTCAGAGAGAGAGGAAGGTCCATGATGACAGTGTGACGTCTCGACACCCCAAAGTCGTGCATCATCTTTGGCGATTCGATTCCAGGAACTGGCGCGTCGAACATGGGCTGGCAGCCGCTGAAGGACTTTGACGTCGGCGGTACAACGGAGCAACGAACGAACGGCTTGACGAACGTTGCATGAAATGTGATGAGCTCTTTCGTCACCGGGTCGACCCTGGGGTGCGCGGTCGTCCATTCCCTCATGAAGGACTTGACGCCTGTGCCGCCAAACCCGCTCTCGTTGCCCTGTATCGGCTCGTTCTCGGCCGTCCTCCCATTGAACCAGCCAATGGTCTCCAGACTCGGCAACGAAAATCTCAGGGGAGGACCACTTTCACAAGTCGCCAGCGCGCGTCCGTTGTGGAATATTACGTTGGTGTTCGCAACACTAATCTTCTTGATCGGATGGCCAAATCCAGGAAGGCGGGAGATCATGACGAAGAAGACGGTGCGAAAGACCTCGAATACGATGCGAAGCATACTCGTGGCGGGATTTACCAACGTCGCAATACTTGGCACAACAGGTCGGCGCAGGTACTTGTTGCTCTTCGCATGGCAGTAAACGTCGGTCAACAGATATTGGTTCACAAACTCCGGCTGAATCGTAGCGTCTTTCTCGCCAACACGGCGGAATAAAACGCCACTCAGCATGCCGTCGCCATCGAACCAATGCGCAGCTCGGGCCTGATCATCATTTGTTATAGGATTACCGCCATTGCGAACGTACTGCCCCCCCGCGAGATCCAGTGGTATCGTTCCCTCATATGAACATGGCGTCAATGGTAGACATGACTGAATTGGCGCAAAGTTGCCTGACAGATAGCTATCGAAGGATGTTGTTAGCCCGAGGCGGAGATAAACAATAGAGCAAATACTTGCGGGTGACGGGTCTCGACTGTTTCCACTGCTTCTACCTCTTCTATGCGAGGATCCATATCCATTTTGCTGTCGAGAAAGGATGCCTGGTTACGCAAGACCGTTCTCACGACATGCGACTCTTGTTCTCAAAGATCAGGAGAAACTACCAGCGTTGTTATACGACAAAGGAAGAATGTGAAAGGCTTCCAAGCTTAGTTAACCATCTGGGCCAGCTGCGCAACGCGGACATGTCGGGGCACACCACCGCAAGCCGAGGTACGTATCCAAGGTGAACAATGGCTCCTCTCCGTTTGTGGTTCTTCAAGATGATTTAATGGCTGCATAGAAACCTAGATGGCCAGCCTGAAAAACCATGGACCCAAAACTGTCACTGGGGTTTCATTAGTTGGTGTTGCAGTATGACGACATTGGACGAAGCAGCGCTCGGGGGTTCGGAGGTGCTCGGGCGCTCTTTTCCCCAGCCAACCTACTGGGGGGGGGGGGGGGGGGGCGCAATTAGTCTCCTGTCCAGCTCAGGCATGGTTTGGTTTGAAGATGTTTTGAACTGTCTGCATGAGAGGGGGATCAGAAAGCCTGGCATGCGGTGACCGCAATGGGGATGGCCATCTGGAATTCCATACAAGGATGGGCCGCAACACTTTTGCCAACTCTCCCCGCTCGAAGAAAGGAAACTTTCAGACGCAAGTTCGGCTGGAGTGGACTGACAACCTAATGTAACCCACAAGCACTCAGCGTGTGGTCACCAGACCCCATCTTGACACAAGTATATGGGAAACCAGATCGGACTACTGGCTTGGCAATCGACAAACCATATGGCAAGCAGTTTTACCTTCCTGCTTCCGCCATAGCTTTCAAAAGTGGTCTAAATGCGACTAGCCGGTCGTTGTGCCGTTGTGTCAAAGGAAGGAGGACGACTAGTATAGTTTTGCCTGTTGTTCCGGCCTTGCCAGTCATTTGCCGGCGCTAGATCCGGCTTTGTGGGGAATTATCCGGTGCAACTCCGGGCGAAAGTGGTGACTTCATCGACATGAAATCTTTTTTTCTTTCCTTCTTCGCTTTTCCCTCTGCGCTTACAGATTTGTCATTGTAACTCCATACCATTAACGACTTACAAACAGTGGCTTAGTGGAGATTGCCCAGACATTCCTGCCCGACTGGCATCGTTTTCGCTTTTGCCGCCTTTGCTGTACATTCAGTCAAAGTACTCGTCATTTTCTCCGCTCCGCACCCAGAAACCGGGGCTGTCTAGATAAACTCGTCGTCATGGATTCATCTCTGAGCTGCACGGTCTGAGGTTTGAGTCGACCGATCCAATTCGCCGGACCCCGCTTTCAAGCTGATGCAGAGCAGGAATATCCCTTTGCATCACGCTGTGATCCAAACATTTCGTTAGCAACCTCGGGCGGTTAACAGGGAACGCGCGCCAGCTAAGCTTTCGACTCCATCTGGGGTGCCCGCCTTGGCTCGCGTTTGGCCAAGTCTCATCTGCGAGGGTGTCGGAGCGGTTGGTTTCGGTCTACCGTGCGAGCTGCCTACTGCTTCCAGATGGGGAATGGTGGTGTTGTCGACTCTCGACCCCCCATCGTCGGTCTGGCCTATCGTCCGCCATCTACGGCGCCCGGTCGGTCGTTGATTCGAGTCTAAACGTCATCTGGCTTTCGTGACAATCTCAATGCCGCATTTCTTGCTTTTCCCCTCACACGTTCCAGGAAATCTTGCGACGGAACTAGATACGGATCAACCGGCAGGGGCTGTTGGAATCGCCCTCGTTTGGGGCTAAGTCTGAGGTGCCGAGACACAAGAGAAGAGATATATTGTATGTACCAGGCCCCGTAATCTTTCATTTAGTTTTACCCAGGCTCTCACAGTCATAGTTATCCATTACTAGTTGGCTGGCAGACACCAAAGCTGCACCTGACATCAGTTTTCTTACTACCTGCGAGCTTCGACACATACACACACACATACCCACACGCACGCACACAACTGGGTCAGGAAACTACCGCCAAAATGGCAGGCAATAAAGCTATTATTACGAACGACCGCGTCGGCCAGCAGGCCGACCTGCGCATCACGACGCGTGGCTCGGACTGGTACTTTGCTGTCTGCGCTATCATGGCCATAACTACTCTCATATTCTTGGGCATGGGCTTCGCCAAGCGCGAGACGCATCGCCTGTTCCATTACATCACGGCATCCATCACTTTTGTCGCTTGCATAGCATACTTTTCTATGGGCGCCGGCTTGGGCCAAGTGCCCATCCAGGTCGAGTTCCCGCGCAGCAACGACATACTTGGCCCCAACGGCACCGGCACACGCGAGATCTTCTACGTGAGGTATATCGACTGGGCCATCACCACGCCGCTGCTGCTGCTCGACCTCTTCCTCACGGCCGGTCTGCCCTGGCCCAGCATTCTCATCGCCCTGCTCGCCGACGAGGCCATGATCGTTACGGGTCTCGTCGGTGCCCTCACGAGCACGAGCTACAAGTGGGGCTACTGGGTGTTCGGCATGTTCGCCTTCTTCTATGTTGTTTACGCACTCGTCATCGACGGACGCCGACACGCCGCCGCGCTGGGCGGCCAGGTCAGCACCACGTACCGAAACTGCGGCGTGCTCACCATCTTCTTGTGGTTCATATACCCGATTGCCTGGGGCGTGGCGGAGGGCGGCAACCTCATCCACCCTGATTCCGAGGCCGTCCTTTACGGCATCCTCGACGTGCTAGCCAAGCCCGGCTTCGGCCTGCTCCTGCTCTGGGGTCACAGGAACATTGACCCCACGGCGCTTGGCCTGCACATCCGTGAGCCGGGTCAGCCCAAGACCCGCACTGGACAGCACGATGGTGACCATGGCCACATCGGTGGCGCGGGACCTAGCAATGGGCTCTAAACTTGTTTTTAGACAAGATCCCGCGTTCGGAGATGGAAAACATCGCAGTTTGGATACCTGCATGTCCTGGTGGCAGTACTCGGGTGTTACGAAAAGCTTCCCATGTATTAGGCCAGTGCTTCCTCAGTACTACGAGAGGACGCCTGGAGAGTGGTGGCATGTGCGCTGGTATGTCGGCGTTATGTAATGTTTCTTTTGGTAATATCCAGCACAATTGCGTGCTCGGAACAAGAGGTTATTATACCCGCAACGTGAGAGAGTATTCATTTAGGATCAATCCAACATTTCCAACATGATTCTTCACCCGATGCCTAGTAGACAAGATTCTGGCGACGAGCGACTGACCTCTCCTATCATCTCATTCACTGTCCCCTGTAGCCGATTCTTTGCAGGATTGAATGTTTCTCGTTTGTGAGTGATGAGTGCGCGTCGTTCCATCCACTCCCTATCACGACTCCTCTGGATACGAATGATTCAAACGTTGCCGAATCTAACTTCTGGATATTACAAACCCCGAAATAGTCTGATTCTCTAGGCATTAACTTAGGATCTGTGTAGCACACTGGGTGGTGTGCCATCTCGCCCAATGGGCAGACTTCCGGTCAATTCCAGCACCTCATGCCTGATGAAGCTGCGCGACCTAGTCGGGCAGGCCTCAGGGCTGACCACACCTTTACACTCTCTTACAGCCTAACCATCTCCTCGACAGCTAGTAATCGGATGCCGACGGGATTCTGTGAGGCTTTGGGCCCCGAACCTAGGGCTGTTGCGTTTCCGGTCAGGTGTCAAAGTTATTTCTGACTGCCTGCCGGGCTCGCCAAAGGTTTCTTTTTTCTCCTTGTTCTTTTTTAGGATTCGTCGCACGACGAAGTCAAAGATGAGGGGAAGTCGGTCGAGACGCCACCCGCCGCCTTCATCCGTCTGTTGTTCTCTCCGCGTAAGAGGGATCAACGAAACGCGATACGAACGGTGAGTACGCTCTCTAAGAAGTAAATGCTTCAGACCAGCCGCTTGTGGACAACGCTGACGCAGAGCATTCGTACCTTTAGATATTTGGGTTCCAAAAAGCTCCCGGTCTCCTTTGCTGCCGGAACTCTCATCGTCGTGGCTGGCGGTGCAGCAGCGGCGGCGGCCGAGTCCTCGCCATAAGAGCATGCAGGCGTCTAGCCGTCTGCCGTCGGGCGCAAAGGTGATATGGAATGTTGCGAACTTCGCGGTATTTCTTGAACTCTACTACAAGCAAGTCATCAAGGGCGTGCTGTACACCGAGGCCTACGCCGTCGTGAAGGGTGCCATGTTGTAAATATTATCCGAATGAGGACTCTGAACCTTTGATTCACAAAAGGGGGCATGACCCTGAAGTACAGGTTACTGCTATCCTGCTATCTGAAAGCGAGGACCCTTCTCTGCCCGGGCGGCGAGTACTACAACGTAACAGCTGAGTTTGCGGCGCAGGAGGGCACCTGTGAGGCGTCCGAGGCGAGCTATCTCAATCTGGAATGAGTTGGAGATGAAGGGTCTCCGTGCATGAACGAGATGAGGCACCTCTGGCATTTTTGGTCCGAGATGACCAAAGCTGAATCCAAATCATGAAATTATATACCCCTGCGTCCAAACACGCCGGCGAGTTGTACTGGGCGACTTTCAGACGAGGGAATCTGAAAAGGGTGGACTCGGAGCGGGACGAGAATTCTCACCCCTTGTCAGGAGTCACCAGGCCATCTTCAGATGCACCTCGTCCACCGCAGAAGTTGAAGCGTCTTGAGAGGAAACAGAGTAATGAATGATATCTTTGACGACTTTTTCTACACTACCAAACGCGCACTGGGTAGCCATTAAGACGTTTTGATAGCTATAATAGCTGTGCCACACGGAGCTACGACAGCAAAACGGAATCGCCATGGGGGCTCGGGTCGGATGATATTTCAAGAGCAGTCGAGAACCTCCAATGCTTGAAGCCAGATGAACGGATGATTGAGTGAGTATTGGTGCTTTCTTATAAATTTCCCCCGTACGGCGGCTTTCTAACTGGTGATTGATCTTCTGCGCGAAGTTGGTCCAGCGGTGATTGTGGGTTTGTAAATAACAAAAAACTGGAACCTGGGAGACTGGCATTCTTTTTTTCCAAGGACTTGAAATCGGAAACCACAATTTGATCACAGAGCTTTTAAACTCCTTATATTGGAAAGTATTGTACGCAAGTACGAGAAACCATCCACCCCTGTGATGGTACCTCGTGATACGATAATACCACACAACCAAAACCATAGCTACTATAACTGAATGCGGCCCGTCGATGTCAAGTTGATCTCCTTCCCCTTTCTTGTGACAGCTGGCAATCGACTGAATGCGAATAGCAATATATAAAACACTATAAGGCTGTCAAGTAGTAAGTGTAAACAAGCTCAAGCGTATGGGAAGAAAGATAGAAGAGAGGTTGGGTCGTATAAATTATCCAGGGGGTAAGTGAATAGCTAGGTATAGTTGCTAAGATACCATGAATCATACCAATATAGCTTTCTAGACGTCATAGTACTCAGCAGTTGTAACCATACAGTCTAAGTACTCTACGGTATAAGTTTACCCTCTCTTTAAGATCTCGAAAGGCTTATAGTTAGGTTATAGATACTGGTAGAATTTTAGCTTATCTACTATCGCGTAACACGGGCGCAATTCACCACTCTCCACTCAGCCACAAGTTTCCCGATTTTGAACTGGAATCCACGAACAAAAGACTAATATGAATTATTCTTGTTAACACATAGGTATAGAAGACAAAGAGATGTTAAGAACCTTGTAGCTTCTTAGTAGCCTGAAAAACATACGGCCAAATATGGTTCCCTTTCTAGTCACAGACAGTGTCTGTGACTACCACTGAAATGATTAGAATACAAAAGGCCCGAGAGCATTAACTTATGCTTATGTAAACTGTTTAATAGCTTATAGGAATTTCCATCAAATCAGTAGGTTCTCATTCAATGATTCAGAAGAGATGTGATTTTGGCAGGTGTTATATGTCCAGCAACAGGAGCGAGTTGTAGGGACCAAAAGAAATACAAAAATAAGATTCACTGAAAACAGACAAAGATTATAATGTAATCAATAGCAAAGAGACCGGTTGAGAGCTCACCAGAGATTGAGGACTTTGAGCTAGTTGTGCTGAAAGGCTTGACATGATAGTTGCTATTATGAGGACACGGAGTGGATATAAACAGGTTGATATTTAGTACTCACAGAGTCGGATCTCACCGGGCCGATTCTGCAATTGCGAATGCGAACAGGAAACTTTGATTATTCGGATCGTAGTGATAATGGCGTTCTTAGGCAATATCAGGTCTCGGTCAATTTAGCTCAGGACCTGCGTTCGTCTGTACCTCCATGATAAACCTACTTTGAAGGGCCGAAGGCTGCGATCAAGGTTCATCGTATACAGATCCTTGGTAACATAGGCAAAGATGGGCTGAAGAGTCCGCCTGGAAGTATTAGAAATAGTGATTGGGGCATTTGAAAGGTTTGGATGCCTCGCAACTATGTTGGCAGAATACGGTAGAGTATCATGAGGGACGCCGGCCGGTAACATGGCCGTAGTAGGAGTCGTTGCTTTGATCTGATACATGTCTTCTTTTTTCTTCCCTTCTTCTCGATATCTGCGGGACTGGCCCGCTTCTTTGCCTTCTCAAATTCAATAGGCCGTCGTCGTTAACAATACATCTCATGCAATTATTATTACCACTAACCTATTCGACCCGGATAATCTCAACAGATAGCAAACTGTGGTCGAGCGTTTGCTGAGGGTGGAGACCCACAGCAGACCAGTCGTATCCCTTGCTTCTTACGGAACCGAGATCCACTTACCCGGATCACCGCTCCACCTAAAGCTGGCGATCTCCCGAGATACCCCAGACCCCATGTGCCCACGACATGACTTCAAACCAGCCTCTATGCGAAAGAGAGGCGTCCCAATTGGGAATCACCCAAGGATGAAAGCAACGGGTGACCTTTCTAGGAAATTCTCGGCTTAGAAAAAAATGTATATTGCCAGAAGTCTAAACTCCGGACCACATCGTGGTTATTGTGGGACGATATCCGCCTTGGGCCTCACAGCTTATGTCAAGTGCAGGGACTCCCTCTGTAAGGTCCGGACTGGTCATAGTCCGGACTAGAAACTTCAACAAACTCTAGCAATGACTATAATGAGAGAGCAGATCGCTTTCGGACGTCACAAACCGGGTGCCTGAGCCAACCCGGTCCCGGTCGTTCGTCAGGTATCGTGAAGCAACCGAAGCGAGCACAGTGCTCCCTCCTGTCTGACAAGACCAGACATCGAGTGAAAGTTTCCAGCCCTCTCTCTCACGTACCTTACGCTCTGAGGACTACCAGATGACCCTGAAGAATGAGTCTTTGTCATGACACCCGCTGAGCCGGAGCGATCTGATGAACCCGAGCCATTGGCAGGGCCACAATGCGCCGCTGTCGCGGTGATGACAGATTCAGCCTTCTTCCGCCATTATCAGGAGTATCCTCCACCCAGATCAACCAACCCCGCTTCATACACGACATGGGATTGGTGACATACCTGCAGGCTTGCAGGTCCTAGCAACGCCAGAACAGCTACATAGCCGCCCATGGCACAGACGGTTGTATAATAGAGGGTGCCGGTGCCTGCGGCGATGTGACAACTCGCCTAAAACATTTGTCAAGTGTGCGCCATCGTCTCGGATGGGCAGACAACCTGCGTGGCGAAGAGTCGAATGCGAGTGCGGGAATCTTGGAGCCCCTTGGTAGAAGTTCAGCCGCCCCGGCTATAGCTGGTGCTGCTGTCATTCGTGGTGGGCCGAGGCGTGACTGCAACGTCGCCAAGAATACGCACGATGTCACCGAGTGCCGCACTAGCGGCCGCCGCGCAGGAGGCAACTCTAGTTCCCGTGGGAGTTCCGCCTGGCGCTATCCCGTTTAGCTGGGAACTAGAAACTAATGATACACGTGTATGCAGGCAGAACATCCTGAGGTGTTCGGTGTTGGCGTTCCCGCACCCGGAGTGCTTGAGGTTCTGCAGGCGTGAAGTCAACATAACCTGCGCCACTCGCCAGTCCACTGACCTGTAAAACGATCCAGTTAAGCTTGATGCGTTAGTAAAAGGTGAGTGAACGCGCGCGTGACAGGTGGCTAGCGGCGACGTACCTGCACGTTTGAGCAGCGCAGGCAGTACCCGTCTACGCCAAGACGGCACCAGCCTTCCAGATCACATTTCACCATCGCGATTGGTGCGTCATGAACGCGGTTGATAATGGCCATTGACAAATACATGGCCTCGAGCTCGATCAAACTATGTGCCATCCGAACCGCGTCGGGTGGGCATTGCCGTAACCGACCGTCTCCTGGGAGTAGCAACGACGAACGTACAGATCGCGGCGGGCGAGCACCTCCAGTGCTAGGAGACGAAAATAGAAGGGATCGCCTCTACAAACGCAAGGGTCCCTACGTAAATTCGTATTAGAAGCCCGTCATAATTCGCCCTGTGTCGAAGCTGGCGCGTTCGGGTGAGGTCCGTGACTTGGCTTTTTGTTTCGTCTGGAGGAAGAGGGAGCCGTGATGGTCCTTTGCGTCGGCCGAACCTGCATACCGCACGGATTAGTCGTCTGCGCGCGTTTCAAGGGTATGTCCTCGCGCCGTAACCACGACACAAGCTGGACGAGGCTCCAAAGGGTTCGATCTTGGCAGCCAGGGCGACAGCGGGTATGTTTCTTTCGTGGTGGCGGGTGTGAGCGGATTCCGGTTTTGCGTACCGCGTATCTGCAATCCCGAGAGCGCAGGGTGACGATTCGTACAGTTTCCGGCGCCTCCTAGGTGTATTCTGGATCGGTTCGGATGAGTCCTTCCTGTAGTCGAGGAACGGAAGCCAATGTGCTTCATGTACGACGTCTTGGAATCTGTATATTAAGTAGATGAAATCCATCGTCAAGGTCAACCTTCTCTTCTTCTCATCAGCATCCAATACTCGGCTTATAACAACAACCAACCAAATTCAACTCTCCTTCTAGTCAATCAGCTATCTCGAGTTTCGCCTCATCAACCAATAGTCAAAATGTACTTCTCCACTTTCTTTGTTCAGGCTTTGATTGCCGGCTCCGCCATTGCCATGCCAACTTCGCTCAAGAGCAAGCGTCAACTTGATACTATCCAGGGTGCTCTGCAGAATGTCCAGGATTCCCTCGGTCAGCTTGATACCACTGTCAAGGCAAGCTTACTCATAATCAGCAACGGTCCAAAGCCAAGGCTAACCCAATCTCAAACAGGCTCTCAGCGCGTCTGACCCCAACACCGCCGCAAACCTCCTCGATGCTTCCAACAAGGTCCAGACCGTGCTCAAGCAGGGCACCACCCAGATCCAGGGCGCGCAAGAGCTCTCCATCGGCGATGCCCTCACCCTCCAGCAGTCTGCCGGAGGTTTGACCACCGCCGTCCAGACCGCAGTCGACGATCTCGTCTCCAAGAAGCCCGAGCTTGACAAGCTCCAGGCCACTTCCATCGCCGTTGACCAGCTCAAGCAGCAGAAGGCCGTTGCTGGTGATTTCAGCACTGCTATTGTCTCCAAGATCCCTGCCATCGGCCAGGGTATTGCCCAGCAGTCCGTCGACCAGGTTACCACTTCTCTGGACGGAGGTATCCAGAAGCTCTCTGGGGGCGATGCCGCCGCCGCCCCTGCCGCCCCTGCCACCCCCGCCGCCCCGGCCGCTGCCGCGGAGAAGCTCCACGCCGAGGTTATTGCCTAAATGACCCGACGTTGTTGAAGGTGGAGGATGTGATTGGACCTTCAGGATCTGATGAATGAATTGAAGATTACTAGCGTCTACGTTTCTGCACAGTGTATTGATAGTGGGCAACTAGAGGGCCAGCTGAGCTGCCAGAGCAGCTGCGCTGCGGAGTCTCCTCAATTGAAGACATGACTTGAGAACTTTATCTTCGTGCTTATAGTGATGCTTCTGTGGCTTGCGACTAGGAGAAAGGTTGACGTTTGTATCCAGGGAGTGGCAGTCCAGTCCATCATCCTTCATCTGACCCATCGGAGTCTCTTAGCTGTGATGCACATGAAGATTGGTATCACCGACAGAACCTTTTCGGCCACGTCAGGTGCTGTGATAACCCATGTCAAATATGATCTCTGCCAGAAAGGCAACGGATGTGCCGGGTATGATTCCACCGACACCGCCGTCCTGACAGTCACCAACACGTCCCCGACCCAGCTTGCAAGGTTCCGTGTAAACTGCTCGTTGGAGGCAGCGACAGTACTTAAGACCATGGCTAATTTGCCAATTCGGGAAATTTTGACACGCTCGAGGCCAATCGCGAGTGGCACCCTCGTGGTTGAGTGCAGCCTCAGCTCCACGCCGGCGTAATTTACGCCCTCGCGCCCGGAGCCTTTTTGTCTGAATACGAGTAAGCTACGACTCATACCATATACGCTGCTTTGTCCGACCGTTATCAGCATACTAGTCCGCTCTTCTAGAGCCTCGGGCGGATCAGCAGCATACAGCCGACGTCCAGAAAACCAGTACGGGAAAACAATGAGGAAGAATACCCTGACACCCATCCGCTACACAGGGCCTACCTAGTATACGTTTGGTCAGGCTCGGTGGGCAGAGGAGCCATGATGGCCAGTGCTTCGATATCATAAACGAAGATGCTTTAGCCGACCGAGACCTTGATTATTTCCTTCTGTAGTCTCAAGAAAGCCTTACGGCCCTCGCCGGAGAGGAGGGGGCATGTTGACCCCGAAAAGGCCAAGAAGGCAGTAGGCCTGGTCTTCAAGACGAGTGGTGACGCGGGCCGACACCCACGACATGACCTCGGCGATGCTGAAGTCGAACGGGCTGGACTGAGGAGCGGCTACCGGGGCGACGCCATGTGATTGAGATAAGATATCGAGGGGTTCATGGCCTCGAGGAGACCCTTGTCTGGGATGAGGGCCCTGCAGATGTCAGATGGTTTTAGGGAGTGGAAACCGGGCTGTTTGTCAGTGTGCGGAGTGGACAGCCCGGGGCATGACTAGGCGAAGAAGGTTCGAGCGACTTGAGCAAACTCGAGGCAGACAGGAACTACGATGTAGGAAAGTACGATGTACCTACCTACCTACACAGTGTGTGGTACCTGGTGCACGGGCCTGGGCCCGAGCTCCTCTTTTTTGCTGCCTCGTCGTCTCCTTCCTCTTTTCCATCTTTCCCTCCTTCCTTCCACCGCAACAAGTGACTTAATCAGTGTCACTGGACTGGACAGCATCATCCATCGGGGCTGTACAGTAAGTAATTGGTGTACACTATGCAAAAGTGAAACCACTGATGTGGGAAGCCGCCCGCACCCGAACTGCGAAATCAAACCACTATCGCCAAGCATGTTCGCCACAATATTCATCCTGACATCATCCTTCCCGGCGGAGCCGCCTCCCCCCTAAACACCAACCCACTCGCGCAAGTCATGTCACCTGTCACCGTATGCCCGTATTCCACAATGATGCTCTGGTACATTGTCTGGCCTCTCGTTTTTCTCACCCGCGAATCGGCCTGTGCCACTACCGGTATTAATCTTTTCGCTGGAAGCCCGGAATGTCACGATCGTCGTCCAGTTCGGCTTGGCGACACGGCACTCGCTTCACCAGTTGGATTTGATACTCGACCAATTTTCTTTCAATAACTGCGCAAGAGCATGATACCCCCTCCTTTGATAAAAGGATCTTTACGTTTCATCTGCTTTAACAGTGAACGCTTACAGTCCATCCCCTTCCAGCTGAACTTTGCCGCCATCTTCTCACTCGTCCTCTTGTTGATATGGATGAGAAACATGTTACTGGGGCCAACACCCGTCCAAGTCCGGCCCTTCCGCAACCTCCCAGAAATGAACACCATGATACTCGCGATAGGGACCCCATGATTTTCGGTCGGCACAGTTTGCAGATTACCCAACTCCATGGGCCCGCAGCCTCTTCTCATGTCACCGGCCAACAGCCACGTACGTCCGAACGCACTCTCCACGTCCTCGATACGTGGGAAGACTATCCCCGGGACGAAAAGTCCCAGAGCATGCCCGGCAACCTCGGCGTAGCCCAACGACCAACGTCGGCGCCGCACCACAACCCGACGACCTCGTCGACGAAACGCATCTCCCGCCCGAGCCATGACTTTGACCGCCGTTACGATGGCCCCTTCGGTCGGCCCAGCCTGGCGACAGCCCGCCCCTCCATCCGCCCTGGCACGGCCGACGAAGCAGTTCCCGAAGTCATCAACACCTTAGGAACAGGCCCGGACCGTCACCCAGACAGGCCGGTGTTCCAACCGACGCCCCCGCCGCTCAACTACACCCTCCGCACCCGCAAGAAGGCCATCGTCGTCTTCTGGGCCCTCATCATCTTTGACTCCGTCCTCACCCCCATCGCCCTGTACTTCGGTCTCTGGTACGGCGTGGGGCCGGGCACCAACACCCCGAGCGAGAAGAGGGAGAAGCTCAGCCCCAACGCCGTCTTCTCCATCGTCACCGCCGCCGTCGGAGGTGCCAGCATTGTCGAGTATTTTGTCCGCTTCTGGCGTCTCTGGCGTAAGGGCAGCACCTGCCGCGTTATCGGCGCCCACCGGTGGTACCTCGACTGGTTCCATTGGAACTTTTCATTTGCCTGGATCATCGTCATGATCGAGCTCATCGTGTAAGTGCCCCCCCCCCCCCCCACACACACACCCTCTCAAGTTTCCCCCTTTCTATACCGTCACTGACGCAACCCTCCCAGCGGCACCGTGCCGGAACGCCCCCCAATCCGCCTCCTCTCGATGCCCGTCACCACCATGCTCTTCGTCTTTGGCACCGAGCTTCTCCTCGTCGACGTGAGCCGTGCCTTCCGCCTTCCCGCCCCGTGCCGCATCTCCTCCATCCCTAAGGGGGCCCAGCTTCGCCCGGGCATCTACTCCCTCATCGAGGATGTCTGCGCCGTGGATGGCTCGGGCGGTACCGAGTTCCGCGTCGCCCTCGACCGGCGCTACGAGGCGAGCCACATCTTTCGCGCGATGCTGCGCCGGCTGGGCATTTTCTGGGCCGTCGGCGCCGAGGCGTGCGCCGCGCTGTGCACGGCCTTGATCTTCACTATGCCCGGCGATATCGCCTACACAATCGGCTGGTCGCTGCCGTTCGTGTGGACAGGCTTGTGGACCCTGGCGACGTTTTGGTATGTGAGCCGCGAGCTGAAGAAGGAGGCCACAGCGTGGGCCGAGGAAGCGGCTAAGGAGGGGGTGGCGGACTCTGTGGCATCGGTTTGATCGATCAATCCCCGAATACTGAAATGATGAAGTAACAGCGAAGCATTCGTCCAATCGTGAATTGGTGCATCGGAAACTGCCGGCGCTTGGAGATTTAGCTTAATTTAACTTTGTGCTTGTCTACCTTATGCTCCAAAGGGGCGGCTCCTCCCACCAATAGATACTCCTTTCAAACTCCATGCCACCACGGCTGACCACCAAGTCGCCGTTTTTCGTTATACATGCGAGGTCTAGCCAAACTCGAGACCATCTGTATGTTCCCATGCGCAACCATCGTATAATACACCAAGAAAAGAGAATACACTCAACAACACCGGCTACGATAGTCATATCTAGTAATGACGAACACATAGCACGGCGTCTACCGCTTGCGTGTGTCTCGGCCCTTCTTCTTACTCTTCTTCTTGTCCTTGGGCAGATCGAGCGCCGTGCCCTTGAGTTGTTCCGCCATCGTCCGCAGCATGTACTCGTCAATGTTGTACATCCGCTCGCCCCAAGCGTTATGTTCGATCTCCGCCGCAGCCTCGTCGGGCGCAGCAGACTCTGAGAACCGGCCCAGACCCGAGGGACCGGGCCCGCTCGACTGGGCGGGAAAGTCGTCGCGCGGCGTGCCTTGTCGGGTGCTCGAAGCCCCTGAGGGCGCCCCGCTCTTTTCTTGGAACTCGGCATCATCTTCTTGGAGTTCCTTCTCCGCGGCCTTGGCAGCTTCCACATCTTCCTGATCTTCGGCCTGCTTGAGGTCCTCACCCACGTTTCTCGAAGACCCGCTGTCGACTCCACCCAGGAGACGGTCCATGGCAGCATTGGCAGCATCGTCGACCAGGTCGTTGCCTTCGGTGCCGAGAACATCGCGTACGGATAGCTTGTTGAAGTAGTCCGTGGTAAAGCTACCCTCCTGGATGACAACGTCGTCGAGCATCTGCTTTTGTGACGCCTTGCGCAGGATGTTGGCTTCGATTGTATGCTCGCTAACCAGTCTGTAGATATGCACGTCCCTGGTTTGACCGATACGATGGCATCGATCCTGGCATTGCTTGTCCATGGCTGGATTCCAATCTTGGTCGTAGAAGATGACTGTGTCCGCGCCGGTGAGGTTGATTCCCAAACCACCTGAACGCGTCGACAGGATGAAGCAGAGAATCCTTGGGTCGTGATTGAATCGGTCCGTGAGAATCTGCCGCTGCTCAATCTTTGTCGCGCCGTCAAGACGGAGGTACTTGTGCCCGTGGATGTTGAGGAACTGCTCCAAAATGTCCAACACCTTGGTCATCTGCGTGAAGATCAAGGCGCGATGACCGCCAGCCTGCAGCTTGCGAAGGAGCTTGTCTAAAGCTTGAAGCTTTCCACAGTCGTACTGCAGCAGTCTCTTGTCAGGGAACTGAATGCTGAGACGCATGCGAGACTCATGCCAGGGGTCGACGGGCGCCTGCTTAGGCATAAACGGGGCCCATCGAACTGGCGCAGACAACTTGAGGTCTTCGTCCGTGAAGGCCTGTGCAGCCTTTCTACCCAAAATGACCTCGTTCATGTCGCGGGTAATTACAGCCGGGGTGACGCATGCAAACTTCTGGATGGTTGTTTGCATTGAGTCGGCTCGTTCATCCGCAGTATGGATGACGGCGCGAAGGAAGTCAGAATCTTGTGCAAACCAGTTCAGTATTTGATTGGGGACTCTTGGCTTGGGCTTTCGGGGTCGAATATCCAGCCCAAGCGTCAGAAAGTCAATCAGCCGCTTGCCGTAGATTGGTCGTCGTTGGCCACGAAGGGCGTTCAAGTAGACACTGTGCTGTAGCTCCTCAAAACGACGCCATCGAGCAAGACTGTCCAGATACATGATGTTAGATTGGACGGTCGATGGATCAAGATTTGTCCGGGCGAGGTGTGCCCTGGTGTTCTGAGCCTCCCGCAGCTCCATGAGCACCCTGTGCAAACTGAGCTGTGAAATTCGCTCTGCCGTCGTGTTTGACATGTTCTCATGCTGTGTTGGAATCATGTTGAGAACCCCCAGGCTAACCATAGACATTGGCTCTACTGCAAGCAAAGACCGCTGTAGGAATTGGTCGGTAATTTGATACTCTGCCGGAACAGACTTCTGCATCCTAAACGATGTCATGATTGGGCGATCGACAAACAGGTCAGGGTGGTTGCAGACCTTCCGCAACTGCATGAGACAGTTGATGATGGAAAGATAATTACCGGAGGAGAGAGTCTCACGAGTTTCGGTCCGTGCCAAAAAGCCATCGTAGAGCTCGCGCTGGCGTTTCGACAGGCGGCAAAATTCTACGTGCTCGTACTTGGCTGGCATCTGCTTCTCGACGTCTGCCTTGAGTCGTCGGAGAAGGTACGGTCTCAGAACCTTGTGCAGCTTGGAGATGATGGCACGGGCTTCCTCATCCATCGTCTCGCGACCGTTTTCCAGGATCTGGGACTCGGGCTTGTGAAACCAGTCGTGGAATTCTTGTAGGTCTGCGAACCCCCCGACACCATTCTCGGCGGGCATCAAGAAAAACAAAAGCGACCACAGCTCCGTAAGGTTGTTTTGAAGTGGAGTGCCGGTCAGAAGAAGGCGGGAGTGGGTATTGAATCCAAGCAGGGTCTGCCACCGCTGTGATTTGAAGTTCTTGATGTTGTGAGCTTCGTCAAGAATCATGTAATGCCACCGTCGCCGCTTGAAGACTTGCTGGTCTTGAATGACAAGTTGGTACGATGTGATGCATACATTCCACACATCATCGTTGTTCCAGCCTTGTCGCTTCCGTCTTCTCTCTTCTTGCGTTCCATAATAGGATAGGATCTTGAAGCCCGGACACCACTTTTTGAACTCCATCTCCCAGTTCAGCATCACACTCGTTGGCACGATGACAAGATGCGGTCCCCATACTTCGTGATGACACGCGAGGTGGGCGAGAAGCGAGATGGTCTGTATCGTTTTGCCAAGGCCCATCTCATCTGCGAGAATACCATTGGTATTGTTGGCGTACAATCCGGCGAGCCAGTCCAAGCCGTCGTGTTGGTATTCTCGGAGAGTTCCACGGAGAAGGAACGGAATTTCCGTCTTTTGTTCTTGTTGCTGGTGTGGCGAGGCTGATCGACTGACAAGGTCCTTCACCCCTGGTGTCGCCAGGGACATTGTGTCCACCTCTGAGGGTTTGGTGTCAGAGGTAGGTGGCGAGTGGCTTTGCTCGGGACTCGGCGGAATGGTGACGATATCTGTATCGGGAGTGACATGCTTGGCCGGAATTGTAGATGCAGCGGATGACAGAGCAGAATTCGGAACATCCGCCGACTTTGGCGGCGCATCCGCCATTTCAACGTCCTCGGCGACGATTTGTGCGTCTGCCACATCGGTAGCACTGGGCGTTTTCACTGTCTCGGCTGGCGGTTTGTTCTTGTCCGTACCGTTGACCGATTCTTGGTTTACTTTCGGTGGTGATGGTGATACATCTGTCTGCTCGGAAATAACTTCATCGGCTCCCTTAACCGCATCGCTCGTAGTCTCAGTCGCAGGCACAGCCACCCGCGCTTGTGCCGAATCGTCAATTTCCATCTCATCGCTGTTGATGAAAACACCCGGGTGCTGGATCAGTGACACCTCGTCCTCATCTTCGACCGCCTCGTCTCTAAAGTTAGAAGAGGCCTCGGCATTTTGTGACAGCGCGGACGTTGTTGGAGGTGGAGTATCGCCGTCGTTAACCTGAACATCGTCGGGTGGTGGTTCATTCTTGATCTTCTGCAGCTCGGACTTCCCAAACAGCATCCCTAGCAGTCCTGCAGGCTCTTCACCTTCGTCATCCTCAGATTCTTCGACTGCTTCAGAGCCTTCGTCGCTGTCATCCATATCTGTGGATCCCATGTCGTCGTCCATGTCGATAGACTCATCGCTGGTATCGTCTTCACCAGCATCGGTAGCGACTGCCGTGGATTGTACGGTTGACTCCACACCGTTGGCGAGCATGCTCCCAGCCTGCTCGTCGGGAGACACGTCCGGCAGGTTTGAGTATTTTTCGATTAGTTGCTCTTGCGTGAGCATTTCATCACCAGCGTCCCCAGTGTGATCTTCGCCCCCTTCTTCTCCTTCTGAAGATGACATATCGTCGTCGTTCTCATTACCCGAATCGTCATCATCCGCATCCACCGACATGGCTTGGCTGCCATCCAAATCGCTATCAAGGTCGTCGAGGTCTTCGTCGTCATCGAGTTCATCTTCATCGGAGAGGTCGGAATCGGCTTGTGCACGCCGTGCCTGTAACTTCTGCTCTGACAAGTTGACTGCCTGCTGAAGCGCGGCTTTGACTCGGCGCTGTTCCTCCGCTTCCCATTCCTGCATTCGTCGGCGATTGATCTCATGACGGACGTTTTCCCAAGTGCCAAAGATGCTTTTGACCACCACTCTGTAACGGCCAATCCATATAAGCCTAGCCTCGGCTTCGAGTTCTTCAGCTGACTTGGGTTGACGCCGAAGCCAGGCATCCCTACAAGCTTCGGCTATTTTTTTTGCCTGGGCTCGGTGTCTCTGCTGTTCTGCGACCATTAGCTTTCTGAAGTTGGCCATAGCCTTAACCATATGGTCTGCATGAGCCCACTGCCGGGGGGGCTCTTCTTCGGCCTCGGGCACAAACAGGGAGCAACGCTCCTGAGAGAGAATGCCGCCGGGCTCAACAGCATGCTCAACGCGCAATATGACCTGGGCATCCCTTTGAGCCATCTCGTCGGTGTAGCTTGGGCCATCTTCGGGTACAAAAACGCCGCCTTCCTCGACAGGTATTGTCTGTGCCTTTTCCCAGTATTCTTCGAAACTAGGCCCAATCCTTTCCCGCTTGCCAACCTGCCCGGGATGAACGACGGGAAGGTCGGTCATGCGCACACGCAGCTTAATTCGAGTGCGATTCGGGCTACCCGGGGACGTTGTCGCTGTGGCATCATCGACGGACCCATGGCGGCCCCTCCTTGTGCGTGTAGATTGCCTCGTTGGTTGAGTATGCGGAGAAGGCGATGATTTGCGCGTCGATCGTGGTGTTGGCTTTGTCTCGTTCGCAGTTGACCTTCGACCGGAGGCTCGGGCTGAGGGGGGCGGTGCGGGCTTAGTCGCTGACGGCTTCCGCAAGGGAGTTTTTGATGTCCCGTTTGGTATAGGTGTCGTCGCGTGACCGTTGGTTGAAGCATACTTGTTCTTCGATGGAGGACTGCTGTGCAAAGCCCCGCGCGTAATCCGCTTGCCAGATGGTGGATGGAGCTCGAGGGGAATCGTGTTGATGCGACCAGACTTCCGTCTACCGTTGTCGATGAAGGTCGTCGGGCCGTCGGCTGAGACCTTCTTCCACGGTGGAGAAATGTACTTCTTTTTCTGACCGGAGCCAGGGGCGGGGGGTGTCGAGACGCGACGGCGTTTCGAGGGACGTTCATCTCCATCTTCGTTGGCAGAGTCGGGAGGCGGGGGTGATGGGGACGAGGAGGATGATCGTGGTGGTGGCGTCGGAGAGCGCAGGCCAAAGCCGATGAAGTCGTTGCCGTTGGGTGTTAGTTGATCCCTGAACTCGTCGGATCCGAGGGATTCGAGCGGTGATGAGGGCGGGTCGGTATCATATCGAGCGGGGGGCGCGGTTTGTTCATCGTGTTGGGAGTCGATGGCCTCGGAAGTTGTATGCGCGGGCTCGGGAGACGCGGTCTTGTTCATAATAGCAACGGGGGGCGGACGCAAGATGGGGCCGTGATCTCAGCGAACAAGGCATCTGAAGCATCCAAATCAACGTCTACGGAATCGTCAATGCTCAATGAATTCTAGTTTGAAGTTTGACCATGGTGACACGTCTGGGTGGCCGGCTGCGAAGGAAAAGGGGTGCAAAACCAGCGTCATCAGCAAAAGTTTGAGGATAGATTTTTTTGCAAAGATGCAGCTTCGGCCTTGCCTGGGCTAGCCGAAAAGAGAATACGGGTGGTGGTCGAGGTGCCACGAGTGCTCAGGCTCATTGAGAGCTGTGACTTACCTAAAGCACGCAGTAATTAGGTACCAGATGTATCCGTACTAGCTGGAATGCGCAGTCGGTGTCCCTGGAATCAGTCGGCAGTCACTCAGGTGTACCGAATCAGGTGTCAGGGATCTTTGCGATGACCCACTCATTACCTATTGTACCTGTGTACGCGACGGATGTAGGATACTAATGCCTTGCTGCCTCAGGCCTAGAAACTGCCCTCACCAACCAACCAGAGCCGAGGGATTTGGCTAGCAATCATCGACTGAGTGCAGCTTCGGCACTACTCTGACCTGCGACGACATCACATTCACGATTAAGCAAATTGGGCTGCATCGGAACCCACCAATTCGGCCACGGTACCTTCACTCCCACACTCAATTGGCCTCTGGAGGAATCACAGACTGACCTACTCGTCCACGCAGATGCTGTCCCAACGATTCGCGCGGATCTCGACGATCCGCGGCGCCGCCCAGGCCGCCCGACGAACTCCCATTGTCCAGCAGCGAACCTTCTTCCCGCCTCAGATCAACGACCGCAAGGTCCTTGAGGAGAAGTACCCCGACTACCCGACTCTCTCCGAAGCAGAGGACCCTGGCATGGTCAGTGACGCTGCAGTTGGTGAAGAGACGTTCGGATGCCATGGCTAACCTTGGGACGCGCAGAACGGCGGCTATATCAACCCTCCCTTCATCAAGAGACAGTTCCGTGACCCCCATGCCAACTGGTGGGACAAGCAGGAGCGCCGCAACTTTGGCGAGCCCGTCCACGAGGATCACGACCTGCTGGGTATGTTCTCGCCCTACGAGTACACCTGGACCACCACTGGCAAGGGCCTGCTCCAGATTGGAGCTTTTATCGCGGCGTTCCTCGGCGTCTGCGGCATCGTTGCCGCCAACTACCCCGACAAGCCCTCATACCCCAGAGAATTTCCCGACGGGCTTGAGAGAGAGCTGGGAGGTGCCAGCGCTGTGCGAGTAAGCATCAGACCAGGCCCAACATGCCGAGGAACGTAGGCAAAGCTAACAGGATGATAGGCGAGAAAGGCTGGCGATGCCGACCCATGAAAGAACCGGGTTCAGACGGATTTACGGCCCGGGAAAGCACGTGTACATTTTAGAGCAGAAGATGCAACCCTTTGGGCGGACTGACCCCAGCAACAAAATTCATATGTTCTCAACCATTGACGACGAACGGCTGTCTTCCGTTCAGTTGACAATTGGGAAGCAGGGGTGAGAGCCTGCAAGAGGCAAGTGCCATATGTTGACCCTGTGGTATTTCCTGGCAGTGCAGTTATTGTCACTTTCCTGCCGTTTGTTGCTTATTGGCGATATGTGTCTGTCGCCTCCCGAAGTCCTTCAGGTAAGCAGGCCGGCCCTTCCAAAAGACACATGCAGGCTTCATAACACGGATATGCCCTCTCAAGCCCAAGCCGGTAATGTTATACTAGTCAAAATGGAAAGGCAAGTCCCGCTTCTGCTGGACCATCATCCTTTACTTCCCAGCACACCCTCTTGATCTTCTACTCTGTCGTACCATAGGATGCTCCGGCCTGCTTGTTCTTACTCTACCTACCTATCCGTCAATTGTCTAGTCATCTGCTATGTAGAAGAAGGCGGCTCTTTAATTGCGCATCGCTCCCCCAACAATATCTATGTTGACCCGAGAGAATATACCCACGTTCACCCAACGTAGCTCCATGCCAGGCAAGCGTAAAAAAAATTGCCCAAACATTACAAACCACGACAATCACACATTATATTCGGAGCGGACCAGCCGGCCGTGCTCGCGGCTCGCAGCTAGTCAGCGTTCGTCTCATCGGCCGACGGCCTTCATGGCCTCACCGAGTATGAGACATGCTCTGCGAGAACTGGGATGTTCTCCTGTTCCCTGCTGACGACCAAATACCACTGGATGTGTTCAGAGCGGAATCAGCAATATACTCCTGCGGATTAGCTGACAACCCGATTCTGTCAGATCTTTTTTTTTTTTTTTTTAGGGGGGGAGTTGTGCAATTGCCTGGTCAAACCCGATTATGTGGCAGAGTGCACTTCCGGGCAACATGCATCCAAAGCAGAACTCTCAGGAACCAGAGTCCAGAGCCATCTTGGTCTCTCCTGAACCCTGCCAATGAAAACAGTCCTTCCTCAGCCCAAGGCCGCCTGGCTAGCGATTTCTCTCCTGATTCTGGCATAACATCCGTAGATAGGACTTCGCTGCCTGTTATCGCGTACCCCATTCCGGTGCCCTCGATGTGATGGTTAAAACAGCGCCTGAACTGACCAGACAATGTAATCTGTGCAAGTTCTCCGTGACGAACGGCAGGGACCATACCTCCTCCCTCTGGCGGGTTGAGTTGACCGTCTGACACTTGTGAAATGCCATTCAGCCTTGCTATATTGCTCTCAAAGTGCAGTGCGGTCCAACAGTCCGCTCTGGGATTCCCACTAGCACACATGCTGCTGCATACAATGTTCCCGATTATACAACAGGTTAGCCGACATTGCTGCTACAAGACTCCGAACTTCAGCTAATCATCGATAGATGTCCACTAAAAAACGTCACGACTCACACTCTACCTCTTACACCAAAACGAGGGCTTCAAGTCCGGAGTCTATTCTACATCATCTAGACCCTTAGTCATCTGGAACGAAAAGTTCTGCGCTACCTGCCACACTGAGGAACAAGAGTCTGTACTCTCTACCAAGCGGGGCCTAGGTACCTGAAACTTCACGCCGCTCTCACTCAAGGAGTTACTGGTAGAACGCAATTACATAGTTAAGATGTGATAACTTCATTCATCTCATCATCTTGATGCGGCTTCTTTTTGTCTTCTCAGGTGATATTTGAGATGCAGTGGGGAGGGGGTTTGACTAGGGGTGTTCACGGAGCATGGAGAAAGGGTTAGCAATTAAGAAAGTGCTCTTGGAGGGTGTCTTGAAGGGAGGCAGTGACCAAAGCTTTAGAGGTCTTCGATATTAAAGTTTTTCCGATTGCTATTTCGTGTCCTTCTCAATAACGGAAACAGTCATATCTGAAGTAATAGAAATACCACAGTATGCTATCTCAAGATACAACATAAGTAGACATCTAACTAGAAGAGTATGTGTTGATATCACCTGTAACGGTCTAGGCTGAACATGGGTGACAGATAATAGGGGCACTGGTTTAATTATGCGTGAAGAAGAAGAAGCAACTATCGCGAACCGCCTGGGTGAAAAGCGGCGGGTTAACCATTAGGTGGGTAGTGGCGGTGGGTTGTCGGAGGTAACCCCGCTGTCGCTGATAGTTGCGGCGATACCTGGCATCGAAAGAGATACTCCATATACTCAACTCCTAATTGTTGCCGTGCATGCGGTTTATTATTATCAGATGTCCAGTGACTTGCTGTTAACACCAGCCATCAGAGCAGCGGACTTTTCCAGACTTGCCCGGGTCGGTGTAACACCATCGAATTGGATTTGTAAGCTCCAAGCAACTCCGTCGCCCCTCATCTGATGTTATGGTGTGATCATCATAGCCATCGCCGAGGCGGAGGCCCAGGGAGGTGAAAGGCGGGGCAGATGTCGAAGCATTCAGCCGGACGTGTGTTTCTTGCCGTCATTCCGAGGCAAGTGGTGATGTGATTGGCGGGGAATACCATGTTAGAACAGGGCTAGATGTTGCTAGAGCCGTCACTTATTCCTGGCGAACAGGCGCGACGCTTAAAAATATGGAGAGGAGAAGATCTTAAGCAACGGTAGGTAGACTAACTTTCAAGTTTAGTATATAAATGCCCAAGAAGCCCTATTGATCAGAACCTGCCCGGCCATCGAACAACAAAACACTTTTGTTACTCGAACCACACACACACACACGATCACGTTGCCCAAAATGAAAGAAGCAATCGTTAATGTTGATATCTCGGTTACGGTCAAGGATTCTCCCATCCCCACCCCAGGGCCTGGCGAGCTCCTCATCAAGGTTATTGTCTCTGGCACGAACCCCAAAGACTGGAAGCTTCCTCGATGGTCGAACGTGGCCGCGAACTCTGGCGACGACGTTGCTGGGATAGTTGAGACCGTCGGCTCTGAAGTATACGAGTTCGCGAAAGGAGATCGCGTGGCGGGCTTCCACGTCATGCGTTCCGAGCATGGCAGTTTCGCCGAGTATGCCATCGTCCCCGCCTTCTCAGCGTTCCACATCCCCAAGAACGTGAGCTTCGAGGAAGCGGCAACGGTGCCGTTGGCGGCGTACACGGCTGCCACGGCACTATTCCATTCGCTCGAAGTGCCTTCGCCATGGGATCGGACCAGGGCAAAGAAGACGCCACTCATCATTTACGGTGTGAGCACGGCGATCGGCGCGTTTGGCGTGAAGCTGGCAAAAAAAGCGGGCGTGTACCCGCTCATCGCCATGGGCAGCAAGAACAGCGCGTTCGTCACGCCCTTGCTAGAGAAAGAGAAGGGAGACGTTTTCTTGGATTACACTCAGTTCGATTCTCAGGACAAATTAGCGGAGAAGCTGAGGGAGGTCATCAAGGAGACTGGGCAGCCTTGCTTTCGAGTCTTCGACACTGTCAGCGAGAACGGGTCGTTTGAGATGCTCGGCAAGGCGATCGCGGGACCACCGGAGGAGGGTACGGGCCTCAAGCCCAAGATTACAACGGTGTTGCCCGGTAAGGACTACAACACAGTCGATAAGAGCGTCGAGATTGTTGTCACGATTGTTGGACGCGTACACGAGGAGGAGGGAGAGGGACGATTGTTTGGGCTCATTTGGGCGAGGGCGTTCGCCGAAGGATTGAGGACGGGATGGATGAAGGCTCATCCATTCGAAGTGGTAGAGGGCTTGCAGGGCGTTGAGCACGCTCTGAAGGGGTTGGAGAATGGAAGCGTCCGTGCAAAAAAGATGGTCATTCGGGTCGCGGAGGGAAATTGATCAGATACAACGCACTTCGTTAATGTCTGCAGACTAGGGTGAGGCTCCGTTATTAAAGTGCTTACAACATGAAAGTGAGAAATACCAAGAGTGCATAGGTGAATATGACATATCTTCTTCCGATTGGAGGAGCTTTGAGGGGTGCGAGAGCCCTCGCATGCTAAAGAGAACAATCTCCAACCCAGCGAAACTCAAACGCCTCCCGATCCATAAGCCAAGTGCCAAAACCACAAAGCTCGGTACTGCAGAGGCTGGACCGACCCGCCGAGTAATGGGAGCAGGTGGAATGCAGACACTTGGATAGAACTAAATACCTAATCAAAAAGCTCGAATTGGACGAGTCAACTTTACCCCATGTTCACCTGAACAGTCTTTCCCTTGACGCTCTTCCACTCAACAAACCCCGCACCCACAACAGTAGCAGAAGCTGCCACGGTACTGACAAGAAATGCTTGTACCAACGCGTCACTGTAGGCATGTGCAATGGCGGGAAGAAGCTCCGCATCCACTGTCTTGCGGATAGCTGTGACACCAGTAGCAACGACCGAGTGCGGGTCAAGAGCGGGAATGTGCAGTGGCAGACGCTCGACCACCTTGTTGATGAATACCGTCTGCCCGATGGCGACGAAAATGGCACCACCGATCTGCTGGGTGAAGATAACGATGGCCGTTCCTGTTGCGACATCCGCCATGTCTAGCACAACTTGAACCGCGATGAGGGGTTGCTGCATGCCGACTCCCACTCCGACACCGGCAATAATCTGGTAGCCGATCCACATTACAGATGGCGTTTCGGGGCTGAATGTGGTTATGAGTCCGTAACCGATACTCATGAAGATAGAACTCAGTAGCATGAAGGGTGTATAGTACCCCCAGAGTGTAACAGCAGAGCCGGCAACAAGGGAGAAAATGAGGTTGCCGACTAGCATAGGCAGATTTCTGACTCCCGAATTGACGGCAGAGACGCCCTGGACGGACTGAAACCAGATGGGCAGATAATAAACTGATAACAGAAATGCAGCGCCCAAGTTGAAAGAGAAGAGCGAGGAAGACCAGACAGTGCGCTTCTTGAAGATACGGGGTGGTATCGTGGCGTTCTCCTGGCCACGGTATTGCAGGTAGAGGAACGCTAGCATCCCTATACAGAACGCTAGGAGCAAAGCAACGATACGAGCGGAGGACCAGGGGCACACAATGCCGCCCCAATGAAGGGCCAAAAGAAGGCATACAACTGACGGCATAAAAAGGAGGTTGCCGAGAGGGTCCATTTGGACGAGACGAGTACGCCAAGTCTCCTGAGGGATAGTACGTACGGGATCCGGGAAGAATAGTATGATGATGAGGACCGTTGCTGCTCCCTATGGCAAAGTCAGTGGGACAGTTTGAACAATAGCGCTTCGAATTCCTGACATACAACAGGGAGGTTGATGTAGAAGCACCACCGCCAGGTCAGGTTGTCGGTGAAGAACCCACCAAGCAGCGGGCCAATGACGGAAGAAATCCCCCACATGCTGCTGACAATACCAGTATAGATGGGCCGTTTCTCAAGCGGAACGCTGTGGGCGAGGATGATGAGAGCTCCAGCATAGATACCTGCCGAACCAAGTCCCGCGACAGCACGGCCAAGGATGAGGGTAATACTATTGGGCGCAACGCCACAGACCAGACTGCCTAGTTCGAAGACACCGATAGCGATGAGGTAGATCCGTTTGATACTATAAAAGCTGTACAGTTTACCAAATAGCAGCTGAATCGATGCAGTGGTAAGCAGGTAGGCACTACCGTACCAGCCGACATCGTTGAGACTGTTAAACTCGTCCGTGATGCGGGGAATGGCTGTTGCAATAATACAGTTGTCTGGAGTAGGCATATGTTAAGCGAGGTCACGGTGATTTTGGGAGGGTTTACTTACCAAGGGCCATCAGGAAAACACTGAAACAGGCTGCAGCTACGATCAATGCCAGCTTCATTCCTCCTGGATATTCCGCGTCCTCCACGGTCAATGTCTTTCCTGGTCTAATGATGGAGGTTTGCAAAGGTAATGCCGCGCCTGATTTTGACCTCAGTGAAGTGATATGGGTATGAATGTTCTGCAGAGATGGCGCGGAGCTCGAGCTGGTTAGTCCCTTTTCCATAATATCATCGTAGCTCGAGTCGCTTGGTGCCAGAGTGGAAGCCCTCGATTGAAGAAACGTTGGGGTCGTCAATAAAGACGGCGCCGAAGCGTGCTGAGCGTTGAACATGTTGATGGCAAGATGGCCGGTGCTATAGAGGTGGGAGTTGCGCCGGGTACAGGTACTCAAGATTGAGGAGGGTCACACAAACCAGGGAAGATGGGCTATTAGAAGAGCACCGATTTCTTGAGTTCTTTTCTCTTGGCCGATGATGGGACAGTAATCTGAAAAAGAAAGAGAATGGACATCTTATGTAGCCTCTAAAACGTGTCAGCCATACATGACATCCGAACCTAGCAATGCCCTTGCCGTGGACCTGGGTCATGAGATCGGAAGCAGGGGGCAATGCATTCTCTAAGCGAATGGAAAGAAAGTAACTCTCCGAGACATTTTTGCGGTCTTCCACGACACTTTGGTAAGCATCTGGCAAAACAACGCAGCAGCTGATGTTAGTTGGTGCCTGAGTAGTTGTTTGAGCCTGAGCGTCGGCTCGTATAGTGTTGCACGAAAGCAGTGTCGTAATAGGGGGCTGAGATATTACCTAAGTTATCCTTACTCAATGGATTTGCCTAGTTATAGGATAACTTGCTATGTAGCCTGAGATTTGGATGATTGAAGGGATCTAAACAATATCGGCTTTTATTGGAGTACGATTCCAGCCACGCGAGATAAAAGCTGTGCTTGACCATTGATTAAAATGCCCGTCTTCTAGCTTCCGCGCCCATGACGAGCAGAAAGAAGACACATACATGTGAATCCGACGGAAGCGACCTCGCTAGACAGTATGTAGAGACGAGCGGAACATCATCGATTGGATGTGTTAGATCTTGAACCTTTTAATAGGTGGGTGTAAGACGGAAGGCGGCATAAGTGAGTGAGAGAGGGGAGATACATGCGAGACGGTCTTGAGTTGGTATCGCTTACTGGACCGGAGGGAAGGGGGCTCTTTGATGTTGTACATTAAGTCCGTTCTTTGTAAATGTCGGGCGAGGAGCGTTTCGACACAATGGTTCAATAATTTTGAGGTAAGTTCGCCCTCATTAGGCTTTCTCACTACAAGTACACATCGTGTATTCTGGTGTCCAGCTTTGATGTCCCGCCGCCAGAGAAGGGATCGCACCAAGCCCTCAGTAAGACACTCTATATACACTAGTACAGACCTCCTTCTATTACCCAAAGCCTGTTTATGATATCCAGGCAAGGTATCTATTCTCCAGTACAAACGTCTCAAGTATTGAAATGGAAGCGAGTGATGACCCAGTAAACCATGGCAACATATTCTTTGTAAGTGATTTCCTTTTCAACGGATAAACATATTTATAAGTGACGTGAATCTTCAAATCAGAAAGAATTTTATAAACCCACGCCCTGAATCACTGTTTCTCGCCAGATCTGGTTGCACGACTTCGACACTCAACATTGTCCAACTATTGGCGGAGATTCCAGCTCTGTGGATGCTGCCGGCAGAACCCTCGCTCTGTTCGCGGGATTCTGTATCCGTGAGTATTCTCCCAGCCCGCTTGGGTTGATTTGCACACTAGGCCAAGTCTCATCCGTTCCGGCTGTACGACAACATGGTGCAACCAACAAAGTGGCAATCCTCAATCGAGTAGTGTTTGTTCACTGCCTCACCACTAGCATTATCTTTTACAAGTTGCAAAAATCTGAGTAAAGAGTGCTTGCACAGCACAGGAGACGGAAAAGCCGACGCTGATTGATATACAGATTCCCCATATTAATCAATACCCATCAATGCGAGCCAAAGAGTGATCATCACAGAGATATGGCTTCCAATGTTTGACGACCGAAACAAGCCTTAGGAGAGAAAAACGTGGCGCACCATCGAACAGCAACGGTCACCAAGCGTCTCTGTAAGAGAGATGGGATTGGTGCTACGATTAAGTCAACACGACGCGCTCTTGTGAAGCTGAACTATTGCGGGATTCTGTTACCCACGGATATCCACTAATAAGATGCCAGTTTCTTATCATCATTGATAGGGTGCGAGTATCATCGTATCTGACAGCTGAACTTACCCACAAGAGTCCAAATGAAAATACCTCCAAGTTTGTGCTGGGACCTGGCTCGTGTGACTTCTATCCCGCCCTTGGGGGATGCCACGAGGGTCTGTGCTGTCTCACTACGCCGATTTCATCTCATCAACGCTACCACGCTTCTGTCGTGCTTGCTTCGTGAACCGACTCGGCTTCAGATGACAGGAGTCTCCTCTGATCAGCTCTTACAACGGTGACTGTCATGATTTTGTCGTCGGTTAGTGTACCGTCGATACCAAATCCAGAATGTCTCGGAAGTCGAAAGCCACTAGCGCTGTCGATACCCTAGAATCCCACAATATCTCAGTCAAACCTGAACTCTCGCTCGTCCGCCCCTATCTAGCACTAGCTCTGTCAGTTCTTCTGAGTGGAGTCGTCAGAATTATGCCGGGGAAGAAGCTACCGAAGTTTCAAAAGGGATAACTTCTTTCTTTGTATTAGGATTTGTCTGGCCCACCTGTCAAGACCTCCGCAAGCAGGCGGATCCCAGTTGATGCGGCTCATCCGAGACAGACTCGTATCAGTCTTTCCGCTCATAAGACAATCATTGAACTGCGAGCGATCTGCGAGCTGCGACTGGTGAAAGACGTACACCAACCTCGGTTGCCGACATTCTCCACTGATGCCCTCGGCAGGCCAGCAAACAAATGACCCGACCTAACATGTTACACCGGTATATGCATGTGAACCCTTGGTTGTATCTTGTAACGCCACAAGCAAGTTGTCCGGCAGTTGCAGCTCGAGTGTGGGGATTTTGTGTTCTGTGTCTGTTCGTTCGTCTTTAGCACCATATTCGTTGATAACACGCATGACCGGCCGGGACTGGGAACAAGATCAAGAGCATAGACATATTGAACATCTCGTAAACGGAGGGAAGGTGACTGTATTGCTAACCTCGCAACATCCTTTTCACAGAGCAACTATTTGTAGATAAAATTACCGTTTACAGTGACATCATGGATTACCTATGTAGCTTAGTTGTTAGCAGATGACATCGCTTGATACTTCCTTCTGCAATAATCAAGGGTCCAAGTGAGTAATTCTTTGGACTGTTTCTTTCAAATATGTAATTAACTCAATTATTACACTATTGTTCTACGCGTTCGGTGTCGTTGATGCAATGGAGGGCAGCACTCAAGTGACTCCGCTGGTACTCATGATGCCATTTCTAATACATGCTCTTCGGTAGACATTGTAGCCCAGTGCACCTGTATACCCACTGATTCGAAGGTTGATTCTATGGAGTCCATACTCTTTGATCCAACATCTCTCTTATCCGTTACCTCTGCTAAGTTGATGTGAACTACCCTTAAGTAAGGCAATGCGAAACAGACGTCCTTAAAAAGGCGCCTCAAGTTCCCCATGAAACCTTCTCTCACTTGAAGGAGCTGGAATTTGCGGACTGACGGTGGCAATATCTCTATCAAGCTCCAACCAGGCGCTGTATTGTCCTCGACAGATGTAGTCCGCGAAAGGCTTTCGATAGCATTCTGGTCAAGCGACAGCTCTTCCAAATGATCAAACTGCCGGAAAGACCAGGATGTTCCGCCGATATTCGGCCGGGAGTACTCTGCATGCGTCTGAGTCGACGAACAGGAAAGACGCAATTTTCTTAGTGCGTGGCGGACGGACTCAAGAGCCCGCAAAAGTTCTGCGACATTCCAGTAGCTGACTCCTGAAGTCAAATGGATCTTCGTTGCTAAGACCTCCAACTGCTGCAAACTAGGACAACATTTAACCAAAAGTTCCAGATCTTCGACTCCAATGTCGTTCAGTACCAGCCTCCGCACGGTCTGGAGTTTGAGATTCCATGGTTTGGTCGTAGTCCACGGGCTGATCCCATCAAATAGACTGCATTGTAATGAGCAGAGGCTCTCGAGATTTGGCGCGGCCTTGAAAAGGACCGAGGCCTCGTGTACGTGCTGATTCTTGCTGACACCCTTAATGGTGATGGTTTTGAGGGCAAGGAAGGAGGCACCACTATCTTTGATGTGCTCATATTGAACAAAGCTGTCACGCGCAATGAACAGTCTTTCTAAATTGGGCGAAAGGAGAATAGCGAGCTCTTCGAGCCAGTGGTGGATTCTCCGTCTCTGGATGCGCATTAAGGTTTGCGGTTGACCCGAGAAACCTTGCCATATTTTGGTCTGCAGCTCTTGCATTGTGGCATGCTCTGAGGCGCCGAGTCTTCTGGTTGTTTTGCTGAGCAACTGGGCCAAGTCCGGGGTGCAACCACTGATCTCGTCCGTCTCCACAAGCAGAAGCGTTCTCACTTGGGATGCCAGATCTGGACGGTTGATGATGCTACGTAGAAATTGAGGCAGTTTATCATTCTCTCTGGGAACCTTGCCTACGTGGGCTTGGGTACCGCAATGATGCCCTCGTGGTAGGTTATCCGTGCTGTAGTAGTGAAAAAGAAATGGCTGGGCAACGACGTAGATGCGTCTAGATACCCGACAGAAGTGCGACAGCGTTCTTTTTGACACACGAACCTCGCTCGAGTCTGTGGTGGGAAATGAGCCATGATGTTGGCAATGATAACAAAAAAGGAAACATATTCTCTCAATGAGCTCGGAAGGTAATGAAGCCATCACTTTCGTTGTTACTGGCGCGGCCGCGCCGACCTTGGACTCGTGGTTTGGGTTTTCCTGTAAAATGGACAAAGGCATCGAGTATCTCACATTTCCGCCAGACATTGCAAACGCACATTGCTTTTGTCAAGTCGGCTATCAACCGGCGTGTCGGCCAGGGATCCTAACATAACAAGAATTATTAGTATTCTGCCGTATGAATAGTTTATGACGCCAGACACGGACAAAAGACGAACATTTACTTTCACAAGTGTGGTCGGGAAACTACGGGGATGTCCCTCGCTGGGCCTCAGCGTCGGCTTTATAGAAGGTTGTAAGGGTCCGCAGCAGGCATTGAATTGAGTGGGGGCTTCATTTCTCTCGTATTAGGTGCTGTTTCCGCTGCGACTGATAGGGTCAATTGGTGAAAAACTCGAAGCTCTATATCGAATTAGATATAGTAGCGTTACCCCTGGCCGAGTTGATTTTGCTTCTGCCATATGCTAGTATTTGACAGGACATTCGTCTCAACTGTAGCTTACTTAGGCTCTCAGCGGTGCTCCCACGGGCAACCTTTTTTTTTTTTTTTTTTTTTTTTTTTTCGCCGGCTTGATTGAGTCCTGCATTTAACGGCTGGTTCAATCCAGTATTCCTTCATACAGAATTGAGTCTTAGTCTATCAACCTGTTGGCAATAACACAAGCACGATGTCTATGCCTCAATGTAATTGGGTAGGCGATAATAAAGGCATTTTCTTATCTTTTAATTTTACAGAAAAAAAAAGCAAATTGTCTCAGCTCAGGTTCAACGAAAAGAAAGCATCACCACTACAGCGCTGAGCCCGAATGGCGAGTAACTAGTCAAGAGCCCCGCTAGATCACTTCTTGCGCACAATACTTAGAGGTTGAGCCGCTAATAGGATGGTCAATGTCCCAACGAGTCTTTCCTCGCCTCCCCCATAGCACTCTGTGTGTGCTATGGTGTCTAAAACCGGATGGCGTTTGAACAGCTATGCATGAAATTGGAAGAAGAGTCCGCTTCACCACAGTCTAGTGTATGCAATCTATGGTATTTGGCATTTGGAGGGACGTCTAATCAACATCCTATCATCATGCGAAAAGTAAGCGCCTTATTGCCATTGTTATTATTAGTATTCACACCGACAGTTGTGCTACTTGGTTTATGGCATTGAGCGGCGTTGGGAGAAAGCTAGAGAGTTGCAAGGTCATGGGATTCTGCTCCTATTAAATAAATGATGTCAAGGATGAATATTCAGTCAGCTAGAAATCTGTAAAAGCCCAGTAGTTTACCATGTAGTAATAGGAAGGATATGGGTCCTTCGTTATTGTAATTGTCGAGCAATGACCATAGCCAAGGATTCCTTAAATCAGAAACTCTGCGCGTTCTGGGTCTAGCCTGTTTGATATTCCAAGACCCATCAAGTTCTAGTCTTCGGAACTAGGGAAGGTGCTCTTCAAAGGTTATTCAGGTGTACACACTACCTAGTACATGTCGTAACTCATCAGCCACCTGGAAAGTTCCTGCACTGATTTCAGTAATTCCTACTTAGTATACTCCACTAAGTTCTCACAAACGGCACCAACCGAACGCGTAAGCGCAAGTGGATTGGGCGCTTCTTTATGCCAGGGTCATCCTCAAAGGATTGGTGGTCTGAATCCAGATAACGGTAGCCCACAAGTCATAAAGATCCAAAAGTTGTATACTAAGCATGTTGTTGCTTGTTGTCGCTGGGCTTTCTGCGGCCGTCTGTCATACTTTCGACACCGTTCTTAGACTCGGAAAACGCGTTGGTACTAAATGTGCTGCGGCAAATTTTTTGATCCTCATTGTCATTTCCTTCATGTCAACCCCCATGGACATGAGCTAGGAGATTCGTGATCTTGTTGTCCAAAGCAGGTAGTCACGCAAAGATCATAACAAACCATCCAAATGTTTCCTGTTGCTGAGGTCGTTCTCAAGTTGATGGAAGACCGCTCTGCTTGGCTGGTTGTGGGACCATAGAAACGTCACTCCGAAATGGTGTGAGAACCAAACTTTGCCACAGCCTTAACTTGCACGACTTTTTTTTTCTAGTCTGATGTGCTGTCAACTGATTACGTTTTTGATCATTTCTCCTGGAGGTGGGAATGCGTAACGCTATTTTGGCCGGGGTTGTGGAACCATTCATGGCCGGCAGTAACGGGCAACAATTGCAGGTCCAAGGTTCAATACAGGGGGCTTGGCGGCTGATCAGCGTTGTTGGCGCCGAAGGCTGCTGGATTTTGATTAAGTCGAGCGGGTGAAGTTGCGAGAACTAGAAAGAATATGCCAAGGCAAAGGGTAAGTGCTGTCAGGGCCGGAGTCCATGGGTGAGCCCACCTCGCATCCTCGTTGTATTTTTTACGAAGTGGTAAATACGGAAAACCTTAACAAAGACGGGCACAACAATATCCCTGTCTTGTGAGCAATCACGTTGCCGGATGGCTCGGGCTTTTGGCCCCGCTCATAGCTTGTCGAAATGAATAAAATTGACATGACGATCCTTACTCGACATGTGAAAGGTTGTTTAGCTTGGCAAAAGTCACATTCCCAAAAGTATGCAACAGCGTACAGGTACTTGCACAGCCACAGCAACAGGTCATGGATACTAGGTATAGCAACTAAGGGAGTCATCCCCGAAAGCTCTGCCTTAGTTGATTGGGAGGTTTAGCTACGAGATTCCGTGGTACGGTGTTTCTATCTAGAAACCTTATATTGTGTTAAGTTAAGTACTTTGACTGTGTTTGCGATTGTGTATGATCAATATTCTGTCCCTGTGCGACCCGTGGACCGCCTTGTACGCATACCTTCGTAAAGGTACTTGCAATGTGTACTCGATAGGCGGCTTTATCTAACGTAGTGGTTGGGATATCCGCTTCATGTACGGATATTATTTGTGGAGCTTCTTGTAAGCTAAAGTGTGTTACCGTTCAATCAATCAATTAGGGTTCATGCCTGTTCGAGTCAAACTCTTCCCTATTATTGACTTTGATATGTTACCAGTTTGGCGGGCTGAATCGTCACCCGACCATCTCCTCTGTAGTATGTATATAGGTCTTCTGAATTCCCATTCATTAACAGCGTGCCTATGGGTATTTGCTATCCTCCTGTTGGCCCCTTGATCTTCAGTCATTCGTTCTTAGTTATCACTGCTTCTATCAGTCATGCGTGCTCAACTTCTATCGTTGTGCGCCTTTGGCGCATCTCTAATTAACGCATCCCCGGTCGGCCTTGACTGCTACGACGAATCCTCCTTCAAGCCCGAAGACATCATCCAACGCGACGTGCTCATTGTCGGAGGCGGAGCTACCGGAACATGGGCTGCTGTTCGTCTTCGGGACCAGAACAAGACCGTCGCCGTCGTCGAGCGGGCGGACAAGCTCGGAGGTCATGTCGACACCTTTCGAGACTCAACCGGTGCACCCATCGACTATGGTGTGCAAGCGTACATTAAAAACAACCAAACTCTCGAATTCTTCCAGCGCTTCGGCGTTCAGCTGAACGCCTCCGGTCTGTCGCCCTTCCCAAGCAAGATTGTCGACTTCAAGACTGGCTTCGCCATCCCCAACGCCACAGCCGTCGATCCGAACGCTTTGGTCGGACCTCTGGCGACCTATCTCTTCGCCACCTCACAATTTCAATTCCTTGCCGATGGCGCTTATGACATCCCAGAGAATGTTCCCGAGGACCTTCTGCTACCATTTGGCGAGTTTGTCCAGAAGTACAATCTGACCGAGGTTGTCCCGGTTATTTGGATCTTCGCCCAGGGCGTCGGTAATCTTTTGGAGACGCCAACTCTATACGTTCTGCAGAACTTCGGACAGCCCCATCTATTGGGCCTCTCTGCCGGGTATCTTTATGCCCCCGGTGGTAACCAGCAAGTCTACGACAAAGCTGGTGCTTTCCTTGGAAGCGATGTTCTGTATTCCAGTGTCGTGGTTGCCTCCAAGCGCACTGATGAGGGTGTCACAGCTGTTGTTGCTACCGCCACTGGGCGCAAGCTTGTTAAAGCCAAAAAGCTTCTCATCACCATACCACCCACACTGGATAACCTTGCTCCATTTGACCTCGACAACTCCGAGACTTCTGTTTTCAAGCAATGGGAGAACGTTCCTTACTATGTTGGAGTCATCTCTAAGAGTGGTCTGCCCGACCTGACCAACTACATGAACGTCGACGTCACCGCTCCCTATAGCCTTCCCCAGACACCCTTTGTGTGGCGTCTCGAGACAGTCGGCGTGCCGGGGTACCAGACAGTCAAGGTCATCGGTGAGCCCGACTCTGCCAAGGCCCAGGGCTTGGTTACCGATGCCGTGCGCAAGATTGAAGCCTCCGCTGACGGGACTTCCACCACCGGCGGCGACTTCAGCGCATGGGAAGAGCACTCGAATCTCCAGCTTCACGTGTCGCCGGAGGCGGTCAAGGCTGGCTTTTATCGTGACCTTTACGCGCTTCAGGGGAAGAGAAGTACCTACTACACCGGAAATGCTTGGTGCTCTGATTACTCTCCCCTTCTATGGGCATTCACAGACTCGAGAGTCCTGCCCCACCTTTGAGGAGGTACTTGGAGACACTGTTCAGTAGTCCAGGCCCCCGCCGTTCGCATTTTCGATTTGCGCTATACAAGCTTCAATCTTGTGATTTAGTTCTCACCCGAATCATTTTGGTTCAATTAGCCTTTACCATTTTATCATTCTAAAGTTAAAAATTCAAGATAATCAGCGATAAATCTAGCGGTATCTATGTTCAAAGACGCACGCCGAGACAAGCTACACAGTTCAAGGCTGAGGGTGAAGATGTCGAATGGGCTAGCTTCTTTTAGATTAGAGCTGACAATCTACCTTGTCTGATCAACAGCAGCCCAACAAGTGCCCGTGCCCGAAAAATTACCGTACTTAAAACCTGACGCCAACAAAGCAGCAACCCAGTAGAAACGATAGCACAAAAGCCACTCAGATTGGGCACCACATAAGGCGCATGTCTTTCATAGACGCTAACCCTCTTTTTACTTGCCCGCAGAGAGACTATGACTGCGCAGGAAAGTATACCGAAAGTGCGGAAGGTAAATAGGACTCTAGCGGTGCAGTGCGTAGCGTACGAACAACTAAAACAACACAAGATGCTTCGCCTGACTAGCCTTGAAGAACACCACTGATGAGAGGAAGGAATCTAATTAGAGCCTCTTCAGGGGGGGGGCGGGGGTAAATGAAGGCTCCTGGAAATTTTATGTCATTACACGTGACTGTAGATTAGGGAGAAAGGCTCTATGATTATTTGTAAAGGCAGGGGTTAAACTAAACATAAAACTATATGTCTGCCTCCCTGTTTAGAGCGAGACTTCTATCCTTATATCTTCTCTGATCCTGACCACGCGGCTCACCTGATCTAAAACATCACGAGAAATCCACGTCCACTACGCAAGGCTAAGTCTGGTTACCCCAACCCATTCCATTACCAATAGGGGTTTTGGCCGTCCGGCGTTCTTGGCTGTGTCTTGAATCAGGCGCACCGCGTTCATCCGCAGTGCAAACGCACTCCGATGCCACTCTTATGTACATCATGTTATGGACTTTACCTAATTCGGATTGGCGGGTCAACTTGCCAATTCCACAATAACGAAAGCACAGAGACCATCATCTTTTTTACGCAGCATCGATGCAACGAAATGGCCAAGATTAGAAAATCCTCGTGCGCAACGTCAGGCACACGACTCATCCCAGCGAGACCGGCCCTTGACTTGGAAAAGAAAAATGATAACAACCCCCCCGCCCAGAAAAAAAAAACCAAAAGAAAAAAACCCCCCGTAGCGCCTCAACACGATGCATTGGGCCATGTCGATCAAGAGCTGATGGACAGGGATATTCTCCGTTTCTTTATAAGGTTAATATGTCCGTCCAATGACACAGAAATACCATCCTGCTTAACCGCTTGAGTTACTTCTTCAAGAACATACTTCTAATTCCATCACGTCTGTGAGCTGGGGCGCGTACCCTTCACTTGACGGGTGCGCCGTTCTATCCACTTACACGCCCCGATCCGCCACCATGTCGCCACCCTCTATACCTCCCTACCGGCAGGCCTACCGCCAGTTGACAGGCTCACGGTGGGGTGATTCAGAGCATGCATTTATGGTGCTCGAAGATACACGCACAAGTTATTCAGCCCGCAGCGAGCTACCGCTCCATAATAGGACTCCTCCCCGAGCCACTTCGCGGCGAAACAGGGTCAGGATCAGGCCATCCGGCGAAAGCGGGCGCTCAGGCTTTCATCCACTGAAATTTCTCAAGATCACCTGGATATCATCAAGCCGAGCGTCTCGCTTCTGCAACATCTTGTGGCCCGTGGTGCCTGCTGCTTTTATCGTTCGCTGTAAGATGTTCACCGAGGCCGTGATTCTGGATGCAACTAGAAACTTACACTGAGACGGCTGTAGATATTCTCCCGCAGTCCCACGTCTTGATTTTTGTCTTAACCTACCTGGCCATGATTCCCTGTGCCAATATGGTCGGCTTTGCTGGCCAGGAGCTGTCCCGCAAACTCAACCACGTTTTCGGCGTGCTAGCTGAGACCACGTGAGCTATTCTTCCTTCTTCCAAAATTCACATTGCGGCTCTTACTGACAGATCCTTGTAACAGCCTTGGGTCCGTTGTCGAGGTCATCCTCTTCATGGTTCTGTTGCAGGATAACCAGTTCACTGTGATCAAGGCTGCCATACTTGGCTCGATTTTAGCAACGATGCTTCTGTGCCTGGGCATGTGCTTTGTTGCCGGCGGCATACGAAGAGACGAGGCCGAGTTCAGTGAGACTGTCAGCGAAGCTGGAACTGGTCTTCTCTTTACAGCGTAAGTGGACGCTTTCCGCCAAGACTCCAATGGCAACCGATTAACAGCGAATAGAGGCGTCGCCTTGGCCGTTCCAGCCGTCTTCAGTTACTCCATGGCCGCATCTCTCACTGTCAAGCAACTTGAAGACAAAACACTCCACATATCGCGGGTCGTCTCTATTTTGCTAGTAATAGCTTACGGCGTCTTCGTTTGTTTTCAATCCCACACGCACCACGGCATCTACGACGCCATCTTTGAGAACGACGAGCAACGCGAGCACAAGAGCAGTAAGCATGTCGATAAACCCAAGCTAACTCTAACTGAGTGCATCATTGGCCTTGTAATATCCATTGCGCCTGTAACGTTCATGGCAATCTACCTCGTTGAGCAAATCCATCCTATCGTCACAAAACACGGCGTCGTCTCAGACCACCTTATGGGCTTGATTCTTGTGCCCTTGGTCGAAAAGGCAGCCGAGCACCTGACGGCCGTCAATGAGGCTTGGGATAACCGGATGAACTTTGCCCTATCCCACGTGCTAGGCGCGACGCTGCAAACAGCCTTGCTGAACGGCCCGCTCATTGTCATTATTGCGTGGGCACTGGATAAGCAGATGGACATTGTGTTTGAGGCATTCGACATCACCATGCTTATTCTTGCTATGTTGACTGTGGGGAACTTCCTGCGCGATCAGAAGTGCAACTACCTTGAGGGTTTCCTTTGCATTATTGCCTATCTCGCCATTGCAGCTGCAGCTTACAACTACCCAAACCCGGAGGGCGTAGGTGAGGACTAAGTCGTTGCAGGGTCATGGGACAGAAAGGGTTGGATGGTGCTTTCGGCTGTCGGGAGAGAGGTGGTGATCCCGATGTGGTCTCTCTGCCAAATAGAAAATAATACTAATAATCAGCCTCAAGCGCGTAAACAATAGTGATCTTGTGTTATCGCTCGTTTGTTTTTGGAGTGTTAGTGGGTGTGTGGAGTGCTTCATCAAGAGTATAATTTTTTGTAAGTTCCATGAGTCCACAGCCTTCAGGCGCTGACAAGTCATGCTGCACATGCCTGCCGAGGAATGGCCATTCTCGAAGGCGATGATCAACCTTAAAATACTGAGGCTAAGTTACCAGAATCCTTCGCCCCTACCAAAGTTACTTCGGGGAGACCGGCAGAAGGAGACCAACATGGCCATCAGCCTCTCCCGGCCCATTTCTAACCCCAGCGGGTCGTAGGGCCTCGAGGAGCGCCGGGTCGCTGGCACACTTGATTTAGGTGTCTGGCCGAGCATCACACACGTTCGGAGACGGAAACACGGGATACGATCCGGTATTAACCAAGCCATTGGCAAGTTATGCGAACTTTGGTAAACTAGCAATTATAGTCGATCCCGTAGAGCTTGCTGCTTAGTGATCCTAGTAAAAGTGATGCAAAACTAATGGGGAATAACAACGTCAAAGAAGCGTCGATGCCTCACGAGGAGCAGCGAAAACACAGAGGTATCAAAGAAATACGTGAAAAGAGAGCAAACCAACCCACTCTTGCCAATCGTCATTAGTGTGCGGTCGAACTCTCGCCCTTCCCATGCGAGTGACCATGACCGCTGCCGTGCCCATGGGTACCGGGCTTCAGCATCTTCTTCAAGTTGCTCGGGTCTTCCAGCGCGTCCAGAGCCTTCTGCGTCGTGCTCTTCACTGGTGCGCCGTTCTCGCCCGCCTCTTCCATGCGCTGCAGCGCACTCTCGTTCGAGCTCATCGAGCTCGAGCTCGGGCTACGGTTGAGCACCATGTTGACCATCCTGCCCTCCTTCTTCTTGGCCTCCACCTGCTCCTTCTTGAGCTTCTGGAGCTCCTCGTCCTCGCAGTGCATGACCACGATGCCCAGCCCGGGGAAGTTTGCTTCCAAGAACTCTTTGAGCTTGGGAAGGATAGATTTGTCAGGTCTGTACGTGCCTGAATCGTTGTCGATGAACAGCTGGTAGTACGACGGATTGTGGGGAGGGTGGGCGTTCGGCGGCCCGCCGGGGAGTTCCTCTGTCGGATGTGTCCTCTCATTGGGCTCCGGGTCGTCTGACGCGTCGGGCTTCTCCAGCCGGCGAACGAAGAACTCGCCTGAGCATGCAATGTAGGTCTCGACGTCGCTGTGCATGGTGTGCTTGCTTAACATGTCGATGCTGAATTCCTTTCCTGTCTCGGTGAAGCGGAACACGCCGTCGAGCGTCAGCACGTAAGTGAATATCCGACCTCCCTCGTCAAAGTGTACCAGCTTGAGGAACTGCAGCGCAGCCTCTTCAGAGCGGGCCTTGAACACGCCGTACTGGGTCGAACTGTCAAAGTTGTAGACTCTGCTGTGCTGCTTGTGCAACGCCTTGTTGAGAATCTTGCCTCTTAAGCCGCTCTTGGCAAACATCAACCCAATCGTGGGTCTGAACTCGACGTAGCGGTGGTACAACTCAGGAGGCACCGGCCCCGAGAGTTGCATCTCGTTGGACTGGAAGCTGCGAGCCACATTAGCGGGGAGGGCCTACCAGGCCCGGTGCGGAGGTACTCTACTCACTCGTATTTTGTCGTCTTCTTGCTGTCCTTGTCCTTGTCCTGGGGCTCGTCGAACAAGTCAGAGCGGGCGTCGGCCTCCTCGTCCCTGTTGACCTTGATTCCGGTGAGCCGCCCAATCATGGGACTGAAATGTTTGAAGTAAGAGGTAGAACCGATGGTGTACATATGCGCATACGGCGGATCCGACTTCCCCAAGACTTCCATGCTGATCCACAGCCTGGGCGACATGTCCGTCCGCGGGTCGAAGTGGCTGGTGATGGCCTTGACTAAGTATGCTCGTTTGCTGCCCATGCGCTTCTTGGCCACGAACTCTTGACCGGGCTGCGGATACCCCTTCCAGTCCTCGCCGACGTAAGGGACCCTGACTGTGACATTGCCAAGGCGGTCATCGTGGTCTGGCCAATCCTCGTCATAAATACGGCATTTAAGGATGAATCCTCCGGCGGGGATGTTGGCCACAACCCACTCGTCGTTCCACACAGGCTCGGTGGTCCGCCTCTTTGTCTCGGTGCGGTGAACCAGGTCAGGGTCCTCCTTGTGTCGTTTTGGCACGGCCGTTTTGAGAGTGGCGTGGATGAAGGGATCGGATGACCTGGTGCCGATGTCCGCCGCAGGAAGGTTGCTTGCTCTATGGAAGATGAACCTCACGGTATATCCCGGAGGGGCATCGGGGAACGGGGTTGTGTCAAAGCCGCCGGACGGCTTCGTCTTGTCTTTGACCTTTTCCTTGCCTTCGGTATATAGTCCCTTAATATCGCCGGAATGGTGATGCTGCTTCTGGTCGGGTGGCTTGTGGCCGTTAGCTTCCGGATTCTGCAGGCCCTCGATTTTATTCTCAAGGTCTCCCTCCTTGTTCTGGGGCAAGCCATGCCCGCTGGTTGATGGCCCACCATTTGATGATGATGGGACGGCATTTCCATCAGTGTACTGGTTATCGGCGGCCACGCCATTCGGCGAGTGACCGTTCGGTGCCGAGCCATTGGCTTCAGGCGCATCCGACGTGCCGTTGGTTAAATGGCCCGTAGCCGATGTGGCGCCATTCGCGGTCCCATTGACTGCATGGCCGTTGACGCCTCCACTCGGCTCAGCGGTCGTCGTCGTCGTCGTCGTCGTCGTTGTCGGCGGCGGGACGGCAGAAGTCTGGGCTAGAGGCGCGGTCGGCGTGGAGATGGCGGCGGCGGGTTCTGACAGATGATCCGGGGAATGCGGATGCCCGTTGGGTCTTTGGTCGTCTATGGTCGACATCTCCGCGGGGCTGGTTACTTCGTCGCGGCGCAGTGACAGCGGTCGCCTTGGGCGGTGTCGACGGACAGGGTTCTATGGCAGCTCGATTTATATCGCTTGCAGGTTGGTCGAAGGGCCCGGATGGATGGTTGGGGGCATTCAGTAAGCTGCGATGGATTGGCGAGGTCGACGGCAAGGCAGGCCAGTCGAGAGATGAAGTAGGGAGGTAGGCGGAGCAGATGGCGGGAGACGCTATCAGAATCAGAACCCTGTAGCGCAGTGATTGCCGTTGCCAAGACCCACGTTGTCGATCACTTAGGGAGGGCAACCTTGCTAGGCTGAGCTGGGCTTGGGGGAGCGAGGTCCAATAATATCTGATGAAGCACAGAAAGCTTGGCAGTTTGGTCCGTAACTGCCACCGAGTGAGGGGAAAGAAGCTTTTGTTCTGTCGGGTGAATTACTTGGGCGGGTTGGTGGCTGATGGCTAAGCGGAAGGGTTTGGTTTGATGGGCGCTTATGCTTATGATTATGCGAAACGGGCGGGAAAGGCCTAGCCTGACCTGGGTAGGTAGGTGAATGATTTCAAACAGGACAGGGCCGGGTATTGAGGGACGATCAAAGGTACGACATGCACCCTTGATGGCGTGTACGTTTTGAATAGTTGGCTTATGGGAGAAAAGCGAAAGTGTGTGTCTGAGAGAGAGAGAGGGGGGGGAAGGGGGGAGAAGAGAGAAAAGAGGCGTCTCTTGAGAGCTTGAAATGGGAAACAATCAGATGAGGGGCGGAGGGAGGGGCTGGTGAGGAGACTATGCAGACGTCCCAAAGAAAGACAGATGAGAGCGAGAGCGAGTGAAGTGGAAGGGGTCCGAGATGATCACAAGCACATGGAGGCTGGCTCACTAACAGGCTCGGCCAGGTTTGGGGGGGGGGGGGGGGGGGGGTAAGGGAAGAAGGCCCATGCAGGGTAGAAAAATAAAGTAAAAAATAAAATAAAATTTTAACGGACCCTTCCACCCACGATCAGCAAAGCGTCGCAAGCACTCTCGAACTGGCGCCGCCGGCTGACGTCATTTCCCATGCAACCTTTTACCAGCTTTACACAAGCTGCGGCTAAACCGTGCCGAGAAGGCAGGGCTGCCTTGTAAGGTCTTGCCCAGTTTCCGCCAATGGGGACACGGCCTGGGCCCAAGTTCCCTGCTTGGCCAAATTCTACTGCTTGTATCCAGCTGCTTTCTCGCCCCGAGAGCTCACTGTTTCACCGTCACGAGCCTTTTCCAGAGCACGCGAAACCCATGTTCTGTACGTCAGAGCAAAGCCTAGTAAAATCCTGACGTGGACAGGGCAATGGCGTCGATCTAAGGCTTGGCATTAATACCTACCACTGCGGTGATTCTGCTAAGGGTCTCACAGGGATGCCGGCTTCCCGGCTATTGTCTTGTCTCTGCCTTGCCAAGCCTGCCAGATTGACGAGTGGTCTCTAGCGATCGGATTGTGGAACTGGGTCCACCTCCGCTCCGCTGGTCTCGGTGAAGCCCCCCAGGACACGCCCACGTGCGCCTCAGCCTCAGTCCGGAGCATGTCTGAAGCACCGGCCGACGACAAGCCATCGCAAGCGCTGCATCATTTACATCCCATCTTTGGGAGCCCCTTGAACATGCGACAACGCTTGCTACCTTTTCTAAAATAGCATATGTCCTCTCCCCAGCTTCGTTGACACGCACCTTTCGCCAGCTCTGTACTCAGACAGGAAACGTTCGACTGTAGAAATCAGAAAACCATGTCAGAACCCTGCTATCTATCAACTGCTCAAGACGTCATGTTCCTGCTACTGGGCTATTGCGTCTTTATGTTCCATCTTTATATCCTAGACGCAGGGTCATTGGACGCTCCATCATTAGTCATTGGTGCTCCTGCCTTTTTCAGTCTCCTCCTGTCCTGAACACTCACTGCCCATTGCCTTGAGGCCCGTAGACCCTGGCAGGGGGTGACTAAGCCAGCCCGTCCTTCACATCAGCTTCGCTAGTGACAGTAGCAAGAATATTTCTTCTTATCTGCGTCTATTTTCTCTCTCGTACTTACTGTGATTGGTATCCTTTTTTGACATAGTGCGTATACTAGAAGGTACTTACAGCTATAATGCCTATTATCCAGGAAAGGGGATAACTGACCAGCTACCTAGTCCTCTTAGAGAGCCTTACAGGTAAAAACAACAAAACAAGGTCTTCTTGACTCTTTCTATTATTCACCCTTGCCTCTATTATTACAAGTAGCACTTTTAGCACTATAAAGCCTATACACATACAATAAAGAGTATAATTAAATATGTCACTATATTAATAATATAAACAAAACTTATAATAAAAAGCCTATTTACCTGCTTATAACATATTTCTTCTTCTTATTACTAGTACTTTTGGTTATCTCATGCCTCTCCTAGGTGATGCCTGTAGCTGTGAGGTTTAGGGACCCTCGCAAGGGACAGTAACGCAAACCTCATTAAAACCTGCGCTTCACATATGAGTGCAACAATAGATAGCGTTTTCACCTGTCTTTTTCTTCTCTTTTTCCTCTGTGAACCTGTGTACCTCCCTACATCAAGTCGCCCTTGCATGGTACTGTCTATGAATGCAGGGCCTGTTGTCCCGCTCAGCTGGTAGGATGCCCAGGTAACCCGTCTTTCACAACAGCTTGCCGGGTTGGAACTACAATGAAAACTCTCTTCACCTTTTCCCTCCTTTTCCCTCCTTTTCCCTCTCTCTTTTTTCTTATTTTTCTTCTTCTTCCTCTTTTCCACATCACCGCCAGGTCTGTCCATCAGACCAAGTTCTTTTGTTGTCAACATCCACCAGCCCAAACAGGACGATAGAGGATACCAAGATGGCGATCACGCGTAAGTTCATCAGCTCTTCACCTGAATCCTTTTTACATGTTCTTCTTGCTGTTATTATTAGTTCTGGCTGGTTCAACTCGAAACGACACTGTCTCTGATGGCTGTCAATCTTGACACATCACCTTTTCCTGGCAACACCAAGTACTGATCATGTTTACAGAGCAATCCTCAGCACTCGACGGAAAAGAGCCCCAGCGCATGAAAGGTGTTGATAAATACCTTCAGTATGTCTTCATTTCGGATCCTTTGTGGCAGCGTCAACTGACGCAAACAATCACAGGTCACAGGGAGCGTACACTTTTTCCACCCCCGTTAGCGGAAAGCACTCTGGCGCTCTGATGATGAACGGCAACTCGGTTGACAAGGCCACTGTCAAGAATGAGCCAGGCATGAGCTACGTTCCCCGCAGCAACAATGATGCTACTCATCCTTTGTCTTCCAAATATGACTACCACACTCTGCTTGGACAGAAACTGCAGAGCATCCCTGAGGACTTTGCCGTGGCCGGATTCTCCCAGGTCAACGTCGCTGCTGGAGACCCGATCATGCCGCTGGGCTCTCGTAACATACGAATCCCGGCCAACTTAGTCGATTCGTTTATCTTGGCAGATGCTGGTCCCACCGCTCCCGTCTTCGAGCTTCCCCAGGCCCCGGCGCAAGCTTCCAGTGCTCTTGCTGGAGCCTTCGACCATGCTTATGTCGACAAGCTGCATTACTCCGAACACCATGGCTATGCTGTGCCTTCTGGCTCTCATGGCGTCTCTGTCAACCATCTGTCGGTCGGCATCAAGGATGGGTTAGTCTCGTCTGAGCTGATCAAGCCGACTAGCCTCGTCATCCCGGCTGCTGTCACTGAAGCTGCTGTTCCCAACGCAGCGGCTCCAAAAGCTGTCACCAAGCAGAACAGTGGCATTGATTCAAAGCGAGGCCACAACAACGACTCAGACTCTAGTGGTTCAACTACCTCCCACGCGTCCAGTACCCCCAACAAAGGCGTCAATCACGAAGAGCAGAATGACTCGGAAACTAGCGAGGCGACCGGCGAGGAGGCTCCAGAGGACTCTCACTCGGGCCACGATTCTTCCGATGGAGAGTCTCCCGATGGAGATTCCTCCGACGAGGAGTCATCAGACGACTCTTCCGACGAAGAAGACGATGCGACCCCTGGCCTGGCCAGAGTTCGTGCCCTCAACCTTTCTCCGGGCCTCGCTTTCGTTAGGGCCACCGACGGCAAAACTCGATGGCCTTGCAACCAATGCCATCGCGACTGGTCCCGCAGAGACGAGACTCGTCGCCACTTGCGCAATGTCCACTACCCCAGACTGTACAACCGAGACATTCCGATCCAGAAGGGCTTGGAGCAGGCCAGACTAGACTGTCCCTGAACGCTGCCCTATCGCTTTGGGTTCAGTATGCAGCTGTTACCTATGAGACCACATCCTGTCTCCCCATCAGAAGTTGCCGTTTAGTTCGCGTATAGCAGTAGCTGTGGAATAAGAAGCCGTCATTATGCTCCCGATCTTTGTTCATTGTGCTTTGTTGATGCGCAATGTCGTGCTGGTTTGTGAGGATTTATCCAACTCTCTTTCAAGTCGACCATGTGACACATGAACAGCGTTCTGATGAGAGAGCATGAACCTGACGATGATTGGAAGGCTGGACATGGCCTATAACCTGAGCTGAGCTGTAGCTTCGCGCTTCCTTCAATAGCGTCTCTATCCCACAAGTCTCAATCGCGGAGTCATTTGACACTAGAAACTAAAGATTTATAGGGAGTCATAGTTCCAGCTGGTCATGGAACTGGTCGAGGTAATTCGGCAGGCCACCGCCGAACCAACAATCAGACTAGGATCAACGTATACGACGCGTCGATATGGGCGACAATATGTCTGCTGTGAGGGGCAGAAGTGAGAGGATAGAAAGAGCAACCAAGGCAGGAAGAAATTCTTTATTGGAGAGATTTCGAGGCGAAAGCGCCGCACAAGAGTCATGATCCCTGTTTGTGTACCGGCTATTATCAATCAATTCTGGGTAGTAAAAAAATGGCGGCTCCCGATGCGAGAAAACAATTGCGCGTCTCACTTCATGATGGCCTCGCCCGAAAATTCGTCAGTGGGGATTTATCGTGGGTAGACGAAGTCGTGACAGAGGGAAGAGGGCAACGAGCGAATGGTGTCACACCGCTTTATCATTAGAAAAGGCGCTACACCGAATGAGTCATCTCCAACCCCAAAGTAACTGCCTTCAAGAGTGGTGATAGTCCTCTTCACTTGGAACAGCTTTTCCATCATTCATCATCTCTACTACTTTTTGCTTCCCTTTACAGCGCCCAGGTACAGCTTGAACGTTCTCCCCGACATCGATATCAACATCAAGGCCAACATGGCAACCGCAACCAGCTCCATCGTCGTCGCATCCGAAAACCCCACCAAGGTCCGGGCAACGCAGCTTGGCTTCGAATCTGTCCTCCCGGGCTCCTACACCATCCGCGGGGTCAGCTTTCCCTCCGGCGTGCCCAACCAGCCGCTGACGGACGAGGAGACGCTCCGCGGCGCCCTCAACAGGGCGCGCGGCGCGCAGAGCAGCGAGGTGGAGGCGGACTACTGGGTCGGGATCGAGGGAGGCATCGACATGTCGGACAAGCAGGAGGGGCCAATTATGAACTTTGCCTGGGTCGTGGTGCTCGATCGCCAAGGCCGCGTGGGAAAGGCGCGCACGGCGGCGTATTACCTCCCCGAGGAGACGGCCGCTTGTCTCCGGCGAGGGATGGAGCTGGGGGACGCGGACAACTTCGTCTTCGGGCAGACGGACACGAGAAGCAACAAGGGGTCAGTTGGGTTGTTGACGGACGGTGTTATCGACCGAACTGCGTATTACCACCATGCCGTCATCCTGGCCCTGATTCCGTTCAAGAACAAAAACTTGACGTTCGTGTAAAGCGATTTGACAGGGTATGAGGTTTCTACGTTGCGATTGGTCGTGATTGGGAGAGCGACGGATTCAATTACTCGGAAATCAAGGCGGCAGCGTGATCAGCATCATCGCTTTCGAATATGATGACTTGGCCATCACATATAGAGAGGGTCCTTCAACACAGGTTAATAAGATGTGATACCCCAGAACCCATGCGAACTTCTTGGTTAGGCACCCATGATATCGCACCAGACGGACTTGTGCTTGGCAATCTTCGAGATCTCTCTGGCCCACGCGGCAAGGATCTCCAAGCACCGAGGTCGATCATCAACTTCAGGTTGGCCAGGGGGGCAGAAGTGGAGTGGGAAGGGAACCAAAGTTAAGGGGTAGCACCATGCACGGGCCAAGGATCCACAGGGCTGGGTCTCGGTCCCCTGGAATGTGCACTAGGGGCACTGAACCAGCCAGCCGTCAGTGGCAGGATAGCTAGAACGTCTCTCGCCTTCTCCCGCTCTTGTATGCAACTGCCTCGGTGCGTTTCTGCTCGGCCTTGAGGAGGGGTGTTTATTTATATGCAGGAAATCAGCAAAGGGCTACACACCTACATGCTTATCTAGATAGGCAATAAGGCCTGGTCGCGAAAAGGGTGATAATTCGTCCGAAGCTCGACTCCTGTTTGACACAACGGAGGTTTGTGCCACTCCTTTCTTTTCCTAGTGGCCTCATTTTTCTCCTCTCTCTTTCTCGAACTCTCTTTCTCCTCTTCTACCATACTTCCTCGCAAAGGAGCCATACTCCCCCAACCATGGCGAGAAGACAACACTTATCGTTAATGGTCCTGCTGGCCGTCGTGGTCTTCTTCAGCGTCTCGTACCTCTTCTCGAGCAGCACTAGCGAACCCTCATCGCCTGCGCCGCCCGCTGTCGCTGCCGCCGCCAAAGGCGACTCTCCCGAGAGCGCCGACATTCCCGACCTGGGTCACATTTCTAGCAGCATCCTCACTGGCGATTCTATAGCTCCGAAGTTAGAGAATGCAACTGCAAAGTAAGTTTTTCTCCTTCTCGCATGCCACCCCTCCCAACGGCCGCCGCCATTTGCATGCGCCCACAGCCCGCCACAGCCCGCCAGCCCAGATCCCCGGGTCGCGACGGTGGACTTGACAATCGAGGCCGCCAAGGTTCTTCGGCCACAATTGACTGATCTTCTCCCACAGAGCCGAGCTTGGCCGCGCCTCGTGGAAGCTCCTCCACACGATGATGGCGCGCTTCCCCGAGAATCCCACCCCCGACGACAGACTCGCTCTCAAGACGTACATCCAGCTCTTCGGCCGCCTTTACCCCTGCGGCGAGTGCGCTTCACACTTCCGCACACTGCTGGCAAAGTACCCGCCCCAGACGAGCAGCCGGAACGCTGCCGCCGGCTGGGCCTGCTTTGTCCACAACGAGGTCAACACGCGCTTGAAGAAGGAGCAGTTTGACTGTAGCAAGATTGGTGACTTCTACGACTGCGGCTGCGGCGATGAGGACAAGAAGAAGAAGGAGCCCGAGGAGAAGCCCAGCTTGGAGCTGGAGAGGGATGGGTAAGTTAACGATGCCCCGGACGCCCAGTGAATGAGCCGAGATGCTGACAGTTCTGCAGTCTGACAAAGGGGGGTTAAGATAACGGTACTTTGGGCCGACCGGGAAGCGTACTTTGCATATTTTCGACGTATCAGCGCTGTAACATATCACACAACTAGAAGACTTGTATGAAGACGGATTTATCTCTGGGCCGGTGGTGTGGAGGACGACCGGGCCCGACGACCAGAACCTAGCCGAAACTGTGATGCTGGAACCACTGCACTCGCGATGGCATGGTGCTGGAGGTGTGAGACGAAATCACCTCAACCTGAGGCTCAGTATCTGGGGGGAGAAGCTCCCGTGGGGATTTGTTCAGAAGTGGGGAGGCCTTCCAATTCCGTCCGGCATTGACATGTCACCACACTGATTCTGGTGATTTTAAGCCGCCTCTGGCCAACTTGGGCTTTATGGAGCTCTTTCAATATTGCAATCTATGAAATGGCAATATCCATCCAAAAATCCCATTTAGCACCTAATTGCACCCATCAGAGCAGGTACAAAGAAAGGTCCGGCAAAGATTCCTGCGTCTTATGTAATATGCAGTCACGTGACTGACATGGTCAGTGTTACCCAGGTGGGCAAGGCCACACGCGTTCTGGAGCTGCCTGAGCTTCGTCAAGCTCCAGCCTTTCCCTCAGCAACCGACCACCTGCTGCCGCCTTCCCACCGACGACGCATCAAACGAACCCCGCCGAATTTTGACTCGAACCTCTCAACCCCAAACAACAGACACCCGATTTAAATCAACCGACGATATTCGCACGCAAGCCAAAATGGAGTTCACCACCACCGGAATGTTGAACGAAGGTACGGGCGCTGTTGGTGGGAAAGCTCGATGATGTACCAGGACGGGACCATAGAGGGGACATGGGCAGCACAGCAGGAAGGATCGTCAGCTAACCTTTGCGGGCGGACAGATGGCATTCACCTTGACATGGAGAGATTAAAGAAGGGCGAGGTTAAGTGAGTGATTTCCCCAATATGTTAGATGCCTCTTCACGGATGTAAAGCTAATGACGTTCGCAGCCTCGGAACCTCGATGTAAGCTCCTATCCCTCGGTCGCCCGCCCTCGGAACCCCCTTATCTGGAATGCAACTGACACTCACGACAGTATGGCAGTCACATTCAAGGACGGTGTTATTCTCGGTACGTCATGTCATTCTTCCGTCTCAATAGGCCGGCCACTGGGCCACCTCGGGTGCGCATGCGGGGATGATTGCTGACATTCGACAACCATCCAGGTGCCGACTCCAGGACAACGACGGGCGCCTACATTGCCAACCGTGTCACCGACAAGCTCACACAAGTCCACGACACCATCTGGTGCTGCCGGTCAGGCTCCGCGGCCGACACTCAGGCCGTCGCCGACATTGTCCAGTACCAGCTGGGCCTGTACGCCATGCGCAACGGAAAGCCTCCAATGACACAAACCGCCGCTGCCATCTTCCAAGAGGTCTGCTATGCTAACAAGGACCGCCTGACGTGAGTTTCCGCCCCCGCTGTTTCTCTCATCCCACCACGTGGACCCTCTTCTCCTCCTCTTTGTATGTCTGCATTACTGACTTCCCCATTTCAAGCGCTGGCCTCATCATTGCCGGCTGGGACGAGCGACACGGCGGCCAGGTCTACTCGATCCCCCTCGGTGGCTCCCTACACAAGCAGTCGTACGCCATCGGCGGCTCGGGCTCGACCTACATCTACGGATACTGCGACGAGCACTGGAAGGAGGGTATGGAGGAGCAGGACGCGGTCGACTTCGTTAAGGGGTCGCTCAAGGAGGCCATCAAGTGGGACGGCAGCTCCGGCGGTGTCATCCGCATGGTCGTCCTGACCGCCAAGGGCGCCCAGAGGCATCTGTATCTCCCCGACGAGGACTACACGGTGAAGCACTAGAGTGTGTGCGTTTCTTGTGCGAGGGAGAAGATAACGCCGGGAACGGTTGCTTGAGGAGAAAGCAAATGAGCTGCTGATTTGCTGAAATGGCTCGCCGTCCGAGGGGGCGAGTGATACATCACACAGGCTGGCCGCCATGAGTTACGAACGAGCCTCGGAGGGCATTCATGCCGAGGCGACGACACACTCCAAACTTGGCGGACGAAACAATGAATGTACAATAAAATAGATTACCCGCAAGATGAGAGATGCTCTACTAGAGGATGATGATGTATGCTGTCCATGAGATCAGGTTGGCACGGTGAAATAAGGGCTCCGCGGCTCGCGTGATCAGGAGGGGTCGGAAGGCAATGGGCACTCCGCTACGACGTGAGACGTGAGTCTTGACGCTAGACCTCATGCGGCGGGAGGCCCGGTCCCCCGGTCCCCCGGTCCCGGAGAACAAGCCACCGGGGAATATGCATTCCTACCCGTATGCACGAAGCAGGGAGGACGTGAAATAAGCGTCCGCCGCGAGCGAGACCAGCCTCGGATTTGGAGGCGGTGAGGAAGGGGGAGGGGGGGATTTAGCGCCACTCGGCTCTGCGGGTAACGAGGAGCGGGAGCGAATCAGGGAAAGGAGCGGAAGGGAGGAAGTGATCCTCCGCCCGGGCTTCTCACTGTTTGACATTTTGCTGCGGAAAAGGTCTGCCTACTGTCAACGAGTGAGCAACGAGAGGACGCCGTGGACGGTTTACGTAGGTACACTAGGTGACCAGGCAGGCGCCAGACCGGCAGGAGGATACGCCATCCAGGGACATGGTCTCGTCAGTCCTCCGAGGGGCGAGGGGGAGCGGAAGCGGGATGGAGGCGGCCGATCGTGCCACTGGCTCCTCGGTCACGGTTTAGGAAAAGGTAGGTAGCGGCGGTGGAGCGGAACGTGGGACGGGCTCTTGGAGATCCGGTGTGCCACGACGATGGCAGTGGTACATATTTTTTCTCTTTTTTTTTTCTCTCTTTTTTTTTTCTCTTTTTCTTTTTTTGACGTTCTGAATGGCTTTCACTCTCGAGTGGGAGATGGATTGCGGTGAAGATGAGCTCGCACAGCATATCTGTAGTGTAGGTATGTGCAAATTAGCAAGATTAGATCGATGGGCTGCAATTGGGTCCCACGTCTGAACTCCTGCACGTGTGTCCGTGGAGTTGCACCAAAGGATCAAAGACCTCGTGCCGGAGGGGAAGCCGCGTATTGGCCGGGTGTCAGCCTTGCTGGCCGGGGTGACGGGGATAAGGGGAAAAAAAGAGGGGGCAGCCAGCATGGGAGTTGGCTGTTGGTGGTTGGAACTTGTGGAATAGGCTTGGATGTGTTGTTGTTGAAAGCTTGTTTTTTTGTTGCCCCCTTTTGCGATACTGTTGGCAGCCTGCGATGGCGTCAGCGCGACGGAAGGTCCCTAATGCTTTTTACAAGCGGCAGACCAGAAAATTTGTCCCCTTTCAGCCGTTAAGAAACAACCAGCCGGTGGGCGTCTAATTCGTCTAAACTACCGTCTAGTCGATGTCTAATCCCGCGTCTTGTTCTGAATGTGTGCATGTGTGGGATGCGCGGGTACCTGATTACTAACAATCGGGGCCTGGAGACGGGCTGACTCTAACAATCAGGTCACGGACAGGCCGAAATGGCGAGCTTTCCCATCCACCTCGTGTCCTGTTTCTTAATCGGGCTGGGTTGGACAAGATGCAACGCTAAGCAGGACTATACAAGCAAGAAAAAAAAAAGGGGGGAAAGATGGAGAAGAGCGTGGCTGAAGCCTGTATGCTGTGGAAGTCACGAAGACGATGTTGCTTGATTTGGACGTAAGTGTTGTACCAATTCGGCCGGAGGACGGCGATGCGGCAGGGATGGTTCAGATAGAGTGTGTAGATGGTTGTCGTAGTCTATGTTGGCTGTACGTAAGGGTCAGAAAGAAGTGAGTCTAAGCTATGACTATCATGATGGAAGAAACCTTTTAATTTTCCGATAACTATCCTGGCCATCGTCAATGTTGCGTGCCGCAGTGTACAGATATCGATGGTGCGTTATGTCCAGCTGCGATTATGGCCGGCGACGTGTGTGGGCCAGCCAACGAAGAGGAGATATTCGAAAAGGGAGGTGGCAGGACGGCGGCTGCTAACAGGGGGACAAGTATCCAAGGTCAAGCCCAGGACCCCCTCGTCAAGTCTCTTATCGGTGCTATCGGTTATCTGCGCAGCCAGTAAGAGGGCGGGATGAGCACCCTCCCGGCGGCGTGGATGGGTCGTCCCTGGCGCCCATCCACTACCCAGTCGCCTGTTTTTCGCGACAAGATTTCTTGGTCTGAGCCCTCGAGTCTGGGCATGCGCTTCTCCGTACCCAAAAGAACCTATGTTGCAGTCGCGGGCGCGTCTTGGAACGTTGGACTGCAGCACGTTAATTACGCAGTGCCGGGATGGCCGTTCGCGCATCTGCGGGATATTTCCCATGGTGTGTCACTGCCGGTCCTGTGGCCTGTGGGTTATGGTTCTTCTATGCAGCAGCCCTGACTCTGTCATTTCCGTTCTTTCTTATTCCTTCGTTGGGCATCATTGTGAGAAGCCTGTGTTGGTAATGGGATGGGGAAGTCAAGGTCCAGGGTCGACGGGATTGCGGCCGAGGAGGAGTGCAATCTCAATCGGCTGGTCTCTCTCGTTCCGTCCGAGAGAGCTCTGGCCCCAGTATGGATAAAACGGGTGTTAAGAGCCTCGGCGCGAATTGATACGGCTTTGTGGTTCGTATGGCGGTATATCGCAACGAGGCTGTGCTAGATTCGGTTGGACCCGCCGGCCGAGGACTTGCTGCGACTGACTTGGGCATGGTCGAAGGAAGGGCAAGTCGTGGACCGACAGGGAATCGGAAGCGGGATGCAGCCACTTTGGACTTGCAACGATGGCACGAGCAGATTCGGGAGGACGAGGGAGACAAGGACCCTTGACTTTCTTTTTGGGAGGAGAAGTGAGGACTGGTGGGCGACGGGGAAGATTGACGACTAGCGCGGACGTTTATGTCATCACATGTTTCGGGTGGTCCTCACTTTTTCGCCACAAGCAAGACATGTGGGGGAGGGAGAGAGAGACAGCTCACGCACAAAGGGTGTTCAACACGACAAGATCGATGGTCACCTTATTACTAGATGAGAGCCTATCGATGTACAACTACCGTGTGGCAATATGCAGTGTGTATCCGTAGCCTCAAGTAACTCGAGGGACGAGACGACTCACAGACGGCATAGAGCAAAAGGGCTGCAAGGCTAAAGCAGCATCTGGAACGCGTGGGAAAAAAAAGAGGGAGCAACTTAGAGAGGTCACACACGTCAACAACATAGGCGTTTCCCATCGCAACGGGGTGCCCTGAGCGTGAGCTTGTCTGTAAGTACCAGATACAGCAAACACAGCAAGCTCGAAACCCGTCAGCCACAACGGGAACGCGATTGATCATCTCGGTGCATTGGGATCAATCAGCTTCACCTGCTTTTGTGCCGTCATCTCGCGGTGCGGGCTGCACATGAACCCCAAGGTACTTTACCCAGACGAGCCGTTTCGTCGACCATCTTTTCGCCATCTACCTCATCCGTCCCCACCAGACCGCCAATCTCAGGCAGGGTCCATGAAGCCAGGCCCGCCTCTCACTCGCCCGCCATACACTGTACATCCCACTCTGATGTGCACCTTGGAGCTGAACTGACCAGGCCGTGGTCAGTCACCCACAGATCAGATCAGATCAGGCCACCTCATCTTCTAGACGCGACTGTAGCTCTCTAGTAGTACACTGAAAGGAAGAAAGAAAGAAAGAAAGAAAGAAAAATTAAGAAGAAGCAAACGAAGAAGGAAAACAAAATAAAAAAAAACGGGAAAACGGGTCACTACGCGCGCGTTGTCCTCTTTTCTCGCAATCGGGTGTTGCGCGTAGCAGAGTTCCAGCCCAGTCCATCGTCCGCTGCGCTCTCCACTGTCCTCATATCTGGGTACCTACCTACCTAGTTAGTGTACGTGTACGGGTTCGGGTCTGCATAGGCCAACGGCCTCTGTCGCTACCAGTCCCTTTCTCATAGGCGGTCCCACTCCTGGGCCTGCCCACCTCGCACTTTCCCCCTCCATTGCCCATCGGTGCCTTTCCCGCTTTTTGACATACCGTCTTCTCCCCATCCACACTACCTACCTTACCTAGGTACCTACCTACTTACTACCTACTAAGGGTGTTTGTACCCAGTAGGTACCTGCCTACCTAGTGGTGTATTCATCCATCTTCCCGCCCTCCTTCCTCTCCTCCTCCTCCTCCTCCTCCTCCTCCTCCTCCTCCTCCTCCTCCTCCTCCTCCTCCTCCTCCTCCTCCTCCTCCTCCTCTTCTTCCCCCCCACCGACTCTTCCTCCCACCCCAGTCTGCTTTTTCTGTTCTGGCCCGGTCTCGTCTTCCTCCACACTTGCAAGATACTTCCCACAAGGGAGGCTTCTTTCTGCGTCGGCTTTCTGCTGTTTCTCATCTTTATCTTCTCTCCCGATACTCAGCGCCATCATCCGTACACATTCCGATTCGGTACTCTTAATCGCAGACGCCCTGCGAAACGGAACAGAAACAGTTTTCGAGTCGCCGAGTCGGACGCCATCTTGACCGACTTATCGCCCCCATCTTTCCGCCCGCCTCCTTCTCTTTCTCCTTCACACAACCATCGCCGCCCCCTCGACCTCTCCCTTCCGTCCTTGCTTGGCCCCGCGTGTGTTCACTCCGCCTCCATCACCCTTCCGGCATTGGTCTCGACTCCAACAACGCCGACCTAATCTGCCTGCCTACCTACGACGTCACACTCGACACCCTGCTGCTTGTTTGGCTCACCCCCGAGCTGCTCCTCCCACTACACATATCCCCGAAACACCGTTGCTGCACCATTGCGTCGCAACTCCCACTGCTTCGCCCGCCAACAACATTTATCACTGTGTCGATAGGTGACTCCGTTCATCTACCCGTTGGTCCACTTAGGTGAGTTGATAGTGCTGTCTGGTGCATTTGTGCGCATTCCTGCTTCTCGTCTTCTCTTATCTGCTCTCATCACCACCCCCAAACATGTGCCTATTACCTGCATCCGTCCTGGCCATCTCGAGACACGCATCTGTGACGTCGATTGTCCCGGCGCCTGGTGGCCAATGTGCCAGCCAGCTCTCCTCCTGGGACCGAACCGCACCGTTGGACATCAGCTTTACCTGATAGGTAGTCTACCTACCTACCTGCTGGTGCCTTGCTTGTACTCAGCTGCTTGTCACTACAATCGGCACCCGCGCGCGCTTCTCAACAATGAGATCCGACCCTCAACCGCAGATATGGCCCTGGCTCGGGCCATCACTCTTGCCCGAAGAGGCTGGCATCGCACAAGCAGCCCAGTTAGACAAGTCTAGCTCACAGTCGTCCTCCCCTGTTCCCATTTCACACCTTCCGCCCGCCTTCCCTTCCTTGCTTCCTTCCACCACATTGCGACACTCGGATTGAGCATATGCTGACTCGGCTTTCGCTCTTCGTAGTTGCTGCTTCCAATCTTTCTAATTGTAATACCGTCTCATTCCGTTGGAGAATAATACGATGCTATGGCAGCTGTGATCGGTGACTTCGTCTCTGATCCCTCCCGTTTCCACACTATGATTGCCTCCTCCGGCATTCCGCACCAGCACTCGCACGATTCCCATTATCGATCCGCCAGTCGATCGAGAGACGTGCCCGCCGCTCATCACTCCACGAGCCCAAGATACCAGCATTCTACCAGTACTCCACCTACGCGTCAGAAGCGGCCCGACTGGGACTCCGCCGCTGAGAAGCACGCACCGCCTAGTGGAGGAGCCTCTCGCTTCCCTTCGCCCCCGTCCTCCTCATCGCCCACCCGAGCGAGGCCTCAGCATGCCGATAGCCCCGCATACATGGCGACCGACTCTCGCGACGCCGGCCATGCTGCTGCCACTTTGGCCATAGAGGGGGCCGCCTCGGCGCTGACCCACCAGCGGCAGCAACCATCGCCCGCGTCAGATGGCAACGGTATAGCCGATGCCCCGGCCTCATACACCCTTTCCGATAGCTCGTCTCCTCGCCAGCAGCCCCAAGGCCAAACTATCCATATACGCGATCTGGCCCATATTCAGAGTCTTGCCAAGGCAGATCTTTTATCAGGCAACGGACCCGGCATACTCAACGACCCGCCTCTGCAAGCGATGAAGTACGAGATCAGTGCCATGCCCATTGGCGACATCATTGAGATGGTTGCTGCGTTGCTCACCAAAATCACAACTACCAATGACTTGCAACATGACGCCATGCAGCGTAATGTCGCGCACCAGCAACAAGCAAACCAGAACGACGAGTCAGGCAACGGTTCGCAGATGAGCCCTTTGAGCACCTCGGTGCTGGCGTTCCACGGCAAGAACATTCCCGCCATCACCATTCTCAGCTACCTGTCCCGCATTCACAAGTACTGCCCCACCACGTACGAGGTCTTCCTGAGCTTACTGGTATACTTTGACCGCATGACGGAACGTGTCAACGAAATGGTTGTCAAGCATGAGGAGGCACGGAGAAACTCGATTTCACAGCCAACACCCAAGTCGCAGGCGGCCGACGTCGACATGCGTGACGAGGACGACGACAGCGACTCGGACCTTGCCGACGACGACGACATGGACGAGAAGACTACGAAACCGAGTGAAAGTACCGGAAGCATCGCGCCCCAGCCAACCACTCTGGGTGCCCCGGCGACGTACTTTGTGGTCGATAGCTTCAACATCCATCGACTGATTATTGCGGGAGTGACATGCGCGAGCAAATTCTTCTCGGACGTCTTCTACACCAACTCCAGATACGCTAAGGTATGTCGTCCCGACTTTTTGTTAAGGAGCATTCGTCGTTGATATTGAAACTTTAGGTCGGCGGACTACCATTGGCGGAACTGAACCATCTCGAGCTCCAGTTTCTTCTATTGAACGACTTCCGGCTTGCAGTCCCCGTCGAGGACCTTGAGGCATACGGCACCATGTTGGTGGAGTTCTATGCACGGGAGGTGGTGGCTCAAAGGTCACGTCCTACGGCCGGCAGCGATTCCTAAGGCACTTTCTTATTCGCAATATTACGAGATTGATACCCTGATATACACCAAGTTTTGGGGGACGATCAACGAGAGCTTTCGATACTGGATTCTAGCAGCCACGATTCGAACACGCTGGTCGCATGTTGCGCCCGGGATTGTAAGAACGTCGGTGAACTTTCGAGCGGCAAGGTGCCACAGTTTCGATCTAGTGTTTTCATCTATAACGGATGACGCGGGCCTGCCTTCGATCGATCGAGATGCAGGCCTGTGTTAGACGAGCTTTGTTCAACTGAAGGACGAGTAGCTGCATGATTTTCATCATGATTTTCATGGATTTGATACCCGGATAGAAGTGTCGGGTTGACCGCAGAGAGAGAGAGAGAGAGAGAGAGAGTTTCACGCTTGGGAAATATAGCGATGCAATACGCGGCGGGTTCGGCGTGTGGGAGGGCGACCTTGTCCATGTGCCGAGTCCGCTGCGGCTATGGCTTTTGCGCGCATGTACGGAATGACTACCAACAAGAGTGAAGAGAAGGGAGCACAGGTATATTCGACGCGGGCCAGGTCTGGATCAGGTTACACTTACACGTTGCGTTACGTTCTAGACTTTGTTGCGCATGCATGATTGGGACGAGGCGTTTGGTGTTCCGAGATTGACATAGATGGCGAGCATAATGATATGTCCCGAGTACGCGATTTCAGTCTGCTGGCGTGTTGGTTTGTATGAAAGTGATGTGACCGGCAACGTTGTGATGATGGACGGCTTGATAATAAGAGAATGCACTTTCGTATCCGTCCCTGGGACGCTAAGACTGCTGTTAAGAAGAGTGTACTAGCACATGGAGATTCACCATTGGGGGTGCCTGTCCGATGCCTCCTCCCCGGTATGACGTCGTGAAGCTCTTGGAGAGGTTTAAATTGCAGTGCATTATTCGGCCCCCAACTTTGTATGAGTGGGCGCCAAGTTGCATCAGCAGCAGTAGCAGGTAACTTGTCGGTGCCATTGATTGGCGGGATGGACCCGGGGGGGCGGATGGGACGCCGAGGGCGGCTTTTATCTGCTATGCGTAACCCCCCCACATTGGATAAGCATCATCTGGCTGGGCGACGCACAAGGGAATCACAACGAAGGGGATCGTGTACTCGATATGGCTTCTTTAATGCTCATTCGCTTGGTGTTGCGAGAGAGGGGCTTTTTGTATACAGCGTTTAGAATGCAGGGTTTCCTGAGATTCCCACGCAGGCCATTGGATGATGTATCAGAGGCATGTCGTGTCTTGCTCGTTCTCCCGTGATTCCCAACCCCCGGTAGCTCCCCTGTTTATCTCGCCCAGCTCGAACCTTGACGCCCCATCCGGCCAGGCAAAAGGCAAAAGGTGAATGGCGTCGGCACGGTCCCTCGCGCCCGCCTTTACTCCGTAACCTCGGGCGTATGGCAGACCACCTCGATGTTGTTCCCCGAGGGGTCGATGACAAAGGCCCCGTAGTAGTTTGGGTGGTACTGCGGCCGCAGCCCCGGCGCCCCGTTGTCCTTGGCCCCGGCGGCCATGGCAGCCTTGTGGAACTCGTCGACAGCTTTGCGGTCTGCGGTCGCCGCCCCCGTCGTGTCAGCCGGCACCTCGTCTGTTCGGGTCGCTCCTGGGCAGAAGGGGCGAGAGAAGGGGAAAGAAATTGGGTGAAAAGAAGAAAAAGAAGAAGAAGAAGAAGAAGAAAACTTACTCTCCGCCTTGAAGCCCAAGTGAAGCGGAATGTTGGCCTTGTCAGCGTTGTGGGAAGCGATCCAGAAGTCAGCGCGGTGGACACCGAGGCCGCATGCGTACTCGTTGGGCTCGACGAACTTTTTGAAGCCGACTGGAGCCAGGACGGTGAGATACCAGCCGACCGTCTCCTTGTAGATGGAGGCGGGTACAAAGAGGCCGACGTGGTCGATGGACATGTTTGGCGGTGGGATGCTGGGGCGCGTCCTAAGGGGTCTTGTTTCTTCTTTGATTTCTGTTTTGGGGGGGGGGACGAGCTGGCCTACGAGGGGGTTCGCGGGGTATTTGATATCGCGTCGGTCAGCAGTAGAGGGAAGTTCCGTCAGGGAGGGGAAGAAGGCGCGAAAGAGGCGCGACAACACGTGCGTTGGGGCTGCGAACAAGGATTGACGCAAGCAGCTTCGTTTTGGCTTTTTTGGTCTGCATGGAATGTGCCTTCTCCGAGTTGGTCAGCAGGCAGCAGCCGCTCTAATGTCTGATACATTCTGCAATGCGGGGGATCGATCATACAGGGAGGTAGCGAATGAGGCTGGTGAATTCGCAAATTTCCACCGGATTCCGAATTCAAGAAGGATCATAGGATCATGCCCCTGATCATCTCTTGGCCAGACTCGGTTTCAATTTTCGGAGTGTGGTTTTTACTGGAATCCTTCGAAAGGATATGTCTCGTTTATTGGGGCCGCAAGTTGCAACCCTCGGGTCCCTAACTGCCATTATGCAACGGTATGTTGTGTCATTACCCGCCGTTGCTCTTTGTTTTCGCCATTCCCGCGCATTTCAAACCCTCGCCCAAATGCTATGGTTTAGCCGGAACCTAACCAGAGCGACAAGCCCCGATGCCGCCAACGACAATGACCCAGCGTAGAACATGGCAGGACGGTACGCTTGGAGACCGTTGTCCGCGCCCCCGTATGCTTCAAGGAGGTAGCCAGCAATCGGAGCACCCTTGACGACCCCATTAGCTTCCCTGGCCTTCGTTGGGGCAAAACGAGACTCACCATGAGATATCCTCCTGCCCAGCCGGTAACAATCATGCTCATCGCAACCGACACCCTCGCAGATCCGAACACGTTCCCTACCACCGTGGGCATGGTTGAGAAGAAACCGCCATTGGAGATACCGTTGACCACAACGAAAACGATCATGGGGCCCAGCGTCGTCGACGCAGGCCAGATGGCCAACATGCTGACGGCCGACAACACTAGCGAAGCGCACAGGACGTTTAGTGCACCAAAGGCATCGCAAAGGGTGCCGCAGCAGATGCGACCAACGGCCGAGGAGAAGTTGAAGGCCGCAAGCAGACCTGCGCCCGTCGATGAGGAGAAACCGATGGACTTGGAGTACAAAGGGAGGAAGAAGGGCGGGACGAAGAGTGGGAATGTGCCGACCGCGCCAGCGAGGAAGACGATGAGAAAAGTGAGGGATTTGAAGAGACGCCTGCGGACTAGTGAGTTGCTGCATGTGTGGAGCGGAGGGAGGGCGCGAGATAGTTTTAAGGGCCTACCATTCAACGAAGCCGGAGCCCCGAACGGGAACACGCTCTTTGATAAGCCAAGCGGCCGGAAGCCCGGTGGCCAAGGTGACCAGGGCGAGGACACGGTACGCCCATGCCGGACCCAGTCGGTTGAGGAGAGCGTCCAAGGCAAAGCTGTTGACTGCGCCGCCGAAACCGCCGCCGGCGAACACGATGCCGTTCGCCAGGCCACGCTTGCGGCTGAAGTATTGTGCTGGCATCACGCTGACGATCTTAGTTTGTCAGCTGTTTTCGTGTTGGAAAAAAAGGAGCATGCGATCAACGGTCGACACTCACTGAGAAACACAAGCTGGATGACTAGTCAGCGCAAAGAAGCCACGTCACGAAACGGTGGTAGGCTGGACTCACCTCGTGCCCAAGCCCGTAAGAATGCCGCTCGTCGCGAACAAAGCACCGACGTTGGTCACTGCAAAACTACTGAGAAGCTCACTGACACCCAACAGCGTGATGCCCACCAACCCCGTGTTGCGCGGGCCGATCCGTCTCATGACGCGCGAATTGACAATGGCCAACGCCGAGATCAAGACGGTGGCGAGGGAGCCAACGAAGGAGAGCACGGCAGGAGTCCCGAGGCCATCGTCAATGAGGGCACGCTGGATGACGCCCCACGAGTAGGTGGTCCCGATTATCCACCAGGCAATGACGAAGCAGCCTGTCACAACGACCCAGCCGTAACCGCCCTCGGGCACGGCAGTGTCGGCCTCGCGCGAGGCACGGAGGATGGGGTCGTCGTCATTTGCTGGCTGGGTTGACGGAATGGGGTGTTGATTTAGGGTATTTTGGGCCGGGAGGGGACGGAGCTCAATGCCGGAGGTTGAGGCCGAGGCCATGGCGGAAGCCGTCGTTGTCGTTGTGGCCATGGTGGGAATAAAAAACCGTTAGGTAGGGCGGCGTCTTGTTGAGTGTCCAAACAGCCTCAATGTTCAAGGCAATCAATTAAGAATTGTTGTTGCTTATATGTCCATGTTCTTTGCGCCCTTCCGTCGACAAGGCACTACTAGCGCCCGGCTCGGCTGAAGAATTCGGGGTTTCTTAGCCGTGACCCACACACTGGGTAGTTATCTACGGCATTGCTTGTGCCCCGGATCGATCGTGGGTCAATGTCAAGAGGGCGCCGGGGACCGGTCGGTACCGTACCCAGCACGGCGGATGGACTGACACTTGCGGGGAAAATGGCACGGCGCACAACGCACGACGGACGGGCGGACGGCGGGGTTCGTCGCCAATCATAGTCAAATGACGTTGCATCCCCCCCCCCCCCCCCCTTCCCCCCAAACAAAGCAGCCGTCCGCTCGAAAAGTGGTAAGGGAGGAAAGGACACAGAGAATCCCTGCCGGACACGATAGAAACGGGAGCTAAGGAGGCCAGCCAGCCGTCAGGGCTGACTGGGAACAACAATTTCCTCGAGCTTTGAGAAATCCGAGATGAGAAGGTGCCCCCTTCCAGCGCCGAGGAAAGGGCGTCAAGTTGTACTTGCTTATGATGCCTACCTAGTGCAAGGAAGGTACATACATGATGATGCCCCATAGGTCGATGTGAGATGACGGAAGCTTGACCCAGACGCGCCGCGGTATTGCATAAAGCCTGTTGTACATAGAATCTACATCGCTCTCTCAGTCACTATCAAAGCTGAAATAGTGTACTTCTCTGTCCGTGTTTGTCGTGTCGGGTGGAAATGGGGCCTCGGGTATCCTCATCCGAGCATGTCGCATTCCGTCTTGGCATCGGCAGGCCCGCTTAGGAGGAAGGCACACTCCCTGCCTCTCTCTCCTTCAGAATACGATTGATGTCCTCGGTAGGGACACTGCGACAGGAAGGCAGGCAGGCAGGCAGGCAGGCAGGTCTTACCGAGTCCATGCTTTCCTTCTCTCTCCCGGAGTCGAGTCGAAGGTGGCCTTGCCTCGTGACTACCTAGGTCGTCTAGGTACTTATCTATCGTACCGCCCGCCTTCTTTCCGCTCCGATTTGTTTCTTGGCATCGTAAGATGGACGCCTGAGTGGAAGGAAGGAAGATAGGAAAAGAGAGGGGCTTGGAGACGAGGAAGGTGCATTGACGCAGACAAGCGGAAAGATGCTGCCGTTGGTTTCTTGGCAGATGGTGAGAAAAAGGTGGTGTTTTCCTTAGTCATCACCAAGTCGTCGTAATGCTTTCCCAAAATTTTCCACTAGGGTGGAACCCCCTCCAGTCTCTCTCCAGTTCACTGGTTGCGCTGCGCTGCTCTTCCATGTACTACTGCTGCTGCTGCTGCTGCTGCTGCCGCCAAACTGCTGCCAAACTGCTTCTACTGCTGGCTAGTTATTGTGTCTGGCCTCGCTTCTCCTCCGCCCCCCCCCCCCTTTCCCTCCCTTCTTCAGCCCCTTGCCCCCCAAACAATTAGGTCCCCAAGACCAATTCTCCTTCCAAGACCCGTCAAATATCCAAGACTTTCCTCTCACCCCCTTCTCAAGGCTTTCAACGCCCGCCGCGCGTCCGTCTCTCTCAATTCATACCATCATAGTGGCCCTTGTGTCCATCCCTTCCTCCATTCCATCCCTCCCTCTCTCTCTCTCTCTCCCACTCGGCTTCGTTCAAGCCACGACAACTTCGTCCTGCCGGAATTCAAAATTCTATTCTGAATTGGGAATGTCCGTTGTTTATCAGACGTACCTATCGCCCGGTTCGAACCTTGCTTGCGTAGCTCCCTCGGATTTTCCCATCCCTAAGGTTTCCGTATTACTATCTACTCCAATTAACAAAAAATGGACGCCGCCGAGAAGCAAAGCCCCAGGATCCTAGTTCTCGATGGAGGCCTCGGCACCTCGCTCGAGGACAAATACGGCATCAAGTTTGAGTCCGCCACCACCCCTCTCTGGTCAACTCACCTCCTTGTTGACGGCCAGGATACCTTGTTTGCCTGTCAGAAAGATTTCGGCAATGTGCCGGTCGACATTATCCTCACGGCCACTTACCAACTGTCTATCCACGGCTTCGCCAACACCCGCACTGCCAAGTATCCCAATGGTATCGACTGCGCCGCCATCGGCAACTTTATCCAGGACGCCATCCGCATTGCCCATGAAGCCGGACGTGCGCACGGTACCAAGACGGCTCTCAGCATCGGTCCCTATGGCGCCTGCATGATTCCCGGACAAGAGTATAGCGGCGCCTATGACTCCGAACACGACTCGCTCGAGAAGCTGCGTGACTGGCATCTGGAGCGTCTGCACCTGTTCAAAGACGCCGGTGCCTTTTCCTCCCCCGTCGCTTATGTTGCAGTTGAGACCATCCCCCGCTCCGACGAAATCAAGGCATTGAGGCAAGCCCTCGACAAAATCGGCCTCTTTGCTACCGATAATCCCCTCCGCTTCTGGATCGCCACCCTCTTCCCGCGTCAAGACGACTGTCTGCCCGACGGCTCCTCTGTCAAGGAGGCCGTGACGGCCATGCTGAGCCCTGACGTCGCCATGAGCCGACCCTGGGGCATCGGCATCAACTGCACCAAGGTATGGAAACTCGAGTCCCTAATCAAGAGCTACGAATCGGCCGTCCAAGAACTCATCGAGGAGGGGGCCATCGCCGGGGCCCCGGCCCTCGTCCTCTACCCAGATGGCACTAATGGTGAAGTATACAACACGGCCACTCAGAAATGGGAACTTCCCGGAGGATCACATCACCCTGTCACGTCGTGGGAGGCCCAACTCTCCCAGGTTGTTGCTGACGCCCAGTCTCGAGGATTGTGGAACCAGATTGTTGTTGGTGGATGCTGCAAAGCAAGCCATTCTGATATTGCCCGGCTCCGGACCGCGGTGGAGGGCCTATCTCGTTGAAGGAAACAGAGAAGGAAAAAAAAAAGGGGGGGGGGATTATCCCCGAAACCGGGTCCGGCCCGGAGACCCTACCGAGTATTCCCGGCCCCGAGACCGACCGACCACATCCGAATTGGTTGTACCGCACCATGCATTACCCCCATGCACCATGCTCCGATGGAAAGAAACCCCGTTCCAAGAAAAACCCATCTATCCGGTGGTATCGCCGCCCAATGCAAAAAGAGGGGATCCTCCCTCTATTGGCCAGTATGGCCGAGCCAAAGTCAAGAATAAAAGAAGAGGAAAAAAGGCCATTCATGTCATGTCATCATCCGGGTTTCCTTGTCATCATTTTTTCCAGCTTCTTCTCGTTGCAATCGCCTGCGCCTTCCAGTCATCGAAGCGTTTTTGTCTCTTTTGCTGTTCTTTTTCGTTCCAGGCCGCGATCGGCTGTATGGGCAACCTGTCGAGCATCTCGTCCAGGTCAAAGTAGCGTCGCGGCTCGCCGTTTACGCGGATCTCGATGCTCCCGACTCCTTCGTACAGGATGTCGCCGAAGTCGGCCCAGTCCCTGTACATGGACAAGAGACCCCCAATCTGGCAGCACATGAAGAAAGCAAGCTTCTCGGCTGGTATGAGACTCTCCTTGCCTTCCTGCGGTCGGGGCCAAGTAATCCCTCGGCGCTCACGTTTCTCTGCATCCATGACCATGGTGGTGAATCTTTCAAACATGTCATGCGCAGGTGGCCGCCGCGCACCGCCGGACACGAGACGGTCGTGCTTCTCTTCAGGCGGGGGCGGAAGGACGTCTAGCACCAGCCTCTTGATGGTGAAGCTTGACGAGTCGGCGACGACACTGCTGAAGGCGGTCGGTCCGTATTGTAGGTACCCGGAGAGCATGGCGTAAAAGTTCCAGACAATGAAGGGCGGGCCGCCGTCGCCGCCGCGAAACTGTTCCTCGTTTTTCCAGTCAGGATTGACGTCGGCGGGAGGATCGAAGATGCGGAACTGGACGTGGACGCTGTCGGCATGGCGGGTGGATCTTGGCACGGCGAGCCAAGTCGGCCACAAGCCACATTCTTTAACATACATGACGTCGAGACGACAGTGGGTTCCCTTTGAGGCGAGCAGCGTCTTGGCCTCGTCGTGCAGTTGACGATTGACGAGGAGAATCGCGTTGTTGGGGGAGCCCGAAGGCGGTGCGCGGATCTGCTTCTCTACCCAAATGTCGTGGCCATCAGAGAACCCTTTGCCCTTGTACTCGCGCCTCTTACGGTCCTGGCTGACTGAGGGGTTAAGCGGCGGTGGGCGATCGGGTAGGAAGACGACCTCATCGAGTATGAGGTCGCGAATTTCCCTTGGGATAGTGAGCAATCCGACAGGCATAGCTGGTATTGCAAGTGGCGTGTGCAATGAACGAGAGAAATTGCACTGCACATGTAATCTGTGGAATGCACTGGGTGAGTGTCGCACAAAGGGGGGGGAGAGGGCGGGCAGGCAGGGTGGAGAGACTGCTGCAGTTGCTGCTGCTGCTGCTGCTGCTGCTGCTGCTGCTGCTGCTGCTGTTTGGGGCAAGCTGGCGGCCAAACAACAGCAGTTGGGTGGGTGGCAGCAACGAGCAGAGCTAACTATTACAGTAGTGAAAAGGTGGGAGCGTGGAAGGGCGGAATTTTAGTCCGAAAAGCCAAACGGCATCAAAGCACCACAGAAAGTTGGGGTTTCGATTCGAGCTTCGAGTGAGGCGCAGCAGTGCAGCTTGCAGCGGCAGCGGAGTCGACCCATTAACTAGCGACGTCATTCAACTGACAAGTAGACGAGCCAGTAGCAGCAGCAGCAGCGGTGGTTGTGTTGCCATCTGGGAGGCGGAGGATTCGGCGGTAACAGAAAGCAGGATGAAGAAACAAAAAGGGCAGCGGCAAAGGTGTTTATACAACAAGAAGCCAGGAGGAGGCCGGCGAGATGAAAGAGAGAGAGCCTGATGGAAAATGGGATGAGTAGTTGGGCAGATGGAGGGGATCCCGCTGGTGCACAATGCCGCCATTCCATTCATCTGGGGGGCATATCGGATAAATGGCACCGCTAGTGTGCGCGCCACCGAAGAAACACAGGGGGGGAGGATTTAGACTTTTTTTTTTCTTTTTTTTTTTTACTTCCTCGTTTCTTTTTGACCGGATTCGAGGGCGGACACAATGGATGGGGGGGGGGATGCACGCGTGTGCGTGTGCGTATGTGCCCGCGTGTCTGCGCTTGGGTATTGGTTGCCGGTGCCGTTTTGCTTGGAGACTGGTCTGGAACTCGAATTGCAATAGATTCAGTGCTCATGCGAGAGCGACGACAAAGATGATGACGAGCACACATCATTCGGCATTGTCCGACGAGCTAGATACAAGAGCTGTGGCCAGTGGCGCAAAGCAACCAAGAGTTTCTTCGTCAAGGGTCTTCCGACGTCGGTCTCAAGTCCCCGAGTCCAGCAAGTAATAGTACTAGTAAGTAGTAGTAGCGGTAGTAATATCGAATAGTGAACTCTCCCCTTTTTTCTCATCCTCGCCATCTATACATGAAAGGAAAGTCGGGGTGCACCTGCAGGCGTTTCTGCGGCGCGGGCGCGAGCGCCGTGCTCTAGCAGCCTACTCTGCGCCGCCCACCTCCTCTGCCGTTTCTAGTAGGTGGCAAGAGAAGAAAAAGAAGAAGAGAGGCCAAAAATGGACTAACACTAAGCAACGAGAGGACGACAAACGAGTCTAGGCCAGGCCAGGCCAGGCCAGGCCAGCGGTGCTGGGGGCAGCGCAGCTGGGGGGTTTGATTGGGTCGTGTAGTGCAGTCGCCAGTGTCAAGAATCGACCAGCAGTGAAAACGTCCTTGGGTCTCTGATCTGACTGGAAAACGCGCGTGCCCCGTGTGTCGGCCAAGGCAGAGGGAGAGGGAGAGGGAGAAAGGCAGAGAGGTGAAGATTTGTGCCCGTCTTAAGGTGAGGGTGAAAGGGGTTGGAGTAGGTGGGCTGGTTCTGCCGGGAACTGCCTGGTTCTGTCTATTTGGTATATCCTCCTCTCACATACTCTCACACACACACACACACACTCTCTCTCTCTCTCTCTCTCGCGAGCTAGTCTACACGGATATGATTTCTGTCATCGCAGCTGTCATCCTACGGTGGGGATGGATATCCTTGGAAGAGAACTGATGTGTCCCACATAAATACAGAAAAACGGTAGATGCCGCGGGAATTTCTGTCTACCTACTATAGTAGGTAACTAGGCATGCGGGCGCGCATCTGCCTGCCACAAGGGACCAGGGCAATCGTGGAGAAGCGTTAATACTACATAGTACGCAGCGAAAGAGCAGGGGGAGGTGTGGCAGACAACATAAAAGACCCCCAGGACGAGTGCGAAAGCCAGGATAAGCAGCTCATGGCGGAAGCCTGGAGGGCCGCCTGCTGGAACCTGCTAGGCCTGCTAGGCCTGCTGTGCGCGTGATGAGATCGGCGCTAGGCCAGCGGCGTAGGGAGCTAACTGTTCAGATCAGACCGGCGGTCGATTAACAGCGCATACGACGTATTAGTATACGGAGTATCGAATCGAGCATCCAGGGCGAGAGAAAGGGTCTTCATTGGGCGCCTGGGTCTGGAATAAGCTCTGTCGACTTGGCTCGAGTGCCCTATTCGAGTTGCATAGCACAGCCCTCTGATGCCCCCCCCCCCCCCCCGACATCAGGCCGGCATTGAATTGCGGTGGGTTTTGGGGTTGATTGCTGGTCGCCGAGCGAGGTAGACCATTTTTGGGCATGCATGTATGCGAAGAACTCGTTCTTGTGTTGGTCATCACCGAGCAGAGGGAGGCGGTGGAAGCGGCAGTGGCAGTGTAAGTAGGTTGGTGCAAGTCAGAGTAGAGTTCGCGGCCAATGGAGAGAGTGGGAAAGGGGTGTGTGCGAGGGAGGTTCCGATGCATTGTTGAATGCGCAGGAGCACAGTTTTCCTCGGGCAGAGAGGCATACAGATAGACAGACGGACAGACAGATCCGTCAAAGAAACACAATGGATGCCAGAAGGAGAAAACAAGCCACAGTCCGGGCGTACGTCAGTGGGAGCAGATGGAATCACGAGCGGCGAGGCCGAACAGCCGGGATGGCTGGGAGACGGAACAAGAGGCAACGCTTGGGGTTATCATGAGGCAACAACCGACCTCGAAGGCGGTGAGTCGGTGAAGAGAGATTTGGGGATGGAGGGGAGGCAAGGGAATGCTCGGCTGACTGTTTATTCCAGTGGAATCGCACACGCTAAAGGGGGGGGGCAAAGTCTGAGTAGAATGCAGTTAGTCAGCTGGGCGGTTTCGAGGGTTTGGAGGAGGAGGAGGGGAAAGGGTTTGTTTGATGGCCATATTTGGCTGTATGTCTGTCTATAATTACTCTCGCTAAGCAACAGTCAGTTAGGTTGCGTGCCGGAAAAGGGCGCACGCTGGCACCGGCAACCAGCAGTGTAGCAACGGCCACACTGAGACAAGAGCGAGCATCTCCCCGGTTGACAAAGACACCGCAACGACCGGACCTGGACCTGCACAATGTGGCATGGACATGGCTGTTTGGATCGGCCCGGCATGCGACTCGCGCTGCCTGTGCCAGATACAGCAGCTCTTTATCTGTACATGGTATCGTCGTGTCCAGTGGGACGGTGAGAAAAGCCAGGAAAGCTCCGAAGGGATGGCACACGGTAGCGGTAACTAACAATGGGGGGCGGGGGGTTTGCATATCCCGGACGGCCCCGCTAACTACTTGCAGCAATCCGAGAAGCACCCCTCAGCTCTCTCTCTCTGTCTCTCTCTCTCTCTCTCTCTCTCTCTCTCTCTCTCTCTCTCTCTCTCTCTCTCTCTCTCTCTCTCTCTCTCTCTCTCTCTCTCTCTCTCCACATGGCAGCGGTGAAAGCACCTCTCTCTGGCGGTAGCAGCGAAGAAACACAACAACAAAGGGCATTGTGAGGGGAGAGGGCGGGGAGGGAATGGGAGGGGGGAGGACTGAGACGAATAGGAAGATTGCGGTTACCCACCACCATCATCGTCCTCTCGTGCAAGAATGACGGCGAGCGGGCGCAGATGATAAGGGGGAGGAAGATTCAAGAAACCCCCGACCTGAGACCTTTGGTGGTTTCTCCAATCTTCTTGCAGGTCAGAGCCTACAGCAGCTTGATCCTGGTGGCTTAGCTAGGGTGTAGGGGATAAGGTGAGAGAGAGAGTGAGAGAGTGAGAGAGTGAGAGAGAGAGAGAGAGAGAGAGAGAGAGAGAGGAGAGACAGAGTGAGAGAGAAAAGAAACGGCCCTTGGATGGTCGGCCGGATCGATGGTTCGGCCAGTAGAGATGCATTGATGCAACAGACCCGATTCAGGGCTGAGAGATGGACGATGGACGGGAACAGGTTAGAATCTCACTCACTCACTCTCTCTGAGTGTGTGTGTGTGTGTGTCTTGGTCTGGGGTTCTACACACATGGGAGGGACCTTTATCTTCATCACGAGGACGGACCACCCAGCTGGGGTTAGGTCTCCAGCTGCAACTTCCACAACATGGCTCTGCACCCATCCCATTTCTCCATCTCCACATTCACATTCTCACATCACCACCACCCCTTCACCCCCCTCCCCCATGCCGCCATGCCGCCATGCCGCCATGCCACGCCGTACTCAGGCTACCTAGGCTGCCGAGGGACGGGTATGGGGCCGCAGCACGGGGCAGGATGCGCCAAAACCTTTATTGGTTGTACTGGGCCAAGTCACCAGGAGAGCCTCCTCGCCGCCAAGAGATACTTGGATATCCAACTCGCTCGACTTCACCAGCGTGTAATTTCGCATCAACACCGCATACTATGAGCGATTTATCACCTCAGTCTTTTACCCTTCGCTTTCCCTTTGGAGCAACAGGATCCTCCTCGCTCTCTGGTTTTTATTTATTTTTATTTTCCTCCCAAACTTCCCCCACCCCTCCAATCAAGCGCAGCCGAGCTCAGTCAGCCTCCTCCTCGTCATCCTCCCTCGTGCCGCCGCCTGCCTGCAACGTCGTTTCTGTGACACGCTCTTCTTCTCCTTTTGGCCCTCCCTCTCTCTCACTGCCCACCGTGACTGCCCTGGGCCTTGCCACAATTTCCCTTCTGATGGCCTGCCTGTAATTTCAAAACACTCCGATTCGCCTTGCCCAGCCTAGCCTAGTGCTCCGGCCCCTCGGCTTCTACGTGGACAAAGACACCGGCAAAGAGGGCGCGGGTTTCGTCTGCCACAGTATTCCAGCACGTTGGCCTCGCAGTTCCATGTCACCGCCCCTTAGCTTTGTAGATACAATGCTCAACTGACCTCCGTCCTTCTTCGCACGTCGTCGTCTGCTCCCCCTTCCCGTCTATTGCTGCTGGTGTAGCCGCCGTCGCCGCCGTCTCATGCCTTGTTGCTTGCCTCTGTCGACGATTCTGGGTTGCCTTGATCTCAAATTGCACCCCCATCTCCATTTTCTTCCCTCTACGCCCTTCCCATCCGTCCCATCCCCCAGAACTTTGAATGGGTAAAAAAAGCCGCGCCGCTTTGCTTGCTTGCCGTTGCCGTTGCCGTTGTTGACCTGCACACCCCTCCACTAGGGGAGAGGGGACGACAACAGGTTCATTCGGTTTCTCTTACCTAGCACCATCCCTAAGTCAAGCAAAGCGTCGACAGTCAGCCCTTGCCTGCCATGTGATGGAATTATGCGAAGGCCGTAGTTTCCGTCATAAAGGTTACCATACGGCTGGGCGTGTGCATTCTGCATCTGGGTCTGTGTCTGATGTGCGTGTGCGTGTGTGTGTGCGTGTGTGTGTATGTCGCTCTTAAACAGTTGTAGAGAGGAATGTGCCAAGACCCGTGATGGATGCCATGTTAAGACGGTTCACCCGTTTTGCCATCCCGAATCCAGGTCCCATCTCGCGACTCGTGACCCTTTGGTCTACTCTATATATATGTATGTATGTGTATATATATATATATATATATAAGACCCTGAATGCGTTGCAGGTCGTGGTAAACATACTCTTGGACTCCTTCACTTCTCACTTCCCTCTCTTGCCTCCCCCTGCTTCCCTTTACTCTTTGTGAGGCCTCCTACCATAACTTACGCTCACACTGGACTTTTACTCGGTCTGACGCGCTCTCCTACCTCTTTCTATACAGCTAGTGCGGAAATCTGCGCTGAAAACTCCTTGAGAAAGATCAGTCATGGACGAGCCTGAAAAGTCGCATTCCCATGCGACTGGTGAGCGCATCCGCTGGGACGCCGACGAGGAGGCCGGCAGGAGAGCCCATCGACCCAGCACGGTCCCAGGTCTGCAACGTACGCGCTCGAACACGTCCATTTCAATTCACTCGGTCAGGTCGAGACGCAATTCCATCGATGCGACTGCCGAGCTTCCGATTCAGTACAGAACGGTGTAGGTGTAAACCTAACCCTCTTTAGTCCGACTGAACGACCTCGCCTGTTACTCAGTGCTAATGTTCTTGTCGGAAAGGTCCTTCGAGATAGAAGAGTACAAGTCAAAGACAGCAGCCGTCAAGAAGGCCAAGAATGTCGCAACGGGTTCGTAAAAGACCCAAGGTCCCGGCCGCAACAGCCGCGTTGACAGAGTGAGCTGCAAACTGACATGTCCGCCTTCGTGGCCTCCAGAGCTATCGGAACTCGAATGGCACACCCTTTCCCTCGACGAGATCCTCAGGCGCCAGTCATCCTCCCTCGCCGATGGCCTCTCCTCGGACCAGGTCCAGCGCCGCACGGCGCACTACGGCAGGAACGCGCCCTCGCCCGCACCGACAAATCACACGAAGCGTATACTCGGATACTTCTTCAAGGGCTTCGGTACTGTTCTGCTGGTGGCCTCTATCCTCGTCTTCATCGCGTGGAAGCCCCTGGGCAGTCCGCCCGCCGTGGCCAATCTGGCGCTGGCCATTGTGCTGTTGGCCGTCTTCTTTATCCAGGCCGCCTTCAACATGTGGCAGGACTGGTCCTCGTCGCGGGTCATGAACTCGATCAAGACTATGCTGCCCGAGAACTGCATGGTGATTCGTGATGGACAACAGACCGAGATCCCGGCTGATCAGATCGTACCCGGGGATATCCTCATCGTCAAGTCTGGAAACAAGTTGCCGGCTGATGTGCGCTTCCTCAAAGTCTCTTCGGACGCCAAATTCGACAGATCCATCTTGACGGGTAAATAACTCCAATATCCCCTTTTCACTGTTCTGCTTCTCTCTCCAACCCATGTGTCGCAAACCTTTTGCGGTTGTTCTGTCGGTGGGCATTGTGAACGCGACTGACCAAAGTACAAACTATCAGGAGAATCGGTTCCTCTGCCCGCTTCGGTCGACTCGACTGACAACAACTACCTCGAGACCCGATGTATCGGCCTCCAGGGCACTCACTGTGTCTCTGGCACTTGTACGGGGCTGGTGGTGGCCACGGGCGACAACACCATTTTCGGCCGCATCGCCAAGCTGACCAACGAGCCGAAGAAGGGCTTGACCACTCTCGAGCGCGAGGTCTTGCATTTTGTGCTCATCATCTGCTCCATCATGTTCCTGATGATCGTTGTAGTTCTGATCGTCTGGTACGTTCATGATACTGTTTTTGACAAGGACCTTGGCTAATAGCATCTGATGAATAGGGGCGCCTGGCTCAGACCGAAGTATCCAAATTGGATCAATGTGCCTAATTTGATCATATCCTGTGTATCCGTTGCTGTGGCGTTCATTCCTGAGGGTCTGCCTGTGGCCTTGACCGCCAGTATGACCATCAGCGCAAACATGATGCGCAAAAACAAGATCTTGTGCAAGTCCCTCAAGACCGTAGAGACTCTCGGATCTGTATCCATCATTTGCTCCGACAAAACCGGTACTTTGACTCAGGTAGGTCAACACAAGTGCCCGTTACATCCAGGTGCCAAGAGTCCATACTGACAGAGGTACAAAGAACAAAATGATTGTCACGGAATGTGCCATCGGCACTAAGACGATGACGGCCGAAGGTGCCCGGAATGAACTCACACTCAACAGAAACAACGCTCCGAACAATAACTCTCTGGAGCAGCTCCGGGCTATTGCAGGCCTCTGCAATGCCGGCCAGTTTGACGCCGCCACCATTCGCCTGCCTCTCCATGAGCGCGTGATCCACGGCGACGCTACGGATCAGGCCATCCTGCGTTTCTCAGAAAGCCTGGGTCAGGTCAACGAGCTTCGCCGATGCTGGCAGACAAAATACGAGCTCGCCTTCAACAGCAAAAACAAATACATGATTCGCGTGCTTGGCATGTCTCATCCTGACGGCTTGTCATTGGCCCTACCTTTCGACACTGCGTCCGTCTTCCAGCCAGGCGACGTGTAAGTGCACTCTCAGTCGTGTCGTTTCTGGGAACGGGCGAAAAGTTAACGTCGCGCTGCAGTTTGTTAACTATCAAGGGTGCCCCTGACGTTCTCATGCCCAGACTCAGCAACTACGTCAATCCCTCTGGATATACTACTGCCTTGGACCCTTCGACGCGTGCTTCCATCGAGCAGATCAAAGATGAGTGGTCAGCTCAGGGGCGACGCGTGCTGTTGCTCGCTCGCAAGGCCATCTCGAGATCTGCCCTGAAGGGAAGCCCGACGGAGAGTTCGTATGAGATGGAAATCAACAATCAAGCCAAGTCCGGCCTCACTCTCGTCGGCCTTGTTGGCATCGTCGACCCGCCCCGCCCCGAGATCCCCGAAGTCATGAACACTCTTCGTGGCGCGGGCATCCGCATCTTCATGGTGAGTTGATTCTCTTGCAATGGACATGGAGGTCTTCGGATACTGACGGAACGCAGGTAACCGGTGATTTCGCCCTCACAGCCTCTGCCATCGCAGCCGAGTGCAACATCATCAGCGTCCCCCGTTCCCAGATCGACGACGTCACGGCTCTCCAACGCACGATCCCTGCCGAACCGTCAGTAAAGCAAGTCATTGACGACGTCGAGTCATCCCCGCGCCAAGCCATCGTCCTCTCCGGCCCCGAGCTGATCACCCTGAACGAAGAACAATGGGACCAGCTGGCGCAATACCAGGAGATCGTCTTCGCGCGCACGACCCCCGAGCAGAAGCTCCGCATCGTCCGTGAGCTGCAGGCCCGTCACCAGATCGTGGGAATGACCGGCGACGGCGTTAACGATGCCCCCTCCCTTCGCGCCGCGGACGTCGGCATTGCTCTGGGCTCGGGGAGCGACATCGCCATCGAGGCTGCGGACATGGTCCTCCTTGACTCCTTCTCCAGTGTCGTCGAGGCGCTGCGCTACGGACGTATGATGTTCGACAACCTGAAGAAGACCGTCGCTTACCTCCTCCCCGCCGGAAGCTTCTCCGAGTTCTGGCCCGTCATGACCAATGTCTTGTTCGGCATCCCGCAGATTCTGAGCAGTTTCCTCATGATCATTATTTGTCTTTTCACCGACGCAGCTGCCGCCATCGCGATGGCCTACGAGGCCCCGGAGGCGGATGTGCTTCTCCGCAAGCCTCGCGTTCCTGGCAAGGACCGTCTCGTTGACTGGCAGCTCGTCCTCCAATCGTACGGCCTCGTCGGCGTCCTCGAGGCTGTATCCTCATTTGCCATGTCGTACTGGCACCTTGAGCGCCAGGGCATCAAGTTCAGCGACATCTGGTTCTCCTTTGGCAACCTTCCCTCCACCATTGACCCGAAATTTTACCAGCAGCAGCTCAACATCGCGAGCTCCATCTATTTTGTCAACCTCGTCGTCATGCAGTGGTTCAACCTCATGGCCATCCGCACCCGTCGCTTGTCTCTCTTCCAGCACCCGCCCATCGGCAACAGGCTGACGCAGAATTTGTACTTGTTCCCAGCCGTTGTGTTCGCCCTTCTCATGGCCATTTTCTGGCTCTACGTCCCCGAGTTTCAGTCCGCGCTTGGCACAGCCCCGGTCCCGGTCGAGTACTGGTTCCTGCCCATGAGCTTTGGCCTCGGCATCCTCCTCATAGACGAAGCTAGGAAGTTCGCCGTGCGTAGGTGGCCTACTGGCGTTCTTGCCAAGGCGGCCTGGTAAACGGAATGCGGTTGAGCTTGCTGGATCTGAGTATTGCTCAATGGCAGATTAATAATGCGGGAATGCTCGCAGCTTGTGGAGGACTGGCTGTAAAATGCAGTGAATTAATGGGAGGGGGGTTGGCAGCATGATTCCATCTTATTTCCAAAAGAACTAAAGCAAGCGTGCTAGCGTCACATCTTTGAGTAGCTAATACAATGTTGTGCATTTAACCGGTTTGGCGTTGTCGGCTCTTGTTGGTCGGTCGTTTTCTGGTTCTCGCTATATATGTAAGCTCATCTTACCGGTAAGCATCGTTCCAAAGTCTGACTGCATACTGCTCAATCTTACCCTCCAATCCGAGCAGAGCACTCTTCCCAATCCGTCAGCTATAATTCTTACACAGGCGCTAGAGTGGTTTGAAATGCCAAGTCCGTGTCGGTTGGAAACAATCTTGGGTCTTGGTGGATATATGTAAAAATAGGCGACTCATCAAAATTATATGAACTTGCTTTAACCATGTCCTATCATTGACGCACTACGAAGACGGTGACTTATGGCATCATGACGCGCTAGCCCTACCAACGAAGTCACGAAGGACTCGATCAGAAAAACAACTTTTAAAGTAGCTGGAGTCGATCTGTGGTTTCAGTCCGTGATGACATCTGCAGCATCTTACCTATGCTGGTTGGCCCCATGGATGCCAAGCGCCAAGACGTGATGGTGTCAGACCTGCATGGGAACTTGGGATAAGCCGTACTCCGGGTGCGCACGTCCAGTGATCAGGATAAGACGCAACTTCGTCTGACAACGTCGGCTGTTCCCTGCCCAATCAGACGTGATGATTCTTCCTTTGCCACGTCTTCGCTGTTGTACCTGTACTTTTTATTGAAGTTACGGCAAGCAAAGAGTCCGCACTAGAATCCACCCATCCTATTGGCGGGTAAACCAGGCTGGGCGGTTGGCACAACGGCTGAAAGAGGAGCGCCCCGAACACAACATTGATTGCTGACACACAGCAGCGACAAGAAGACAAAAATATATAGCCGGCACCAATGCAGCACCTAGCCGAGTTTCCCTGCTCCGGCTTCTCCAGTTCTTTGCCTGGACCCTGCGGCTTCGGGACCCTGTGCCCGACGCTCCGGTAACGATCCCGAGTTTCTTTCGTGCCGCCTTCGCTTCGTCCAACTACACGGCAGTAGGCCTGCAGGGATCCGAGCCTCGACCCACCATGAACTGGGTAAGCATCGATGACAGCTGGGAAGCTGTACAGCTGCTCTACGTAACGCATCACGTCTTGTTGGAGATACTTTGGACCTCGGGCATCTACCTGCGTTACCTGGTACCGAGCTGGAGGAAGATCACCACCCCGAAACACTCCGAGTATACGAAGGTCCCGTACGTTCCTCTCGCCATCCATGTCATTGTTGGCACGATCGAGGTGTTCCGGTATTACTGCCAGCTTGCCATCACCAGTGAAGCCCCGAAACCCAACGTCGTTGACTTTGGCCTCTGCCTCATCATGGCGGCCACCAGCCTTCGGTTGGCCGCTAACGTCAGGAACGGGAGAGTAGAAATTGTTAGGACCACATTTCAGGCCACGGCGGTGCAGCGGATGTTCGCCTCCGCGTTGGGGTACATGCATGGCGACGCGGAGTGGCATCGGGCATCTATCAAACTTCTGAACAATTTGGTATGGACCCGGTTGATCGGCGGTTATATGAACCACCTTCAGGGATTCCGGAGCTATGGGGACTCGTTCACCGGCGCCGTGGTCGTGGCACACCAGCTTGCATTGTGGGAGAGCGATTACCCCGCGGGGGTTCCTTTCTTCCTGGCCGTGTTGTCTGTGTTGTTGGTTGTCGACAAGTGGGCATCACGAAAACTGCACGGAAAGTGAGTTACGCTAGAAGACTGGGCGACCCAGTGCCGCCGTCCGAAATTGTGGTTTTGAACTGACGAGCGTCACAGACCAGGGTTCGTCCCCCGCGTTCTGGCGCAGTTCGGATTTGTGACCGCCGTCAAGTGTGAAACGGCGTCAGGGGAAAAGCTGGAGTAGGTTTCTGTCATGACCATGACCTTGATGAAGTTGGGAGCAAGAGACTTTCTGGGCACGTTGCGAATTCTCCAAGAGAGTTTTTTTTTTTTTTTTTTTTTTTTTTTTTGCGGCTACTACTCCAGAGCCGCCGGGCTCGGCCGCGGTGGAACCATGACAGAGAATTGACACATCATGTAAAGTCACATCGGTCAAAATCCTTCGACGTCTCATGTTTCGTTTCGTTTCCTTTTTTGTGCACTCAGTTTGTGTTGAGCGCGGACAAAGGGTTAATTATGCTTCATAACATGCATGCAAAGGGAGTCGGTAAACTTCCGGTGGCGCGGATGGATCACCGAAGCTCGGGGAACGCCCAATCAGAGGTGCCGGAACTGAAGGCCATCCACCCCCAAGGGAGGGCAAATTAGTCGCGAAAGGTAGGATCGAAGTTGATGAGTTCTTGGCGTTTGTCGCGAAATACACCAGGGTCAGCCAGAGAGCTCAAGAACACGGTAGCAGTTAACAGGCAGACACTTTGCGGGGCAGCATTTGAGTCATTAAAGTACCTCTCAAAGTCTCTTGCTTATTCCACATAGACTTACGCATAGACTAGCTTACCCTTTTGCTATAAAAAAAAAAAGAAGAAGAAGAAAACAGAGATGTCTTTATTAGCTTAAAGTGTATCTAGAATGTAGTTATATAAATTAACTTTTTAGAGAAATGTACCCCTAGAGATACTACTGTTAATTTAAAATATCTAGGCTATAGTATATACTATTAGAGAAGCTTTTTTCTCTTTTTATTAACTTAGGAATTAAGGATTTAAAGTTAGCGGTGTAGGGACAACAGAATTGACTTAAGAGAAGGTGGGTCAGTACTTTGGCATAGTCTGAAATGCTAAGGTTTGACCCACAAAGTGTCTGTCTGTTAGGTAACTGCCACCAAGAACACAGGGGCCGCGCTGCGACTTGAATGCTCCTGAACATCCCTCTCAGTTCTATTTCTGAAGGAATCGATGTGAAGATGAGTGTGAACGTCTGGATGGATGGAATGCCCAGCCACCCAGCGTCTTGACCCGAGTCACAACCACCCGCCTATCATCATTTGTTTCCGTGGTTGAGCCGTCATCGGCGCGAGTCAGCCAGAAATTCCTTCGTGACGTGGGGGGTTTTGTTTGCTTGCTCGGCCCACCGTTGGTGGCCAACGACCCGTTCGACTCTTGGCTTCGTTTGGTGCCTTGGCTGCCGTCTTGGCTCTTGTGCTTGTTTTTCGCCGCATTGCATGGCGTCAACCGATTCCGTGCATATACGTGACTGACCGCCCTCGGTTGTTCAACGACTTCATCGGCAATGTATGCGATATGCATGCATGCATGCCAGTGGGACCTTGGATGGCATGGCTCTCTATACTCGCCAAACTATCCGCATCCGGGCCGTTTGCAACTAGCAGTAGATTCTAGCCTCGTACGACGCACTTTGCTGGGTCCTCCCTCCCATCGCCCTGCAAACGCGACTTTGTCTAGTAGTAATAACAAGAGGGATTTACTTGTAAATGGCAGGGCGGGGCCCGGGAGGGTCGCCCTGAGGTCTGCCGACGAATGGGGTGGCATCGTGGACCATCATACCGTCTGAGCGTTCTACGGTGTAGGCCTGATGAAGATATCGCCGTCCACCAGGGAAGACAGGACAGGTGCGGCGGGACTCGGTCGACTTCCGCCGTGAGCCCTGGCCGACTAACTACTACGTAACCCCGTGACGCACAACGGAGCGCCTTCGGCATCGATGATATTACAGGCCCGCCCACCGGTTTGTCGGGCCACCTTCGAGGTCACTCTTCTCCTTCTCCGTCTTTCACTTCTCCACACAAAAGCAACGGGGGTCTGAGCGGTTTTCTATCATGAATCTAGTTTACCCTTGCGGCCAGAATCCCGCGGGGTCGCACACATCTCATCTCTCCCCACAAGGGTTGTATTATAGTAGGAACATGAACACCGCGGATTCTCATAAAAAAACGGCATGGCCTCGCCTCCCCCTCTGGCGTTCGTTTCTTCTTTCCACCTTTTCATCGTCGCCGGCTGTCTGTTCTCCCCTCCCCTTGCGCACCTAGGCCGAACTCCTTTCCTATCCAAAGACTTCGGGCAACCTCCGTGCACGCGAAGAACACACCAAGTCTTCGACCATGGGCTCGAAACTCTACTTTGGACTCACGGGCAATGCCCTGAGCGTCCTTCAGATCGCCCTCGTTGTGTGTCCGGCCTTCATCCTCTTCGGATACAACCAGGCTGGTCTCGGCGGTCTGATCACTACTGAGGACTGGGTCAAGACCTTCCCGCAAATCGACACCGTCCACACCACAGGCGAAACCAAGAAAGCCAACTCGACGCTGCAGGGCTTCGTTGTCGCTACCTTCACCATCGGTGCCCTCCTCGGCTCCCTCTTCTGCTCCTGGGCCGGCAACGCCTTCGGTCGTCGCAATGTCATCTTCTTCGCCGGCGTCTGCACCCTCATTGGCGAGATCCTCGAGTGTGCTTCCTTCCACCTGGCACAGCTCATCGTTGGCCGTGTCATTATTGGCTTCGGTGTTGGACAGCTCAGCTCCATTGTGCCTGTTTGGCAGAGTGAGACGTCCGGGGCTAGCAACCGTGGTCGCCAGGTCGTTCTTACTGGTCTCTTTACCTGTGTCGGTTACGTCTTGGAGAGCTGGTTCAACTTGGGCTTCTGGGAACTCAAGACCGGCCCTGTCACGTGGCGCCCCCCCATCGCCATTGCCATCGTTTTCTCCCTTATCATGATGGGCAGCATCTACCTTCTTCCCGAATCGCCTCGCTGGCTCGTCATGAAGGGACGTACCGAGCAAGCCCGCACCATCATTTCCGCGTTTAGGGGCCTGCCTGAGGACTCCTTGGAGGTCATGGCCGAAGTTGCTGGCATTGAGCACTCTCTTGAGGATACCAGCCAGAAGGCTGCCAAGCTCAGCGACGTTCTCAAGATGGGTAATGACAAGCTCGCCTACCGCTTTGGACTTTGCATCTTGCTCCAGTTCTATCAGCAGATGTCTGGAAGCAACCTCGTTTCTGTCTACGCTCCCATCTTGTTCCAGCAAAATCTCGGCATGAAGCCTGAGGCGTCAAAGGCTCTGGCCGGTGGTGCCCTTACCTGGAAGTTCATCTCGTCCTTCTTGGCCTTCTTCGCCATCGACCGGTTTGGGCGACGTGCCGTCTTCATCTTCAGTGGCTTTGGCATGTGTATCTGCATGACCTGCTTGGCCATCACGACGTCTTTCCCCAAGGATAACCAGGCTGCTCAGATCGCTGCCGGCTGCTTCATCTACCTGTTCAACACCTTCGTCCCTATCGGATTCTTGGGTGCCAACTTCCTCTACTGCACTGAGATTGCACCCCTCCGTCTCCGTATGGCCATGTCTTCCATTTCTACCGCCAACCACTGGCTCTGGTAAGTCGCATGAACGGATCGTCTCATCTGTAACCACCATCAACTAACTTGCATTCTAGGAACTTCATTGTTGTCATGGTCACCCCTGTTGCCTTCAACACCATTGGCTGGAGATACTACATTGTCTACGCCGTTATCTCGGCCTGCATTCCCGTCAGCGTCTACTTCCTCTTCCCCGAGACCATGGGCCGCAACCTGGAAGAGATCGAGCTTCTTTTCAGGGACTCTCCTTCCGTGTTCGCGACGGTCAAGTTCGCGAAGAACCGACCCATCGCCATGCCCCAGGAGTTCGACAGCGACAAGCCGGGTCAGAAGGCCGAGTGCGTCGAGAAAACGTCTGACGATTCTGCTTGATTGTGTGTTGTGAAGTAATGAGTACGGTTTGGTGTTTACGGGCCACGCCATGGAAGGCTTTAGATTAGGGAGCGTTGATTTCAGCGACGGTTTTAGCGACTGTAATACGAAGTGCCGTGAGCGCATACAAACTATTGTCCAACCCCGCCAAGTGATCCATCCATGTGGAAATCGGTTTTCGAATGCCAGAAAATTGGGATGAAGTTCCTATACCGCGGGTAATAAGCCGGGCGACAAAGCATCCCCACCCCTTGTACTGACTGCCTGGACAAGCAGAGGTGGGAGGGACGTCGTCCCCAAACATGACACTGAAATGCCAAGTGGGCCACGCTGTCCTCGGGTTCCTAATCAACATCTGTGCGCATCTCGTAGCCGCAAGGATGATGTTTCGATGCCATGTGACTGGAGCTCTCAAGAGGAGAAACAGAATTATAAATTTGCGAACATCTGAGTTTCAGCGGATCCACAGACGCCCCCGCAATCCAAGGTAACCCTTCAGGACATGCGTTGTATCCAAGCAAGGGACCGAAACGACGAAGGCGTTCGTCATCTTAAAGTGCGGCGCGTGCCAGATATTCTCCACTACCAACTGGCCTGGAAGTGGAGATAACCAAATAAAGAAAACAATGGAGAATCCTTTGAGTTCTATATCAGCGTATCGTGTAGATGATATACACAGCAAAAGATGGGCTGAAAGCTTAGGTGGAAGCGGAGGGGAAATTAAGGTCAAGGTCTCGTCCAATGCAACAGATATATTGATTGGACGTCTCGGGCATACCGCCAGCTGTATTGTGCGACTGACTGTGTGGACAGAGTTAACACACGTCGAGATGAAATGTTGCTAAGCTCTTGAATGTTTTAAACATACCGCTATTAGTGGCCTTGTTCGATTGGCTAAGTACGCTTCGAATCAGTCAGCTGAGAGCTCTCACAGCAACTGGGATATGTAGGCATCACAGGGGGCTTAATGAGGTGCTTATCACGTTGGCACTCTCGGTGATTCCCTCCAAGAGGGACTTGGAGAGCTCTCTAGCCTAGCCTTTAGATCTCGATCAGCTCTGTTCCTGAGCTGTCACGTCCACATATATCCTGCCACTTATGGGTGAAACTGCTCCTATGGCGGTGAAGTCCCTGATTTCGCGGTATAGCTCAACTCCAACATATCTGTTCCTAAGCCATCATATTCTCGTCTTCCCTGTCGCTCCCCAATGATATCGCTCTTTCAGTGGTGAATTACACGACTTTGCGCAGCAGTGCACTGCTTCACCATTAGTCGGCTGTCCTTCTGTTCCATATGCCCCTGTCATGAAACTGGGATAACATTGTGTGATTGGTATCCGTATTGAGCGCCACAGATGTGGCTTACTAAACAGCATGACCCTCTTCGTAGGGGTATTCCCAAGTTTCAACCCGATCTCGTTCCTTATGTAACTCTTAGATAGGATAACTACTTTAAACTCCCTAAACAGATGCTGCGGTTTATCACAGCCACGTACTTCCTCGTTTCTCACAACTGTAGTGACAAAAACAGAGGAATTTGAGATCAAAGAGCCGTTTTCGATGGCCAGCCTTTCGTCAATAGGCCCGTATCCTATATTCCAGGTGGAAAGAAGCATCTGTTTATGCGTTGTCAGAACGATTGTTGACGATACAAGTAATCAGATAGGAAGACGTACGCTAAGACAGAGTTTCAATGAATGTTGAGGCAAAACTTTGGATAATATACGAGCCAAAAGAATAGAGAGAGCTGAGATGTTGGTTGGGATACTTGGTTGTGCTTCTAGGAACCGTATTGTAATCGGCTTGTAGAGATGTGTGAAGGACATATGGCAAAAGCAGTATGACAATAGAAGATAAGATTCATCTGCACAACAGCTGAACCAGATGGTGGAGGAGATTGGTAGAAAGAGGATAGGATTCGGTCAAGAATATGACAGTTGAGCTGGTGATGGTGGAGGTTGGATAGGTAGAAAGAGGGGCTTTCTCTATACGTATCTTGCTGGGAGAGGATTCGGTTCGGAACTATGCAAGCCAGCAAAACTATCAGTGAAGAGTATAAGGTTCAGGGAAGCATAATCGAAATGCGGGATTAGCGCAATAGCCCGTATTTGACGCAGGTCCATTTGTTGAATTGTCTCTTCTGATGAGTAGGGACCTGGATTGGTTTCTTCTAGAGGTCCAAGGAAATGAGTGAGTAGGGACGTGATGAAGTAAATGTAACGAAGTCACCCGCCTTTTTCGAAAGACGGAGGAACTATGAGAAACATCGAGGGATGTGTGCCTCGGGCATAACAAGGTCAATATCACTATGGAGGTACCAGAATACCAGCTCTCCATGCGATAAGTCGAGATGTCAACTTACGTCAAGACTTCCAAGCTGTGCGCGAACTGGTTATGTGCATCAGCTTCGAGGAGTTCGCCGGGCGTCCTGAACCCACAAAGGATGCCATCTGGAAGATCTTCCAGCGACTCATCAACTGAAAAAGAAATTCCATCCCAGTTGCAACACGCGTAGCTCACCCATGGTGTGAATGCGTGACAGAGGGCCTCGCTATGTAACAGTCCACTTGACATTCCACGTCACTGTGGAGGTTCGGGGCGATGCCCCTTGGGTACCCATAGACAGGAAGGCAAAAGGTCATTTTCTAGTCGAAGTCGCGAAATGATGTGCCTCTGACGGTCATCTACACAAGCATATACAGCTACCTATCCTTATCCACGAATTGGGAAAATACTTCCGGAAATAGATCGTCATGAAGACTGATTACCAGTCTGGAAACCCACAAGGCCGAACATATGTCACAGCTCTGCAAAACAAATTAGTGCGTGACTGTCGTCGCTTCACCGATCTTAGGCACAATGTTCCCTGGTCAAAAAGGGGTAGGCTGAGTCTCAAGTTGAGTACTGCCCAGATGAAGTATCTCCGGGACGAATGGAATGCAGGGAAACTACACCCTGGCGACAAGACTGTCTTTGAGCGCAAATATGCCTGTCGTACACGTATAATCCCTTCGCTACACATCGTGGAAACGACAAGGATCATTGCCAAGGAGATTGAGTTTAATGGACTGGAGTCAATTAGTTACGTGGGCAGTAATAGTAGCTTATATATCGTGACATCAAGCGACGGGTCTGCATATTTCGCCCACCCCCACACATTGCCTGACGATTGGCAATGGGGGAACTGCTGGGCCGGTATTAGAAAGATTCCTCCGGATGCAACGCTTGTGTAACCGCAAGCGTACGACAATAGACACACCATTTACAATCTACTTAGAGTGTGTGTGTACCAGGCTTGCGTCAACCGGATGATCATTAAAGAGTCAGACCCAGAGCAAGAGGTTAAACAAAACGCCCAGTCTCAATACTCTGAGTTTCTCGGTCTCCCGCTTGCAGTTGAGATACATAATCCGTTAACCTTTGCGGTTGCACACAAGCACCATGGGCTGCAAATGAGAACAGGATAGAGTCCTGATGCAACAAGCCTGCGGGACCGGGACGACAGTCTCAACAACATTTTGATCGAGACAAGAACCAGCAATTACTTCAAGTGGAAATTCCCAGAAAATACTTATCCAGATATACAGAAGATAGTTGCAGATATTGATGTGCCTGCGCGGTATGTAAATTAAGATTTGGTGCTGGGGCCTCTTGATGCCCGGATGAACGTCAGTGGCGCAGAAGTTGATTACAGAGAAGATTCGGATGCGGAGAACTGGTTTTCGGAGGAATCAACCTTGTGGCTTACGGTTCAAAGACCTGTTCCTCTGAATCTAAACGACGGAGTGTCGCGTCCTTTCGGGTGTCAGGCCGCGCTCCAATAGCATTACTGTACTGTGCTACCGCGTGATCTTGATGTACTCACAGGAGCAACCTTCTCATCGGTCAAGACGCCTTGGGTCCTCCATGCCTCAGCTGGAGGGGTGGGCTCTTTGGTCTTCTCGTTCGCCATTACGCTCTGGACGATGTGGTATGGGGCTTGGATAGAGAGCTATGAACCAATCCAAGGGTCTGGGTCTCAGTTGTCGCCGTTTCTCTGAAGATCACATTCTTTGTAACAAGGATGCTCAAAACGTTCAATTATCGCCCCTCACGCGAAGTCAAATGCCATCCTGCTCGATGGACGGAGCAAACTTCTTTTTCTGGCAGTCAAGGGAAGCCACCCCAGAGCCTGCATCCTACAGGCCTCCAGCTGCGAGTGCGGCGTGGCAGTTTGGATGATCTGAGTTGGTTCAGTCACTGCCTGTGCTTCGAAGATAGTGCCATCTTGGCTCAACGTGGGCTCTAGCGATGCTGTGAACGATGGTCGGTACGCTCCTTTGCCATGGTTGTCTTGCGGTTTCCTTTCTGGGCGTCCCCGACTCACTTGCGCCGTGTCCGACCCCGAGCCTGGACGAACTTAGATACGGCAACGGTAACCATCGTGTATGTGATTACGAACGGTTCGGCTCGGCTCAACACGTGAAGTCGTTGCTTTCTGTCCAAGAGTCTTCAGGTTCTTGTATCACTGCTAACAATCATGTTCCCCGAGGTCCACGTCCTGCCTATTCTTTTCGGCCTTGACCTTTGATAGGCCCATTGCTTCGGCTCGGTCTATCCGTGATAAGAACACTTGCTTCGCTGACCGACAGAAGGGTCAAAGATTGTCGAGTGCTCTACCACCAGAGCTCTTTCTAGAATAAGTCGATCAGGGGCGGAAACCACGATCCTGGTCCATTCAACCCGATTCTAGCCGGCAGCATAGCGACCCAACCCATCTGGCTGCGTCTCTTGCAGGACGTGGCGATTCTGCGGTTCGTCCGCTGAGGTCGTGATCATCAAGAATCGTCTTCTAAAGTGCGGGTATGCATGCAGTCCCAGCCGTCTTCAGTCGTCGTCCTCGCCCCAGCAGCGGCCGTGGTTCAAGGAGATCGACGACTCGGCGCACGTCACTTGTATGCGTCAGTTCGCCTGCCCTAGGGGCCCGCAAGCGTGGGACGGCAACGCCTGTGTCCAGCATCGAGAACGCGAAACCCCCGCATCCTTATCTAGAGCAGGCTTGGTCTGTCATCATCTAGTACTTGGTTGGTGGGTGCATGATGGAAGAGCGGGCGGCGTTGGCTTCAAACGGAACCCGTCGTCTCGGATTGTCAACAGCCGTTGGGGGGAGGCGGCGGCGTCATCTACGGTGAGATATTGGTCGGTTGTTCGGCCCGTGATTCCTAAAAAGCGTACTGAGGCCATTTTCGTGCTTGTAGTTGCAACGAATGACTTATTATGTGCTTTCATATGTCTTTGATTATGTGCTTTCATATGTCTCTATGCTGGGCTTTTCGTGTGCTGGTTTCTGACCTGTGGCCGATTTTCTCAGCGAGGAAGCACATGATTAACATGATTAAAGCGCGAGTTGAGAGAAAAAAGATGCCAAAACGGCACGCCTAGGACCAAACTTGCGATTTTAGCCGCTCTGACTTGCCCATTCAGAAAATATCTACGTCATTTACACTTTCTCAGTATCTAGTGACGCTGTCTTTGCTCGCTCCGTTCCTCAATCGGAGGCACTCTCCACAAGCCTAGCTAATCTGCGGCACAATGAAGTTATCCGCGATGTGCAGAGAGTACTTGGTTATTGAGATGAGAGCCAGAACTAGGGCACATATGAGGAGGCGGGTATGCAGACATGTCGTCGTGACTTACGATATCAATACAATACAGTTCTGAATTCTTCCGCGGAGGGGGGGGGGGCATTGGATGCTCTGGATCATCATACCTTTGGTTATTGCCAGTTCTCGTAAGCTGGGTGGGAAGTTGAACAGCCGAGCTGTTTACTGACATCCTTTGCGACGAGACTGGCCCCGCGCTTTTCAAAGTCCCTAAACGAATATTTCTGACTATTCTGTGTCATACATATATATACATATATATACGTATGTGTTTCTCAAAGCATAGTTGGCTCAAAAAGAGAGATATCGACAGAGTGTTCATTCGCCTTCTGGAAACGGGATTCGCTGCGCGGCCCGGTATTATTCTCATCCAGAGACAACTCCATAGCGAATCAGACCCATCGCAGCTCCTAGCAGGATAGCAAATGGCGCCGCAACACCGTAGTACTTACCTCCAGTATATGCTGTAGCCGTGATGACAACCCACCACGGATCATCGCCCAAACTCCGCCCAGACTGGAAGCCCTCGTCGAGGTATCCAACCTGCCAGATCCGATACACGGCGGTGTAAATCAGCCCCACGGCCCCGGCGTTGACCCCCCGCACAGCAGTTTTTGCCCACCGTCTGCTCCTCAGAACGCTCCATACGCCGATCGTGCCGTGGACGAGGACCATGCCGGGCGTGAAGATAGCAATGTAGGCGATGAGGGAGCCAGCGACGGCCGAGTAACCCGCGTTGATTGCCGTCAAGCCACCAAGAAACACGGCAAAGTTGAAGTTGGGGCCGGGGAAGGACTGCGCAATTGCCAGGCCAATGAGGAAATCCCGCGGGGACACCCAGTCTTCGGCGACTATATACTCGCGGAGTAACGGGATCACCACTGGCCCGCCGCCAAAGATGATGGTGCCGGCGAGATAGAGGTTGGAGAACAGGTTGTACAAGATGGGGAGGTCTTCGACCAGGCCGCGGACGATCATCGACACGACAAAGGTGGCGAGAAAGGTCACGATCACGGCCGTGCCGGTTTTACAAGTAGATGACTCGAGGCGGTACCCCTTGGCGATGACGCGGGGCTCGGATTCGGCCAGCGGACGACGGGCTTCCTCCTCCCGCGGCGGGGTACCTGACCTTGGCCCAGAGGGTGCCGAGGCAACGGTTCGCTGATTCGGCGACGAAGGCTGCGGAGCGGCGGAGGAGGAGGCCCCCACGGACCCGGTGTCTTTACCGTCGTCCGTGGCCGTCGCCGCAGCAGCCTGCAGCTCGACCCCGCGGTCAGCACCCTCGGCCTCCCTCGAGGACCTCTCCCTTCTCTTCCCCAGCAAAGCCCTCACCATCCCCGCGGCCCTCCGCGCAGGCTTATGGACCCAGCGGTAGTCGTGCACGATGGCGGCGCACCCAGCGGCGCAAAGTAAGGAGGGGAAAAACCACAAAGCATTGTACATCATTCCCGCGGCCGCTGACAGAAAGACAATGGTGCGAGTGAGCTTGTCGGTGATGGCCTTGTTGGAGAGCTCCACGGCCGCGAGGGCGATGATGCCGACGGTGGCGGCATTGAGGCCCGAGAGCAGGGCGTAGACGGCGGGGGGAAGGGAGGAGCCAATCGCCGAGACGCCGACGGAGAGACCATACATACCTAGGGCGCCGGGGAGACTGTGGCGACGGTGTTAGCCGGGGCGTATTCGAGTCTTCTTTTCATCCCTGAGGGGGCAAGATGATTCCGGGGGTGGACTGCCTACCTCCAGATGACAAAGGCAAGGATGGCAGCAAACTTCCCATTCTCGAGAAGATTAATGCAGTACAGCATCTTGGTACTCGCGGGTCCTGAAATGGCCTGGGATATGCTGAAAAGCTCACTGAACTGAACGAGAGTATAAGCTCCATGGCTGCAGAAAGCCTCGCTGTAAAGGAGATGCTAACCATATCCTCATCGATCCATCGCAGCCGTGTGACGAAGCGGTCGTGAAACTGAAATAGCCCACTTGTCAGTCTCCAATCCCTCGAAGACACAGGGAAGATGGCCCATAATCACGATCTTGAAATGCGCCGGCGGGCCCCCAAACGCCGTGACACCAAGATGCCAGTTGTATCTGAAGACATCTGCCGCACGCGCCGCATCCGCCCGCAGGCGGTGCTCCCATGATGCGGCGATCATCCTCGAACTCTAGCCAGTGTATGTATGTATGGATGGGCCCCGGCGGTTGGGGTTCAACTCAACCAACTGTTTTCTTACTCTCCCACCGGTTTCAGCGGCAGTTACGGGATTCCAGATTTCGCTATTCCGCGGGGTTGAAGTGTTGTGCACAAGGTCGGGGTGCGTAGATCTCCCAATGATCGCTATCTCGAATGTCGTCCGATGATGGCGTGTGATCCATGATCGTCACACCCCCCCTAGTCAAGATTTGAGACGGCGCACGCCATAACTCGTGACCGCACCACGCCAAGACTCAGCCACACTCGTCGCGACCAAGACTTGTTTGGCAGAATTGCGAAACAGGGTGAAATTTTAGCATCCTCTTGATCGCCAGTAGCATGAACCATGGTTACGTGCAAGCTGTATGAGACTGTTGTTTTGTCAAGCCTAGCGGTGGAGAAGCTTGATTCGAAGCCAGGCTCCCCTCCCAATTGTTTCTCTTGAGGATGGTTATCATGGTCAAGGGTCTCTCTGCAACGCAACGACCTGAGCTACGGTGGGTAGCTAGGGTAGGTGTAAGTCGGACAGTAACACAGAATTCTTCAGGTTGAGATGTTGACTCAGATCCCCTGAACTAATTCTTTGGGTAGTGAGACAGCAGTTGCCTGCTTGGAATCTACTTCTCGTACGACTGACCCGGCCAAGTTGACCAGGTGAACTTTGTGGAATTGAACATGAATAATTTTATCTTGTTGCCACATGCGTAGTTGACAGGTTAACCAACCTTTGTCGGTCGGCTACGAGATTTTACTGGAAATTCCTGTCTCGGCATGTCGAGCTCTGGACCACCGGAATCGCTGGCGGCTGATGGTGCCATTCGGTAGCGAACCCGCACAACGCGACGGTACGAAAGGGGCGTCCAACAACTACTCTGCTGGCACATTACGAGACTAATCGAGGTGCGTGACTAGCGAAGCAGCATTCGACGTCGGGTCTGATACTGGGATGAGGTGGAAGACGGTCGGTGATGTCAGCAAAATGGTCTTCGGCCGGGGAAGGGGGGGCCTCGAGGCATGGGCTCTTGGAGCCCTCAGCGCGAAACAAGTCATCGAGCTTAGGCGCCGCGATGTCAAAGGTGATGGCCAAGTGGTAAAAGGTGGTAGCCGACGCGGTGTCCAGAGCTAGTCAAGGAGCCGAATCGAAAGCTTTGAAGAAGGCGCAGCTCGGGCCAATGCAAGTCTCGGTGGCCGACTGACAATTCACGGTGATGTGTTCACCGCGTTGCAGCAAATGAGCAGCATCATGGAGCACCGCTGGTACGTGGCCGGCGGGCGCGGGGGCTGGAGGAGACGTAGCCCGCGCCGTCGACATCAGCACCTAGCCGTCTTGAGCTACTACCGGCCCTAAGAGTCCATAGACCAGTGCGTCTTGTTCGGGCGGAGAAGGGCGGCGGTGGCATTGTTAGCGGCGATGTAGAAGAACTAAGCGGAAGCTGGCGTCAACACTCCCGGTGCTCTCCAACGGAGGCGTCTGCTCGGCGGCTCGAGCGGGGGAGTTAGCGATTACCGAGGCCATCGAGAAGGATGTACCGAGCAGGTTATTTCTGTCATGGCTGCCCCTGGGTAAACTAGAGCCGGAGATGAGGACCGTCAGGACGCGGGCAATGGGACCGATTCTGGCAGCTGCGATGATAGATGCTGATGTGGTTCGCAGCATGTGATGGGCCGTGCTTTGGTCCCGGGTGAACGGTATGGAAGGCCTGGAAGGCCTGGAAGAAGGCGGTCGATGACTCGGATGCTCTCGAGATTGGATGAATCTGGAGCAGTCAGGTGAATGAGAACCAGCCAGGAAGATGGCTGGAACTTGCTGCGACTGGGGATTCTTGACAACTGGCTCATGAGACAGATTCGTGTGGTGAAAGAGGGCCGCTGAGCAGAGGGGAGCCTGGTAGAACTGACAGCATGTTATGGTGGCGGTCGATTGTCGTGGACGCGGGCGCTTACGAAGGATGAGGCCATGAGGGCGGCTACACACGTACCGTATTACACGCGAAGAGTTGGGACGCGCTGGGACGCGCTGGGACGCAGAAGCCGCGGAGCAACACACGGCACGCTGCCACAAGAGACCGAATCAAAGACCTCCGAGCACTTTGGGTGTTGAGACGAGACGAGGCAAGACGAGACGATACGATACGGTATGACACGACATGACGGGACGACACGATACAATTCGAAACAGACAGGATGCAGCGGCGGTGTCGGCGTTGGTGCTGTTGGCCAACGGCGATGCGGGGTTTAAGCATATTTCAGTCACTGTCAAGGTCAGTTGGCGATGGGCCACGATGATAATTTGATCAGCACAATCAGAAACAGCGGGAGGGAGCGTTTCGATCCATTGATTGCGTGCGTGCGCGCTCGACGGCTGTCTTTCGTGCTGAGGATTTGCGTGAAGGAGCGTCTTAGGTAAGCACACGCGAGGACCAGCCGTGCTGCAAGTACTTACATAGTAGGGAGGTGGAGGTAGGGCGTGCAGGGTGCACGAACATCGCTGCCTATTTTGCCTATACGGTAGGCAAGTACAATCGAAGGGGGAAATGACATTTGGGGACGGGGAGATGAGTGGACGGGTTATGTGGGATGTGGGCCGGAAGTCCGGTGTGTCCGGGTGTGCTGGTGACCGAGCGGAGAATAGTAAATCCGTACCTGGTTCGCTGCTCATCTCAGCCAGCCCCTGGCCCCTGCCGGAACGTGAAGCACAGTCGACGGGATTGGTTTGGGGTGGAGACAGGCCAGGCCAAGTGGGCAGTTCGTACCTAGGTACATAGTACATACATAGTACATAAGCCTCCTTACCTAAGCGGGGATTATCTCGGCTCCACAACAGTTCGCGGTCTCGACCAGTCTGGCCACAACTCGTCCCTTTTTCAACCCCCTTCTTCCCTGCCTCCAGCGTCCGAATACGGATCCAACTAGTCGCCTTGCTCCTCACTCCGAGTCTGACTATCACACAATCTCGTGTTGGTGACAGGAAGTGAGTTGGAGACACACACATACACTCGTACACACACACACACACGCCCGCACATAACGCACACGCACCAGAGCTGCAAGTGCTGGGGCGGGTGGTATTTGACAATGCAATGTCCGAGTGGACCAGGCAAGATTACCACCTCGTTGGCACGGCGGCCTCTGACTGGTTGCCGAATTTGGGATTCCCCTCCCCTTTCCCGGAATCCTGCTCATGTTTCTGCGGGTGTCCCTGTTCACGGTGCTGCGGTGCCATGTTTTGCTCGAGTTGCTGCGGTACCTACTACCACATTACACACCATCACGTCGTCCAGTCCAATTTGCGACCTGCATGAGCACCTGTACGGTACGGTGGTAGTGTTGGCCAAATGCTGTCCGCCGCTTGAGGGGGTCAATGTCGTCAACATTGCGACCGTTGGCTCGGCTTGAACGTTTCGTTGATTGCGCTCTGCGTTCTTGCGTCAAATCCTTTCCCAAATAAATGCACTATAGATAGATAGGTACTGTGTAGGTATCTTGCCTACCCAAATAGGTATGGTTAGTAGGTACTTGCCTACTGCGTAGGTCACGTTAGTAAATGCCAAAATGAAAAGATACCTAATTCAAAGTACCGCCCTTTTCTTCCCAATCAGATGGGGAAAACCCTTCTCCACGCCAGCCGCTCTCTCTCTCTCTCTCTCTCTCCCTCCCTCCAGTGTCGTGTCTCCTCGTTCCTTCATTCTCCATCCACTGGCATATCCTGATCAGATCCTGGTCTTCCTTCCTCCCTCCCCCCCTTTTGCCCCATTTCTTTCGCCCTGGTTCTTTTTATTTTTATTTTTTATCTTTTCTTTTCCTGCTCGACGACACCGCCGGAACGTTGCTCGTCCTGTCTCGTCCCCTGTCCGTGACTCCTTGTTGACCCTGTCTGTTGTCACTCATTGCTTGATTTGTCCCTCATTTGCCGTTGCTTGGGTAGCTCCCCTCAATCTGCCATTATTTCGCCTCTATTACCGACTGCCAATTGCTTTGTCACCCTTCCTCATCTCTCGTTGTCTTCTGCATCCTTTTCGGTCATTTTTTTTTATCGTCGTCGTCGTCGTCGCCGTATTCATCTTACCCCTCCAAAACCGCTTGTTATTCGCCTGGCCTTGCCTTGGCTTCCCTTCGTTTCACCCACCCTTCCAGCCCTATTCCGGCCTGGATAATACAGACGTGCAGCCTGGTATCCGACGACATCCTGCGTTGTTACCTGGTTCGTCGCCCACTATTACATACCGTCGCTCGCTACCTCACCAACAATCTGTCAACCTCCGTATCTATCTATACCGTCCATCCGAAACCAGGCCTCCGCTAGGTATACAGACACATTTGTGGTTGCTGGCTGGCCTCTTTCTGTGCACTCGCTCGCTTGCAACTGCAACAAACACATTCCCAATAAACACCATCGCTACCCCAAGGTCAAAGACGGATCTACAGCAGAGCCAAGCCAACTTCGTCGCGTGTTATATGCTCTCTGCTCCTTTTGCCGTCCTTCCGTCCCATCTTTTCGTCCACAACCTGACGTCTATCGGCACTTTCGTCACTCGTTCGTCACGCCCACCGCCTGCAACCTGGGGGACCGCCCTCCCGGCTGCGAGCACATCCCGGCCATCTCGAGACAGTTCACCCGGGCTTCCCACACACTGAGCTTCAAGGGGGCCCCCCCTCCCCACGGACGTCTCTCGGTTTGCCTTTTCGTCTCGTCTCATCATCCGTCCCTCACCCACTGGGAAAGAAAAGAAGACAAGAAGACCAAGCACCACCCAAGCATCTGCCAGGGATCTTCCCGTTACGCATGATTGCGCTTTGAGGACCCGAATCCGCAACGACCATCAACCCAGCAGGTCATTACAACATAGCCTAGCCCCCCGTCCTTAATCCTTTCCCTTGCTCCACGCACCCAGGTTGCGATCAAACCACTGCCACTCTCCACACATTCACCCTATTCTGCCCTGTTGCCCCGTCCGCCCAAGGCCTGGCCGCGATAATATCGACCTTTGCTACCGTCAAACAAGCTTTTTTTGTTGTATTTTCCCTACCTTTGCCTATCAAACCTACCTCACACTCCTTTCCATAGTCTTTTCCTTTGGCGTTTCTTCCCACAATCAACGATGCAATGATGATATACGGGCATCAAGACGTTGATCTCGCCGGTCCCAGTCCAGGTTCACCCCCAGGCATGACCTCCTCCAAGTCGTCAAAATCCTCCTCCTTCAAGTCCTTTCATTCCGACGACAATAGCGTCCTGGACGACGTTAGTCACTTTGAGGACATCGGTCTCGAAGACGATGCCTCCCATTACGACACACAACGCATCCGCGAGGCCTCCCCCGCCAAACACTCACAGCCATACTCGAGATCGTATTCCACCGACTTTCGCCCCATATCATGGAAGCCGCCGCATTCCCGCTCTCCGCCGATGCCACGAGACCTTGCCAAGCCCCGAGGCACATGTGGCAGCGCAGAACCCACTTCCAACCCCCGCTCAAACTCGTTATCCTCCTCGCGACCTTCCTTTCCGACTTTGAGGACTGATAGCTATATCCTCAACCGCCGAAGCCCAAGCGCTGGACGCCTTTCCGACTCCCGCCGGAGTCCAGTGAACCCTCGAAACTTCGCGAGCCGCTCGACGACTTCTCTCAATTTCCCCCGCACGAACCGCAGCCCGAGCCCCAATTTCTCCTTCCTTCCGAGAGATCCCAACATACCCCTCAAACCCCGCCGGGGAAGCTGCCATTCTCCCCAAGATAGAAGAAAGTCGGTGTTGGAGCTGGAAAGAGAGTGTGACGAGGACGATACCGACGATATACCGGATGGCCTTATTCTTGACAATGTCCCCATTTCTCCCCGACCTCGACAGGACCGCACGCCGAGTCGGCCGACCTCTTCCGGAACATCACCCAACAGACCGCCCAAGGAACGAGTACGCAGTGTTGGTAACGGGACGCCCGCAGTCCCGGTCGATTCAGGGTGGTTGCGTTCTCCGTCCTGGAAGTCGGACACTGCTCTACCGTCCACTGGCGAGAAGGGCGCTCCCGAGCCGCTCAAGAACCGCGCGAGAAGCTGGAACCTTGCACTGGCCGAGCTTAACGCAGATGCCAAGGAGTTGACAGAGAAACTTGAGGAGCACTCGGATCATCTTCGTGAGAAGGCGGCGGAAAATGCAAACCCGACGGGACGTCACACGTGGAACGGAAAGTCCTTTGAGCAACACAGCCAGAAGCCTCGGGTCAAGTCCGCGTTGCCCGAGCTCCCTCCCATCCGACACCAGACCAATATTATGATCGACCCACTTCCCATTTCCAAGGAAAAAGAGGCTGTGCTTAGCCGTACGAGACCCTCGTGGCTCCCGCCCAAGGACCCCGCAGAGGAGAAGCGCCATCTGCGAGAATACAAGAAAATGATGGCTCGCAGCGCCGAGGCGGACCGCCGGCGTGAGGATTCGCGTCAGGCCAAGAAATCAACTCGCGACACCAAGGCCGATAACTTGATGCGGATTTGGGACGACGAAATCATCCCCCGGTGGACAGAAGCCGTCCGAGAGCGTCGCACCCGCGAGCTGTGGTGGAAGGGAATCGCGCCCCGCAGTAGGGGTACGGTGTGGGCGAGGGCTATCGGCAACGAATTGGGCCTGTCCGAGAAGTCGTACAATGCCGCCCTCCACCGAGCCCACGAGCTCGAGGAAAGAGTCAATGCTGGCAAGGGCGATTCAGAGGACATGCAGCGAGCAGCTTGGCTTTCAGCCATCCGCAAAGACGTGGCTGAGAACACATGGCAGGACCTGCGGATTTTCCAAGTCGGCGGCCCTCTGCATCAAACCCTCGTTGACGTCTTGTTTGCCTATGCACTGTACCGAAGCGATATCGGCTACGTCAAGGGATGCAATGTAAGTCATCCTCGAGTCACACTGACCCTTATTCCGCACCGAACCATGCTGACGAGGTTGTAGACCCTTGCAGCCCTCCTGCTACTGAACCTTCCCTCATCGTCCACAACCTTCATCGCCCTCGCCAACGTCCTTAACCGGCCATTGCCTCTGAGCTTCTACTCAGAGGATCCCGGCGCGAAAGCCTCGGCCTACAACCTTGTCATGCAGACTCTAAGCGTGAAGTCTCCCCGTCTCCACCAGCACCTGACAAAGGACATCTCCGAAGGTGACGCGGATTTCTACTTGGGCAACTTCTTCGTGGGGCTGGGTACAACTCACCTGGCCATGGATGAGGCAGCCCGGTTGTGGGATGTGTACGTCTTTGAGGGCGACGCGGCGATGGTGCGGGCGGCCGTCGCCATCCTCATGCGGAATGAGATGGCGCTCCTGGGCGTCAAGTCCGCTGGAGAAGCCAAGAAGATGATTGAAGGCGGCGCCAACAAGGATGGCCGTAAGGCTGTCGTCGGAGACGACGGCGCAGAAGACCGCTGGATGCGAGCTGTCAGGGAAGCGGGTAAGGCTTGAGTCTTCCTGATGAACCCTCATCCCAACCACACCTTTACGCTTGATGAACACTTCGGCTTTCGGAACATACGTCATGATCCTAACTGTTTATATCTAATCTCCTGGGCTCGATGCTACCGGCCCTTTTCATCGGAGGAACTACACATACACGGAAAAACAAAATATCACCAAACTCCAATCGGCGTCGACGGCTTTGGGCTATCGATCGATGGGCATGTATAAAGGGCACCGGCGTCTGTGGCGTGATGGACATTTGTGGGAGCTGGTTTTGTAGCATGTTCCTTTCTTTGTTGGACTTACTTTGCACGGGTTTATACTTCTTTTGCCCGTCTGCCTGGATGGTTCGCAGTGCGCGGGCATCCTGGGGACGCGAGCCATTCTTGAGTAGCGCTTTGGACTACAGATAGATTACCACCCCTGGACGCGAGGGTCTCGTCCATGCGGAACATGGACTGCCTCGCATCCAACGAGGAGAGAAAAGCAAACATGTTTTCCAGGGCAATAGATGTCCTGGGTCAAGGAACACACGCATTTGTATAGAGCTCTTTTGTCATCGTCAACGAAACACAAGCGATTGGTTTCGGCCGCGATATTTTATTTTTGTCGTCGCTTGCGACTCGGATCCGTACGTTCCGAATCTTGCTACCAGCCGGGCGGGGCTCGTACATCCAAAGGTGTTGATCACCTCATCCCATATTCCCTCCAAATCATAGTCGTACTGTAGAGGAAAGAATCCACTTTGTGCCAACATTTTTACTCTTACGTGTGTGACATGTATCCTTCCCTCAGATTCATGTTTACGGATCTTGCGTAGCCAAGACGCAAGCAAGGCTGGAGAGAAAACCGGAGAGGTGGCCAGGTGAGAGAAACACGCACACGGCTCGGCATGTAAACGCATCACGTACGGCACGGGGACGGATAGTGTCTTCAAGTCCGTGAATTAAACCTCCTGCGAAATGCCCAACCATCGCCCGATGGTCCCCAACGAACAAACAATGTGTGAACTGGCGAGAGCGTCTAGCGGGCCCCCCTTGATGCCGTTTTTTTTCTCTTTCACTCCCGCTCGTCATCTGTGTTTTCTTCCAGGAACTGCGACTGCTTGAACTGCTGCTTCCGCTGCTGCTGCGGGCTGTTGCGACCTCGTCTACACACACATACACGACCACGCACGCACACACGACTGCAGTCTACCTCTAGTTGATAACCTCTTCCGACTCCTCGAGGACCTCCTCGACAATCTCCTCAATAACCTGCTCTTCGCCCTCGCTGGCCGCCATCTTCTTAGAGAGGAGGTAGGCGACAATGTCCTGGGGCAGGCCGAGCTCCTTGCGCTCCTCGGCGGCCTCGGCCTCGATGTCCTCGCGCCACGCGACCCACTCGGCAAGCTGGCGGCGGCGGGCCTCGACGACCTCGCGGTCGGCCGAGGCGCCGCGGTCCATATCCTCTTGCTCGAAGACGCGGCTGTACTCGCGCAGGTTCTTGCGGATCTGCTTCTGCTCCTCCTTGGAGAGCAACGTGGGGGGGCGCGGGCGCCAGGCCCACTGCTTGAACTTCTCGACGGCCTCCTCGCGCAGCGCCTCGCCCTTGAAGTCGTAGATGTGGTATCCGTTCTCCATCTGTTGGTTTGGGTTAGCATCAGTCGAGCAGGATCATGGTTTGGAGGGGGTGGGGGGGGGGGGGTGTTCAACGTACAGAGTGCTTCCAGGCGGAGGCCCAGGTGGCGACGAAGCGTCCTGAGGGGTCCCACTCAATGTCGGTGACGCCGTAGTGGTCGCCCGTGTTCATGAGCTGCAGGTTGGCCGTCAAGTCCTTGTCGGACTCAGGCTTCTCACCCTCGAAGTCGAGGTCGAAGAAGTCGAGGTCGGAGCTCTGCTGGTTGTGGACGGTGGCGATGACGACGAAGCGGCCGCGCGGGGACCAGTAGATGGCGTTGCTGTTCTTCTTGTCCAGGGTGCGCAGATGCTTGAAGTTACCGACGGTGTTGCCCTTGGCCTTCTCGGGGCAGAAAAAGGCGACGGAGGTCTTGGGCGCGACGGCGACGGCGCCGGCGGGCTCCGTCGTCGTGATGATGACGAAGCGGTCGCCCTTGGGCTCCCAGGCGAAATTGATGACGGTGTCCTTGATGGTATCGACGACCTCGACAGGAACGCCCTTCTCCTTGATGCGGAAGATCTCGAGCGTCGTGGCCTGGGACTTCTTGGATTTGGAGTGACGGTCGACCTTGACGCAAAGGTACGCGGCGTCGGACTGCCAGTGAAGCTTGGCGTCGGAGACGCTGAAGAGGGGCAGTTGACGAACAACCTCCTTGCTGGGGATGCTCATAAGACCGACCTTGGCGGGATTGCTGCCGATTTCAGGAGTCCAGTAGGTGAGGAGCTGCTCGTACGTCTTGACTCCTTCTCTTTGCGGGGTGGCGGGGGCCCAGTCGAACTCCATGATACCCTCGATCTTGATCGAGGTCTTGTCGAGGAGGTTCATGCGGGGCAGCTCGTAGACGGAGATACCAGTCTGATAGTTGAGACGAGCGACGTAGTTGCCGTCGGCGGACCACTTGAAGGCGGGCCAGAGAAGCTTACGCTGCTTAGCCTCGTCCAAGTCGGGCATGTCGAGGTTGGCGAAGGAACGGATGGGCTTGCCGGACTCGACGCTCCAGATGACATAGTTCTTGCCATCGTCGTCGACGGACAAGGCCGGGTGGCCCTCGTCGGGAATGGAGATGGGGCGGTTAGACCATGTCACCAGGTACTTCTCGGAGGGGGACCAGTCGCAGAAGGTGACAAAGGGATGGGGGAAACGCCTCTGCCGTGACCACGAGGCACCGCCCCAAATCTGAACACCTTGGGCGTGGACCGAGGTGAGGTAGGTTCCCTGGGGCGACCACCGGACGAAGCTGTCTGTCCAGTTCTGGCGGTCGACGATGTTCTCGGGCACGTCCTTCTCGTTGTTCCAGAAGACGCCGACGGTGTCGCCACGGTACATGACGAACTGGTCTCTGCCACGGCCGCTGGGATCCTTCATGAATGATCTCAGGTGCTCCTTCTCGGTAAACTCCTCAATGTAGGGCGGCGTGTACTCCTCCTGGACCTTGCCTTCGCGGCCGTAGCGGTCGATGTCGGTGAGCTTGTTGACGCGGAGGGTGTGCTTCTTGTCGAGAGGGACCTGGTCGAGTCCGCGAACGGCGGCGGCAGCCTCGCCGGGGGATGAGTACTCGACAAAGGCAAATCTGCCATCAGTCAGTACAACCCTTTTCCTGTTGTTGCGCGACCAGGAACCGGAGCAGATCTGGATCTAGATCCAGAACCCCATCCAGAACCCCATCCAGAACCGGATCCACCGGGCAACACATACCTCAGCGACTTTCCATTCTCACCCATGGGCATGTAAATCAAGTCCTCTCTTGTCTTTCCAACCGAGTTCAACTTCTTCAACAAGAACTTGACTAGCTTGGGCTTCTGCTCCTCGTTGACTTCGGGGAGGCCATCAATAACCACGAAGGTGTCGTATCCTTGTTCCAGCTGAACCTCGTACTTCTCGCGCAGGTCGGAGATATCAATCTCCTCCTCGTCGTACTCCTCATCGTCGAGATCTGCCTCGCGCAGATGGTCGAAAGAAGGCGCCATGATTGCGACGGCCGATCAAGGGGAACAGTCCAAGTGCGTTGGCGGGCTGCTCGTAATTTTTCTTTCTTCTTTCCTTCGGTAGGCGGTTGGAGGGGGTGTGTGTCTCTCGGTGAGAACTGCGTTTTACGATGGCCCTTCTGTGGTGGGAAAAAAAGAGGTGCCTGTAGGTGTGGGGTCCGGGTGGCTTTCTTTGGGTGGAAAAAGTGCCCCGCGATTTTTTCGGGTTTTTTATGAGGGTTTCCTGGCAGCAGAGCGCTCTTGGGCTGGCTATAGACTGCAGGGCCTTTTTTTTAGAGGACAAAATCGGTGCAAAAAAAACACGAGCAGGCTTCGAAGATGTAGGTGGCCAGTAACTGTCTTGACAACTAGAAATGCGACTCGTTACGGGGGGGGAGATAACCGGGGGGTGGGAGGGGACCAAACAACTATCGCGCGCACAATTAGGGCGTCGATTTGGAAAGTTTTCGGTGCTTAACTGGCATTCGTGTGGGCTGGAACATTGCATTGTTCCGGCTCCGAGGCCGCGACAAAAGCCCCTCGCTCCCTGGTCTGTCGCGAGTCACGTGGAATAGGGATTCTGCCAGGGGAACCGTTTTGAGGGCGGAGAGAGCATCCGCTCACCGCCTTGGGGAAGGAAGCTCCTTCAGTACTTGTCCACTGCTCAGGTAATTAGGTACTTGGGTACTCCGTAGTGTACAAGGTGTACACGTGCGTCCCGCCTGCTTTGCCCGGCGTGCACTGGCCACATTAGCCTCTACAGTGGAGGATGGACGTCTCTGGAATCACTACAGCAGCTTTGCTTCGCTAATCACACTGCCTGGAAGCTACTGCCCAGCAGCACCCCACTTCACCAGGCTGAACCCCCCCAAATTTTCGACGACGATTTTCTCGGTGAAGCTTCCCCAAGGCTGAGGAATCCGTACAAACCAACCTTTGCTTCCCCCACCCCACACCCGATTTCAGTCACCGTCTCGATCTCGCAGCAGAGTGTCTGATCGTCACCACATTCACCATGGTTCGTCTTCAACGCAGATGCTACCCCCCTTCCGTCTCTCCCGACATGCGTCACTAACCCAGTGTGCCCCTCCAGTCGTCCTTCAGCCCGACACAAATCTTTGAGGATGGAACCACGGAGGAGAAGGGAGAGAATGCCCGTCTCTCCGCTTTCGTTGGCGCTATTGCTGTTGGCGACCTCGTCAAGAGCACCCTCGGTCCCAAGGGTATGGACAAGATTCTCCAGTCTGCGTATGTTGAACCCTTTCCACCCCCGCCTACCGATATTCCATCCCGCTTCGATCCGCCGCCGTAGCTGTCGCTGACAAACGTCCAGTTCGACCGGTGAGATCATGGTCACGAACGACGGTGCCACCATCCTGAAGTCTATTGCCCTCGATAACGCGGCCGCCAAGGTTTTGGTCAATATCTCCAAGGTTCAGGATGACGAGGTCGGTGACGGCACCACATCGGTGGCTGTCCTTGCCGCGGAGCTACTCCGTGAAGCCGAGAAGCTTGTCGACAAGAAGATCCACCCCCAGACCATCATCGAGGGTTACCGGATAGCCAGCCAGGCCGCCCTCAAGGCCCTCAAGGAGTCTGCCGTCGACCGCAGTAACAGCCCCGAGGCTTTCAGGAAAGACTTAGCGGCCATCGCCCGCACAACCCTCAGCTCCAAGGTTCTGGCCCAGGACCGCGACCACTTCTCCAAGCTCGCCTGCGATGCCGTCCTGCGTCTCAAGAACTCGTCCGACCTGAGCCACATCCAGATCATCAAGAAGGCTGGTGGCAAGCTGAGCGACTCGTACCTCGACGAGGGCTTCATCCTGGACAAGAAGATTGGAGTCAACCAGCCCAAGCGTCTGGAGAAGGCCAAGATCCTGGTGGCCAACACGTCGATGGACACGGACAAGATCAAGATCTTTGGTGCCCGCGTCAAGGTGGGAACGACTAGTAAGCTGGCCGACCTCGAGAAGGCGGAGAAGGAGAAGATGAAGGCCAAGGTGGAGAAGATCAAGGCGCACGGCATCAACTGCTTCATCAACAGACAACTCATCTACAACTGGCCCGAGCAGCTCTTTACGGACGCGGGCATCATGTCCATCGAGCACGCCGACTTTGATGGCATTGAGAGGCTGGCTCTGGTGACGGGCGGCGAGATCGCCTCGACCTTCGACCACCCCGACCAGGTGAAGCTGGGACAGTGCGACCTGATCGAGGAGGTCATTATCGGCGAGGACACCCTGATCAAATTCTCCGGTGTTGCCGCGGGCGAAGCCTGCACGATTGTGCTGCGGGGTGCTACGGATCAGCTCTTGGACGAGGCGGAGCGCAGTCTGCACGACGCCCTGGCCGTTCTCTCACAGACGGTGAAGGAGCCGTGGACGACCCTGGGTGGCGGATGTGCTGAGATGGTCATGGCCAAGGCCGTCGAGGGTGCTGCCACTCGCGTTGAGGGCAAGAAGCAGATGGCCGTCAGCAGCTTTGCGGTTGCGCTGCGCCAGCTGCCCACGATCCTCGCCGACAACGCCGGTCTTGACTCGGGTGAGCTTGTCGCACGTCTGAGGAAGGCCATTTACGACGGCATGACGAACTATGGGTTGGACCTCCTGACGCCTGGTGGCGGCATCACCGACATGCGTGATCTGGGCGTCGTGGAGAGCTACAAGTTGAAGAGAGCGGTTGTCTCGTCTGCCAGTGAGGCAGCAGAGGTACGTTCAGACTCCAACATGCCTATCGGCGTCGCCATGTGGGACAGATAACTAACTTTGAGCAGCTTCTTCTCCGTGTAGACGACATTATTCGCGCGGCCCCCAGAAGACGGGAGCGTGCTTAATTCAAGACACAGCGATGACAGCAGCACAGGAAGGGTTCCCGGACAGGATTAGGAAGTCAAGTAGAGGGGGGAAAAGTCGTATTCTTATGTTGGCGAAGAAAAGTGAAAGGCAAAAAAGTCAATACCATAGAAAAGGGGACCAATCTTGGGCTGGATGAATCAATGGCAGTGTCATGAGAGAGTGTGTCCCGCAACGCATCGCATCGCTCCGCACACGTCTGACAGATTGGGGAGTTTTCCCAACGACTGCTGTTGGCTTGGATGATTTGATTGTCGAGGCAGGTCTCGTCGGATTCTTTCTGGTTGCTCGTGGCGTTTGGTGCCTGTTGGGCGGATAACTTGCCGACGCGGAGAGCCCAAGCCGAGGCGATGTGAGGCCATTCGCCCTATCAAAACAGTCATGCGGAGAGAGCTGACTTATCCAACAGAGGAGCAGGCGAGGTGAGCCGAGGGATATGGCCGATGACGGCGAGGACTAATTAACCTCCCTCTCCCCCTAGGGCGCATAAATAGACGCGAAACAGCGGCGCGCTTTAACTAACGCCTTCTCCACACTGCAAACGGTAAAGTCAACTTTAAATGTGGCTGGCCGCGAGTGCCCCTGTCCGTCTGTGCCACGCCACAGAACGCGCAAAACCTCGACTTCGGACGCTCACATTAAACGGCCTTCATCTCAACATCATCTCCTCGTCTCGTCTTTATGCCGGCATTATTTTTGTTTTCTTTTCAATGATAAGCCCACTCCAAATAGACTAGGTTTACCGTGGTTTGCACATCGAAATGTCTGGATGGACGGGGATCGTTCCAGAGCGGTAAGCATCCATCGTCCATGAGTGAGGCGTTTGTCGCATTTGTGCTATGGACGCTACTTTTCTTATTTTTATTTTACCCATGTAAACACAGCCGCCACTAATTCCGGGCACCAACATAACTAGTGTAGATACACACACTCGAAGCTCATCTCCCCTTTTCACAAGTGTGGTTGATGCCCGTATTTTCACGCCCTTGGAGCACCAAGAGGGGCGGGCCTGGGCTCCACAGCCCGCAAAAGTTGGCACATGACGACAGTCGTCTTTTTCGTCCCTCTTTTCTTTTATCCTGTGTCCGTGTTGTTCTTCTCTTCTCTTGTCGGGTTCAGCAAACTGCCCTCGGCAACCCGAGGGCAGGCAGCAAGCCGTATCGATCCCGGTGTTTGACAAGCATTCCGCGCCATGTTTCCGAGAATTTTTACAACCCGGCCTGTCTTGTCTATTGTCTTGTACAGATAGATCCCTTCTACATATCCGTACATACTTCGTAGTGCGAACGAAGCAAGGACCAGGCAACTAACGAATATCTGTGGAGCGGCAGGACGGCGCGATGACGGTAGAATGCTACGCTCCCTACATCATTATTAATTTGTCCCTCACCTTATCCAGTCAGTCATACATACTACTAGGTACCTAGGTCGAGAGAGGGAGAGGCACAACCCGCAACCGCGGCTTGCTTTCTCTAAATGTGCCATCATCACTGGGGGGCTTGCTGGTCGCATGTGCTTGTTTACTGGGGTTTGACTGGTACCAAGGAAAAGGTCCGCTGCTGCACCAACAACTAACATCATATGGATGGGGCGTACGCTAGCAGTAGCAGCCGTCAAGCTATTATTCTTGGCCTCCATGTCCTCCTCAGTCCACCCATCCCCCTCGTCTTACGTCTTACTTTTGTTTGCTTAGCTCGGACTTCTTATCGTACCTCTCCAAACTATCTACCGGTCTGTCCTGCTGCCTTGCTCCCCTGCCGTTCGGCCGTCTGACTTTTCCAATGGAAGGTGAGGAGAAGCGGCTATATCATGGTCTAGTGGATGCGATAGTCTTGTGACGCCCTTGTTTTTCCTCGGTTGCCTTCTACTCTGTTTTTCTTTGCTTTGCTTTCCTCGATCTACCTACCGGCAGATCTTGGTTGCGTTTCGTTTGGCTGTTTCGCATCCGTCCCTCCGTCTCCGCGTGCCAAGCCTGTCCACAAGAGTTGTCGAGACCGATGGCGGCCCCGCTGGAGAAACACGGCATCTTAGCGGCATGGTGAGTAAACGCCCGCGTTCCTTGCTTCTTCTATGCAAACTCGGACAGCATCCCAATGGCTTGACTTTTGGCCTTGTCAAGTCGATTATACCGAGTCCCTCTAGATCAGCCCCTGATCATGCCGGACAGAACCTAGCTGCTGTGCTACAGTCCTTGCTGACTGCCGAGTCGCTCACAGCTTCCTGCTTCTTGCCTGCACCGCCTGGATATCCTGGCGGTTCAACAGCAGCGCGGCCTTTGAGAGGCCCATACACTTCTCCCTCCTGACTCTCCTCGAGTCCGGTGCCCTCATCGCAATTATTGGCGGGCAGCCGTCACCATGGAACAGCTCAGCCCACGACAGCCGGGGATACCAACTCGCAACCCTTTCGACCTCTCAAAATGATGTGCCAAGACGTCTCCGAGTGGGTGTTGATGCTGCGAGAGTCCGTCGTTTTCTGTCTTCGCCCTCTTTCCTTCTAGGAAGCGCCATCGTCCTGCGCTCGCTCCTTTTCTGGCTCACGATTCGCGCGATCCACTGCTCGTGGGAGAGTTTCGAGGTGCGTACACGAGAATCCTGCATGGCCTAGAAACGTTGATCTCTGGTAGGCTGACATTATACATTGTATGCAGACGTTCTTGCCAGCCCTGATCACTATATGCACAGCGGCAACCCCTACTGCGATTCAGCTACAGCGACACAACCGCGAGCAACCACGATCCCGATGCCGCTTTAAAGCAGGCACCGCACGCTATGTCGTCCTCGCCATCGTTTGGGCCTGCGCCGCCAGGGCCACTGTCGCATTCTCGACACAACCCGCCGGCGCAGTCTGCCCAGCTGGTTTCCTCCGGTGGGAAAGGCAGATCCCACTCGCACAGGCACTGACCGTCCTTCTGGATGCGCTACTAGTAATCTGCCTTTCCAGATGGCGTCAAGATACGATGGACGACGCGCCCCAGGCTTGGGCTTTCGCATCACGTATCTTCCTGGGATCTGCGGCCGTGTTGGCTGTATTTGCGACTTTCTCGCTTCACCACCCCCGGAATGTTCGATGGGCTTTCCAACTGCATCATGTCGCCGTCCGAGATCTCTTGGTGGACAGCACTGTGGCCTCGCTCGCCATCATCTCGGCGTTATATGCCATGAGCGACATACACCCCAGCACGCTGGCGATGATCGTCACGGCCTCGGGGGTATACACTCATCAGCTCTTCCGCATGCTGCAGATTGCCGCGCCGGCGGACGACTCCTTACCCTACATGATTGCAGGTGGTCTTACAATAGCCGGCGTTGGTCTATTGTTGCGCCATGAAACGGACCTCACCGGCGCACCGTCGGGGGATCCACGCCTGACGCGATTCATTACGGGGTGGTACGTCGTTCTCGTCGGCTTCCTATGCGGCACTTATCTCATCTTCTACCCGGACCTGGCCTCATCCGACGTTCTCTCCTTCCGGGACCTGCTGTCCGTCGCCAGCGCCGAGTCTGACGCTTGGGTTGCCGGAGCAAACCAGAGCAGGACTATCGAGGATGCTGTGGGTGAGTACCGTCGCCGCTACGGTCTTGCTCCGCCCCCCAACTTCGACAAGTGGTTCGAGTATGCGGTGGCCAGCGGCTCGCCCATCATGGACGATTTCACGCAAATCAACGATGACATGTTACCTTTCTGGGGCGTCGCGCCGGACGTCCTACGGCAGCGGACGAAGCATATGCTGAAGATACCGTGGCTCGGTATGGGAGGTATCCGGATCCGCGGTGGTAAGGTTGAGGTTGCGCCCGGGGCACCGGGAACGCATATGTGGATGATGCGCTCGATGCAGGACATGATTAGCGACTTTGCCGAGCACTTGCCCGACATGGATTTCGCCATCAACCTAAACGATGAGCCTCGCCTGACCATCCCCTTCGAGAAGATGCAGCAACTGCAAACCACAGCCGCCAAGGCTAGAACGAGGCTACTGCAACAGAACAACCCCAAGCCGTTTGACAGCTCGAAGTCGCCGGTCTGGAGCGACGACGACGACGACTCCACCGGATCGCCACGTGAGCGGTCTCCGCACTTCCAAGACCGTATCCGAGACCAGATCTATTACGACTTCATCGCCCCCTCCTGCCCGCCCGACTCTCCTGCCCGGAACGCACGTTGGTGGAGCCGTAAAGAAGCATGCGAAGAATGTCTCGTGCCGCACGGAATCCGCGTGTTCGAGGGTCTGGAGAATCCCGTGGTCTCCAACTGGACCGCGGCCACAGACCTCTGCCACCAGCCAGACTTGGCATACCTGCACGGATTCCTGATGTCTCCCGCGCCGGCCATCCTCACCAAGGAGCCGTTTCCCGTGTTCAGCCAGAGCAGGGCGTCCGCCTTCCAGGATATTATTATTCCGTCGCCCTGGAACTACGACGATAAGGCGCCGTACAACCAGGGTGAGGACGTCGAGTGGGAGTGGAAGAAGAGAACAATGTTCTGGAGGGGGTCGTCGTCGGACGGGTACGCGGCAAGGGGCGCGTGGCAGGGGTTCCTCAGAGCACGGTTCGTCCAGGTTGCGAACGCGATCCAGAGCGTCTCCAAGTTCCGACAGGACGGGCAACCGGCCTTTCGGACCCCTGGAGACGAGGTCGATTTTGATGTGGGCTTCGTGGGCGACTTTGCAAAATGCCACAGTGACGACTGCCAAAGCCAACGAGACACCTTCTGGGGCGTCGGCGCGCACGCGTCCCCCAAGGACACGGTCGCCTTCGCCGAGCACTGGAAGCACGCGCACCTGATGGACCTCGACGGCGCCGGGTTCAGCGGGCGCTTCATCCCCTTCCTGCGGAGCCGCAGCCTCGTCTACCGCGCCGGGCTGTTCCGGACGTGGTTCGAGGAGCGGGTACACGCGTGGCGGCACTACGTCCCCGTCGACGTGCGGCTGCACGAGCTCAGGGGCCTTCTACGGTACTTTGGAACCGATGACGAGGGGAGGCAAAGGGCGCAGGAGATTGCGGAGGAGGGGCGGGCGTGGGCGGCGAAAGCGCTGAGGAGAGAGGATATGAGGGTGTACATGTTCCGGCTGCTGCTGGAATGGGGGCGGGTCGTGGATGATGCGAGGGAGGAGCTTGGGTTTTCGGTGGCTTGATATACCCCATTTTCTGCCGGACCTCCTCTCCAAAAGTGAGAGGATAGATGTTGTCTTGATGTTCGCATTGGCATGGTACTGGCGTTGGCGGTAACGACTGCTAGGCTACCTCGGCATGACTTGGTTTGTCGATTGCCGTAAGGATAGCCTACGACATGAATAATGGTTGCATTCCTGTGCATCCATCTCGCTTCTTGAAGCGGCCCAAAGACGTGATCTATGCCCACTTTGCTTCCAGTATGAGTGCTCTTCCATGCTATCTTGTTCACGAAAACGGCCGCCACGCCTTCACATACACACGTTCGGCTTTATTCGTCCCCCCCCCCCCCCCCCCCCCTCCCCCCCAAGACACGTCATGGTTAGATGTGAAGCACTTCAGATTGTGAGCAAAGCAGACTTGGGATGGCGCACTGGCGGCCGTCGGCCCGGATAGGTTACACAACACACAGACAGCGGGAACTTCTGTCCCGTCAGCGACAAAATGGTGTCAAGGACTTGGACCGGCTGATGGTGCCCCCTCCCCTCTCCCTGTATATCCTCTCTGGGTATTGTTACCGTGTAACGCGCCTCCCGCGCCGGTCTGTTCTCGGCCCGCTGCCCGACCTTAATACCGATCGGTCGAGTGGAGAGACAACGCGGGACGTACCAGCTGCCCTACTGACGTGTCTGGCGGGTATGAGGAAAGACTTTTGGTGAGACGCGGGGTCGGGCTGTTGGGTGTCTCAGTTGCGGCGAACAAGGTGGACATTGCATGCAGTGACAGTTTGTCGAGGACTGTAGCCAAAGTTGGGCTAACATTTGTGGCGGGGAGGGGTGACACTGCTCGCCTTGTTGCCCCACGCTAGGAACGACGAGGCGGGTTGATTCTCACAACATCTTTCCTTTCAAGGGCGGACTTGGGACGCTACCGTAGGAATCTACAAGTTTGCGGCGTCGATACGAGGTCGGGGCGCGCCACAAACACTTGCGTTTCCGTACGCAGGCACGGTGATCTCTGTGTTGTGAACGCTGTTGAGACTCGAGAAGAGAGAGAATGAGAGATGCCAGCGGAAACCGCGGTCGTAGCTTTGATAGCTCCCAAGCGGAGTAGTCCTCGAAGGTCCGGCCACTAGCTAAACAACGCGAGCTCGAATGCACGTGCCGAGGACAACAGTGGCCACACATATTCGACATACCAGTAAGCCACTTGGCCGTCTTATCCAAAGCTAACATCTGGCGCATGCGCAGTTGGCGGACGGGAAACCTGGAACCGTTCGTGGGTGGTTGCTATGTTTGCCGGCGGTGACTTGGGGGCAAGGGAGGCAGGCGTATCAGAGTCGAGTGCAAGATCACGATTCTGGCAGTGGCAACTCGGGGCAAAGCCAACCGTCTTTGGGTAGGATCTCCCATCCAAGAGCTGATGGAATCTCCCGCCTTTGCCTTCCGCGCGGCGGCTGGAAGAGATTTGTGCGTTTCTGTCTGGACACCAACACTTCTCTGTTCTAGTGACACCATGACAGTTACATTCGTCATCATCTCCTGTTGCACGTGTTGACAACTGCTAGGCTCTCCAGCCTCATGCCGTTCTTGTTCGACACCGCGTGACGGTCACACATTGTCCTGGTCCTCGTCTACTGAAAGCCCTACAAGGCGTAGGCAAGCCGCGGGCTAGCAGCGCATAATCGGTGCTACCACCACCCAGCCCAACTCAAGCACTCCCCCTCCTCCCCATCCTCCTTGGGGAGGCGTAGGTCGGCTAGCCAGTAACCCCTCGATGCAAATGCTTGGCGGAGGATTGGGTTCCGTCTTCAGCCGCTGGTCTGGTGATTTACAAAACCGAGTCCTGTTTGGTGCGTTGACTCGCAGGAAACTTGCCCGAGACAGGGAGGTGTTAGCAAGGCACCAATGCTACCTGTTCCCTATTTGCTTAGACAAGCCAAGCAGTGTCGGTGCTAGCAAGGGGTGGACGGACGGAGGCGTTGCGGCTTTGAGACAGCAGCCTCTCACGATGGCCCCTCGTCCCCTTTAGTGAATACACCCGAATCACATGTGAGAGATTATTCCTTTTGTCCCTAAGAACATGCTTCGAGAGCAGTAGGATGAACAGCGGGCCAGACGACGGCATGGCGGGGGTGGAGACGATGTGAAGGATTACCAAGATGATGATGAGGATGAGGATGATGAAGAAGGCTGCCGGCTCTGGCGTCCAGCCTTCCACGAACACGTCGTCGTCCCATGTCTGCCATGCCGAGTTCGCTTTACTATGACGGTTGATTTGCGCGTTGGAGGCATGAAAACCCTCCCTCCTCTCCCGAAAATACCATGTGATATTTACAAGTTAGGTGTAAGCAGGCAGAAGTGGATTTGCCAACAAAAAGAGCTTGCCCGTAAACTCCATAGTGGTTTGATTGGACGTCGAAGATCTCAAAGGCCTCCGGTATTAAGCGTTGTTTTCCCAACCCACGAAACATTTCAGCATAAGAGAGAGAGAGAGAGAGAGAGAGAGAGAGAGAGAACCAGGTTATTTTAGGTAAAGTACGGTACCTACGTCCATCTCGTGCGCTTCCCGTGGTACGTATCCCTGGCGGCGGGAACAGCATCAATCAAGCGGTGGCACAGACCAGGCCTTTGCATCCATCTGAGTGGGCAGGTGGGGTGGGATGGGGTGTAGTACGTACCAATGAAGCTCTGATGTCGCGACAAGGCCTGCCCTGTCCAGCAACCATCTCAACAAATCTTTCACCCCAACAGAAAATTTCAAGCAGCAGAACAAGAGAGAGTGTATCCGTAGGTATGTGTGAAAGAGAAGGGGGGGGATAAGGGAGCGTAAACGATCACCGCGTTGCAACAGAAAAACCGGTACCTTGGAATGCCACCAATGCTTCCAGAAAACACGGCGTGCCCACCTCATCTTGTTTCAGGGACTTTGCGCGCGACTCAACACAGGCTCTTTGCCGTAGCCGTTTCATCCAGTGTCTTGCGGTTTTGCCCGAGTCGGTCCACCACTGCCGCCTCCCACAAGCGGTGGCATCAGGATGGGGGACGCTTGAACATAATGCGATTCAAGAGCCGTGCTGCTGAAGGGCAGGTGCATCTCTTTTTGACTGTTTGGCGACGTCGTTGTCGTCGTCGTCGTCGGACTACGGGGCGCCAATTAAGATCCAACCCCCTTACTCGGCTAACCGTGTCGACGGTATGCTCTGCTCCCGATTGGTCGGGTACAAGTGGGACGGAGACTTCTCCGTCCAATTGTGAGGCCTCTATAGCTCTGTTCGTGGGATTTCGGTACGTACTTTGGTTTTCCTCCTTCACCCCCTGCAGGACCCTTCTGGCGAGCGTGGGGAATCCAGGTACGTGTAGTCGCTCCTATATGTTGCTGGATCCATCTACCTACCTATCCCCCCAATGGCTCCTGAATCCTGTGAATTCAATGGAAAACCCAATGCTTCCTCCCTGTTCGGGTGCAGCATAGGCGTATTCTTCACCGTATACGGATACACATACTGAGAGACATACCATTATCGACTGATGTCTCCTGATGGCGGCGTTGCCGGTCGCCAAGCGCTCTGAGGAAATCGGCGGAACGACGAGAACTGCGCTGTCACAGTGGGAGCACAAGCTAGCTGCCTAGGCAGTGATTGACTGACAACTACTATACCTACTCGGTGATTCGTGGTTGTAGAAGTATCAGATGTCGGTCTGACTCGCCCTCAACTACTCAACCGCACCGCGTCCGATCTGAATCTCGCCCCGAACAAGCGCCATCTTCACATGCACACGGACGAACGCCGCTAAGTGCCAGCCACGCCTTGGACGCCTGCCCCCGGGGGGAGGGGGCGGACGGGTGACTAGCCGTTGCCCAAAACGCGACCAATCGACGGCCTGGATCATCTGTCTCTGCTACAGGACAGCTACAGGACGTCAGCAGCCGCAGGCGTGACACGGCAGCGACCACGGGAGCGGCAAAACGCCTCGTGCAGGCAAGATGGCGAATCAACTTGGACTTTGACGACAATGTCTTGGACGGTGCGCAGGCCCCAAGTCTGTCTGTCTGTCTGACACACTGACAGGCTGACGTTGCTACGCATATCATTTCCTTACGCAAGATATGCCCCATTCAGGTCGCGGCAGAAGTGCTATCTCAGGCTCGAAGGCCCTTCCAGGGCAAGAGTTGGAAAGTTTGCCAACGAAGCCCGAAAAGGGTTGGTAATGTGCGAATCAGACGATGCCACCGGCGGGCCACCAGAGCTGCCGAGTCTTCAGAGGGGCTTGACGAGTTCGACCCCGGCGGCAGACTACCTGTACGAATGCAAAGGCGGGGCGAGTTGCAAACATTTACCCAGAGGTGGCCTGTGTCGTTGGCGGGAGGCAAAGGACGCACTGAGAAGGTGCGCTCTACGGGGCGAGCGACTCGAAGAATGCAACCCGGGAGGGTCTCGGTATCTCAACCTCGGATGCCCACGAGGCGAGCAAAGCCCACAGGAAGGTACGTCTATCTGTACAGTACAGTACAGTACAGTACATTACTTGTCAGGAAGGGAGCAAGAGCCAGCAAGAGGTTCCTGCTCTGCTGGACAATTTTGCGCCCCTCCCCACCTACCTCCTGCTCCTTCCTTTTCCCACCATCTTGACCTGGCACGCCGGTGTTGATTTGCCTCCCACTACTGTACACTACGGTACCTAGGGGCTTCTTGTCCTGGAACCTGGCCTTGAATGCCAACATTGGCCACAGCGGGGACCCAACGAAGATCCAGACTGATCAGACCCTCTCCATTCGTGAAGCCGGCCTGGGGATTCGGATATCCCAAGAGCGGCCCAGGCTTGCCAGGCCTTACAGTCGGATCTTTCAAGGAAGGAAAGCAAGACCTTTGCCCGTGTCTGTGCAGTCATGCAAAGCGAGAGAAGAACCAACGAGCCTGAGGCCGAGCCCAAGTCCAAGTCCTAGGGAAACCAGGCGGATGGAAAGTGCAGGGTAAGTGTGCATGTGCAGGTACCTCAAACAGAGGCAAGAGGCAGTGGCATAGGCAGAGACGGATGCCAAAGCTGAAGTAGGCTCTTTTAGCCATGTATCTATACATGGAAAACTTCCCAGCGACCTCCTTCCTCGCCTTACATGACAGGTGCACTACTACCCTACGGTACTTGCCTAGGTGCCTGCTTGCCTGCCTACCTTATGCTGGAATCCGATACGTACTGTTCCATGACCCTTTAGACCGCCGGCCTCGTCCCAAAAATCCCTTTTCAGCCGATCTTTCTTCGCTATACCTAATACCGCCTTCTCCAGAACCAACAAAAGCGAGATAAAAATAAAAAGATCATACGCTACCCAAGCCCAAAACTCTATCCATTCTCGGTAGGCCAGGTTGTCGTCCCTTTTTTGTTGATTTACTTTTCCTTGTGAAGATGTGCAGGGTAGGAACACTTGGTTGTAATTCACTTTGCCAGGATAGCCAATCGCCGAAAGGAAAGCCTGCCCGAAACGTTATCAGAACGGGCCGAGGATGATGGCAGTGGTCACATATTGGATTATGTAGTTTAGGTGTTGGCTCTATCAAAGCCGTCGTCTGGGTTCACCTGACTTGCAACACAAGGCCGAGCTCAAGATCCAACGTCCGGCTTCCAGCGCGGGTTGTCCCTTCCATGGTATTAGGAAGGGGGGGGGATAAGGAGAAAATGATACATTGCGAAGCCAGACATTGCATTCTTGTACCTCGCCTCCTCACACCGCCTTCCCGGTGGGTAACTCAATCAACTGCGAGGCCCATCAGGAAAAATCCAACAGCAAAGCAAAGTGACATTTTTTCGCCTACACACACCCCCTGTCACGCACTTTATCCCTCCCGTCCCTGGTCTAGCCTATTCTTTTCCCTCCCGTTGCACGCTGACTTGCAAAAAAGAAAAAAGACACCCCCCGCGCGACCAGAAAGGCACAAGCAACAGTCGTCGTCCAGTTCGTCCCCAACAAAAACGGAGACGTGGAACCGAGGAACACCACAGTTCCATCAACCACCAAGCACCAAGTACCCGCACCACATATTCACCGCATAGGATACCAACCACCATACCTGACTTTACCTACACACCACTTGTCACAGGGATTGCTTCACACCACTGAACATCCGTTACGGTACCTGACCAGCCACATGCCATGTACTAGGTAGCTTAGCTGTACGGGTAAAGCACTGCCAGCTTGGTCGTCTCAGTGCAGAGTTGACAACGGGTCCCGTTCGGGCCCATCGTTTTCTGGTAACAACCTAGTAGGCATTTTTGTCTTTTCGCCTTCGCCACGACCCGATTCCGACCCTCGTCCCCTTTTTCCCTGTGCTTCATTTATTAGTCCCCCTCCCCTTCTCCTTCTCCCCGTTCTCGTTCTGCCTTCCCCGCGACCCAATTGGTATCCCTTTCTGTATTCCCACAAGGGCTGTCATTGGAACTTGTCCGTTGTCCCTCCGAGTGTCGTTTACCAACACCGAGGCTATAACTGTCCACAACGAACTCACCTTCACCTTCTCTCACCAAGGCGAAACACACATCAGCCATGGCTTCCACCACGTCGATGCCGGCGGCTAAGAACCCCGTCCTGCGCCGCACCGTTACCTCCACAACCGCTGAGACCGACGCCTCGATGCCCTCGACTGCCGTTGCCTCGCCTATGGACTCTCCTCGCCCCTCTGCTTCGTCAACCTCCCTGTCCTCCATGGCCTCTGAGGGTGCCGCTCCCAAGATGGCCAACTACGGCAAGCTGTACGACACGTACGGCAACGAGTTCACCCCTCCTGACTTCACCATCAAGGACATTTACAACGCCATCCCCAAGCATTGCTTCGAGCGTTCCGCTCTGAGGGGATTCGGCTACATCGCTCGGGACATTCTCTGCCTGGCCACCACCTTCGCCATCTGGTACAACTTTGTCACCCCCGAGTATGTGCCTTCCAAGGCTGTCCGTGCTGGTCTCTGGGGCCTTTACACCGTCCTCCAGGGTCTCTTTGGCACCGGTCTTTGGGTCATCGCCCACGAGTGCGGTCACCAGGCCTTTTCGCCCTCCAAGACGCTGAACCATGCCGTCGGCTGGGTGCTTCACTCGGCCCTCCTGGTCCCGTACTTCAGCTGGCAAATCTCCCACAGCAAGCACCACAAGGCCACTGGCCACATGGAGCGCGACATGGTCTTCGTCCCCCGCACTCGCGAGCAGCAAGCCACCCGCGCCGGCCGCTTGGCCCACGAGGTCGGCGAGCTGACCGAGGAGACGCCCATCGTCACCTTGCTGATGCTCATTGCTCAACAGCTGGTTGGCTGGCCCAACTACCTCATGACCAACGTCACCGGCCACGACTTCCACGAGCGCCAGCGTGAGGGCCGTGGCAAGGGCAAGCACAACGGCTTGGGCGGTGGTGTCAACCACTTCGACCCCAACAGCCCCCTATTCGAGGCCAAGGACGCCAAGCTTATCATCCTGTCTGATATTGGTATCGGCATCACCACGACTGTCCTCGTCCTCCTCGGTAACAAGTTCGGCTGGTCCAACCTTCTGGTCTGGTACTTTATCCCTTACCTCTGGGTCAACCACTGGCTCGGTAAGTTCATGAGAAGAAACTCGGTGCAAATGGCATGTACTAACCTCTTACAGTTGCGATCACTTTCCTCCAGCACACTGACCCTACTCTGCCTCACTACACTGCCGACCAGTGGAACTTCGTCCGCGGGGCTGCCGCTACAATTGACCGTGAAATGGGCTTCATCGGACGCCACCTCCTGCATGGCATCGTTGAGACTCACGTCCTCCACCACTACATCAGCACCATTCCCTTCTACAATGCCGACGAGGCATCCGAGGCCATCAAGCCTATCATGGGCAAGCACTACCGTGCCGATGTCCAGGACGGCCCGGTTGGTTTCATCAAGGCTTTGTACAAGTCTGCGCGTATGTGCCAGTGGGTCGAGCCCAGCGCCGGTGCCGAGGGCGAGGGTAAGGGCGTCTTGTTCTTCCGCAACCACAACGGTCTCGGCACTCCTCCCATCAAGGGCGAGGTGTCCTAAACTGCGAAACCGAGAAGAGGGAAACGAAATGAGGGTCGTGTTGTTTCCGGAGCCGATCCGAGACGGTCTTTTTTTTTGCGTGTAGAGGTGCAAGATTCGGGCAAATACAGTTGCCGAATCCTCCGGTTCTTTGGCCTGGTGGTGGTTGTCTTGTCGATGCGCTGTCTTCGAGCGTCGTGGTAACGTCGAGATAGCTACATGACACTATCGTCCAGTCAACATGACCTGAAAACGGTTGGGAGCGTTGGTTTGAGCACTGTCAAGGCGTTAGTATTCTATACCAGTACCAAGAGGGGTAGAACACCCATAGACACAAGAAGAGAAACCTTAAGGAGGGGTAGCTTCCGAGCAATCCGGTTACAAACATGTTTATTTACCAAATGCTGATGTGAGATATCACCAAAGTGGTATGCTGTGTGCGAAGTCACGATGCATCGACCGAGGCGCATTCATCCGCTGTTACAGTGATCCATGCGAGCCCTCTGGGTCCAGAACAGAAATCCACGAAATGGAGGAGGCGGCGGCGGCGCGCGGGCCGTAGAATCGCAAGATCAATCCAATTTATCCGCATCATGCAGAGTTAGTTAGGATGGGTAGAGTGCGGGGTGCCCACGCGACCTTGACGGACCAATGGCCCGTCGTCTGATCATCAGAAACGCGCGGAACAAACGGGGCAGGTTAAGCGGGCCGGTACAGGAAGGTAGACAACTAGTGTCGGTGGCTTGGCCCGTGAAATCCGAGAAGACTTCGGCCGCTTCCCGCTGCAATTCCCCGGCCTACAATGCCCCCGCTCCCGGGTGGCTTGGGATTCCGAAAAAAAAAAGAGCAAAAGCGGCTCCCGGAGGTGAGGAAGGGCGGTACATCACGCTGGTGCCTGAACAAAACGGCGACGTCTAGGATGGATTGCCGGTTTTTATGTTGCTCGCTTCCTATCCCTTGATAACCCTCCCCTCCCTTTTTATGCCATTTGTTTGTAGCCTGCCACACTGAGGTCTAAGGTCGCAATGGCCATAGCAGCGGAAGCAGTCGTATTGTGCTGTGTAGGGATGATTTACATCAGCTCAGGCTGGTGGGAGCTCAACAGGTGACCCAAATGGGGTCCCACGATGCTTGCCAGACGCCGGGAATCGACGCAGAGTAAGCGACAGGACCCATGTAAACCGCCTGGAATTGTCCATGAGCCTCCTTCATGGCTGAGTCCGGACTTGATAAACTCCGTAATCACCACGCGAGAGTTCAATTAACCAAGAGACACTTCGCCGTAGCAGTTCTCGACCGCGGTCTTCGAGATGTCTCAGCCGCGGCGGTTGAGGGTATGGGCCCAATAAGGGGGTTCCTTTACCGTTTTCAACGATTCTCGGGGTCTTTCTGCTTCCTCGAGCGTTACCGTGAACGTGGGAAGCGCGTGAGGAATGAATGAATGCGGATTTCACGATGGTTCAGGGCATGGAACTTCTCATGCGGTCCGGCGGCCGCACGTGCTTTGGGGAAAGAACACTGGAACATGGCACCTCGGGAGAGCTCTCGACTTCTCAAACGTCTGTCCATGCCCAAACACTTGGACTTTGGGGCCGAGCTAGACTCTCAACCCAAGGCCGAAGGCTTGACGGGATCCTGCATGCGGGGATGGGCTCATCATACTCTTCGGCCTCACGGCGAGCCAAAAACAAGGCGCTGTTCGAGCGGGGCGCTCCTCGCGCGGTGCCAACGTGGCCTGCACGAGGAAAGGGCCGATTCTGCATAGCCGTGAGCTGGGGGGGCAACGTGGCGAGGAGGCCACATGTCTTTGGGTATTGGTCGCTTGGAAATGTCGTGGGCGAGGGGATGGCGTGCAGGCGGCGTTGGTGGCGGCTGTGTTGCTACGAGTATTATTCGCGTGACTGGGACTGATTTTGAGAACTAGTGTAGCTGGGCCATCGGAAATGGTTGAATTGGGTTCTGTTGTTTTTGCACATGTGGTTAGTTGCTGGTTGGTACATTGATGTTGGTTAACGATGCGATGCTCCCACCTGGCCGAACGCCATGACTCTAGGCAAGTATCATTCAAGACATTTCGGCGTTGGCGACGCAGCGCATTCCGGTACTCCCAGCGGCCGGTTTGTTTTGATTCCCATTCGCATTCGACGAGGCTTCGTTGAGACCCCTACAAATTCATGGATGCCTAATAGGAACAAAGAGACGAATCGAGAGAGTCTGGACTGCCCATGGACCTTGGAGAGCAACGCATTCGTCCAAGACACGCGCTTATTGTTGTTTTTATCCTCCGAGACCCGTTCCAGAAAAATTACAGTTGGTATCTCATTCCTCCGCTGGCTGGTCGGGTTCCACGAAGGCCACGCCTTGGTCATGTTTCGAAACGCGTTTTCCGGGCAAGTCACGCGCATCTGATTGGTAGGTACAGACAGACTTCGTGCCCTGAGGCCGCTGGAGGCAATTGGCAGGAATAGCAGAGCATTGAATTGATGAACATGTGCATCTTTTCGTGACGAGGCAACGAGATGGCAAGTCGTTTGTGTGGTTTCCTCCCCAGTTCATCCAATAACAACATCAACCGCCTCGCTATCGAACTCACCCGTTAGAACCCCGTCACCGAACTGCAACTTCTCAATATTCTCCTTGCTCAGCTTGTCTGCCGTCGTGGGCCACACAGTCCCCCACTTGCCTTTGATCGCCACACGTGCCGTCTTGCCGAGTTGGTCGAGCGGCACGATGGGATCCTTCAAGACGACCTCCTCCTCCCTGCGCTCGCCCGGCTGAAGTGTGACGAGAGCGTCCTGTGGCGGCGGCATGACCCGTCGCAGCATGATGGTGGGTAGCTCTATCGGCTCACTCTTGCCCTCTGGCGTGATGGAGACGAGTCCAAGCCGGATAGCGAGCGGGTCGAGAGGGGTATTCCAGCGGAGAATGGTGAGCGGGGTATCGTGATTGTTCGTCACCGAGAACGCTAACGTCGGGGGGGATGAAGACGTCTGACGGATGCGGACGTCGAGATTGGCCAGGGCGGCGCCTGTGGACTGGCTCTCTTGTGCGGTCATGGTATCTCGGGAAGCGCCGTTGCGATTCCTCGCCGCAAGGATCAGGATAATGACAAGGACGAAGACGAGGGGGCGGAAAGGATTAAGGGTCTGCAGACGTCTCATGGGAGGGCACAAAAGACAGTCCAGGAATGAGGATCTATGGAGGCCGGTTTGAAGTGTTTGTGAGAAGGGGAAAGTCGTCGAGACGCTGGCCAGGTCCGACAAGTCAGCAGACAGCAAGTGCGCCGGACGGAACAGCTTCCTAAAATGGCAAGTGGCATCAATGACGTCAGCCTAATTAGTGCGTCCTTATCACTCACGTTACAAAAAGAACTGTCCTGCTGCCCATATTTCGCGAGGATATACCGACGTGCGATGTAGTAAGGTGTATGGATGGATGAACAGACTGTGCGCAGGGCCCTAACTAATCAAGCCGGGAATGAACGGTCTTAGTAGTCGCGGGCTAGAGGAACTCTCTTTCTTGGCCCAAGCCACGCGAGGATGGTCCCGTACTTTCGGAACTGAGGCTACGAGTGTAGACTTTGGAGCTGAACCCTCCGGAAGTTGTCGGCGGCGGAAGCGCGATTCAAGAGAGCTAATGTACCGATGGAGGCTGCCAAGCGGTCGGAAAGATTCGAGGTTATCTGTCTGCAGTGCTTGGCAGAGTCTACTGACTGCAGTCTATTTGTGAGGAACTTTGTAAACAGCTCGGCCGAACAGCGGGAAGACCTCGCACTTTGCATGGAGATAACATAACCTGTGCGCGCCAACCTGTGTTCCCTGGTCCCCGGTTTCTAGCTTGGATTGGCTGCGCGACACATGCGTAAGACGACGCTCGACTGTAAGCCACAATAGTGACATGACCATTAGGACAGCGAGACATGGTGCGCTGAAGAATCCCAGCTCAGGGTCCAAAAAGGGAACGTCGTCAATGCATTACCGGTACCTCTGTGCACTTCATGATGTACCTACCGTGAGTAGTACCTTTGAGTGGTGGTGGAAGGGGAAGAGTGTGGAAGATCGGCGCCGACTACAATTGATTCGGACTCCACTCCGCTCAGCGGATGCCCGTGCTGAGACCGCATTTCCTGATGCATCCGTCTCGCAACCGACGTCATCTCATATCCCCAAACATGAAGAAACGGTTCCAGACCCCGAGTATCTCAGCCAGTCTCAAATATACTGTTTATCCCACCATCTTGGGTATGGACACCAAGGAGGGTCTGTCTTACTTGCGCAAGCCAGGCCATGTCTCGCATCCACCAAGGGTAAACTCTCATTGCGCCAGTCTCACTCTCACTCCCAGTCTTTATTCGGAGAGAGACTAACCATCACAGACTACTTTTATCAGCATGGTACAAGCGGATACGAGTCTAGGTCTTCTTTAGAGTCCGCCTTTATTCCCGGGACTCTGGAAGCTGTTTGCGTTTGAGTGGCTCACTTGTGATGCTTGGGGCCCAGGCCCAGAGGGCCGTCTTCGGGACCAGCATCCATCCAGCAAGTCATATTACGACACAGGCGTCGGCATTTGCGCTTGTCAGTCTTGGTGTGCTTATTGCCGCAAACTAGACTCGGTGTCTCGCCGAACCCAAGGTACAGTGCAGTGCCTTTAACGTGAAAGACGGAAGGCCTACTGCCGATGGCCACCGCAGCCAGACGATACGGTAAGCGAGGCCTGTGCGTCTTATGGCGGTATACGGTGCTATTCGCATTCATGCTCGAAGGATCGTCCTCATTCATTGTCTGTAACTTGGACTAAGAGGCCCTCCATTTCTCTGGATCTGTAGCTGCTCCGCGAGACAGCCAAGGCTGAGCGCCCTACCAGTTCGAGGAATCCGGCCCTCGAATCTCGTGTGGTCTAACTATCGTTGCACTTGCCCACCACCATCTTGAAGACATCGCACACCCGGAACCTCTATAACTTCCCCCGTTGATCATAATGGTCGCCTTCCGTTCAACTCTTTGGTGGTGCGAAGCGCCTCCTGCTGTTTGGGTTTAAGCTTGGACTTGGGACTGGTTCGAGTGGCTTCTTCGAACCGAACCTCGACGCCGCCGCTGCCGCTGCCGCTTCTCTAGGGTGCTAGTTCGCGTGGCTTGGTTCCCAGTGCCTCTGTTCTTTCTTCAGCCGGATCGGGTCTCAGGATCTACGCCAAGAAGATTGGAATTCACGGCGTGGAGCCTAGCTTCGGCTGGAGTCTCGTCCGTTATAAAGACAAGTCCAATCGCAGGCCCTCAATGGTTTTCTTTTCAGATCACTGCCCGCAAGCCCAACAATATCTCAATCTCCTTGCCTTCGACTCATCTCACAGTAGCCGGTTCGCAAGCCAAGATGAAGTTCTTGACCGGTCTCATTCTACTTGCCTCCCTTGCGAGCGCCAACCCCGCCAACGCCACCAAACCCGCGAATACCACTACATCCGTGAATACCACCAACCCCGTGAATGCCATCACACCCACGAATATCACCGTATCCGTGAACACGACTAATCCCCTGGATACCACCAAGACACCTATCAGGATCAAGCTTAAACGCGGCTCTAGTAACACAGGGGTCAAGATCTTTTTGACAAATACAGACTCAAAACCCTGGAAGCTCTTCAAACTTGCCACCGTATTGGACAAGGCCGCCGTTGAAAAGGTGACTGTATATTCCGACAGTGAGTCCTATTGCCTTTCCAGTGGCGTGATAGTGGCGCTGACCCATGAGCAGATACGCGAGTGCCCTTCGACGGCGTGCGGTTACGCATTGCTCCGCAGGACCTTATGACGGAGGATGCCTTCCATACCCTTGAGGACGGTCAGACCATGGAGATCAATTTCGATTTCGGACAGATGCACGACCTCGGCGACAGCGGCGTCTACGATCTCCTGGTCAACAGCGGCATTCCGTACGCCAAGGAAGGCACCACCGAGATCGCCGGCGTTATCCCAATCACCAGCAACACGCTCACGGTTAAAGATGTCGACACCAGGGTGGCGGCGCTCACACGCATGGCTTTCCACCAGTCTATAAAGCGCACCATGGTGCAGTCTGACTGTCAGGACAGTGATTTGGACACAGTGAACTTGGCGCTCAGCAACTGCGTAACACTCGCTCAACAAGCCGCCAACGCCACCAGCAACGACACGCGAATGGACGAGTACTTCAAAGACACGTCGGATGAAGCCAAGTACAATGTCACCGACGTCTTCAACAAGATAGCGGTAGAGTGCCAGAGCAACATAGATGGAGTGTCTCAGCAGTACTGCGGCGACGTCTACAAGTCGTGCTCGCCTGGCGTCCTGGCCTACACGGTCCCCGCGTACAGCTACATGGTCAACTGCCCCCTTTACTTCAGTGCGCTTCCGAGTCTCACCACGACGTGCCACGGGCAGGACCAGACCACCACGACGTAGGGAGCTTCTAGCAATCCAGGGTTCCGCTTGGGCAGACTAGCTGACGAGTCGTTTAGCATTCACGAAATGACGCACTTGCTCCAGATGAAGGGAACACTCGACTTTGGTGTCTACGGCTACGATGCGATGAAGACGCTCGAGTCAAGTCAAAACTTGAACCATGCCGATACCTACTGCCTATTTGCCAATGGTAAGCTTGTCTTGACCTAGTTGCCATTGACCTTGGGGGTTGCTAACTCTCATCCAGCTGTTAACCTTAACGACATCTGCTAGAGAGTGACACGGGTCGCGCGCGGGGCAGGCCCCGGAACCCATTTTAAAAGACCAAAAAGTAGAATGACAAGGCGCGAACAAGAGCTGATGCAGTTCTATAATGTGCATATTGGATGGGCGATCGGCCACGCCAGGAGTCTCATGATGCTTGACGTATAGGCACTGGCCTACCGCGTCTTAATTAAGGTTAATACGGCGATGTCTTAATGCGGACCATAGGTTTGCCATCAATAACACTAATCAATAGAAACGAGATGATGATTCAAGCAAGGGTTTTGGTAATACTTGGTACATGGTTTACACGGTGATGCAAACTCGAAAAATGCTACACATCCGGGCGGGCCGCGTGAGCATTCGCCCGTACGGAGCCGATTGCGAAAGCCAAACGTGAATCAGAATACAAACCTGTATAAGAAATGGCACATCGCCCGAATGGCACAGCCGAGGATCTGTCAGTGGCGGTGATCGGTCCAACACGTGGCTGCCGATTCATAGGTATCTGAATCGAGATTGTTGATGATCAAGGGAGCCGGCCGTCTGTCATTCGCCCCCCGTTTTCCATCTTTCTCAGGCGGCGCCTGCAGAGCGGCAGAGACAACTGACTTGCATCGTACGAAGTATGGAATCCGGCCGAAGACTGATGCGAGTGGGAAAGCCCCTCCCGTGCCTGTCATCAACCGTAGTTTCCAGGGGGGGGGGGAGTGGTCCGACCCGGATATTGGTTCCGGATGAGCCAGGGGATATAATGATGGCGGCAACGTTAAAATGGGGAAACGGTAGCCCAGCGAGATGGCACAGCGTCGCAAGGGCGGGCCTTGCCGGAAGCAAAGCCTATTTCGAGACGCCAACTCGTCTCATCATCTCATGATTGTTTGGCTTGGTAACAGACCGCAAATACAGACTTCTTGCGCAGGCGAAGCTTGAAGCGCCCAGTTCCGGTGGAAAAGGGAGTTGGGGGTCGTTGGCCAAGGGGGTGTAGCTCAGAGACAGCATCGTATCAATCCTAGGATCTGCTGGGGCCGGGACGTTGGACATTGAACATGGGCGCCACCGGAGCCAGATACGGGCCTGAACCTGAGATCCATTTCGCATTTGAGCCCCCGCCGGACTGTGGACCGTTTGTTCCGTGACGCTCGCAATCTGTGGCTCGTAGACGGATACTAGCACAAGGGCAAGGCCTCTGGAGCGCACATCGCGAGACGCAGACTTATCTGGCTGTCTGCGTCGAGAATCACGATCGTTTGCGCTGAGACAAGTCAATACTACGTAGTATAGTACTGCAGGGTGAAAGGTACATATGTCGAGTCGTGGGCTGCAACTTCGTCTGTGCTTTAATTTGACGTGGGCACCTGAAGTTTGAAAGAAGCAAAGTTTGCTGGGATGTTCCGCGAACCTCAGTGAAAACAGTAGGTAATTACTCTGAGGCTCCCCCCCCCCCCCCTCGCCTTTGCCATTCGGACTGCGGGTGGCATAGGAATGCCTTGCGAGAAAAAGCTCCGAAGCAAGGGGCTGCGTGGGACAAGCAGGTTCCCAAAGGGAGGGAGCGGAAAGATCGCTTGGCCGTACGTTGGTTCATCGGTAGAGGAGTAGGGTATTTGTATATACGTTGGTTCGGAAGCCAAGACAAGAGGGAGAGCAGGATGTCTAAACTTTTGTGTCTTGTCACTTGTTAGGTTCCATATGGAATGCAAAGATGCAGAGGCTGAACTGGATGATCTGCAGACCTACGTTAGTCAGGTAGTACCGCATTGGCCACCACGGAGCTGAGAAGTGTCGACGGACAAGTCGAATGTGTTCGACCGAAATGAGAGGTCGAACACCGGCGGAAAGGTTGACCGGGCCTCAGAGTCAAGAGTGCTGCCGTGCGAGGCCGATGGCGGTTGGACTGGGATGAGGCGAGTTTGGGCGGGCTCGGAGAGCGATGAACAAGTATCAGGGGGTGGCGAGTCAACCAGTGGGGTATCCAGGCACAGGGTATCTTTGCTTGCTTGCTTGCGTGCTTGCTTGATCGTCGAGTTGCTCTGCGAGTGCTTCAGCCCGCACACTACTACATACATATGGTACTGTACTCCGTAAATATGTATCCGGTACTCCGTACTCCTCTCCCCGTACTGAGCGAATCTTGCAATGACTAGAAACGTGTGACACAGTGTGACGGGCCAAGATAGGGTACATTGCCTTCCTCGCAGTACTGAGCCTGGTTGCTGATTGCTTGTGTCTCCCCGCAAGAGCTCGCATTCTTCCGACCAGTGACGACGACCAAGCTGCAGGAACGGCCAGCATCACGGTCGGATGGCCGCGGCTGCTAGTGCAAAAAGGTTCGCGCCTAAGAGCGTCCCATCAGCCGAGGACACCGTGTCGGATGCATACGATCTGCGATGGCGTCGACGACGACGAGGAGACTGGTTGGCCGCACCGGCAGACTCGGCCAAAGATGCGTCGGTCTCCTTGGACCAAGGAGGGACAGGCTCCGGTTCGACGGCTAACCACGGGTTTGTGTGGTGTAGCGTAGCGTAGCCTCCCGTGCCTGATCGAGGCCGACCTGGTGGATCATGGTCGTCTCCAACGAACCATGCCAGGCCCAGCCACACATACAGACAGGCCGTAACCCTTGGCTGTCGCGAAAGCCCCCATTGCACTGTGTCGATGCCATCTTGCTCGCACTATCACATGCCGACACCGGGCACTAGGCAGTTCGGGGCAACGGGCCAGGCATATCGATTCAGACTCGGCGCGCGGCGTAAGCGCAAGGGTAAGGGGGAGGGTTCGGGTCGCGGAGCCCTAACGTGTGTGATGAGGAACCCCCAAAGACCCTGAGAATCTCGACCGAGAATGTTTCGCCTGTGACCGGGTACGGGAGATTTGTCGTTGAATTGTGAAAGCTACCGAGTATGCCAGGTAGTATGGGGATGGGGAGGACGCTCCAGTATTTTGTATGGCGCTCCATGTGTGAGCATGAACATTCCTCAGCAGGTAGATGTGATCCAATAATCCCGCTTTCCCCATGACTACTGGTACGGGGTTTGGAAGATCATGCTAGTGGTGGTGGTGATGGCGGCGGCGGTAGTTGGTAGTTGGTGAAGCTGGTGCTGCTTGCTCTGGGCTGGGGTTTGCCCAAACCCCGCGATTTTTTTTTAGTTTGCCACAGTTTGAGGTTCACAAGGGGTCTTTTCAGCACCTACCTACTACTGTAGTTAGTTAGCGGATCTATCTACTTTACCTCCTACCTTACCCCGTTGTGATGCAGATACATAGTATATACCTATGTACCCAGTATGATAGTGTACGTAAGCTACATAGTAAGATGTGGCAGTAAACAGAAAGAAAGAAGGCAGGAAGGAGGGCGCGGGATGGCATGGCATGGCATGTGCATCCCAGTTGTTCTCCTCCCTTTTGAAACTGGGGGAACAGGGAACACCTGCGAGCTGTGAGTGGCTGACTTCGTGACATCTGGTGGGGTCTCTCGCTTGACGGGAATGGTGGGATGGGCACAGCACAGTGATGGTGTACCCAAGTAGCTATAGTATATACAAATGTACAAACGCACTGTAAAGATACGGTATACTTGCGCCCGCTGCGTTTCCTCCTATCCTCCACCCAACCCCCCCCATCAGAAGATGGATCCCGGTATGACCGGGGGGTGTGTTACGATGCACAGTAGTTCCAACGCCCTCGGCGCGACGAAGCCGTCAACAGCGTCGAAGCTCTCTCATCCGCAAACTTGCACTGTACGCTAGAATCCCCCCCAATCCCAGCCCTGCCGCTGGCTTACCTCTCCCACCTTCCGCCTAGCGGGGGCGTGTGTACCGTATGTGTATGTGTGTGTGTGTGTGTTGCGTGTTGCACTACCTACACCGGGCACCATTGACATTTGACACTGACACACTAGCATTGGCATGGGCACCGGGCTGGCTGGCCGGCCGAGCTGGTTTGCAGGCCCCCTCTTGGGGGCCAGTGCTTCAGACTGGAAAAAAAAGACACAAATAAAAAATAGAAAAAGAATTACCGGAAGCTGACAAGGTACCTAATACCTACAGAGTATCCGCAGAAGCGAACGGCAAAGAAAAGGTAGCGAGGAGAGCATCCAAATACCACCACTTGCCTTCCTGCTTTCCCTCCTCTCCCGCTCTCTCCACCTCTGCACATTCTCTCGCCATCACCACATTTCCTTTGGTGCATCTCAGATCATCCACAATCACCTCCATCTTACCTCCACAGCTGGCCCATTCATCCGCCAGCTTTGCATTCGTGGGCTCCGATTTAGTTCGCTAGCTCAACCCACCCACATTCACATGGTCGATTCCCGTCGTCGAACCGCCACCACCTCCTCCACCATCACAACCACGAAGGCGGCCACAACTGCCTCCATGTCTCGCCTGCTGTACTATTATCCCCGGGAAGCGTTGATGTAAACCCCTACCTTACCGAAAACTCACCGACCATGCTGCGACGGCCTCCAGGCGAAGGGAGGCATGTTGCCCGTCAGCGGACCTACCTCCTCGCCCTCGCCGTTCTCGTCATCTCCTGCCTCCCCTTGGCCGACGCCCAACAACAACGAAAACCCCTCGAGCCCATCCCTCCAATACGCCGCGTCGGCCAACAACAGCCTGCTCCCGGTAGCAGTCAGCATGAGGCTTTTCGCGATGTCCACCCGGACGCTGCCGCCCGCAACTGGGCCGCTACCAATATCATGGCCGGCAATGCTGCCGAGTCTCCGAGGTCACGTCGAAACTCCGTAACCTCGAGCCAACCCCAACCCAACAAACAACACAACCGTCGGTCCAACCCCGACAATATTATAATTCCTAACGATGCGAGCGCCGTCGCAACTTTGGCTCCGGCTCAGTCCGTGCGAGCACCTCCTTCTGGACATCGACCTATCGCTTCCCGTGTCGGAGGCGACGGGATCTCTACGCAGCACCATGCGCGGAGTCTGAAGGACTGGGAAGTAGAAGACTTCGTTCTTATGGCGACCGTCGATGGACACCTCTACGCCAGCGATCGCGGCACCGCCACAGAACGCTGGCGTCTCGAGGTTGACCAGTCAATGGTTGAAACCAAACACTACCGCCTCAACGCGTCCGACTTGGACGACGACTACAACTTCATCGACCACTACGTCTGGGCCATCGAGCCCAACCGCGACGGAGACATTTACTACTGGGTCCCTGGTTCTAGCGAGCCCAGGCTCCTGCCGACAGGCCTGACCATGAAGCAGATGGTTGACGAGGGCGCCTCTGCCCTGGAAAACCCTCCCATCGTATACACGGGCACCAAGAAGACTACCATGATCACACTCGATGCTGCCACCGGCCGCGTGCTCAAGTGGTTTGGATCGGGTGGCTCCCACGTCAATGAAGCCGAGAGTTGTTTGCGTCCAAACGCATTGTACGACCAGAACAACGAGGAGTGTAGCTCCATTGGCTCAATCACGCTTGGTCGCACCGAGTACGAGGTTGGCATTGCTCGAAGAGACGGTCGTCCCATTGCTACACTCAAGTTTTTTGACTGGACTCCTAACACCAACGACTACGACCTCCTCAGCCAACACCATCAATCCATCGACGCCCGCTACCACACATCTACCCATGATGGAAGGATCTACGGCTTCGATTACGGAAAGACCAATAAAGGAGATCTTCCCGTCTTCTGCAAGGCACAGTTTTCGTCTCCGGTGGTCAAAGTTTTCGACGTCTGCAGACCTGTTGGGCTGGAGCCCTTGATCAACCCAGACCTGATTGTACTGCCGCAGCCCGTTCCGCCTGCCAGAGACGACAGCACAGCTCGCATTAGAAGCCAGCGCATTTTTGTCAACCAGACCGAGACGGGCAACTGGTTCGCTCTATCAGGGCGCTCTTATCCCCTCATTCTCGATGCACCTGTGGCCAAGACGTCGTCACCAGACTGGCTTCAGCTGGCTACCCCATGGGAAAAGATGAACGAGACGCAGAGAATTAGGGCCATGGTTGGCACCCACTACATGGACGGTGTTACTAGGGAGAAGATCTACCAACCTCCCAGCCTTCCTGGGAGGGCCGAGACGTCTGATGCTGTCTTGGACCCTGAAAACGACTCGGTGCTGCCCACTCCAGTCCCTGAGGATGTCGAGACGCCAACGATCGTGAGGAAAGTCAAGTCGATTCCACACCACGTTTCCAACAGTGTCATCGACTTCTTCTCCAATCCTGTCCTCATCGTTCTCATCGTCTCTGTTCTGTTCTTCTATCAGAAGGACCTGCGTCGATGGTACAAGACGAGGACGACAAAATGGAACATGCGCTACGAGACTGCCTCGGATACGGAGGATATGGCGGCTGATGTTACTCCTGAGCCTACAATCCATGATCACCCCCCCCTCCCCGAACCCATTCAACCTGATGCTCTGCCCAAGCCCGAGGTGGCTGCGGCCGGCAACACGCTAGCCCGTGAAGCACTGGCGAGTTCTGTCGAAAAGGAGGATGAGAAGATTTCCGTTGTTGCTCAGCCCGTTGCAGCTCCCGAAAAAGAGTCTGTGACTCCTCCCGAGTCTGGTACCCCTGAGGGTGGCAAGAGGAAGAAAGCTCACCGTGGTCGCCGCGGAGGCTTGAAGCATCGCAAGGGCAAGAAGAGAGAAGATATGTCTCAGTCTCGGGAGGATGAGCCTCCTGCATCTGTCGAGGATGCCGTCAACAAAGCCAAGAAGCTTGGGGGGCAGGCAACCCGTCTGGAGCCCGACGTCATGACCGTCGCGAACGACATGCAAGCTGTGACGGGACCCATCATCAGGATGGGCAATATCGAGGTGGACACCGAACATCAACTAGGCACTGGCAGTAACGGCACTTTGGTCTTCGCCGGCAAGTTTGATGGGCGCGAGGTCGCTGTTAAGCGAATGCTCATTCAATTCTACGATATTGCGTCGCAGGAGACGAAGCTGCTGCGGGAGAGCGACGATCATCCTAATGGTAAGCCCAAGAAATCACTGTACCTTGTGATGTGTCCTGACATCATTCAGTCATTCGTTACTATGCCCAGCAAGTCCGAGACGGCTTCTTGTACATTGCCCTTGAGCGATGTGCTGCGTCTCTGGCCGACGTGGTCGAGAAACCTCACCACTTCTCTCGACTGGCCCAAGCTGGCAAGATGGATTTGCCTGGTGTTTTGTACCAAATTACCAATGGTATCCATCACTTGCACAATCTTCGTATCGTTCACCGCGATCTGAAGCCTCAGAACATTCTTGTCAACATGGGCAAAGATGGCCGGCCACGTCTTCTCGTTTCCGATTTCGGCTTGTGTAAAAAGCTGGAAGGTGGCCAGTCGTCCTTCGGTGCGACTACGGGGCGCGCCGCAGGAACGTCTGGCTGGCGAGCCCCTGAGCTGCTGCTCGACGATGACGCCAGAGATTCTGCCATGGATGTCAGCATTAACAGCGGTTCGGGTTCCATCCTCGTCGGCTCTGACATGATGTCGAACCGTCGTGCAACCCGCTCCATTGACATCTTCAGCTTGGGGCTGGTCTTTTTCTACGTTCTGACCAATGGTCTGCATCCTTTCGACTGCGGCGATCGCTACATGAGAGAGGTGAATATTCGAAAGGGCAATTACAACTTGGCACCTTTGGATGCGCTCGGCGACTTTGCCTACGAGGCCAAGCATCTCATCGGTCTCATGTTGAACGCGAATCCCAAGGAACGTCCTTCGGCCCGTGATGTCATGGCCCATCCCTTCTTCTGGCCCGCCAAGAAGCGCCTTGCTTTCTTGTGTGACGTCTCGGACCACTTTGAGAAAGAGCCAAGAGACCCTCCTAGCGATCACCTTCAGTACTTGGAGAAGCACGCGCCAGCCATTACCAAAGGCGATTTTCTCCGTCTGCTACCTCGCGAGTTTGTGGATTCGTTGGGAAAGCAGCGCAAATACACGGGTTCGCGGCTACTCGATCTGTTGAGAGCGCTGCGCAACAAGAGGAACCATTACGAGGATATGCCCGATTCGCTGAAGCGGACTGTAGGTCCCTTGCCCGACGGTTACCTAGCGTTCTGGACAGTCAGGTTTCCTAGGTTGTTGCTGGACTGCTGGAACGTGGTTTGGACAGTGGAGTGGGACACCACTGATCGGTTCCGGGAATACTACGAGCCAGCCGGTTTGTAAGGTAGTCTTTTTTATTCAATACTGAATGGTTGTTTGATTTGATCATGTCTCGTGGCCCCCACTTATGGAAATGCCCCCAACATTACGGAGTACATGATTAAAACAATCATGAGCGATTTGGCCAGATTTGGTGCGGCTTGGTGACTTTGCGCGACGTTGATTGTCCATCGTACCCGTACGCCCGCGACGGACCCGCACGCATCTGCCGTGCCCCCCAGTCTTATCATCCCCGGCCCGCCCCATGGACTAGCATCCCCTCGCTCTCCATCGTTTGCGTTTCTGATCGACGCGTGTAGCCTATTGGGTGGTGGCGGCGTGGGCCACGTCTCAGCATCTGTTGACTACTGTGGAAACCACACAGCACGTCAGTTCTGTCTATCCGGGTCCTCGTTCTTTGTGGCAGACGAATCGCCAGTGACCCCGAAGGGACGGCATGTGTTCTCTCATTTGCTGTACTCCTATCACCCTTGCTTGTTTACCGCTCTCTTTGGTCTGCTTTTTGCTCATGTTATCTTTGAGTTTCTATCTTTCTCTTCTTGTCTTTTCCTTTTCCCTTCTCCAAACTCCGGGCCACGTATGACCCCATCTCCTGAGGCTACATGCTCCTCCTCGCCAGAACCACGATATTAACCCTGAGCTATCTCACGCTGATACACATTCCTGCTCAACTTAACCCCACTGAACAAGCACCTTCTTGCCCTTCTTCTTCTTGCCGCCGGCACTCTGGCCGGCCCCCTCGTCCTCCTTCTCCGACGCGTCCGTGCTCGCCGCGCCACTGCCCGGAGTCGACCCCCAGCTGAAGTTGCTGGCCGCGCCCCCGAGGTCACGCCGCACGCCTCTACCTGACCCGTAGCCGAAGATTGTAGTCAGAGGCTTCTGAGCCGGGGGCAGGGCGGGGAAAGCAGACGACGGCGGCGGGCGGCCGCCACCAGGCGCTGCGCCCGACGGACCTGCCGAGCCGGCTGATTTGCTGGTGCCTGAAGACGGGTTGTTCGGACCGATCCAGGACGGTCGGGCCGCACTCGACGATGGCAACGAGGAAGCGGCAGGGAGGGCAGGGAAGGCGGACGATGCTGGGGGGCGCACCGCGGGCGATGATGCGACCCAGCTGCTCGAAGCGGACGACGTCACCGGCTTGGGTCCCGAAGCGCCGGCGCGGGTGCTGTTCTTAAGACGCAGAACACGGTTCGAGTGCTTCTGGTTGGGCGCGGCGGCGGGGGCGGTAGGAGAGGGAGAAGCTGCGCTGGCCCAGCCGCTGGAGGCGGTGGTGGCGCCCTGCATGCCGCCCAGGCCGGGCAGAGACGGGTAGTCCTCGTTGATGGCTCTCCAGTCCTGCCAGGCCTTGTGCAGAGCTGTGGCCTTGGACTTGTCCTCGAACAAGTCGGCAACTTCGCGGACCAGTGTCCCCAAAGCGTTGGAAGATGTGTCGGCGAACAGGGAGAAGAAGGCATCAACCAGCTGAGGAGCGGTGAGCTTACCTTTTCTGAAATTTGAGATGTACTCGCGGAACGCCGTCATCTTGGTCTGGTCGTGGCCGAGTAGGTTCGAGGCGCGCTCAATGACTCCTTGGTGGCGCAGCATCGCCGCCCGCTCCTGGGGGGGTAGCGATGCGATATCGGTAACGGTAAGCTGCTCGAGCTCGGCAGTCGGCAGAGCAGGGGCATGGGCGGCACTTGATGTGGCTGCAGGTGCCTGGCGTGACGATCCCGAGGGCGTCGCATTGCCCCGCCGGGACGAGGTTGACGGCGTCGTTGCCGAGGGCGTGGAGAGAGAGCCGCCAAAGGTTCGGTTGGAGACAGATTGCGCCGAGTGAATTGCCATCTGTCTCTGAAAAGCAATCTCGTCGCGACGTAGGGGTTGCGCAGAGCTCTGCGGGATGGGCTCGGCATTGGGATCACGGCCACGGCCACGCCCTTGGCGCCCGCCAGAAGGACCGCCGCCGTCTCTACCACCACCACCTCCTCCTCCGCCGCCGCCGCCGCCTCTCCTCTCGTTTTCATATGATGGCCTGTAGTCAAAGCCGGACATGTTGACCACTCTTGCGTCCCTCCGCACGTCCTTGGACAAGGAGTTGGCGTGCTCTGCTAGTTGGTGGGCCTTCAAGTCCATCTCCGACTCGAAAACAACAAACTTCTTCTCCAGACATTCTTTGTCGAGGCACGGGAAGTGGTCCTTCTCAAAGTGCTTCTCCAAGGCGTTGTAATTAACAAAGTAATGAGGGTGTCGCGAGTCCCTCCGGTCGCAGAGGAAACATCTCTCGTGCTTCTCGCGGCAGTGGTCGAAGAGCTTGTCGTCGTCGTAGAACCGGGATCCGCAGAAACCGCACAGCGGGTGACCCTTGAAGCCGGTCTGGTCTATCGCGCCGGGCCTGTCGTCGCCGTGCCTCATGTGCTTCTCGAGCTCCTTGTCGGCGAAAAGCTCATGCTCGTGCGTAAACACCTTCTTGTTCCTCGTGCAAAGATCGCACATCTTCATGTGATGGGTTGAACGGACATGCCTGTGAAGGTCTGGCCAGCCCAGGCCGGCAAAGACGCAGTCTTCTGCGGGGCAGTTGTAGCGAAGTAGAACAACAGTATCGCCGACAATTTCTTCGTTGGTGTAACGAATGCCAATGTTGTTATCGAAACTCGTAATGTCGGCGTCGGTGTATTCTTCGTATCGCTTATTCGCATCTTCCGTGAAGACAACAAAGGGAGAGGGTGTCTGGCCCGGAGTCAGCTCATGCAGACAATTGTAGGTGAGCTGGGAGAAGACTTACTCGGCAGTGGGGGCAGTCCTTGGTCTTGTATAAAGCCCTCATACGTAACCCGCAGATATGGCAAGTCTTGTGATTACAAGGCGCAATGGAGTGGAACTTGATGGGCTCGGCGCAGATGAAGCACACTTCGCCGTCGCTGCTGGCCGTGTCGTCAGCCTCGGTGACGGTGCGGGTGAGCACCTTGTTGTCCGGTTTGGCGTGCGATGGTGGAGGCGCGCTCGAGACATTCTGCTGAGGTACGGAACCAGCATTGCTGCCGCCTCTACCACGCCCTCCTCTGCCTTTGCCGCGGGTTCCTCCTGCTCCCCCGCCTCCGCCGCCACCTCCCCCGCGACCTCGGCCACGGTTGCGATGACCCCTGTTGGGGTTCGAGTCGCTCGTAGGCTGGGTGTCGGCCATCGGGACAGTTGTCTCTCGCTCAGACGGTGGAAATAAGAGCAAAAAGGAGCGCTCGACCAGTGAACGGGACAGCTGGGTCGAAGCGGGCTGGCTGGGTGTCTTCGATCTGCTGATACTTTGACGCGGGAAAATCGATCTTGAGCTCGACCACGGTGATTTTGTTGTAAGGGCAACTACGGTTGAGAGCTGTAAGACTACCAAGCCGGATGTGCCTTGTACTTGTAGAATAGGGAAGTGCGTAAGTCGAGAGTGAGGAAGAGCCGGGTGCAGGAGGACAGCCCGGTGATTATTATCAATTGCGGCGAAGACCGAGGGAGGTTAAAAATAATGATTATGTGTGGCTCCCTCTGTTACCAGAGAGCCACAGGTGGGTTGGACCAGCGCTGGTATTGGTGGACGCGAAAGAATTCATGGCGGGGTCCAGCAAGAAAGGTCCCCTGCGCTTACAGCCTCGCTGCTCGGGGGAGCAGCTGATGGGCACTGGGGTTTCTTCCCTTCTCGGTGTGCGTCATTCACCCCCGCCGCTGCTGGCACCACCAGCTAGCACTGCACGCGAAGCTTCATTTGCGGCTCCTGATTACATAACTTGATGCGCCGGTCGCGGTGGCGAGTGCATACCCAGAAACGGTAAAGTAAGTGAGTATCTGGGTAGGTAGTGTTGGTAGTTACCAGGTAGGTAGTTACCTAAGCAGTAGTAGAGCTTCAAAGAGTCACCGGGCACCCTGCGTGTGCTCTGTGTGTGGCCCCGGCCGGGCTGAGTGCGGCTGCGCGACGCTTTCCCCCGACCTTTTACGATTGGAAATCGACTTGCGGAGCTCGAACGTCGGCAGCGTGAGTCAAATTTTAATTATTATTTTTTTCATCTCCCGATAGCATTGCTGTTCCTTCTGGAAGCTGCTGTCATGCATGCATACACATTAGAAAATGGGTATCTACCGCTGTGCTGCCTTACCACAAACCAGTGAACATTGCAGCCGCTGGCATTGCGTCACTGGGTATTTGTTCGAGCGATATGATGCTATCAAGTGCGTTTAAACAAGGACTAGTGTCGGCCTATTCCAAAGACCAAGCTACCCCAGTCTCTCGTCCTTTGGGCCAAGCCTGCAGTCTCCATGGCGGCGGCAATGCTCTACTCTGTAGGCAGCCAGCCAGCATGACCGGATATGTAGAGATGCCATGAAAGATGCCATGCTGACCACAGATCCATACTCGTCTACTGATGTCTTCACGAACCGCCCCACGTCTCCATCTGCCTCCATTCACTATCATATCCCCGGATCCCCAAACCCCCGGAAACTTTGTTGATTGCCCCCTTCCCAAGCCAGAAAGACGCCATTGCCTAAATCGCCCCGCTAGTTTGCACCGAAATTGGACCTTATTGACTATCTTCTCTACTGCTCCTCGACCGGATAGAGGTGGGCGCCAATCATCTTGTTCATCTGGAACATGTCCACCTTGGGTTGCTTGAAAATAGCATGCATCTTATCGTCGCAGCGAATTTGTCGTTTGTTATCAGGGTCCTGAAGGTCATTTCCCTTGATGTGCTCCCAGAGCTTCTTGACGACCTGAGGACGGGATAGCTTGGCGGGGTTAGCAAATGACCTCAGCCCGGCATGCGGGGGAGTACCCAACGGTGACGGGAACGTACCTGAGACTCGCCGAGCAGCTCCGCCAGCGGCTCGCTCAAGTTGAATGGTTTCTGGAAACCACCGCCGGCCTTGCGCTTCGGTGGCTCCCCACTGTCGTCAACGTCGCTGTCGTCAACCTTCTTGTCGCTCTTCTTCCGTGGCGCCTTCTTCTTCTTGGTCACCTTGCTCGTCGCGCCGTTGCCGCCGCGCGTTGTCCGCCCTCTGGCCATTCTGTTCTCCTGCGCCTGGAGCTCAGCAGCGAGCTTGGCATCCGCGTCCTCGGACGAATCCTCGCGCTTCTGCCTTTTCTTGGCAGGCGCGACGGACACTTCGATCTCGCCATCTCCATCATCTTCATCGTGACCGTTCGCTTCTCTCTTGGGGGCGGGGCTTGCGGAGTAGGAATCGGCAATGGGGGCAGCATCCCCCGATCCAGAGATGGCGTCGAAGCGCTCTTCTATGAGTGCCTTGATTGCGTGCTGTACCAAGTTCAGTCAGCGTCAGTTTTACACAAGTGCCGCAGTCAATCGACAGCAGCGGAGGTGCAGGGTGACGAAGGGATTGTACTTTTTGGTCGCTCAAGTCCTTGCCACCGAGAGCTTTCTCCAACCCCAGACGAATCTTCTTGCGGGTGATGGTGGTCAGGTCTGCGGTCGCAAGGATGCCATCGATGATGGAGGTGTAGTTATTTTCCTCTTCCGAGCTTACTGCGCAGATGGCGTTAGCAGTGGTATACGAAAGGGGCCAGCCAGGGCCGAAAGCTGGGAGGAAGAGCGTACGAGGAAGAGACATGGCGGGCGGTGGTTAAATAATATACTCATAGACAGACAAATGATGACTAGGTAAGTCCAAGATTGTTCCGGTTCGGTTCGCCCGATAGTATGAGTGCACGGTCGGCCGAGGTGTTGTGGATCGGTTGGAAAGGTTCGAGAGCTTGGCGTATGGAGGTGGCAGGAAGACGCGGGGAGAATAGAAGGAAGGATGAGAAGAGTCGGGGGGTGAGATTTGCTCGGCCTCGAATCAGAGCATGTCTCTTGCAGCAATCAGGAAGAAGGCGCGATGGGCGTAGAAGTCTGGAAAGAAAGTTCAAAGTGGAAGGGCGACAGCACGATCCGCGCCTCTGGTCGTATCGCGGCGGCGGAGTGCATCAAACGCGCCGACGCACACGCACCCGCACAAGGCTGAAAGAGGACCGGAGGACGATCTCGGGTGGGGCGTGGATGCCAAGGCGGAAGACGCGAAGGGGGAAAGTGACGATGGGAACCCGATGGTGTTGAACGGGGCAGGTCTGAGTTTTACAAAGGTAGATCGGAAGTAATGCCGGAATCGAGAGAGGGCTTTGTTTTTTCCCCAGATGCGACAGGTTGGAAGCGGACCAGGTTGGAAAGGGGGGTGATGCGATCGAGTGGTCCGGACGAATGTGAGGCTCACACTTTCCAATGTTTGGGTTGTTGTTTAGTACCTCTGGTGTGGCAGGTGGTCCGCTCTACCTTGCCTTAGCAACTAAACCCGACGAATGGAGAGCCCAGAGGTTTGTGTGCGCGCGTGTGGCTGAAGGCTGGAAGAGAAAGTCCTCAGAGGGGAAAAAAAGAAAGAGTGGGCTACTGGTCTTGCATTAGACGTTGGCTCGTGCTTCCATTCCAGTCCAGACCATGACCCCGAGCCAATCAAACTGCCGAATTGGTTCCCGGCCAATGTTGCGTTCCTTTGGCAAGCGCCCCCACGCACGGGTTGGCTGACGAGCATCACGTGGCTTGACTTGGACAGCTGGGCAAGTATTATAGTCAGTTGGAGAAGCCTTCACTCCTGCATCGTTGGATCTCTGTCAAGACGGGCTTTCTCCAAACGCGATTGTATGTGTGGCGGGAACGGTACCGAGTTTGACTCTGCCATTTCGTGCATTGCCTGGATCGATGTAGTGGTTCTGTGGAGCGTCTCTAGCCCAGACTGGGGCATAACGTAGAGATGGGACTATGTTGATGCGACACAGTCCAACACGAGGCTAAACCACCTTTCCTAATGATGCTACACGCACCAATAACATGAACTCGATAATGGGATGAGGAGTTTTGATGAGAAAGAAACGGGAAATTGTTGCTGCGTGGCTCGGACTTTTGCAAGTGTACGGATACCGGTATCCGTATCCGTACATGGCTGGCAAAGGGGAAACAAGGGGTACGTACAGACCCGGCCGGCATCAGCTGTCAGCACCTTGACCATTCGGTTGGATTGGTACTTCCCTTTCGGTGCAATGGCCCAATCACGTGGCCTTCGTCTCGTGGACTGAGTAGGTAGGGTAGGTCAACCCATTCCAAATCGAAAAAAGAAGAAAAGAAAAAAGACACGCCACGACACTCCACTATTCTTGGTTAGCTTCGGGCCGATGGAGTCCCCCGGGTTCCCCGTTGGCCATGGGCAGCGTGATCTTTACCGGGCCGTCGGTTTGCCATGTGCAGATACTAATGACGTCTACGTTTGCCAGCTCGCTCGAGTCTCTTGTTGAACCTCAAGCCTCTCGTTAATCCTTTACCCGTATATCTAAATTCAATCCCTCGGGTTCGAGGGATAGCAACACGATGCTCAATCCATTTTCAATCTTTACGCAGGCCTTTCCGCCACGGCCGCAATTCATCGAGACGGAGATTCCCGATCTCTCCGGGAGGGTCAGTTGACCATTCCTGCAGCCGTCCTTGAGGTCAACTACCTAGGTACCCATTGCTCATGCCTCACAGGTCTGCCTAGTAACCGGGGCAAACACGGGGGTTGGCAAGGAAGTCGCGCAGATTCTCTTCTCGAAAAACGCCACCGTCTACATCACTTCCCGCTCCGAAGACAAGGGCCGCGCCGCCATCCTATCCATCAAGGAAGCCGCGCCCAACTCGACCGGAAAGCTGGACATCCTGACTCTGGACCTGGCTGACCTCACCACCATCAAGCCCGCAGTCGATGCCTTTCTGGCCAAAGAGTCTCAGCTCCATCTTCTCATTAACAATGCCGGCGTCATGATGCCACCCCAGGGCAGCAAGACCGTCCAGGGCTATGAGCTGCAACTGGGAACGAATTGCGTCGGCCCCTTCCTCTTCACCAAGCTTCTCACGCCCACGCTGGTGCAGACGGCCAAGACGGCACCCGAGGGCAGTGTTCGTGTTGTCTGGGTTTCTAGCTCTGCTGCTGAGCTTCTGTCGCCTTACCCCGCAATTGAGATCGACAACCTCGACTACTCCAAGAGGGACAGGATCAAGGAGCTCAAGTACGGAATCAGCAAGGCCGGCAACTACTTTCACTCCACAGAGTTTGCTAAGCGGCACAAAGCCGACGGTGTCATCAGTCTGGTACGCCTGATGTGAAGCCCCACATGCTCCAATTGACCCTCACATGTTCAGGCCCTGAACCCCGGAAACCTCTCATCGGAGCTGGATCGCCACATCACCGCCCTCATTCCGACATTGTTCAGAAAAGCCACCACATACCCCGCCGTTTACGGCGCATACACGGAGCTCTTTGCAGCGCTCTCTCCAGAGGTGACAATCGAAAAGACGGGTGGCTGGGGTGAGTTCGATTGCACTTGTGCTACTTGTCGCAGACTTGTCCCCGCTAATATCAAACCTCTCAGTTGTTCCTTGGGGTCGATTTTACGCCATCAGGGAAGACCTCGTGCTGGGCTCCAAGTCTCGTGAAGAAGGTGGAACTGGGCTTGCCGAAGACTTCTGGAAGTGGACGGATGAGCAAGTGAAGAAGTATCTTTGAAAGACAATCCCTTCTTCGACCGCCTAGTAAAGACAGCGTCTTATCATGCCAAACATGATGTTCACAGTTTCACTTCTCCCGACATGGCTAGTGTGTCATGAGCTATCCAAGATATTTGGCATAAGCCAAAAATTGTAAGTCGATAGTTCCCTCATTTGATCAACGTCACCGGGTTAGTGGGTCGCTCGTCTTTCAGGTTGAAGAGTATATTCAAGACTGAATCCGGTCGGCACCATGACCTGTCTTATATGCAATAAAGATATGTACAACAGAAGTGTATCTCTCTTGTCGAAGTCCAAGCTTCAACACGGCTTCAAAGCAGTTGACTGCTGGCATCCAGTTCATTGACGACCAGACCGCTTAGTTGGGCTTCTGGTGGTTGCGGCGGCGGCGGCGGCGGCGGCAAGGGGGCTTGGCGCTAGGGGTTGCAGCAGGGGCAGAACTGGGGCTGGCGGCAGGGGCGGAGGGCTTCTGGGAGACGATAGGAGCAGAAGAGGAGACAGGGACGACGCTGGTGGCGGGAGCGGCCATGGTGGTAGGGGCAGCGGTGGAAGTAGGGGCGGCAGTAGCTGGAGCCGAGGAGGCAGCGGGGGCGGCAGAGGAGACGGGGGCGGAGGAGCCGGAGTCGGCAGAGCCGGAGCCGACTGAGGTGGTAAGCTTGCCGTTCTCAATGTAGACGCCGGAGAAGTAGAAATCCTCATTCTGACTGGGGTAACCGTCTCTGGGAAGCTCGAGAACACCGACGTGCCAGTCGGCGCCGTTGCTGGAGGCAGGGGCGGCGACGGGGGCGACAACCTGGGTCAGAGCTGCGGAGCCGGTGGAGTGCCAGAAACCGACGGAGCCGGCATCAAAGTCGATCTCGTAAGCAATGTTGTGCCAGACGTCGGCATTCCAGTTGACGCTCCACTCAGTCTTGCCGTTGACGACCCAGCGCAGGAGGGGGTCCTCAGTGCCGGTGGCGCCGCTCTGCCAGCCCGACTTCATCTCGACAAAGTGGCTCTCGAAGAAGGCGATCTGGTGCTCCTTGTTGAGGGAGGGGGCGTTGGTGTCGGAGCGCTTCAGGGAGAAGTGGTAGTAGACCTTGCCCTTGGCAACAGCGGCCGATGTCTGGGGGATCAGCTCGGTGCGGCGCATATTCTGGCCGTTCCAGAAGGAGGTGCTGGTCAGGGAGATCTTGGCGCCCTGCTTGGAGGCTGCGTCGGCCGGGTTTTTGAAATCCTCCGACAGGTTAACGTACTCTATCGTCTTGCCGGGCCCGTGGATGTAGTACTGGTAGGAGCCGACGGGGGTGCTGAAGGACCACTTGTCGAGGTCGGTGGACGAAGTCATGTCGTTGAAACGACCGTCCCAGAGGATCTCGCACTGGGCGCGGGCAGCCAGCAGAGCCGCGCTGGCGATGCTCCAAGTGAACTTCATTTTCACGGGCTTTGGCGTGCTGTCGTGTAGGACTTAGGCTGTAGTTGCTAATATAAGAGATTGTATGCCTAAAATCGACCGGGCGGTTTGGAGAAAGCTCGAAGCCAACGGTTGGAATGAATGAAAGATGTTAAGAAAGAGAGGACGCAGGTTCCAGCAATCGATGCCTTGGCCCTGCTTCAGTGTGCGATAAAAAGAATGTAGCTAAGCTCAAAAGCAAGAAGAGGGAAGAGTGTGTTAGCACTTGCTGGACGGCCTGGGTCTTTATGTAAGATGAGGTTTTGAGGGTACGGGACGCACAACACATGGATTCCATCCTCGCTCCGTGATGCCAGCAAAAGGCGATGTCCCTGCAGGCCTAGCTGCGAGGGATAGAGTAGAAGGCAGGCCGCTTTGGGTTTCGCGGCAACATTTCCTGGTGCAGGACTTTAGCAGGAGCCTGCCATTTGCGTGTAAGATGGGTCCGTAAGCATTAGATTGTGGAGATGTACCTCGCTTCAGGTGAGGCCATGGCTGATGAGGCCACACCATCTTAGCACATAAACGGGGTGCATGACCCAATATTGCAGTGGCAAGGGAAAACCATCTCACCAGCGGAGACTGTAGTGAGAGAAGTCAGGCAATTCGGCAAGGAAAACTAGACCGGGTTTAGACCAAGAGACAAATACAAGATGATTCCATCTCAAGGTGACATAGGTTCACAATGATTGTCTAATACAATCGGGGGGGAAAAACACGGTATAAGTATCATGTCCGATGTTCACCACAATAGGCCGGGTCTGGACTTGGTTCACAAAGCCTAACGTGCACAGTAGAGGCAAAGAAGGTGGGGTACGGGAGAACCAGGGTGAGAGAGCGGACCAACAAACAGGCCGGAAGAGAAATAACAGGCGACCGGCGGGCGCTTGATGTTGATGAACTACGAGTCCACACCTCGTTTGTACATAGTATATATTGTATAAGGTAGATGAAAACGCAGGGGTCATAAACTGACAGCGCCGGAGGGCGAAGCTTTCTGCACCTGGGAGATTTCATGCGGAGCTTGGAATGGGCCCGCTATGCCCGATCGAGCATGTCTCTCAAACAGAGCAAACGCCCCTTTTTGGTACGACCAGGTCCTCCCTTCCTGGCCGTCGACTGTCACGGCGCGAGTTCACACCGCAAATGATGAATCACACTTCCGGGAGACAGGGAAGCCAGCCGCTACCAAGCTATTCTTCTGCTGGGCTGTCAGCGCGCCGAGCCGGGCCGGCGAAGACGTAACCCGTGGCATCAGTCCCGATGACGCAACCTGGTACAGCCGAGATTCTATTATGTCATCGGTTATTGCTCAAGGACTGAGGCGGGAGATCGCCCGCCGAGACGACCATTCCCCGGTCCGTGACTCCGCTATTCCCACCGTTTGCCGTGGCTCCCGAGTCCGGTTCAATGCGAAGACCACAAGTCATGACACAAAGGGGAAAGGCAAACGTAGCATCTCAGCTTCAACTAGGTGGTCGCCTTGTCTGTGTGCAATCGCGATGCATCAACTATCCATGCAGTTACCCATGCAGCACGCCTTGATGGCTGTTCATGACCGAAGGAATTCGCAAACGCTCTTCCCCCAACGTACGGCCCCTTTGTAAACCCACATGCCCGGCGCATTGCCACGCTTCAAGCCCTCTATGGCGTCTGCTAGCTGTAGTCCGTACCCCTCGTTCTTAATTTGTTCTATGGGGGTCAAATAGGTCTTGAAAGAGAACAGAATCGCTCCAGTCTCCGGCAGTCTTGTCAGCGTCTGCAACTCCTGACGCAAACAAGCCTACAGGTTGTGAGTGACCGTTCTCGAGGACACGCTAGTAAGGGGAGAATCAGAAATCTACCTTGCTAATGTCAACGTCCTTGCCTTCCTCTACGCTGTCGGCATTGTGGATGTGCAAGTCATTCGGACTGAATAATTTATCGTGGGTTGAGACAGACCACTGCTTCTTTTATCAGTACTTCCTTCCTCGCTCATGCGGAAGTCGAGGCATGACTGAACTCACATTCGTCCTTTTGACGCTCTTCCCCACCTGCAATCGACTGAAGAAACGTTCCATACTTGCCCCTATCTTGTCATATGACGGCACTGGTTGGTGTATATCCTTCAGAAGCTTCCCTAGCTTATCGGAAGGATCAAATCCAGCTGGGTGGCAGCAAACGAACGCAACCGCGCGATGGCCTTCAGGAGTTTCGACTAGTAGAAAAATGTCGTCTTCCACAGTTTCTCCGAGGGCCCGGAGTGCAATGTCCGGGTCTTCGGGTGGCGTTGTGGGCAAGGAGATGTTGGTGATACGGTTCTGAAAGATGGCCCCATCTTCGGAAAGGGAGAACATGGTCGGGTAACGCGTTGGCAAATATTCGGAAAGCAGATAAGTCCAAGTCTCATGAAGAGCCGGGATACCTTCCGGCACCGCGCCAGCAACCTTTGACGTATTCTCCTTCAAAATCTTCCGACGATTTGTAACTCGATCCAAGTAGGCTTTGTCAAAAATGATGAGATCTTCAGGCGCACTTGCCTGGATGGCTATGATGGGTTCCGTAAGTTACCGTACATGAGAATTGCCATTCCAACTTTCAACCTACCCATCGTGATGTGGTAGACGGGCTTGAAAGACCGGTAGCTGATTGGGTCATTTTGTCGCCAATCGAATTCGCTCAGAGGCTCAATATCAAATCTAGACGGCTTCTCTTGGATGGTTCTTGGGGATGATGACATCTGCAACACCCATCAGATAAACGGAATATACACCAAAGTGGGGGGCTAACCTTCAGGGCATATCGCCACCTCCGTCTCCATACTGATAGCAGCAGGATGGCCGCGGCCACAGCCGCAGTCACGATAAGGTACATCGTGCTAAGTGCAGAATTCGAGAACTTCTTGTTGCGAAAGATTTAAGAGTTGAGACGAGACGAGACGAGACGAGACGAAATGTTATGGCTTGAGGCTCGTCGATAATGTGAATCAAGTCGGAGGCTGGTTTCAAACGAGGAGAGGGGCTTTTATATGAGCTGCTATCCAAAGCAGACCGTTATCAGAGCAGTAGATCGCTCGCGTATCAGTTTCTGTCAAGTATCAGTTCCGGGCGTGAGTATCCTACCTTGCGCTCTGCGCGGCACACACACATACGCGCGGGGCAATGCCTTGCCAGGCCTTGCTCCTGAGGAGGAAGCTTTCCCCCGCACACTACGCTGGTCTCCAGCAAGGAAATGTGTTGCGATATTGACCATCGCCGGTTACTATCGGAGTTGGCGCCTTAACTCCGATGACTAATTACCGGCTAATTCTCGGATATCGAACCTCTGGATCTGCTGAGAATTCGTGGCAATTAACTGGCTGTTCAACCAGCCAGCCCACGATAGTTACAGTTACCCCTAGTATCCGTCAATCGCCACCGATACGTAAGGTTAACCGTATCACCTACCTGGTGAAAACCAACAAAATGATTTCGGTTTTGTCCTGTAATATGGCAATATGGACATCCGGCGACGGATCGTTGAATAGTCTACACGTAGTGAGAAAGCCCATTGCACGGTACGGATATATAGTACGGATTTTCTCCGCCTGTTTTATTCAACTGTTTGGCTCGGCACAGGTCTTTGGTACTGGCTGAATAGTAGAGATGTTGATAGAACAGGAGATGATGAAGCTGTGCTACCTGGACAAGCAAGTGCTCGAGGCTTTATTCAAAGACTCATCGGAGGACCTGCTTGGCTACATGCAGATACAGCAGTATAAACATGCTATTCTGCCTTTGGTTTGTAGCAGAACCAGATCTCTGGCGTCAATAATGGCGTCCACCAATACCAGATGTCTCTGAATTTGAGGATGGAGAAGAAACCAGGAGCTCAATATCCCCTCCCCGGCAATCGGAGACGGATAACACGGATGTGATAAGATAAGATATAGCCCGCTTCCAATCGAGCTGACTCAGGAGCGAGTCTACAGACAAGCTGATATTGTCCCCCCCCTGTCAACCCGAGAGTACCGTGCACGATACCAGCGATAACAGCAATAAATCTCATATCCTAAAGGCTGCAGGTTCAAATCCAGTTCAAATCCAGTTTTCTTAGATTTTTTTAATTCTAAAACGGCTCCGCCGGGGAGGGTTGGAATGGTACTAACCCACCCTGCTTCCTACGCTGCGCTCCGGGTCGGGATGGGCCAAGACCATCCCTTTTGCCTCTAAGATAGTTGTGTTATCACCTGAATCCACTGTCTGCTGGACTCTGCATAGACCAGTGTGCACGGTACTCTCGGGTTGACAGGGGGGGGACAATATCAGCTTGTCTGATTCCTCCTCAGGAGCGTACCACTACAGCTATGTAATCACGCAAGGGTGAGCTCCTCATTTGGCTCCACGCTCTCACCATCCACGTCGTTGACCAGTTACAACGCCGAATTCGCACCGAAGGAAACGATTGTGTGCCCCTCCAGTTAGCACATTCAGACGGCGATGTCTGCACTTTGGTTGTGAAACACCGGCCGATAATCCACCCGGGCCATCTGCCACCTTCTTCATTGGGCAAAGGGCTCGGCCAAGCAACCTCATCCTTCGGGGGGGCTGGATTCCCAACCTTGATTTAATAACCTTCTTGCATGAACTTTGACTTTTCTTTCCTGGTTTCTCGTCCTAATCCATTCGACCATCGCCGAATTGTTTGTCAGAATGGAGTCGGAGAAGAGCGGCTTTCTGCCGCCATACAGCGCCGCAGCCGTTCCGTCGCATTCGGGTTCACGCCGCTCAGCATCCCAACCTAAGCGGTGGCTGCGCCCCAGCCGCAGCATGAAGCTGATCGTCGGATGTCTTGCATTCATCGCTTTTGCTCAGTGGAAGCAGCTGTCTCTGCTGCCCGCTCGCCAACCGTCGAGCAATTTGTCCATGGACCGCCTGCAACAAGACCTGGCAACTTGCGCCAAGCTGCGACACAAGCCGCAAGACCCAATTGGTCTTGGCCGCAAGAAGAACGCCCGTTATGTTGATGGTCAGCGCCCGACGCTCATTCGAAATGCCACGATCTGGGTTGGCGAGGCTGCCGAGGGAACGTCCCCGGAAGATGCGCGCGCTGGCAAAGGATACTCGTGGATCACCGCCGACGTTCTTGTTGACTACGGCCTCATTCAGAAGGTCGAGGCCGACATCTCACTTGACTCTCTTCCCAAGAACACCCAGGTCTGGGATGCCAAGGGCCGCCAGCTGACCAGCGGCATTATCGACATGCACTCTCACGCCGGCGTTGACTCTCTGCCCGAGCTCAACGGCAACCAAGATGTCAACGAGATGGCGGATGATATCACCCCGTACGTCCGTTCGATAGATGGCATCAACCCGCTCGACCCACAGATCCAGGTCATCAAGTCCGGCGGTGTTACTACGTCGCTGGTTTTGCCCGGCTCTGGCAACAATATGGGAGGCGAAGCCTATGTCATCAAGCATGCCGTCGGCAAGGCCGACGGCCGCACCGAGTTCTCGGCAGAGGACATGCTGGCCGACCCTGACCGCAACTGGCGCTACATGAAGATGGCCTGTGGCGAGAACCCAAAGCGTGTTTACGGGAAGGTTGGCCACAGCCCCTTTTCTCGTCTTGGCGAGAGTTGGGAATTTCGCCACGCGTTCGAGCAAGCCGCAAAGCTCGTGCGAGACCAGGACGACTGGTGCGACGCCGCAGACAAGTTCGGTGTTGGAAGCCAGACCTCGTATCTGCCGCAGGACCTCAAGTGGGAGAGCCTCAGCGCTGCGTTGCGCGGTCAAGTGCACATCAACACCCACTGCTACACGATTCCGGATTTGGAGGCATTCGTCGACCACACCAATGAATTCAAGTTCGCCGTGCGGGCGTTCCACCACGCTCACCAAACATTTTTGGTTCCCGAGGTAGGCTTGGGCGTTACTCGACCCTACTGCACTGACGGCTAATGTGAAAATGTAGATCCTGAAGCGTGTTTGGGGTGGCCGTCCGCCCGCCTCTGCGCTGTTCGCCGACAACATGTACTACAAGTCCGAATCATACGTCGGCTCCGAGTACGCTGGCAAGATCCTTTGGGAGAACGGCCTCACTCCTGTCTACGTCAGCGACAACCCTGTTCTCAATGCGCAGCACGTCCTTTTCGAGGCTGCCAAGGCTTACAGATACGGTCTCCCTTACCATGTCGCCCTGTCCAGCGTGACATCTGCGCCTGCTGAATTGCTTGGTCTTGGCCAGCGCATCGGCAAGATCAAACCCGGATTTGACGCCGATATTGCTGTCTGGGATAGTGATCCTTTGAGTGTCGGCGCTGCGCCTGTACAGGTCTGGATTGACGGGGCGGCCCAGTTCTCTGACCCATTTGAGCTGAAAAAGCCCCTTGCCGGACCCATCTCCCCCGACTTGACGCTAGCAAACATCACCGAGGAGACCTTGGATCTAAAGGAAGTCGTTTTCACTGGCGTCTCCAACGTCTGGCTTTCTAGCAAGAATGTACTGTCGACTGGCGACGAGACTGTCAACGTCGTCTTCGCCAATGGTGCTATTAAGTGCATTGGTGCCTGCGGCGACGAAGTTGCGGCCGCCAAGTCTGCATCGAAGACTATCATCAACTTGACCAACGGTCACGTTACCGAGTCTTTTACTGCCTTTGGCTCTCTTATTGGCCTCAACGAGATTGATGCCGAGGAAGACACTGACAACGGCCGTAACCCTACCGGATTTTCGCGTGCGATTGATGGCCTTCTCCTAGACAGCAAGAAGCTGCACGTGGCCAAGCGATATGGTGTCACCAAGGCCATTTCTGCGCCCAAGTTCACCGGTGGTCTGACGCACTCGGGCACTAGTGTCGGTTTCATCACCGATGCTTCGCATGCTCTCGAAAAGGGCGCGGTATGGAGCGAGGATGTTGCAGTCCATCGAACGTTGACACTGGCTGCCAAGAGAGGCGACAACCCCTCCATCTCCAGTGCTGTCGGCGCACTCCGACACAACCTCCTGGAGGCGGTTGCAACAAACGACACTGGTTCGGACCCATACTCGGAAGCTGCTTATCTCAAGAAGGTTGTCAACGGGGAGCTTCCCCTGGTTCTGACGATAAACAGTGCCGATACCATTGTGAGTGTGCTAAGAGTCAAGGCGACTGTCGAGGAGGCTCTCGCTGCGAAGAGCCAATCCACGAAATCGCCCAAGCTTCGTGTCGCCATCATTGGAGGCGCAGAGTCTCATCTCGTTGCTTCTGAGCTGGCATCCGCCGGCGTTGGTGTGGTCCTTGCACCGTTCCAGTCGTTCTCGTATACCTGGGACCAGAGGCGTTCGTTGACCGGTGCTCCTCTCACAAACGGCACCGCCATTGACGCTCTTCTCGACGCTGGGGTTCTGACTGCCATTGGGCTAGAGGAGGACTGGCTCGTCCGTGACCTAGGACTTCTTGCTGGAATTGCGCAGAAGAATGGAAACGGTCGGCTGAGTGAGAAAAAGGCGCTGGACTTGGTCTCCTCTAACATTTACGATATCCTTGGCATCAAAGAGCCGGAGTCCGGGAATGGTCGCCACTTTGTTGTACATGAGGGCAGCCCCCTTGATATTGAAGGAAGAATCCGCGCGGTTGGTAGCGGCCGCGACACGGTGTCTGTGTTCGTGTAGTTGGTTGGTGGGGGGGGGGGTAACACCGGCATTACTCGGTCCAAACAGTATTGCGACTCCAAGGATCCATAATATGTACATTAAAGCCAGACTCCGGAACCGCGCGCGTTCCAAGCTCACAGTTATTGCAGATGCATCTTACGCCTGACGGCATCGCAACCAAAGTCACAACAGGGTTATTCTGTTACGTATGCTTATGGAAGCAAATTGACTCAACAATGTCCCCTCGGCTTTGGCTGCCGTTGTATCCATACTGGGGTTGCTGGGCTATCGCTCTTGTTCCCGCGCGGGTATTACCAATCCCGGACGGCGAAGATCCCACGGGTATCAAACGATGACCAATGAGAGGGGGCAGTGCGAAGCCAACTGAACAGGAGAATACGCTAGATGCAGCTAGTCAGGCCACTGCTATATGAGGTCTCCTGCCCCCACCACTCGAAACCACTTCTGAAGGCCCAATGAATGAATGACAAGACGATTGCACAAGATTGACCATTTAACAACTAATGGGAACCTCCTTAACCACATACACTCTGCGCCGAACTTCGAACTTGGCCAGGTCTATCTTCTCACATCCACGAAAGTTTGAAAAATCTGCACCCATCATGACACGCGGTGCAGTTGTATGTATCGCTCACGGCGGAGGTATGTAGAAATACACCCCTTCAAAGGCCTTCAAGATTCTCCGGCGTTTACTTACAGCATCAAGGTCCCATGCCCGTCTTGGGAGACCCTGGCCACGCTGCCATCAACGCCTCATTGAAGAACCGCGTGCCCAAGATCCTCAAACTCAACACACCAGAAGCTCCCAGAGCGATTGTGGTTGTCACGGCACACTGGTCTGAAGGCAGACCCACCATCTCATCGGCAGAGCGTCATGAACTTTACTATGACTATTATGGATTCCCGCCGGAGGCGTATTCACTCAAGTACCCCGCCCCCGGATCACCAAGTGTCGCACAGGAGGTGAAGCAGGCTCTCGAGAAGGAGGGCCTTTCGCCAGTGATGGACTCACGACGTGGTATGTGATACAATGACAGTAGCGATCGGCTTGGGCGTGCAGTCACAGCAAGCGGGTGCGCCAACTTTGTTTCGGGGCTAACCTGCAAGATAGGCTGGGATCATGGTGTCTTTGTCCCGCTTCTCCTCATCAACCCCGCCGCCAACATTCCTGTTATCCAACTTTCCGTTCTTGCCTCAGAAGACCCCGAAGAGCACTTCCGCATGGGACGTGCCCTTGCGGCTCTACGTGATTCCAATGTTGCCATTGTCGGCTCCGGTTTCGCCTCGCTCCACAACATGGGTAAGCTACGCTCCCTGTTCATGGGAGATGCACCAACAGTCAAAAGGGTCGCCAAGGAGGTCGACGAGTGGCACAAGGACCTTACGGATGCCGTGAAGAAGGAGAAGCGCGACGACCGCGAAAAGGCGCTATCTGGCTGGCGAGACTTCTCCCACAGCTACGATATGCACCCTCCCCATGGCGGCGAGCACTTCATGCCCCTGCTGGTATGTGCCGGGGCAGCCGAAGACGAGGTTGCTGGTGTAGACAATGCCGATTTCCAAGGTGTGGACATAAAGACATATTATTGGGGAGATATAAGTGTCTGAATAATCTAACTAAGTAGTACTGTGTACGTCTATATGCCTAATTCTAAGCGCCAAGCCTTTTCCGCCCCGTTCAAAGTGTACCATGAAGAGGACGAGATACCACACCACTGCCTGTTCATCCCATCATACATTGATTCGTTACATCATGATTCTTCCGGTTTCATGCCCAAAAAACCCTATCGTTGGATGCTGATGAGAGAATACGGTTCTCCAACTTCCACACACACCCTACCGTTACCCTCTGAAATGATCCCATCTTTCTATCCCCTTTTTGTGAAAAGCAAAGTCTAGCCAACTACTCAAGAGTAAACCGGTGGCCGAGGAAGCAGTTACAGCTTGCTCCCGATGCCCATGGCGTCGACGATATGCGACTCTTTTTCCACAACCCAGCCAGTTTGCACGTAATTGGCAAGCCAGCTGACCTCACGGCCTCGGTGGCCATCGCAGTCCCGGCATCCGCGTCTTACCATCTCGAGTCCCATGACGCCATCCATGACGCCACTCTTCCCGCCCACTGTCGCCCCCAGGCCGGTCCAACTGAGACGGCGGTTGTCCTTGCGAGAACGCCTGGTCTGCGCGTAGTTCGCCATGGCCGCCAGCTCGCGCTTCTCGGCCATGTCTCTGTCAATCATCATAATGTAGTCGAGAATGCTGTTGGGGGCGTGCGGAGAAGACGGGTCGGGGAACAGAGCCGAGAGGTAGTCGGTGAGGAGCATTACCGGGCGCTGGTCAGGCACCCAGTGACCCGAAGGTTGGGGGACCTGGTTGTGAATGACGAAGACACCGCCACAGAAGCGGCTCTCGAGCTTCTTATGGACGGAACTGAGGACGCCCAGCTGTGCGAAAGGGTCGTTTGCGTATGCGAAGTGCTCGATGTGAGGACCCCGCTCCTCAACGACGACAGAGCCGTCATCGAAGCGGGCCGGCTTGCGACCAGTTTCGCCAACAGGCACAATGAACTCTGAAGCGGCAGCGCCGAACGTATAAATCTCCAACTTTGTGAGCTTTTCGGGCTGGATATCGGAGCAGAGGCGGGCAAGAACGTTGGCGACGGGGAGAGAGCCGTTGTTGTGGGCGAGAACAGCAACGCGGTGTACAGAGGCATCCAAGAGGACCGAGCGGAGCTCGGCGTAAAGGGCCCGCGAAGCCTGCGTTTGGAGAGGAAAGCAACGCTGTATGGCAAGAAGAAGCATGTCAAAAGGCAAACCGTAGGTTGCCATTTGGATACCGCTGAAGGAGCGCCCGAAAAGGCGGGCGAGGCGAGGAATCGTGCATTGCGTTAGGTGGTTTGAGCTAGGCGGATGTCAGTGATATGCTTTTAGGGCCAGCGGCGAACTCAGGGGAGAAGAGAAGCCTACCTTGTACCCATGCCGCCGATGAAGATCCACCTCTCGTTGTCGTCGTCAATGTCTGTAGTGCTGTTGCCGAACTCGTCACAGCTAACCATGATTTCGTTGCCGTTCATGAACCAACTCAGACCGAAAACTATGCTTATCGAAATTCCTAACCAGGCGGCGAAGAAGATCCCGGGAAGCACAGCGAATAGCGGAATGGCGAGTGTGATGATTCCAACCTCAACAATGGCTAAGCTGAGCTGGATGACCATGTCTTTGAGGTGACTCTTGGAGAGATGTTGGCGATGGTTGGCGATGTGGGTTCTCAGCGACGCCATCAGGCCTGGCATCATCAGCCACATTTCCCGCAGATCTTCATGTAGCATTGGCAATGATGGTTTCTGCGCAAGTGGGACGGTTCCGCAGGCGCCATCAATAAGCGGTGGGATGTAAGTCACCGAAGGACCGCATGTCTTGATTGGCCCACACGTGCTCGACCTTGGCGATGTGCGTGGAGAGTTGATGGGCGACTGGTACGACGGTGATCTCGAGAGCCAAGGCATGACTGGCGAGGAGACTGGAGATCTTTTTGCTGTTATGGACGGCATCGGGGCCAGTTTTTCGAAAGGAAACAAAACGTGGCGGGGAGCGTGGAGAGGATATAAAGAGAGATATGTGAGAAACTAAGGAGTCGCAGAGCTTGAAACGCAGAGCAATGGGTGGATCAATCGGGGCACGAGGGGCGAACTTGTGACCATTCACATGCAACTGGACATCTTTTAATCTTTGTTGCGTTGTTGTTGTTGATGTCTCATCGTTCAAGTCGGGTTTCCCTCTCCCTTATCATTCCTCTCGCCGCTCGGGCAATCTTGTTGCAGACACCGGCGTAGAACGCTTGTTTAGTGGCGCATTCCGCCGCCAAATTCGCCCCGTGCCTTGACCATCTATCTAAACTATAGGCTCTAGCGTATTCGAGCCCAGTGTGAGATTTCGAATTGGGAAGTTTGTTTGGGTTCTTCCGGTCAGATTTGTTTACTTCAAGCCCAAGCAGTGAAAGACGCTTGTAAGTCCAAGGCAGATCAGTCGTCGTTTCCTCGAAATCTGATTGGCGGCGTCTTATGGATCTGAATGCACAAGTGGCACGCCAGCGACCCCAATGAGCAGGTCTCCGTAAGCCATGCAACGGATCACCAACTTTCGTCCCAAGCCCTGTCATATCTCAAAGGGCATTGATCACCCCAACATCCTAGGTTGTAGAGCCGGGTCAATCCCGCTACGGCTGGAAGAGGTTTGTTGGAATGTTGGGACGGACGGGGTCCCGGGGCAACAGACTTTAGCTCTGCAGCCCGAGAGGAGATTTCCGCACCGGCAGGCTTTTCCTACTCGCTCTTTTCCCGCTTGGATCCAGGGTTCTGGTGAGCCTCAGGGGGACTAGAGTAGGTACAGAACGACGCTAGGCCTTGAGAAGATATTTTCGTCCGAAGTTTAGCTCAGAGTCCCTTGCATGTGAACTTCTGACATAACGCCCGTCCGTTCTTTCTATACCCGTGGAAGCACGTTTCGAGGTCGGTAAATTTCGATCCTTATTAGGGCCGTTATTGAGCGTCAGACTCCAGTCGTGCTTGACTCCTGCACCGCGTAATCGGGATGTTCGGGAGAGACCCCGTCTCTGACACGCTAGTATGAGCTAAGTGAGTATTGACCCTCCAACCGAGAAGCTGAGTTGAATTTTTAGTAAGACCTTGAGCTTATCTGTAGGTCAAGTATCTGCGGGTTAGGAATGCCAGGCTAGCCCCAGAAAAGGGCGGATCTTGAACCCTCGACAACGCATGTCAACGCAGTGCCGCCCACATGATTGCGTGCATTCCTTGAGGAACCCTTCGGCACTCTTGACAACAATCTTCATTAGTGGAACCCCATGGCTGAGATATCTGTCTAGAATCTGCAGATCTTCCTTCTAGCCCCAATGGCTACCGCCATCTCCAAACATGAGGCGCTCACTTAGTCGGCACACTGGTGCGAGGCACGGACTACACGTGGATGATGCTTCCGATATCCGTACAGCACGTGAGGTTTCCCCTTTGAGGCTTTATGCTATGGACCTTTAATGAAACCAGAAGCATTCACTTCCGGGTTTGGTGTGTGATCAGATTCCAAGACGGTGGCGTCGCTGCTGAAAGTTAGTTGGGCAAGCGCCCACGAGGCGTTTTATTAATCGCTATAAACACCCTCCATGAATGATGTCAACAAAGTATCAGTAAACGTGAGAACACTACTGGGGAGCTAGGAAAAAAAAACAAGTTCCCTCTGGCAACATAGGAATTTGGAAGGAAGCTGATAAAGGCATGGCGGCTGCTTGGTGGTAGACATAGATATATTACACTCACTTGTTATTCGCCAGCGACTACCCATCAATCCAGAAGTAATGACCAGCTCTTTTTTGTAGCCTTGCTAGTAGTAACGGGAGACTGAAAGGATAGGTGTGTGCAGTTGACGCTAAATATATCACACGCTAATATATACATTGACTTGGAAGGAGGGTTGGTTTTCATAGCTAACACGTACTCCATGATTGATTATACTGTATTTCAAAGCTATTTCCAAGTAGAATATATTATTTATCAGTAACGTAGATGTGTATTGCTCGGGGACCACTAGATAAAAACCCCAGCCGTGAAAGCAGCTGGTTTTCGTATCAGGTTGCCACCCAGAAAATACTTCGGTAAAAGCGATGCAACTACACTACTCAAAGCCTGCATTAGGCTGTCGGCTCACACGCGAACATCTTTATGATGACCTATGTGACGTTTTGACTAGCGTGTTACACTTAGACATGCGAAACACAACTGGCCACTACTTAATGCAGCAACTTACCAAATGATTGACGAGCAGAGCAAGCAGGCTTGGTTTTTGTACAAGATGTATCTGAAATACAACCGCATTGCGCATCTTGGGGCGATATCTTTCCAGATTATTGCCCTTAAGTTTCAATTTGTGGCAGCTATTGGTTGCTAGCATCAGAGGCCCGATCGCCTTTCCAACACCATCCAAAGTTTGTTCAACGACGTATGCCAATGGCTCCTTGATTTGTATCGCAAGGCTATATTGCCTCATCAGAGAGACTTTAGCAGCTAGTCATTGGACACGATAACCATGGAGCGGGCTAAGCATTGAAGTGGCCAATTATGACAGCTGCGCTTGAACCCTTATGACATGGCAGAGAGTCACCAATGGATAAACGTTTATATCAGGATATATGCAGGCTTAATGCTATTCAAGGTACTATATACAAGAATGCAGATTCTGAAACCGAGCTCAGCCAGAAGCTCTTGTTTCTAAAACCATGCACCAGGCAGGACGCAATAAGTCGGGATTGCACATCTGGTGTCAGGTGAAATATACAACAACTCCCATCTTGACGCATGAGACCATCATCAATGGCATAAGACCAAGCAATGACTGCGTAGTCTCAGACTGCGTTTAGTAGTGAGCAGAGCGGCGTTCCTTGAGGGAGCGGCGGCTCTTGCAGCCGGTGTCGGGATCAGAGGGGGCGGGGGCGGGGGCAGAGCCGGAACTAGAACCGGCACCTCCCGTCCAGACCTCGGGGCCGGGAATCTTGTAAGTAGAACCGTCGGCGCCGTAGACGTTGAACTTGATACCGGTGTCGGCGTAAGTGTAGCCGGTGTTGAAGTCAAACTTCTGGGGAGGAACGTCGGAACCGGTACCGGAGATCTCGACCTGGACGCAGGAGGGGTAGAACTGAGCTCCGCGAGCCGGGTTGACGTCGAAGGTGGTATCGGCCTCATGAAGGGCAATGATCTCTTGTCGGAGGAGGTATTTGCCGGCCTTGAGGGACGCGGGAATCGTGATGTCTCCGGACACACCCTTGTTGGCAATGAGCTTGTCAGTAGCCCACTTGCCGTTGGAGAAGCCCTCTTCACTGATCTTGGTCCAGATGGGGCCAGTGCCGGCGTCCTCAGTGAAGGGAGCGATGTAGGTGATGACCGGACCCTTGTGGGAAGCGTCGAGGATGTCGTCACCGGGGGTGTTGTGGAACCACTCAAACGCGACCTTGTCACCAGCGGCAAGAGGGGCAAAATCCTTCGCAGCCTTACCACCGTTGACGTTGCAGACGATGCTGGCGCTCTTGAGGTCCTTGACAGGGTTGTTATTGGGGGGGCTGCGGATGTACTGCTTAGAGCCCTGGCCGTTCAGGGAGCGACCATCGCCAACATTCTTGCTGTTGACGTGGATGTCGACAACCATGGTATGGGCGGAGGAGTAGCCAACGAGGGCAGCCAGAGTGGCGGCAGTGAAAGAGAAGCGCATCTTGGAAGCTGTGATGGGGTTTTTGGCGAGAAGAAGAAGATTGGTGGTTTAGAAGTGAATCGAGGTTGTGCTTAAGGGAGCGTGATCGAACGTCTAGTTCGTCAAAAGAGTGTATGGCACAGCCAACAAGGGAGAGACTTGGAGTACAGGGAAAGAATGACACCGATGTGATGATGGAGAAGGAAGAGAAAGGAATGACTTGACTTGTGGGATAAAGAGACTTTATAACATATGTGTAGATAGGCTGTCTTGTCTATCCACAATACCTCCTAGACCATATTCGTCTGAAAGCTGCTTCGTTTTCATCTCGAATCATCTATGCCCATCTCCGGACGTGGCCCATTCCCACCGGACTCCCTAGGTCAAGGTGGGCAGCCAATCTAGGACTGCATCTTGCCTCTCCATCGCGCGGCTAGAGCTGGCGATTCCATCAGTTGCCCAGCAATCCAGCCTGTCAGAGCCCCTGTATCCCTGGAGCAGCACCTCCAGCAAATCGATCCGTATTAGTTGCACAGCAATCTGTAGTAGTGTACAGGTACAACTTGTCGATCAGCGGACTCGTGGAGAACAGGGGTGGCGCTGGTAGGATATCGGATGGTGGCGCTCGTTTCGATCTTCCCTCCTGCCAAGAACTGCGGGAACGTCGCAAGGAGAAACGAGGCTGATGGATTGGCGAGGTAGCATTTCAGGCCCTCTGCGGCCAAGTCGTTCGGCGGCAACCGAGGATGGGTGTAATTAATGAAGTCGTTGCAATTAAAGTGAATATGGGGATGTGAGACACTTAAACAGGGTGACAGTGGATCTAGACAAATCCCCCTGCAGCGGTGCGGCTAACCAAAACAACCTTGGCTACCGAGGTTGAAACGTGGTGACAACCCGCCCCTTTTGGCTCTGATAAGGAGACACCCTTTGGGGGCCAATTTCAGGCTACTCTCGAGAATTCCGATGGAACAAATCGCGAAGTCATTCTTTGGCGACTTTGGTTCCTACCATTGGGCCTGTCAACTTTGTGATTGGGGAGCTAAGAGAGTAAGGGCGGGAGAGAAAGATGGCAGAAAGAATGAGAGAAGGAAAAGAAAAAATCAAAAGAGGAGGGAAAGTATTAACCGCCCAGTTTCAGGTCATTGATGCAAGACGCAACACCAGGCAGCCAGGCCTCCGAAAGAGGACCCCAGTCAGTTGATAGTCAGACCAGCTCGCTCATGATTGAGAAGATGCTTGGAGAAGATGGCATCAAATGAGAGAAGAGCATTTGCAATGCGCCCCGCCCCAGCGGCCTGGAGCATACCAACATACGTACATTCACCCTGTGCGATGGCCACCACATTACACTAGGAACTTCGCGAAGTACCTGTACTGTACAAGGGGTCCTTTTGTGTATAGTCCCCGTCGAAAAAGGACGTATGAACAAATTGAGAGACGATCAGGAAGGCGAACCGAGATGAGTGCGTGGCAAACATATGTATAGTACATGTCGGAGATAGACCCGCAAATTCGCAGCAACCACATGCGGTCGATCCTATGATCTTGGGCGGGGTGTTGATCCGAGCTGGCATTAATGGATGGCCTCTCTCTCTCTCTCTATCGCTCAGCAAGGCATTCTATACTTCGTACTATTTTTGTAGACAGTTGGGTGCATAGTGGAGGCGCTGACAATGCTGATGTTGGCAAGCAATTATTTGTTGCATGATGTTCAATCCATTAGTGTAGTTGCACCTACATGATGTTCAATCCATTAGTGTAGTTGCACCTAGATTGCGATCTTTACCAAAAACGTGCCAAGACTATCAACGGTTCCCAATTCAGTGGGGCGACTGACGTTGGTCTTTCTACTTCCTTCTACTCGTCATTGCACAGGCGTTGATGACAGTGCCTACACGGCAGGATCCCGGTGATGCAGATTGATATTAGCTGACCCGCGTCAATAGATGATACATCCCTGTGGGCAATTGTCTTCTCATCCACCACTGAGTGTTCGCCTTTGAAGTCGAGGAGAGTTGAAATGTGACGGCGGTTGCATGAAGTATGCTTGTTCAGTTGGTTCCCAGGCGCCTGGCTGCATCACAACAGACCGAGTCTCACATTGTTATTTGTCTCTAGTCCGTACTCTGTAGCCATCCTGCCACTGAGGTTGACATGTCGACAAGATTGTCGAGGGGTCTGTCTGGTGGGGTGACGGACAGTGTGAGACTCGAGGGGGGTTCGCAAGCGCTTTACAGTTGTTGGGCCGGCGCGAGGACGAAATTCGCAGTCATCAGATTTTAGAGGAAAGGTCTGCTTATCATATATGTACAGTTATCCTCCATATGACAGATAATGGCAGCGACATGTAGTGCTTAACATGTTTAGCAGGTCGCTGCACCTCTTAGGTTTTTTTCGGTGGGAGGATAGGTAGGCCTGGCCGGTGAACTCCCAACCTAACGAGATTCCCGTACGAAGTTCGGCTAAGAAAAGAGGTCAACATGAAGCCGCCTGTATGTGGCAGTGAAATAGAGCCGTAGCCTTGATGGAGCACCATAGAGAGGTGGAGAGTGAAAATCGGAACGAGCAGGGCGAGCGAAGTCGAAATAAAGAGGACGAACTCAAAGTATATGGGGTACTTACGTAGGGCACCTAAGCATGCCTTGTCTGCCTCTTGGGCGGTAACTACTGGCCGTCTAGCCGACGGGTGTAAATCATAGAAGCGGATCTTATGGTCGGTCACCTGTGCCCTTGCTGGTTCCAGGTATGGCCCGAGCTGCACAACATTCGTATTTTTTTCGTCCTGGCGAGTATGGGGAAAACCGGTGCCGGGGGGGGGGGGGGGGGGGGGGGGGTGAGGGGGGTCCTGGACAGTGGCTAACAATTATGACGGGATGAATATATACTGCATATTAATCACTACACATAGTGTATCTAGAATAATACAGGGTGGCAGGGCTAAGTTAATCACCCCTATTAGTTACCTGACCGGGGTGATAAACTTCGGCCGGATACCATAGTACATCTGGTTTCCTGCCCCTTTTGTCTCTAGATCTACTTTCTTCTCCGTCTTTAAAAAAAAAAAAACCCAACAACAACAACAACGAAAATGCTGGAGAATATAGATTTATGTCAGTCTGGTCTAAATGAAGTAGACATTGAAAGACAAGAATAAAGAGAATCTCTGATACCTACTATATTGGGCGGGCAATACCTGACCCTCAAGGTCACCATAAACACATTACGATGGGGCACGGTCCAGAGCCCCTTCCCTAGGTGGTACCTAGACATCTGTAGGGGATCGGATTTCTGGAATCAGGTGCCTGAAAAATCTCTCCAGAGTGTCAAGGCAACAAACCAAATTCTTATCTTATCGCAGAGCACAGGTGGATGCCCGTCGCCATCGTCAATGTCATTGCATCACAACAAAGCGCATCCGCCGCCAATACTCTTCGATCAATTTGACAGACCTCGACCCAAGTCCTCACCGATACGCCGCTATCGCCAATCACCCTTCGTATCCCTATAATGTCTACTGGCAGCTCGCAAGACCCTACGACAGGTGCACCGACAAAGGTCGACGACTCTTACGCCGAGAGCAAGGCCAAGTTCGAAAGGTAGGCAAGGCCTCGACGCAGCACGTACACTGGATAAAGCCAATTGAAACCGGGCGATAGCAAAGCCAAGAGCGAGTACTTCGATCCTTGTCAGGAACTCGCCCAGAAGAGCATCAAGTGCCTGCACCGAAACGGTGGCGACAAGACAATGTGCGGTGACTACTTTCAGTAAGGAGACCCTTTTGTGTTCTGTCGGTGCACTAAACCCCAGGATGGGAACCAAGTGACAGTCCTGCGGTGCTGATGTTTTCCTAGAGCGTACAGAGATTGCAAGAAAGCCTGGGTTCGTATCCATGAACCCTCCCAATCGTCTATCGATCCCAGCACACTAATATTTTCCTCCTTCAATAGTTCGACAGGAGAAAAGAAGAGAGAAAGAAGAACGGCGGGTGGTGGTGATGGGTCAACTTCTGACCTTGTTCGGGCGACCATTGCGACGATTACGAGACGGATCGAACGGACGGATCCGTTCAATCATTGAAGCGATCGCAGGGAATATCGAGTGCGAAACCGGGAAAAGTGTACACTATGTATAATGCTGCATGTGCGGGAAGGAGGTGTTATGTTATTCGAGTAAATTCGGTCATGCCTGGAAGCCCGTTGAGAGGCTGCTAAGTGACCACCGGGCCATGTGGGCGGATACTTTTAGCATTGGGGAACAAATTTTTTTTTTTTTTTTTTTTTTTTTTTGGTGGCACGATTCACGACTCAAATCACTATCAGCATTTTCTTCTTTTGCTCTGCGACGACTGTCGTTCTGGCGTCTGGCTTCTCGTAGAACGGGGAGGGACAGCTATTCGACCTCAAGATAGAAAGGTGGAGATAGATGCGGATATCGGAGAAGAGGTTTACCCGGTCAGCCAATCAGTCTGGTATCATCCCTAGACGTCTCACACAGTTCTTGGTGCTGTTGCACCTTACAGCGTGGTGCCCCTCCAAAGCCGATTCTGCCCCGCCATCCGATCAGAAGCATCACCATGTCCTGGAACCGGCCTCAGCTGAGGAGCGGCACCGACCTGCAGCTGCAGTCGGCCTTTAACGATGGACAATGGGCCAACGTCATCCGTCTTGCTGATAAACGATTTCGGACCTTCAATGATCCTTACTTCGAAGTTTGTTGTCTCATCTATCCCCCTCCCCCCTCCCCCCACCCCCAATCCAGACTCGAGCCGAACTGATCACACCACTTAGGCAGTGAGAGTATGCGCCGAGAGCCATCTAGAATCACCTTTGGAGAAGGCGTCACCTCTCATTGCAATCCAGAAGCTGGTCAAGGACCCGTCCGCTGTAAGAGATGCTGATTCTCTTGAACTGCTGGAGTGGGCCTCTGAGGGTTTCGTGCAAGATGAAGACTTCGCAGCGACCTTTGGACCCCTGAAGTTGCGATATGTGAAGGCGAACCCGAAGGATAAGAACGGCGGAACAAGATGTCTCGAATCTTGTCTATTGCACTGGGACTTGGTTAGCGCGCAACAGGTCAGTATCGCTCCCATGACAAATGGCCGTGGTAGCCTAACGGAAGCTCACATAGATTGCGGCTGTTCTTGACAGGTCCTTTCCCCAAGAAAGAAGCTTCATGTTCTGGAACATTGCCATCACCCATCTGCTTGCGGTGAGCCTCTTCAGCTGCCAAGTTACTACAGAACATGGCTGATTCAGTTGCAGACCAGTGATCAGTGCCCCGCTGGCAAGAAGCAGCTCTACGGCATGCTATCTTTGAAGCAAATGCAGCGCGCTGCCCAGTTGACTGAGCAGGTAAGATACGCGTTACGAAGCGGAATGGCTGGGGTGGCTGATTAGGTCTCAGGCAAGCACCGGAGCGCATGGCGAAGTGGCCGATCGAGCGATCAAGACAGAGGAAGAAATTCTTCTCTTTTATCGCCTACTAGAAGCTCACGGTTCCGATGCGGAGTGGGATGCTGCTCTCCAGGGCCCAACTCTAAACCCCGTCTATCAGTTCAAGGCTGGCCGCAAGGATCTCTTCCTCCAAACTATTGACGTGCTTGAGCGAAAAGAAAACTGGAAAGCGATGTATGACCTCTGCAGAGAATGCCTTTCGGCTACGGATGACAAGGGCCAACTGAGCCTTCTCGCATGCGATTGGGCTGTTTGGAAGAAGTTCCTTAATGCTGCTGGCCGAACAGGGGAGGCTCACAAGTAAGTGAAGCATATTTTGGTCGAGTTGGTCATGTCTGATGATTTGTAGTGCTTCGACCGAAGTTTTTGAACTCGTCAACCGGTTCTTGACACAAGAAAACGTCCGCTCAATCTATAAGCGTAACATCCGTCTGGCCAAGGTTGAGGCAACTTTTCAGTTCTCGCAACCTGTTGGCTCCGAGGCGAGGTCAAATGCGTTCGAGGAGCTCTGCCGGTATATCGATATCGAGTGCGAATCACCCGCTTGTTTCGACGATGTCAGGGCCTTCGTTGAGCGCCTTCCCCCCCACGAAGTAAAGGAATTTGCTTATGAATACGTCATTCGTCTGGCAGAAGAGTCTAAGGAGGCTGCTAGGTCGGCATCTGTAAAGGCTTTGGCTTTGAAACTACAATACCTTGGCCTCTCTACTTCGAAAATGCTTGTTCGTGTCTCGGACGAGGACCCGAAAAAGCCAAACAACTGGAGATGCATCGTGTGTGCAACTGTCAACAAGGCACCTGTCTGCGCGAGTTGTTTGCAGAATTTGTTGGAGTCCACGTTGACTTTGTACTCCACCCTCATCAACTCTTCTGAAATCAGTCAGTCCCTCGATTGTATACCGGAACTGGCCATTCTTGCAGCAACATGCTGCATAAGGCTAAGCGGCCTCCACCAACGCTGCGCTCTCAACCCCACCTCTACGATGAAGGGCGGCCGATATGATCGGGTGCTTCAGGCTGCCCTTCTCATCGAGAACCAGCTTACTAAAACCCCGAAACATACGAGACTGACTCTACTCCTGGTGCGCATCTATCTCGTGCTCGGATGCGCATCTCGAGCTCGTGAGGTGTGGGACACAGCAGACGTAAAGCGCACCATCATTGATTCCCTAGGCCCCTATTTCTTTGATCGTCTGTCAAGCATCGCTCCTACCCTGGTCCTCCCCCCGAACAAGCCTGGGAAGGGCCTGATGCAAGGCCTGAAGGCGCACTACAACACGTCGCTCAAGCTGAGAATGCCTAGAAGGCTGGCCGATGCTTTCGAGGCTGAGAGTTACACTGCTATTCTCGACATTCCGAGTTACATTGGGCACCTGAGATCGAGCTGCACATTGGTCATGGGATACGTCGAGGAGTCTAGAGCTGCACGAGCTCTTGGCATCCGCAACGACTCAATATTCGACGAGCCCGCGATTGGTGAGTTATCGCAAGGCTTTTAGAGGTAATAGATACACTAACTAACAGTGGTTGCAAGAGGAAATTATCGACGACTCTGTTCTAAATGAGGTCATCGATTATGGTTCTGTTCCCAACTTGGAGGCGGCGACGAGTCGACCCATTTATGACGTCTTGCGGCTTGGACCGGATCCATCAGTATGTATGATCCTCCCTCATACAGGAATGTCACAGCACTAATCAAAGAAACCAGAACTGTCGTTCTCACTTGGCCCTTGCCGCAGAGAGATTCATCGACATCCTCTCCTTCAAGCCCGCATCTTCGTACAAAGCAACCAACATTGCTCAAACGACAGCAGCGGAGCAGGTCTTTGTCTTAGAATCCCTACAGCGGCTCGGCAACTCGTTGGACATATTCCTGCACACCCGAGGAAACGTTCTTACACAACAAGAAGAGACGTATTACGAGATCATCTCCCTCCTTAGCTCCTTGGTACCCCTCGCCGTCGCCGCCAGCCAGAATCCGCCGCCCCCAGAACTCCTGTCAAGCATCGTCTCGGGCATCAAAACTGGCCTCGAAGGTCTTCGGGCCCAGTCCCTGTCGACGCCGGCTGATGCGGACAGAATCAAGGCACTTTTGATGCTGAGCTCGCTGCATGGTCTGTTTCTTCTTCGCGACGCTGCAGCGGCCGTGAAACTGGCTGTATCACATATCGTTGCGTTCAACGAGCGAGAGAAAGAGAGGGACCGTTCCGGACAGAGCAATGTGCCCAAGGAAATCATGGCACAAGTCAAGGCCTTGGACGCTGCCGCGGGTACCGCCATGACCGAGGGAAAGGCGAGGGTTATCCTCCTGAAGAAGGAAAGCGATAGCTTGAGCGCAAATAGACTAAGCTCCTGGACGTTCGAGACGGACCCGGACGACAAGTCGGCAGAGCAAATTCGCGATGTGGCCGGGGTACATCTTGGTGTTTGGTCGCAAAGAGTGGTAGACAGCTGGCGGACGAACTTGAAGGGTTGGGAATTGGTGCGGTGGGAGTAGATGCCGCATGTCATTCGTAAATGCAGCATTCTCGCATGTTGTAGCCAAGCGCGATAGTCTGTCAGCAGTGACAAGGAGCCCAAAACAGAGTCTCGTGCAAGCAACCCCATAACTCTTGACTAAATCACAGATGATCCGGGTATATCCCACTCATGACACCGTCCTTTTGACAATTCCAAATGATGCATGCCAAGCCACATTGATATCCCCTTCCTTCAGCAGGCCGTCCTGTCAAGGGACGCGGCGGACCTTCAGCAATATAATATACTGTTCAAGGACAATCAATACTAAAAACCCTTCACACGGTATCATCGCTTTTACTGGCTGTCCCTCCGCTTTCTCTGCTTCTTCTGGAACTGCTCTTGCTCCTCGCGCAGTGTCATCCACGCCCAGAACCAGCAGAGCATCTCGAGGAACGCAAATGTCAAGAACACGCGATTCTTGAGGGCATCGCCGCCCCAGGTTGAAGGGGTGTAGCGCGGGTTGTTCACCTGTGCCAATGGGTGGGCAAGGCGGTTGCCGTCGCGGGTCGAGCCGCCATACAGGGGCGACGAGGGGCCGAAGAGAAACGTGTAGATGACAAAGATCATGGACAGGAAGAGGCGAAAGGGGGCTGATTGAAGTTTTTTTCCCTTTTTAGCAGGGGCAATAGGTTATAGGGCAAGGGCAAAAGACAGCAAGCTTACCCTGGGTTCCCCAATGGTAGATGAGCCAAACCTCCTCAGGCATGCTGAGGGTGACTAGGTCGCTGACGCCCAGCATACCGAGAACGGCGGCCAAGAAGGCGAGGGCGGGTGACTTGTTCTCGAAACTCCGCGCATAGGGCTAGGAAAGGAGACATGTCAGGCCTCTGAGAACGCACGTTACAGTGCCGGTGAGAGCTCAGGGGCTTACCATGCCCATGGACTCGCCCAGGATGTACACCAGACCCTGATCGGCGATAGTAGCCGGGTTCGTGATGAAGAAGTAGGCGAGGGTGATGTGGAACAGGGAGAGAGAGGTTATGATGGTTTTCGCCGAGATGATGGCCATATTTGCGATTTCCAAGCCAGTTTCGTGATGGTCAAGCAGAGGAGTTTGGGGGAAGTGGTCGCAGTCGTTTGCAGAAAAACAATGGGATGGACAGACAGTAAAACCGGTTGATGTCTTATCGGATGGTGTGAGCTAATTCTGCCGACTGAAAGCTTATCGAAGCGGAGCTTCTCATTCGTCCCGTCCCATGCCGCTATGCGAGGCTCCGGCTGTCTTTGAGCGGTTCTGTTCCCTGCTAGCGCAAATGACAGCTCCCCTTTGCCAAGAACAGACAGCTTGGGTGGGGGGTGGGGTTCCTTTGTCTAATCGTATCTCTTCCTGGAATGAATGAAGCCTTTCCAACGGCTTCAACCAACACAACACCTGGACCCCGGCGACCTCATCACTGTCTCCGGGTGTACAAGTATCGAGTGAGCAACGGCAAAGATGACGGCCGATACCGCAATCCCGCTCGAGAAGACGCGTCACATCAAATACTGGCAGCGATGTCACAAGACCTTCCTCCCGCACCAGTACACTTCCTCCGACAGCACGCGCATCGCCCTGAGCTTCTTCATCCTCGCCTCCCTCGACATCCTCTCCCCGTCCGAGCCGTCGAAGGAGGAACCGAATCTCCTCACACCCACCGATCGAGCGACCGCGCGCAATTTCGTCCTGGGGCTCTGTCACCCTGGCGGCGGGTTCTGCGGCTCCCCGAACCACGCCCTGCCGGCCGAGCTATATGAGGACTGGGACTTTGGAAAGTGCAAGCCTCGGACAAGGAACTCGAGCTCGGCAAACTTGGCATCGACATACTTTGCTCTATTGATCTTGGCCATCGTTGCAGACGGGCTGGAAGCGGCGGAGAATGCCTTTGCAGGCGTGGATAGAGCTGCAACGTTGCGGTGGTTGAAGCGATTGCAGCGACCTGACGGGAGCTTTGGAGAGCTCGTCCTGGATGATGGAAGTATAGAGGGTGGGGATGATATGAGATTATGCTTTTTGGCTGCCACCATACGGTGGGCACTGAGAGGCGACGCGAAAGAAGGGGACGCGGATTGGGTCGAGGACATCGACGTCGAGGCGCTGGTCAAACACATTCGCCAGGGCCAAACCTACGATGGTGGACTCGCGCAAAGCTCCCATCAGAATGAATCTCATGGTACGTTGGTACATTTCGAATGTGTCTTTTTTTCTCTTTTTCTTTTTCTTTTTCTTATTCTTAATAAATGAAACCTGATTCAAGTGACTACTAGCCGGCTACGCGTGGTGCGCGGTAAGCGCCCTGGTTCTGCTCGATCGACCGCCGCAGCAGGGCTCGAAGCACCACGTCAGCGAAACACTCAAGCAGGGCGTCCCCGACCTGTCGCTTCTGATCAGATTCCTCGTCTATCGTCAGTTCGAGTATCTCGAAAAGGATGACGACTCGGACGACCCTGACACTGCCAACTTCGCCCTACCCGAGTCACTGGCCGAGCTCTCGCTGGACCCCAACCTGCGTTTTGTAGGTTTCAACGGGAGATGTAACAAGGTGGCGGATACGTGCTACTGTTGGTGGGTTGGCGGAACATTACAGGTACGGCTTGGATGGTCGTCTCAAAAGTACCAGCGTTGACCTGAAATGCCTTATAGATGCTGGACTGTGCCGGTCTCATCGATGCGGGACCGTCTCGCCGTTTCATCATGAGCAAGACACAACATCTCATCGGCGGTTTCTCCAAATATCCCGGTGGCCCGCCGGATATCTACCACGGCTTCTTGGGCTTGGCTGCACTTGCCATTATGGGCGATCCAGCCCTCAAGCCATTTGACGCATCCGTGTGTGCGACCCAGGAGACTGTCGATAAAATTGTGGCCGCGCGGGAGGGGCTTAGATATGCGGCCAAGGCAGGACGGCGGTAATCAAGCTCGGCATCTGTAGGGCATGTTAAAGCAGGGTGGCGCGCGCTCACCAGCGGACAAACCTAATTTGGATTGGACGAGAGAGCCACTTCACAGGATTTATAAACGGAGGTAAAAGTAGCCAGAATCGGCCGAATATAGGTTTGATTGCAAAAGTATCAGCGCCTCCATGTTTAGTACAAGGTATCCTCAAGGTATGGTACACGACGCCGAGAGTGGAATATAGAAAAGAACACAATGGGGTCTTGTACCTCTGCCGTTCTATCGAACGTGGTGGGCGTTGAAACTTTTGCCGCACAGTGCATCTCAAGAAAACAAAACAAAAAAAGTTGGCGTGCCATCAGAGCGGCACCGAGCTTTTCGATCATACTTAAGCTGGCGGGGCCGTCGTCTTTGGCGTGACGGGAGCAGCGCTGGCGTCTGCTTTAGCTTGGTCTCCCACGACAGTCTCGCCATCCTCAATGATCTGCTCTTCAATGCGCTCACCCGGTCCTCCAACAACGGGTGTAAAGACGTCGACTTCCTCAATCTCTTCTTCAGCTTCTTCACCTTCCTCCTCTTCTTGTATGGTCACCTCGCCAGACCGACGCCCCATACCGGAAGCACTTGCGCTCCGGGAATGACTGGATCCCGTACTTCGTGCGCCGCTTCCGCCGCCACCAGCACCTCCGCCACCGAAGGTTAGCATTGGTCCCTTGAAGATGTTCCGCTTTCGCTTGACAAATTGGATACCCCCTCCCTGCGCAAAAGGATTCGGTGAGCCGGGAGCCTGCGCCCCCGACACTGGTGGCAGGGGCATGCCCTCATTGAACAGAGCAAGAGGAGCCGGGGGCCCGGGTCCCCGCACTAGGCGGATATTGGATGGAAATGTCGTAGAGGTTGGGGTGGCAGGAAGGACCTTGACAGAATGGTGGGGTGACTGTCCGCGCTGAAGAGTGTTTTTGGATATTGATGTCGACACTGAGCCATTTGAGCTTGTCGAGGAAGCCTTGGAATGAGAGTGATGGTGGTGGGGCATTGATCGAATAGAAGATACAGACGATGAAGTTGATTTACGACCTCTCAGCCCTGCGGAGGAGCGCCGCATTGTTGTTCGAGGGGTCATGGGAGATGGCGACAGTGACTGTCGCTTGTATGATGTCGATATCCGAGACGGCATTTGCGATGGTGTGGAGCCTCCTCCCGATCCCGGGCTGTTGAATGCGCCAGACCCCCTATGACCTGGCAGGGCCTTGTTTAAGTGGCCATTGGCTACCACTCCGCGAGGTAAACCGGCCTTGGCCTGAGCTACGGAGTTGTCCGTCGTCGGATTCTTGCCCGTCTGCGGCCGAGGACTACTGTCCTTTGAGTGCTTGCTGCTGTTACCTGCAACACTGCCGTTCTTGTCGACCAAGCTGGGTGTTGAGTGGCTGCCTCTCTTGCTTGCGTGCCTAGTCCTACGGGTGTTTTCAAAGAACCAATGCGTCCAGTGCTTCCAATGGGCAATGATGGCCTGTGACGGCTTCTTTCGGACTTTTTGTTGCTGATCAGGGGGTCGCTCTGGCGTTCTGTTAGCCGCCAAAGCTTCGGAGGTGGTCACTAGGTGAAGAGTCGAACCGCGAGATCTCGCGCTGCGGATCAAACCCTCCTTAGGGGGAGGAACCGGGCGACCATGTCCGGATGTGCTCGCAGACCGGACCGAGTCCTTGTCGATTGGAGGTGGCGGGCGCTCGTCCGTATCCGGGCCTCCATTCTCCTTGGCGTGTTCTGGCAGCCCTGGCAAGTCTCCGAAATCCGAGTAGTGGGCGCTCCTCCTCTCCGACCGCCCTCTCGTCCTTGGGGTTATCGGCGCATCTTCGAGCCTGATGAAACGATTTGTCAGCCCGCCGTGCTCGTCGACCTCCTGCAGCACCGGCGCAATCCGCTCGAGTCGACTTGACGCCGCAGACAGGCGACGCAGGCTTCTGTTCTCAGCCTCTCGTTCGCGACGCTTCCTCTCCCTCCGCCGCACTTTTCGCTGCTCCTTTTCGATGAGGAGAGTCCACCAGCCGGCTAAAGCATCGCACCGCTGGGCCAGAACACTTTCTATGACCGAGTCAATGGCGACACCCGCGCTCCGCATACGCTGAAGAGTCTCCTTTTCCAAAGGCGTCGAAAATGGCGCTGGTCGTTGCAGTTTCAAAATCGCCTGCTGTGCTGGTGTGTGCTCGGCGAGGAAAGGGTTCGTGAGGATATCAGGGAGCGAAGGCCGGAGCAGCGGCCTTTTGGAAAGGAGCGATTTGATCAACGGGATGGCGGCGGGGGTAGGTGGTCAGGATATTTCGGTTCTTCGTTGAGGATTTTTGTCCTCGTGACGTTGTCGTCGTCATCGTCGAATGGTAGCTCTCCACATAACAAAGCGTATAGAATAACACCCAAGCTCCAAACGTCGACCTTTTCCCCAGCGTATTTCTCGCCCTTGAGCATTTCGGGCGCGGAGTAGCATATTGTGCCGCAAAACGTCTGCAGATAGTTGGACTTGCCCTCGTATTCTCTGGTGAAGCCAAAGTCCACCAATTTGACATTCTCGTGCTTGTCGAAGAGGATATTTTCGAGTTTCAAATCGCGGTGGACACAAGACTGTTGATGTACATATGCGACGGCGCCGACGAGCTGGGCAAAAATCTTTTGGACTTTGTGCACAGGCAGCGGGCCGTGTTCGAGGAGGTAGTTGTAAAGCTCATCGCCTATGGGGCCGGTGTCAGTCGCGCTCATACGCTGAAGCCAGAGCATAGCTTACCAGCGCAATATTCCAGTACCAGCCACACCAAGTTTTCCGTGACTATGACCTCGTATAATCGTGCGATGTGAGGATGGACAAATTGTCGGTGGTGATGGATCTCTCGCGCGAGATTCGAGTCGCCTTTGTTTGCGGACTTGAGAACGACCTGCGAACATGCGTGTTAGCAGTCGGCTAAGGACCCGACGTTGACTGGATGCTAGTTGGCTGACGGACCTTGGATCCATTGGTGAGCTTGTGAGTGGCCAAGTAGACTTTGCCGAAAGATCCTTTTCCAATGAGACGGCCGAGAGTATAGTTGCCGACAGAGCTGAGGTCTTTGTTGGAGAATTCACTGCAGAAAGAATCAGCTCGAGTCGGGCATTGAGGAAGAACAGAAGCAGTAGGCAGTGAGACTTACTCGAGAAGTTCCTGGTATGAGCGAGCAAGCTATCACCGTGTTAGAATCAGAAGTACGACCTGGTGGATTATGAGAAATAGGGATTGACCGCGCGGACAAGCAGGCAGGCAGTCAAGCACTGCGCGGCCAACAATGCACTACGGGGTGGTTGTGGTGACGCACCTTGGCCTTCCGACCCAGGGCCTCGGCATTCCCTCTATTCGCCTGCATCCCTTTGCGAGGCAATGACTAGCACGTCAAGGCCGACCGAAGCGAAGCACGGCAGAGCGAGTGGGCTCGAACAGGCAGAATACGCGGCAAGTCGAAGACAGGGTCGAGCTCTGGGGGCGGGCGGGTGAGCGTGAGGAAGTTCAGGTTGAACGACTCGGAAGCCCGCAGTGGCGCGCAAAGGATGCCGGCTGCATCTAGGAGGTGAAAAATGGCGAGTGTTGTAACCAGGGATCGAATGCTCGTCGTCGGGGGTCGTGATGAAGGCGCTGATGTTGCAATTGAAGATTGAAGCTGTTTAACTGATGCGAGTCGAGGTAGCTCCCAGGGTTGTAGGGGGGAGGTTGCTGGATTCACGAATAGTCCCTGTCCAGCGAGGCGAGGCGAGGCGAGGCGGAGCGAGAGAGACAAGGCCAGGTGCCTTGGATACCTACGGGATAGGTACCTCGGTACCCTCCCGCAGTGCAGCGCATCGCTCCAATCCCAGACAGGCAGGGAGTAATTAGCCATCAGGTGGAGCCAGTGGGGTTTCCAATGAAATACCTACCTAGCTCGATCAACTGTACCTACTTAGGTACCTACCTGGACTGGACTGTAGACCTTCTACCTAATACGTGTACAGCACTCTTACTGGACAGACGCCTCGCCCCCAAGCAATACCAGTATACATAGTAGTACCTATGTACTCCGTACCCGTCTGGGGAGAGAATGTGCGGGCGCAAACACTGCTAACCAATCCACCGAGGCCGCCTGGAATCGTTCGGCTGCATGTTCGCTGTACCGCTTTGAGCTTCCATCGTGTCAAACAAACCTTGGATGCTGTGTCTCGGGCTGTCTGAGCCGAATGTCCTTTGACCCCCTCCAAAACTACTTTCCCTAGATTTGGGTTGTCTCTATCCCAAAAGAAGTACACAATGTGTAAGCACATCAGTTGACCGTTCGCAAACGACGCTCATGACCCAGTAGGTATCATGCCGATCTAGTTACAGATCAGGACTCCATGACCACATTTCGTTACACAGGATGACTGACCTAAGTACATTACAGTGCATCTCTACCTGGTTGAGAAAACCAAAGATTTGATCTGGAACCCCGTGCGACCAGTACGGCCAATGCCAACGACTTGTACCATCGTATATACTTTCTCATTTGCCGAATGAGATGTCGCCACCTGCGTACAGCCATATCTACACATGCAGTGTCGACTGTCCGATCTCTAAATCTGTGTCAGCATCTTCTTCGGAGTATACGTACTGTGGTATGTCCACGTAGGTACCTAGGTAGGTAACCAACACGCAGACTCCAGCAGTGCACACAGACAAGTCCGTCTTGACTGTACCTCTTAGCCCGCCAGAATTATCAATGGTCGCCAATGATGGTAAGCTAATCGCAGTGTACCCTCAATGATGCATGTTTGAGAACTCAAGAACCGAACCTCGGTTTATCTGTCTGAAACGCGAATGAAGATTTCCCCCTCATTGGTGGTAGCTCTCCCCTCGGTAGCTTTGAAGAAAGGAAGCTTGGATCATCTCACGAACATAGGTACACTAGTGTAGGTACGGCAGTATGAGGGGTGGCTGATACAGCATCCGTGCATGTATGTGGCTGGGACCAATGGCGAGAGCTGGGGAGGGCATGACCTCATCTACATTGCTTATCTCGTCGGCTGCTCTTTAGACCCCCCGTTCCAGTTCCGTGCAGGCATGCATGCACGCATGCAGGGCCGCCATCTTCCTCCGACACCGCTCCGTTCGCAAACATAGCCAAGCTCCGGCCAACCTTCACGCCGGCCCGTCCCCCAACCCGAGGCGCGCTATCTCACCGATTGAGCGCGTCAAGCCTATACTTGACCTTCATACCTAGTACCTAGCTGGTCACCTGAGCTCGAAGCTATCAGCACCATGTACATCTCTCCGTTTCTCGCTTTGGGCTCTGTGCTGCCTTTGGCAGCCACCTCCCGCATCCAGCAACCCCTCGCCGCCGATTCTCCTCCCCTTACGCCTCATAGCTTCTCTTCCATTTCCTCCTCCGCGCCCGCTTGGCGCGATGATCTATTGTCTTTACATCGCGCGCTAATCGAGATTCCATCCGTCTCGGGCAACGAGAGTGCTGCAGGAAGATTTCTCGTCGACTATCTGACTGGCCGCGGTTATGTTTCATCTCTTCAGTTTCTTCCCCCGCGCAACAACTCGTCGAATGAAACGCCGCGTTTCAACGTGTTGGCTTGGAAGACGAATCAACGCCAACCCAAGCCACGTGTTGTCGTTTCGTCTCACTACGATGTCGTGCCGCCGCACATCCCTTATGGGATCTCTGACGAACACATTACACCCGCCACCCGTATCAGCGGCAGGGGAAGCGTGGACGCCAAGGCTAGCGTTGCTGCTCAGGTCATCGCTCTTGAGGATCTGTTCAATGCTGATAAAGTCAAGCCTGACGATGTGATGCTCTTGTTCGTCATCGGTGAGGAGGATACAGGCGATGGAATGCGATTCTTTTCCGATTCCCTACAGGAAGCTGACCCGCCTATCCACTTCGAATCCGTCATTTTCGGCGAGCCAACAGAGGGAAAGCTAGCTTGCGGCCACAAGGGCGGCGTTTTCTGCGATATCACGGCAAAAGGTGTCGCTGGCCACTCCGGATACCCTTGGCTTGGCAAATCGGCCAACGAGATCATGATCAAGGCCCTGGCCAAAATCATCACCACCGACCTTGGAAGCACCGAAAAATGGGGCAACACCACGGTGAACATTGGCCAATTCAACGGCGGTGTCGCCCAGAACGTCATTCCTGCGGCTGCCTTGGCAAGGATTGCAGTCCGTGTTGCCATTGGTCCTGAAAAGGATGGGGGCAACATCGTCAAGGACAGAATCCAGAAGATCCTTGATGAGACTGATTCCGAATCGCTCGAAATGACGTGTACCCATGGTTACGGGGTTGTGGAGGCTAACTGTGAGGTTGATGGTGAGGAAAAAGAAAGACCTGTCTGTTCGGAACGAAACTTCAAGTTAACACAACGCAGGCTTCGAGACTTTCGTGGCCAACTATGGCACTGATATCCCCAACTTGAAGGGTTCACATACTCGCTACCTCTACGGGCCGGGCACTATCTTGGTTGCCCATGGCCGTGACGAGAACATCACAGTCGCTGAGCTCGAGGAGGCGGTTGGAGGCTACCAGAAGCTGATCTTGCATGCCCTCCAAGATTCTGCTTAGGCTGGATTCCCGTTGTGGTCTTGGTAGTCCAATTGTCATTACGCCGTATCCTCTATAGATGGTCTAATTGTGCACCACTCTCAGGCCGTAGCTGAAGCACACGAGGTTGTTCAATTTCACACAAGGCAATTAATACGCTACTGACCAACCACCCTGGCCCATCGCTCTGGCATAATGTGACGGAAATCGAAGTATCCCTCGGCGTTCTTGACCACTGCGCCCTTCTCCGTGACAACAGCGTCGATTAGGGCGTGCGGCGTGACATCGAAAGCAGGGTTCCAGACGTGGATGCGCTGATCTGCCGTGGCGACGCGAGCTATCTGTGCACTGTCCACGCTGCCATCAGACCGAACGACAGCGCCGGAAATCTGCGTCAGCTCCTCGCCTTTGCGCTCTTCAATCTCGATGCCAGCGCCAGTTTCGGTCTCGAGATCGATGCTAGTGGTTGGGGCAGCAACAATGAATTTTACACCGTGATGCTTGGCCAGAACAGCCAGCTGGTACGTTCCAATCTTGTTGGCGGTGTCGCCGTTCCGGACGACGCGGTCGGCGCCGACAATGACGGCGGCAATGTTCATCTTGTCTTTCTGCAGGTTGAAGAGGGCAGCGGCCATGGAGTCGGTCACAAGGGTGCTAGGAATCTTCTCGTAGACGAGCTCGAAGGCCGTCAGCCTGCTGCCCTGGTTGTACGGCCGCGTCTCGGTGCAGTAGGCATGCCGGAGGAGGCTGTTGGACCAAAGAGTTCTGATGATGCCGAGAGCGGTCCCATGGCCAGACGTGGCCAGCGAGCCGGTGTTGCAGTGGGTAAGGACGGAAATTTTGGAGTCGGACGACGCGCCAGCAACCTCCTTCAGCCACTGAGCTCCATGATGGCCGATGGACAGGTTTGTCTCAAGGTCCTTTTGCAAGATGTTCTCAGCCTCGTCGATATAGGCGGCGATGATGGATTTGACATCATCCTGAGGAGTACTCCTAATACGGGTTTTTAGCTGATTGATAGCATTGGTCAAGTCGACAGCAGTCGGCCTGCTCTCCTTCAAATAATCTAAGCGCGAGTCGATGTAAGAGACAGTATCCGGGGGGGAAGATGCTGTGCAGCTTCCATTATGCAGCTCGACGGCATGGGCGAGGGCAGCTACGATGGCGATGGCAGGCGCGCCTCGAACCCTCATCGACTTGATGCAGTCGAAAGCCTCTTCACTGGTGGAAACCTTGTCATAGTGAAACTCGTGGGGTAGCCTAAGTTGGTCCAAGACCTCGAGGCAACCCCGAGTGTACTTGACGGCTTGTAGTCCAGACATTGCGTGCGGTGCTTGGGCGTCGTCAGAGATGCAGAGAGTTATAGTGCAGAGGAAGAGGGGAAGGTGCCAGGTTATATATGTTGTGATAGTATACCGGTATACAAGTAGGTGGTGTGAATACCTAGGTAGGGATTGGGCGGAAATCCAATCCTCCCAAACATGAGACTCACCCCCGTCGCAGACGAGGGGCACAACCAATTCCCAGAAACCAGACAAAGAAAAAAAGTTCTGCCGTGCCCCTCCATTGGCGCGCACCAACCCAACAGCAACTGGCGCAACTTGGTCGGTGTGTGGCCTTGGACCAATCGATCCGGCAGGTGGACACACACCGCTTTCGGCGAATCATCGGATGACTGGGAGAGATGCTTCAGCGAAAGCAGGAACGCTGGAGGTGCGACGTGTGCTCACTGCAGCAGCTTGAACCTCACTGAGTTGTATTCGTACGAACACATACGTAGTAGCAAAGGTCCATCACCTACGTGCAATGACGCCCCGACGGACCATGTAAATTCAACATCCATATCGGGAGCCGTTCAAACATGGAGCGGCCTTTCTCAACCTCGAAGGTTACCGGTATGCTCACCTGTCCCGCAACGCGCCAGCTGTAACGCCTATCGCATTTGTCCCGCTGATCGAATCAACTGACTTGAGCGTGCGCTTCGTAGTTGAGTACTTCGATCCCCACGATGTGTACAAACTTGTTGCGCCGGGTCTCGTCCCTCGACTGCCCCTTCGAAACTTGCATTGGCAGTCGCATGCCGGTCCTTTGCGATCCATCGACACCCTCCACGTTGAACTCACACCCGCTGGCGGCGAGCCTGGCGCCCCGACCTCACCTGCCGCTTCTCCCTCGTTGAGCCGCTCTGTCAGTGCGAGCGCCAAGGACGATGGCTTCCAGACACAGTCAATTGGAGGCAAGCCGGCATCTTCAGATGCTACCGACACGCCGCCTATTGCAGCGCGACAGCCTGGCAAGGAACGACGCCATCAGATTCCTGGCCTGAGACGGACGCCCTACCTCAAGGTCTTGCTAGTTCGATGCGACGACAGTGACACGTACAAGTCTCAGACGAGATCCGAAATCCGAGAGTGGATCAAGCAAAACACCCCCCCATCGCAGTCGACGCGGAAGCTGAACACGCAAGAGAACCATGACGCCTTCGAGTTTCTGATTGTCCACGTTGTGATACCAAACACTTTTGCGGCCAACCAGCCCAGAGTCAGTGGCAAGGGACCCGATGCTACCGAAAAGTCAAGGACATCAAGATGGGGTTCGGGCTCCTCGACGCTCCTCGAGAAGCTTCGGTCCGACTTTAATAGTTCCAGCAAGGGCGCGATTGATCGTGTTGCCCAGATCCGGATCGGCATCAACGATGTGCCGTATGACGTTCTTCCCCGGGTGGTGCCTGCTACCCCAACTGGCTACACCGAGTCGCGACAGGATGCTGAGAATGCCTGGGAAGATTTGATTGGCAAGTTCAAGGAGCTGATCCTGTCGTCCTTTGACATGAGGGTGTCTCAGTACGAGGAGGACATCAAAGAGAAAGATGCCCAGCGCGTCCTCCCAGGATGGAACTTTTGTACCTTTTTTATTCTGAAGGAGGGTCTCGCGCGTGGGTTCGAGAGCGTGGGCTTGGTTGAAGATGCTCTTGTCGGCTATGACGAGCTCAGCGTCGGCCTCGACACCGTTGTTCAAGAACAGGCCACATCCGGGGACCCCCAAACGCATGGTGGATCACTACTGAGTCACACAGAGGATCTTGTGAAGCGTGCTGAAGCAGCCATCGCTGAGTTGGTTGACGAAGATGGATCTGTCGAAGATGAACAGCCGGTTGATCTTCAGGCAAGTGAAGTGCAAAAGGCCGACAAATTTGACGACATTCCTATCAGCTCTACAAAGAAGCCGTATCGTGAGATGATCGTTGCCAATAACGTTTCAGTCTATGATTTCCGTTGTTACATCTTCTCGAGGCAAATCTCTCTATTGCTTCGCCTTGGCAACGCATGGTCCACGAGAGAGGAACTCCTCGCAAAGCTTAGGGAGCAACAGGAATCGGTTCTCCATGGTGTTGCTCCGCGAGCACCGCCTCCCAAACAGACGGAAGAAGCCGAAAACCTTACAATGCTGGCTGAGATCTGCCGCAGGACATTGGAATTCATTCCTGCTGTTTCGCAAGTAATGAGGGCAGACATCCTGTCAGCACTGAAGAACAAGCTCACGGAGGAGGACTCGCCCATTCTCAACCCTGTTCTGGCCGAGACTATCGACAACCTAGTTGCCTCTTTTGCTTTCTCGGTTGCGCAACAGATCCTTGCTCAGACTTCCACAAAGGCTCTTCCTATTCCGCCATCCACTCTTACTCCTGCCGACGCGCATGAGCCCAAATCGTCGATCCCGGAGCTCAAAACGATAATGCACCCGGTTCGAAACTCCTCTTTGCGCGTAGGCACAAATTCAGATACGAGACAACCGCCCAGCCCCGGCATCTTCCCTGGCGCACCAGCGTCCAGTGGCGAAGATGCAGCATCGCCCAACGCTCACTTCTTGAAGGCTGGCCTAGAAGAACTCGCCGCGCGTCGTGCCGAGCTGTATGCACTCTCCAGAAATGTTCTGCAGGGCAGTGGGAGGAAGCGCGGCTGGGATACTGGATGGACCTCGGCGCCAGTGATTGGAGAGATGGATGGCAATGACTTCGAAGACGTCAGCCTCCATGGTGACGAGGAGAAGAGGCCACCCCCGGACGGTCCAGAGCCACTCTGTATAGGATTGGCCGGCATCGAGAATGGCCTTTTGCACGCCGCCCTTGGCGACCGGGATGGCTTCTACCGCCTCTACGAAACTCTCACCGACAAGGCTTTGCGCCATTACACCGTTGCAAACCATACTCACGCTGTCAAGACTAGTATGGCTGACCTAGCCGTGTTGAAATATCACTTGGGCGAGTACGGGCCCGCGGCATCATTCTTCTACATGACGACGCCGTTTTTTGGAGAGAACAGCTGGAGCTTACTGGAACTGTCGATGCTCGTCATGTACTCTCGATGTCTCAAGGAGCTCCAACGAAAGGACGAGTTCATTCGCGTAGGACTGAAACTTTTGACGAAAGCAGCCGCTGCAGAGAATGAAAAGTTGCAGCGCAGAAAGCAACTGTCCCTAGGAGCTCGCTCGGAGGTCCAGTATCCTGACAAGAGCGCCATTGCTGGTTTTCTCGACGACGTCCTGAGTGTGGCCAAGACACTTTCCAATGAAGTGAGGGTGCCTCTAGGGCACCTCTTCACTCAAGTTGAAGTTGTTGGGCCCCCCGAATACCACAACGGGAGAGACTGCTTCTCTCTCACCGTCAAATTGCACAGTCTGCTCATGGATGATTTGAGTTTGGAAAAAGCTACAATTCGTCTATCCAGAACTACACCAGGAGGGGCGAAGGAGGTTTGGTTACACACCTCTGAACCGAACACTCTGAGGCCTGGCGTCAATAAGCTCCTTCTCACCAGCACTGTAGGTGACTTCTGGGGAAGTAAGTTGAGCAATCACATGGCTAACATGGCGACAGACAAATGTATCCGGGCACTACAAAATCGACCGCGCAGATCTGATATGTAACAAAGTCGATTTACACTGGGAACGAGACGTAAACCAAACACCAAGCAAGAATGCTCAAATATTCCGCTTGTCCGATTTAGAGCTTTACCGCCCAGCAGGTGGTTTGAGTTGTCGTCTAACGGCAGCCAGGAATATTCAACTGGACAAAAACAGCTCGGTGGATCTGGAACTTTCTACTGGTTGGAATTCCATCAAATCTTGCGTACTCTCTGTGAAGCCGTCGACTGGTGGTCTGAGGATCATTTCGACCGAAGCAGAATTCCTTGGGCCAGCGTTTCAGTATGAAAAGCCATTGGAAGCAGGCCTCTTTCGCTTCGGAATCATCGATGCATCGTGCACCATGAAAATGCGCTTTCCGTATACGATTGAGCAAGACGTTCCCAACATCTCGGTCAGGGTTGAGTTAACTTACACGACAGAAGACGGCACCTATCACTACTCCAGTACTTTCTCTGTCCCCGTCGCGCTCGCATTAGGGGTCAACGTACAGGACGTTTTCAAGCACAATGCACTGTTTTCCCGGTTCAGCGTCTCAACTGCATCTTTCAGTCCACTGCGACTGTTCAAGACCGAGCTGATTGACTCAGAGGTATTTGCCGCTCATTCAGCTGCTTCAGCGAGCAAGTCAGTCATGGTGTTCCCGAGACAGCCTGCCAGCTTGCTTTATAGAATCACCCGCAAAGCGACTGGCACCATAAAACCAAAGACGCAACGAACACTGTACCTGAAACTCTACTACAGTGTCCTCATGGACGAGGTTGTTGCGCTCGTTGAGAAATCTCTCACAGAAGCTATCCAGCCACTGCCGATATCATCGTTCTCTGGCTTCCTGATTGGCCGACTCATTGCGGAGATGCAGTCCAGGCTATCCGCCTACGATCTGGAACGCGCCGCTCTGCTGGGAGAGGTCCCGACGTCGTTTATCTCAACCTTTCTTTCCCGTCACAGCTTGGAAGGGCTGGGGCTGATTCCCGGAAGCGGCGACGATGCCTCTACCGCGCTGAAGCAATTCCTCCGGGACTGGCAATCGACACATCCCAAGTTGGCCATCAAGGAAATCGAATCTGCTAGTCGCTCGATTCTCATCCCTGTGGACGTGCCCTCAATTCCTGTCTTCCACTCAGTTGACATTCAGCTTCCTCCGCTCAAAGAGCATCTTGTTGGCTCTACAGTAGCTGTCAACCAACTTCTCTCCGCTAATCTCCGACTGCGATGGACTAGGATTTGGGATACAGCCGTGAGCGATGGCAAGGGCATCAACAGAGACTATGAGTTCAGCTACGATATCACGGCTCCTGGAGACACGTGGCTCATTGGCGGTCGAAAGCGTGGAAACTTCAAGAGTTTGGGCGTCGATAAGACAGATGCCAAGTTTGGAGAGTCGGAGCTGCACGTGCCTGTTCTGATTGTTCCCCTTCGTGAGGGGAGACTACCGTATCCAAATGTCGAGATCCGTGAGGTCAAGAAGGATGATAACGAGGAGACGGCTGGGCATCACGAGATTGATTATCAGAACATTGGCGAGACGGTCCGGGTAGTGGCTGACTTGCAGCGGGTGACGCTGAGTCTGGACGCTAGCGGCCCCAGTGGCGGCCCACTGGTTCTAGAGAGCGAACGGCGGGAGTTCGAACACCGCATTCTACTGTAGACAATCAATGGGCCAGTATTGCCTCAAATTTTGCGCCTTCTCACGACGACACAATAGTCAATGTAAGGCATGAAACTGCTCGAGCTTAGCTAAAGTTCGATCCTGTGCATATTCAACAAACTCAACAACTGCCCGCTTTGGCTTTGAGCGTTCAATAGGTAAAGACCTCAGGCTTCTGGGCTCGACTTTGCGGCGCAGTTCTGTCAGTCGGTGCCGTCGTGCCGTAGCCGGCCTTGGCCGACTAGCTCACGTATGACTGTCGTTAGCTCCGCAAAGACTCGGTAACCAGGATTGGACGAACCGGAAGCAACCGTATCCTTCGCAACCAACCGGCACAGCCACCATAAAATCTAAGACAGAAAGGATATCGACTGGTGACCCAAGTCAGATGACATGCGCGGAAGCTGTGCCGCAATAAATCAGGGTCTACCTGTGCGCTAGTTGACACTGCCACTGCTTTTCTACCTCATATAAAGACAGAATGCCATGGCTATCTCCTTGGTGAAAATTCAAACCCAGCTTTACTTTGGAGACCGCCTGATCAACTAAGCTGTTCCAACCACGGCGCTTTCCAATATATTGAGTGCATTTTCCAGCTCAACGTACTCCTTTCGACACCTTCTTCCCCCTTCTCCAATCAAGTCATTGAGTCCTTACGAGCAAACTACCAAGCAAATCGTCGCATCTAATCTAAATGCCCGACCAAACTTACAGGACCGAAAGCCAAACATGTCTTCTCAGACACGACACGGCCGAAACAACACACAATATAGTCGCGCAGAAGGAAAAGAAGAAGTCACTCTTCCAGCGGCTCCAGAGCAAGAAAAGTGGTGAAATTTCAGAGGACGACTTGCTGAAGTACACCGGCATGACCAAAAACGGACTTGCGGAATGGGCTAAGGACCGACCTGGCGTTGGTAAAAACAAACATGGGGAGGCCCCCCCGGAGGCTGCGAGCATTGTTGTCTCAGGCTGCTAAATGTGTATTTAAGATGAAATACCATTAGTGGATGCTTGGGGGCCGAGAACATAGTTAAGCGTTGAATGGGACATTTAATTGGACCTTCTCGGTTTTATATTAAATCGAGGACAAAGACTTCTAAACATGTTTGGTAGTAGGACAGACATGACTATCATACTAGATCAGAAAGCCAGCCGTGTTGCTTGATTGATGGATATAGTCGCAGTTCACGCGGTACATAGGCATTATCACGGTACGTGAAACCCGATACAGGGCACCTCTGGCTTGTGCGGCATCTCAGTCTCTTAATGCAGTAATATAGGATACGCAATAACGTAGAGCAGCTGCTGAATCTGACTTTACTTTGACCATGGCCTGGATGCATGCACAAACAACCTTTGGGCGCCGAACCGTGTTGCTTGATAGCGCGTTGTTGAGAGTTAGATAACTTAGTTTAGTAGTTAAGCAATTGATCTGTCCCCCGAACCTTCTCTCTTATAAGAAGTCTGTGTTAACAATAGCGGTTTACTACACATCATGAATAAGAGACATATTGTACTCTGGATGGTGGAAATTAAGACATAATGCAAGAGGTGACTTACGTACTGGACTGTCTTTTGAAGATGGCAACAAGGTTAACGAGAACTGACATACCCAAGAATGTGAACGACGTTACGGGGAAGTTCCTAGAAACTTCAAGATTTATTAGCAATAATTATTACCTGATTGACTAGTTAGGAGTTTGACACAATTCTGGGCTTGTTCCTTTTACTCGAATAGCACATGGCCGTGTCACCTCGATACTATTCAGAGCATGGAATTAAATATAAGGGAGTGATAGAAACACGAAGAGATCAGAATCGTAGTGTAATGAGCCACACTCGCGTAGTTAGAAATCCAAAGCATCAAACCTTTTGCGATTCTATCATGGGAATCCGATCATCTCGCGCCCACATACGAACAAAGAACGATACCCTTGGCTACAAGGCAATGTAAATACATCGACCATAAACCATGTATTACTAGTGGAGTCACTGGTAGATTTTATCGATGTAGTGAAGATGCGTAGGAATGATTCGGAAACGCAGGTTTCGCAACCCCACTACCCCACTTTAATGCGAGTGTAATCATTAGGCTGTACATGTTTCCGATATTAAAGAATTTGCTTCAACGGTACATTTGATCCTGAGAAGCTAAGCGTAATATATAAATATATAACAGTGAAGAAAGTTTTCGTCCTAGTTTATTTTGTTTAAACTCCCCCCATGTGCCACGAAGTACCATGCAGGTTAACTTTTAATTTTAATCCTGTTTCATCGTACGCGAGTTCCAACCTCTTGTTCATTCATTGGTCAATTTGGCAGGTGAAAGAGATCTGATCGAACTGCCCCTTAACCAGGGCGACGTCTTGCTGGGCTAGGACGCTCGAGCTATAGTGTACTGTTAGTATACGTCTACGACTTCTACGCACTATTGCGTCAGGGAGGTCACGTACGGATCAGTGCCGTTAAGCGCTTCCTGGACCGAGACAATGGTGGCCGTAGCTGTGACGAGCTCGGCACTCTTAATACCCAGAGTGAGCTTGTTGCGGCGCTCCCAGTTGTTGTCGACAGTGTCCTTGACTCCCTCGAGCAGAATGGCAGCGTTCGCGGGGGGGGAGCCGGAGTTTGCCAGAGCAACGTCAGCAATTGCAGTTTTCAGGTTGTCGATAATGTTGTTGAGCAGCTTGTTGCAGATAGCATGGTCAATAACGCCAGGAACAGGGTCTTGTCGTATGAGTTAGCCTGCTGGGGGTTGGACAATTGCTTTGTAGGATATTTGACTCACTAGCAATAGCGGCAGTGGCGGCGCCAATGGCAGCAATGATGAACTTAGCCTGCATGGTGAAGGGTTGTTGGGGATGATATGTGAAAAATAAAAGAATGTTAAGGGGTCGGATGTTCAAACGAGAGACGAATTGCTTTGGGTAGTGATTGAGGAACTGTAAGAGGTGTCCGGCAAAACTGCACAGTACGGAGTACTCGTCATCTTATAAAAGCTTACAGCTACCTAGGTGCCTAAAAGCTTCGAGGAAGATAATAAGACGTATTATAGCAGTGGAGTCTTACAGTGCAACGCTGATACTCTCCAGCGATCCAAGCAATACACCGTCGGCAAGCCCGCCATTGGTCGGGAAGACCGTGCTCCAAGCAAATAGTGGCGTTCCCCAAAATGTAACTTGAACAGTTCCCAGAATAAAGTAAGACTTAGAAATAACACAATACTTTCTATAGTAATCACATCCAAGGCTAGTAAATACGATCCTGGTCCAGTGTGAAGAGGGGTTCCCGACCGGAACTGTAAGAAAAAGAAAAAAAAAAGTGCGTAGAGATTCATTTTGATGCAGTCAATTGGCTGCGGCCATCGCAATCGCAGGATTCTGCGCTGGAATAGTCCATCTAAATGTTGTAGTTTTTTTTTTTTTTTTTTAAAAAAAAAAGAGAGAGAGAGAGAGAGAGAGAGTCGCTGAAACTCAATACTTACGGCATAGCCGACAGAAAGAAAATTGGGGATCCTACCATCGCATCAAGGTGGAGTGGAGAGTTTGCGCGGGGAGGCCGTGCAGGGTGTCAAAGTGTGTCGTACAGCAGAAAGAGGATAAATACTACCTCAGGGGCGATAGCGCCCCATATCTACTTATTTCTCCGCACTACACGCACGGGCGAGAATACGGAGTACATGACGCAAAAACACCATTTATCTCAATGTTATTTTGTATGACAACACCACCAAAATCAACATTATTAACTATTCAATGATGTCTTCTGATTCTAATACCTCAATAACCTCTAGTATATCTGCCGGATCTGCCGGATCTGCCGGATCCGTACGGGACTGTATCGAGGTCTGCCCGAAGGACATTGTCGTTGCCTGTACCCAAAATTGCCTGCCGGAGCGCTGCGATAACAGTACCGCCTGGCCGGACGAGGCTCCAGATACCGGGCCTCCAGGCTCCTTCACACCCCTCGAAGTGACGGCGCCGGCCAACCGGAGATACTGCTGCTAAGCGGGCCGATTAGCAGCTCTTTGGCCCGGATGCCCGGAAGGATCTGCCGGTGCCCAGGTCAATTAACCAATATCCCATTGACTGCGAGGTGACCTCATTAACCCCCCGTGCGGGGTAGGGCAAATTAGACCATGGCAGTTAACGCCCCAAAGGTACCAGCAATCTCCACCTTTACATAAAGGTACATTGCAGTCTAAGCAGCCTCGCCAGGTCTCACGGAAGCTTGTTAGGCTGGACTGTTGCGTTATTACACCACTCTAGGATACAGTTGTCTGGGCAAGCGACAGCAAGGTCCTCTGGCAAGACCTCCACGTGAATAGTGCTGTAAATAGAGGTATCTGAACCAGAGGACATCGTGATTTTAATGATGATGTTGGTGATAATGTTGGAATTGGCGGTAGCTGCTAACAAAATAGTATTCTAAAATAGATTATTATTATGTATCTCCGAAAGTGAGGGGCAAGGGTGAGGGTGTATCTACCTGGGGTTGATGAGGTTACGTTGCAGTTAATAGGATAACTACTATATAAATGGTGTAGATATTAGTGACTAGATAAGGGCCTGTTATCAATAGCAGCACCATATTTATTAAGGGGGCTAGCAGGCTCTTGCCTAGGAGTTTCTTCTGCTAGTTACCCTTATAAATACCTTTGTGCTGTAGTACCTTAGTAACCCTAACTAGACCTCTATTAGAAACCAGTACCTATAGCGAGAGACTGTTATATTACTACCTAGCTTATTCAGCACTTTGCAACCTTAGCACAAGGTCAACTAAGAGCCTGGCCTAGATACCCTACAGATAGGTGTAATAATCTAGTTCTATGGCAAGACTATACAGAGTGGTCAAGAGGGAAGTATGGGCCTTGTGCCTACTGTAGTAGGGCAAAGTCACGAGACCGTAGGGCGGCCCTAGGTGAGATATTAGGGAATAGTGTCACTTGCCTACAGCGAAGAAAGTCTTGTCGTGGTTGCTTAACTTATAACGTGGCTATTTGTAAGGAGGGAAACTGCTGCTACCTCTGGCATAGGCAAAAACGGGCGTAAATAGAGATACTATACTCCGTATAATTCCGACCTTTGCGGGGTCATAAGTGGTGCCCACTGTGGAGATGGGGCCTTATCGCCCGCCCCCTGAGGGGATACCCATTGAATACGAGTTTATAGACAAGCTGATATTGTCCTGTCCCCCCCCTGTCAACCCAAGAGTACTATGCACAATACCAGCGATAACAGCAATAAACCTCATATCCTAAAGGCTGCAGGTTTAAATCTAGTTCAAGTCCAGTTTTCTTAGATTTTTTTAATTCTAAAACGGCTCTACTAGGGAAGGTTAGAATAGTCTAACCCACCCTGCTTCCTACGCTGCGCTCCAGGTCAGGATAGGCCAAGACTATCCCTTTTGCCTCTAAGATAGTTGTATTATCACCTGAATCCACTGTCTGCTGGACTCTGCATAGACTAGTGTGCACGGTACTCTCGGGTTGACAGGGGGGGGACAATATCAGCTTGTCTGATTCCTCATTGAATACGAAACCTGCACCTCCCACAGGAGTGATCAGATAAGCTGATAATGTCCCCCCCATGTCCACCTGAGAGTACCGTGCGCGTGTGGTCTATGCAGAGTCAACTCGACAGTGGATTGAGTTTTAACTAATAGATAGAACACAAAAAACATAGCTATTTTAAAAGGATTAGAGGTAAACAATAGAGGTAAACAATAGAGGTAAAAAAAATAAAGGCAAAAAATAAAGGCAAAAAGTGTTAGTCTTGGCCTATCCTAACCTAGAGCTAGACAGCCTAGAAGAACAGAAATCTAGCATTTAATTTAATCCTGTAGAGGTCTTTAGTGGGTGTAGGTATGTAGCTCCACTATCCCCTCAGGTGTATCGTAGTTATTGTGCACAGTACTCTCGGGTTGACAGGGGGGGGATACTATCAGCTTGTCTGATCCCTCGTCATGGTAGATCCAGCTCAGATATCACACGCAGGCATGCGAAAGACTGGCCGATCGGGTGTCTGGGCCCGCTTTCCAATAGCGTGCGTGGTCGTAACTTGTCCGTTAGAATAAGCAACTGCCAGTGAACGAATCTGTCATGGCTCACTCATAGAGGTGAAGAGATCTCTAGATCCTCCCCAAGTGCAAAAGAAGCGCATCAAAAGCTCTTGCCTTCGAGAAACTGCTTGAAGGCTTGCACGAACAGCTCAACGTGCATCATCGCTGGGCAGCGACCCTCATTTAGAGCACCATGATCGCTGATAAGCATCTTCCAACATTCGGAATGTATAATTAGTTGCACCGGCATCTTCTCCTATTATTTTTCTTTAACAAACATGGCAGCGATACTACTAGCGGCTTCATAGCTGTTCACGTTCACACACGCGATGAGCGTGTCGGCAGCTGTTACGGGCTGTGCCCGGTCAATTGGCATGGGCTGGGTGCCCATGGCTTGCCAAGTGCTGCCAAGCAACAAGTCAGGGACTTATAGTTACGTACCTTTTGACTATCCGACCGGGTAGCTCAATGGGGCAGTGCACGCCATTATGTCTGCCCGCCTGATTTTGGGCAGGCCCCACATAATGGGACACTGAAGGCAGAGATTCGCTGGCAGCCGAACTACGCCCACATTAGTGGGCCTGGCCCTTCACAGCAGCCTATGGGGTGATCTTTCTCTGGATGGAGATTTGTCCAGGCACTACCTAGACTGATTCCAAGTTGATGGCACTGATAACGCGAAGGAGCACCAAGGAGTTCTGTTCAGAAAGATATAGCCAGGACGAAGAGATCAGGCTCTGCTAGTCAATAAAGGAACTTGAAATAACCTCTGTCTTGCCTGGGAACGGGGCAGAACTGTGGAATCTTCTCAGTGTGCCGTGTGTAGGTTTAGATGGACTCAGGGGTCATCAGCATTAACTTACATGCATATCAAGCGGCGTATTATAGCAAGTAGCACACTTGCTTATCACACCTTAAAGACCACTTTTTAGCATATCTTTTGTCGCGATGCCTTCACGACATCGCGCAGCATTGTGGGGATCCGACCGGAGCCGGAACATCCACTGATCCGGACACACCGCCCGGATCCACTACCGTAAGCACTCGTGAGATTCGCGGACCCCTATTATGGAAGGCGGTCAAACTATCTACCCTCCGCTGCCAACTAGCCAGCCCGCCGTTAGTAAGTACACAACCGTTACGTAAGAAAATAGGCATATATAGATCCCTGTTTCTGCCAGCACGCTATATCTCTTACAGCGGCATTGATAACTATTGCCGTTAGCCGGCTCACTAGTGGTCGACGAATCTCACGAGTGTTTACGGTATACCCACGCGTATATCTAAGAGCCTGAACAGGCAGTCTAGAGCGTAGATAGTTAAGCCGTTTTCCTATGACTTTCCGTGATCAAATAAGTGCAATGTGACATCTTTGAAAAGTTGAAATTAAATCTAAAAAATTTTTTGGTTTTCTATACTAGGCTTTAATAAGAGTTATATTCTAGAAAATAATACTATAGAAGCTATTGTCCTGTACTAACCCTTTTCCTTATCTAGACCTTTAGATAAGGGTGAAGGTCTCTATCCTAGTAACTAGTAAGACAATATCTTTTAAAATATTGTTTCTTAGAATATAACTCTTATTAAAACATATCATAGAAAACTAGACCTTTTTAGACTTGGTTTTAAATTTTGATTATTTTTTAAAAATAGATAAAAGATAGCCTCTAAGGTGTAATACAGAAGTACGCCACTTGCTATGATACACCGCTTGCTATGCATGTACGTTATACATATCAGGAAGCAATCCTTAATATGTCTACGGTGATAAGTATAACCAATTCACTATCATGGACCGGCCTCAAGGGAAATATCCTGCCTCTACGCCGCAACTACAAGGGGCTATCTGTGCAGCAATACACGCCAATTTCTCACGCTATATACGGCTCATCTTTCCGCATAATGTAGATTTCACCAGCGAGGACTGTGCATCCAACGGCTGTGGCGATGCCGATGATTGGCGCGTTGACGCATAGAAACTCGATGCGGCGGACGACGACGCCCTTGGAAGCCAAGATGTCTCTCCAAAGCAAGCCGGCGAGCGAGGCGCAAAAGACAGATCCAAAGGCCCCGAAGTTAACGCCCAGCGCCATGCTGTAGACCGCACCCCAAAAGGTACGGTCGCTGATCGACCGGCCCTCGCTCTCTGTGATTTGCACCCATGCTTGGATGATGCGGCATAGGAGGATTGTGGTCCCGATGTTTGTGCCAGTAAACTAGGGTGCTGTTAGCGTTTGAACTTGTGAATTAAGCCCCAGTAGAATGTGACTGAATCTGCAGGAGGTAAACATACGTTAGATAAAAAGACACCGAGGAATCCCATGCCGCTAATGGCGCCCATAATGCCAGTCTTCTGCACCCACTCGTCCCAGCCGTACGCGAAGAGCGACACCCACCCTTTCCTCACAAGCGCCTCGACCAAGATGAACATGGCGAACGCGAAGGGTACCAGCGCAAAAGGTAGCCGCGAGAGGACAATGGACGCAGCAGGGAACGTCTCGCGCCACCAGGCGTAGGCCCCACATGCCATCGACACCAACGTCTTCGGCTGCGCTGCCCGGCGGGCCTGCCGCTGGTTCAACTCGCCCTCTATGGCTGCTGCTCGCTCCTCATCCGACGTCGCGTGCCATGGTGAGGGTTTCTTGGGCTTCTCGTTGGAGGCATCTATCGCTGTCTGACCTCCCTCGGAGGAGGAGCGGGGCATCGAGGAGTCGTCGTCGTTGCTGCTGCGGATTCCACCCGCCTCGGATGCCGCACGCAGGTCGCGCTCGACGGCGTCGCGCTCGGCAAGGGTGCGGCCCCGCTGGGCGACGGCGCGAGTCACGGCTCGGTTGCGCCAGCCCGTGAGGAGGTCCGCGCAGAGGCACAGGAAAGAGGCAGGCATGGTGACGTACATGACGGGCGTCGGGTGTCCGCCACGGCTCGCCGTGATGGCGTTGATGAGTAGCACCGAGATCAACGTAGCAGCCATGATGCTGACGCTGTAGGTAGCATGGCGTCGGTCCAGGTAAGGGTTAAGGATTTCGCCGACCGGGGTACGGTCCTCGCCGTAGCCGGCATAGGGTATATTTGGATTGACAGGCTCGCGCTCCCTCTCAGCATCGGACAGCTCGTGCATGTCGATGGCACGCGGTACGTACTTTTCGTTACGGAACACTATGAACAATAGACAGGGGAAAAGCACTGCGGCGGTGATAATGACGGGCACAATCATGTTGGCTGTGTAGTCAATGAACTTGATCTGAAAGGCGGCAGCCAAAACAAGGTTCGTTGGGTTTGACGACACCAGAATGGCCGAACTGATGTTGGCAACAGCAAACTGCGAGAAGATCCAGGCTCTTGCCGAAGCTATGTTGCTGGAGGCGCGGATCATGTATGCTAGGAAAGCTGTGCCTGAACGGGGTCAAGGTTGGCGGTGAGCTGCTGTATCAGAGAAAGCGTAGATGGGCATGACTGACCAGATAGCACAATGGGGTCATTCCCGATGGCAGTGCCCAGGGCAAAGAAGAACCAGAACAGATACAGAAACAATAGGCGGCCATGCGCTCCGGCCTTTTTCAGAACCCTGAAGGCAAGGTATTTCAACAGGCCAGAGGCGTCAATCGAGATGGCGATGTACGCGAGCGTGATAAAAAAGATCATGACATCGTAGGGCTCAATGTTGTTGGAGCCAACAGTGCCTGCGATGCAACCACGTCAATGATTACTTCCCACGCAAAGGGAGTGTCTAAAGCAGATCTTCAAAATACACACCATCATGTACCTCGTCACGCCCAATTGTTAGTGTTGCAAGCAGGAAGAGGCAGGCATAAACAGGTGCCATGATGGTGCTTATGGACCACCTGAGCATCTTCCAACGACCTCCATCTTCTTGAGGCCCTGCGTGATCCCGTAGGGGAATGATACGAACTCTTGCGAGCACACTTAGGAAAACATCCCAGGCCACCCTAGGCACAGGAATAAGAATGTGGAAGGGAAAGCTGACGACAGTGTCTGTTGCAGTTGTTAGTACACGTACTACCTACCGTAAGTGTGGCCAAACCGCCAACGCCAACGCACCGAGAAAAGAAAATTGGGGGGGGGGGGGTTGAACCTACTTGTGATGATGAAGACGATAAGAGTTAGTATTGAGCGCCACTCCCTGATCTGGTTCATATCAGGTGGCGGCGGCCGCTCGTCCGTGTCCATTTTGGTAGGGTGGGGGGATTTAACTAGAGGATGTAACCACAGTCAAAGAAACGCGCTCTTAATAGAAAGCCACAGTTAGAAAAACCGAAGATATAAAAGAGATGCAACCGTCTGATGCTGAAGTTTGGAGGTACCGATTACCATGTTATCACCCTACGAGACAAATGCTTCTTATATAAATGAAACACATATATGGCAACGGGGCCGCCCCAGAGCAATGGAGGCCGGGACCCGATGCGTGTGATTAGCGGGGCATGGCAGCCAATATTGGCGGGACGCAGCCAAGGCTGGACACGGAGACGACCAAGGCAGGCCGCATGCTCGTTCCATTGGGTATGGATTTTTCAAATCGTACCCATAGCCACTCTGGTGGGGAAACCCCCCCCCCCCCCCCCGGTCTCAACCACTTCCAAAAGCACCCATATTTTAGAAGCCTTTCATACCGCCACCGCGTTTGATAACTTAATGCATTTTTTTTCTTTTCTTTTGGCATAACGCAGGCTTTTTCAGGCATCTTGTAGTGATATAGCATTTTTTCTAGTATCAGAAGGATAGGAAATTTGTATGTTAGTAGGTAGGTAGATGGGCAGTAATGGGGGACCGGCAAAAAGAATTTCAATTTTTTCTTCCACCCGAGTGCATTCCTTTCTGCCGCAGAACAATAGGGAAACCTACCTGCAAATACGGAGATGCGCTCAGGGGCACCCAGCGCTCGTGTAACAGGCAAAAAGAAACTACCCGTCTCAAAGTGTGTGTGTGTGTATGCGTATGTGTATCCGTATAGTTACTCGAAGAAAGAGGAACACTGTGTTTGGAGCAGGTAAGAGATCAGCAGTAAGAAGTCAGCAGCTGGGCCGGCAGATGCTCTCGGCCGCTCACAGAACGTTCCGGAAGCAGGCGGCAAGCGGTGAGACCTGCATGTGGCTGTCGCCTAGGTATGTCAACTCACAAAAGAGTGGGCCAACCACACAATAGTGCTTTCGTTCTAGACTTCTAGTTAAACACACCCCTGTACTTTAGCAACTCAAGCTTTCACGAATGACAACTGACAGAAACATGTTTGGAACGTGCCAACAGTTTCAACAGAGTAGTATTTCTCGTTAGCAGACGGCCCCCAGATGTAATCTACCTACTCTGTCACCAAGCCAAGCCTTTTGGCCTGCATGGGGTCTAAGCATATTTACTCATCGATGGCTTGTATCCGAGAGTATATGAACGCCACAGAGAGAAGGCAGGAAAAAGGAAAGAGAAGCAGCTTGTAGGCCCAAAGAGTCTGGATGCAACCTTGGCAAAACGGCCGAAACAGTAGGAAACGGCCTTGGCAGAGAAAAGAGAATTGACGTTTCCTGATTTTGGAGATCTAAGTCTTATAGCTAGCTACAGGTAGTACTACCACCATTAAATATGGGAAGGCAGGGGAATGCTAGCATTGACTGGTAGTAAGATATCAAGATGCAAACTAACGTCATGGGGTGCCGAGAGACAGGAAAACGCGATTTTGTGTGATTCCATACGCACGAAAGGTACCACAGCAGGCCAATGGCGTGATTTTCCAAGATGATATATCATATCAGACGGTTTTCGAGTACCACTTGTTCATCAACACTCGCGGCAGGTCATATGGTTTGTCACACTGCCCACAGCCATTAGTAAGCAACCACTGTCTCATCTCATCTTATTGCCCTCTTATGGCGGCGTAGCGTTATGAACAGGATATTGGTGCGTAGAGCACTGAGACTTATTGACCTGGTGCCTTTTATCCCTACTATGTGTAGGTATGAGAGTTGGTAGGGTGTGAAAATTGTGATGTTATCCTTGAATGTATTGGTTTGTAAATCGAGCCAGGCTTATCGTTTCAGGCCGCATAATAGGCAATTGCCGGTGTCCTCTGTTTACTTCTAACACGGCGGGCATGACGGACGTGTGTTTAGTTG